ATCTCCCTATTTATTTATAAAATAATTTTTATCCTGCTTTTCAGCCCCACACAGGAACCCAAGGCAGCTGAATTCACAATCAACAGTTTTAAACATAGCCTAATAAAATTAAATGGAATGTTAGAAACCCGAGCCTTTTCACAGAGGGTGAAAAAAGAAGAACTCTACAGGATCAGACCAAAGTTCATTATCCTGCTCCCCACAGTGGCCAAACCAGAGTCCTCCAGGAAATTCACAAGCAGGGATTAAGGGGATTAGACCTTTTCTGCTGTTTCTCCCCATCAAGTGATATTTAGTGTTGTACTGTATTGCCTCTGAACCAGGATGATTCACTATAGCCATCACTTTCACTAGTACTGACCTTGGGCAGAATGTACTGATGGCATGCTAGGCAAAATGGCCTCAGCTGTGAACAGGAGGGGGAACTCTGCATGCTCAAAACTCTGCGGTTTCCCAAAATACAAAAAAAGAAAGTGAGAAAGCCACATGCCCCTAACAGAAACAAACAGCCCACCCAGACTGCACATGAAACGGCCACTAGGTGGATCTAAGACAGGCGTAGGCAAACTCCGGCCCTCCAGATGTTTGGGACTACAATCCCCATCATCCCTAGCTAGCAGGACCAGTGGTCAGGGATGATGGGAATCGTAGTCCCAAACATCTGGAGGCAGGAGTTTGCCTATTGTTAAGTTGTGGGCGAACATGTCAGACGACACAGCGATTCTTCCAATGCAGCTCTTTATTTGTAAGCTGGAACAGAACTGAACTGAGAAGCTCAGCCAGCCTGCTTATATAGAGCTCCACTAGAATGCAACAGTAACCATTTTCTGTAACCAGCCAATCACTGAACGTCACTTTCGATCCTTCATTTGCATAACTATCTACAGTATCCCCCTGCTGGCCCAGGGTGAGAACTTCAGTACATAACACCTATGCCTGGTCTAGGACGGTGCATAAAAGGGGAGCTTGGAACAAATGCAGAAGTGAGAGGGGCAGTCAGCTAAGCTGCCCACACATAGCACAAGCCACCTTTTAATCACAGTGGAAGAGAAAGCAATTGTGCTGGATCTTGGAGGTAGGCGAAATTAGGGCAAGGAAGCGGTGGGGTGAGTGAGGATCCAGGAAGAAGGGAGGGAGAGGGAAGGGTAACAAGTGCAGCAGCGGCACCCAAGAGACATGGTGCAACAGCAGAGAGAAATAAAGGGTGCAGGAGAGATAGCTGGTAGAGAAGAATCTGGAGGCAGAATGTTCTCCGCACATACACACAAGGCCTCACTTGTCATAACTAATAGTCGTTGATAGATCAGTCCTCTAATACAGGGCTCCACTGGGCTCCAGGCTGTATCTGGCTCCTCTGCCATGCCCTGCTCCCAGCTCACATGCTGCTTCCGGTCCATCATCCTGTCTGAACATTGCCTAGGAGAAGGCAGAGGAGGAAGAAAGATTAAGCTGCCCTTCATTCCCCAGACGATCAAGAGCGAGAACAGGGACCGATGGAGCGACTGCTGCACAGATTCACACATGAAGGACTGACTGTGTGTGTGATTTATTTCTGAGTAAAATATGCCCAAGAGGAACAAATTTATTGAAGGGATCTAGGCGAATATTTTTGAGGTGGGAAAAATTGACTCGGGGCAATCTCCAGGTAGGAAATTAATTTGGGACGAACATTGATTGCCGTCAGGATCTGGTGGCGGTATGTGTGGGAGAGAGGGAGAGAGAATGAATGAATGAATGAATGGGGTGCATGCTGGTATGAATGAATAAGTGAGAGGTTGCTCATGTGTGTGATGGTGATGAAATAAAAATATGATCCACCTAGATAATATCCCACTAGCCAAGTTACACCAGCAGAACAGGTGAAAGCAGGATGGGGATGTGGCAGAGCTACAATTTATCCTAAGCTCCTTCATTTTTACTGACAACGATGACACAACTTCAGGCCAGATCAAAGGCTGGTGTAAATATTTTTCCTCCCTTTGAAGTCAACAAAGCAAAGAAAAATTAAAAATAAAAAGCTGTCTTCCTGCTTCTTGCCATGCCAATGTGGAAATGAAAGAGAACAGGATAATGTGTGGACCCACACCCAGCCACGTGACACCTCATGCAGTATACAAAGTGCACACTGGGAGGCCACAAGTGAGATGAAAGGTGCCATGGCCCTTTCTAGAAGCTATTTAATTTGTTTCTTGTTCTTCTGATACTGTGTGGGCCTAGCTGCCACAGAGATGCATTAAAGTACCCAACCCAAAGAAAAGCCCACAATCCTGAGGTAACACTACTTGGTGATGAAAGGATGTTAAAACTGCTTCACTCGGTAAATACATTTGGATAAGTGCTCCTGAAAATTTTAAAAACTGAAATGTATTCAACATAGTGCATTTTGTAAATAAATTGTGAGTACCACCAGGTACTTGAAGCTATATGCTTTTTCACCTTCTGGTGCTTTATTTCCTTCCATGTTAAATTTCTCAATCTCAACCTGAGGAATAATCCACAATTCAAAAAATATGGACAGGAAATACATAAAGAACAGGGGAGACTCATCAAGGGGAAAAAACAAATCTGCAATACAGACACGTTGCTAAAGACATACCATTTTAGGGGGGAAAGAAAAAGTGAGCAAATGAGATTTTAATCAAATTTGCCACTGTGTGTATATTTTTGTTTCCTCTCCAGATTTAAGGTTATCAGCCTCATAACTACAGCAATCCTCTTCAGAGGTCGACAAGAGAACACACCTGGCATTCTTCTAGCAAACGTGTCTTTCAGCTTGAGGCATGTTGATGCACTCAGTTGTGGGAAGCATAATGCACCGTTTGTTTATTTATTTAGATGAGTTATATGCCGCCCTTTGCACACATCACAGGGCAGTTTACAACAAGGCAGGTTATGACTGGGGAGCGGGCCCAATTCTCCTGGCTTATTAGATCAGGGGCAGGAAAGCAGGTTGGGTGGCCTGTCTGTCCATGGTGGCAGTGCTGAGCAGAGCGCCAGCCTACACACCTAAAACCCATGGCTTTTTTTTTCATCTGGAACTCACCAAAACTCAGTTCTGGCACCTCTCAGGGTGGGCACCATGACATGGTGAGTTCTGGCACCTTTTTTTCTAGAAAAATAGCACTGCTAAAGCCTCACCTGTCTTAATAATACAGAACTTGCCCCTGATAATAATAATAATAATAATAATAATAATAATAATAATAATTTTTATTTATACCCCGCCCTCCCTAGCCAAGGCCGGGCTCAGGGCAGTTAACAAGCAATAATAAAAACAAGTTGAATGACTACAACTTAAAAACAAGATTAAAATACATTAAAATATTGAAACATTAAAATATTAAAATGCAGCCTCATCACAGGAGGAGAAAGGAAAAAGAAAGAGGGGGAGGGAATCAAATTGGCTCCAAGCCAAAGGCCAGGCAGAACAACTCTGTCTTACAGGCCCTGCGGAAAGAAATCAGATCCTGCAGGGCCCTGGTCTCATGAGGCAGAGCGTTCCCCCAGGCCGGTGTTGAAAAGGCCCTGGCTCTGGTTGAAGCTAATCTAACTTCCTTAGGGCCCGGGACCACTAGGGTGTTGCTATTTATGGACCTTGAGGCTCTTCTTGGGGCATACCGGGAGAGGCGTGTGATGAATACATTCTGGGAACAGAGATGGCATGGTGGATGCTGCCAAGTTGAGATGTGCAGGCCATTACTGTTGCCAGACTGCCCTCCCTAGTCTGAATCACGGTCAGTCTGTGTGTGCTGCTGCTGAATGAAGTTCTATGCCCACATCTGAATTTCCCGGCCTGACCATCTATCTACTTGTTCTCCCTGACATACACACATTTGGCGTAGGGGCTGATACAAGTAAAATGGCAGTGCCAGAGCATTTTGGGTTTGCAGGTGCAAAGTTCTGCTGCTGCATCATCCGCCATCCCTGCTGTTTGCCCCTCAGCCCTGGGCACCAGGCCTGCTGGAGACGGATGTTGCCAGTATACATTTCTGAGATAGAATCCTAAGACATACGCAGAATTTAAAAACAATGCGATCTCAAGGACCACCCGCACATTAGAGAGCAAGGTTTTGCCACCAGCCTGAAGAAAGCAGAGGCGGAAATGATGTTTGAGGTAGAATCCTATGTTGCAGTTATTCAGTCTTTTATTCATTAATTATACGTATACCTTTAGGCGCCAGGCCAACATGTTCCTTTTTAACCAAGCTTTTGGTTGACCTGATTGACATATTATATACCCTTTTAAAATATGGCTCTTTTGGGGCGGATGTTATTTTGTTATTGTTATTTTGATTTTATATAAAGTATTGTGATCTTTTCTGTGAACCGCCCTGAGACTGCCCCGTATAGGGCGGTATATAAATTCAATAATAAATGAAAACAATAGCTAAGGAGAGAAGCTCTTTGCTGGCTAATTGCATCAGGCGGGTGCAATCAGATCGCCCCCCACAAGAAAAGGAAAAGAATATTGTTAGCTTCTTCTTTGCTGAGAAAAGACCCCCTTACAATAGAGCAGAATAGAAGGCTGGTATCTTCCCAGGACCACTTAAAAACATCAAGAAAATCACAGGGCGCTCCCGAGCAGCCCAACCACAAACACCCCGCCCCCAGGGGCGTAATGGGCCAGCGCATCTGGCGATTAACCAGCTGTTTAATATCCCTTCCAACTCAACAATTCTTTATTATTTCTGTACGCTCTGCGGTAGCGGCGGCGGGCCTCGTTCGCTCTCGCGATACTTGGGTTCCTTTATTCCCGCCGCCACATTCCGCCCCCCCCACGCCCCGTCCGCTAGCCGAGACAGCGCTCTCTCTCTCTCTCTCTCTCTCTCTCTCTCTCTCTCTCTCTCTCTCTCTCTCTCGGGCCGCGTCCCCTCGCGCCTGAGCTATCGCGAGAAGCGGTTGCCTTGGCTCCCCGTAGCTATAGCAGTAGTGACACAGCGGCCCGAAGGGCGAGGGGGGCGGGGAAGGAGGCGAAGCCGCCGAGGAGGCGAGGCGAGGCGATGCTCTTCGCGAGAGACGCTCCTGAGGGGGAACGGGCAGGGTTGGCCGGCGGTGAGTAGGCATAAGTTGGTAGACCCCGTTGAAACTCCTCGGAGCGGGCCGGGGAGAGGGCCTTGCTTCAAGCTGGGCCGGGTCCTGAGCCCGCCTCGAAGCCGGGGAGCCAAGAGACCTCGGGGGGGGGGCGGGGGGTAGGGCGGCGCGTGACCCTGACTTTGAGGAGGGGTTTTTTGGGGCGGCGGGATAAGCTCCCCCCTCCAATTCCCTCGAAATATGGGCCCCTCCATTTTCACTCACATTTGGGGGGGGCATTGTCCCCACCCCCGTCGTTTCAGGGCACCCCCCCCGTCTCCCCCCAATATCGTGTAAATGCTCAACTAGACTCTTAATCCCATTCTCCCCCCCCCCAATCCCGGTGTGGGCGCCTTTTTGTTGTTGTTGCTTTGTCACGCTACAGGTGTTAAATGGGCACAGCATAGCTGGAGAATGCCGTTGTCACACACAGACACATACCCACACCCCGAAACTGCAACAAAACACATCCTTGTTGAATAATCTTAAGGACTCGGATTCATCAGATGCAGAAAAGTGTTATCATTTTGTCAGGCATGTTCATATGGGTTCCGGCAAAACATTGGCTCTGTTGGTATGGGCTATTTCGTTATCCTTGTTTGTATAAATTTGGGCTTTAGCAGGCCAGCTATTGCTACTTAACATTTTAAGGCCTCCTGCTGCCTGGACTTAACTTTTTAAAATACCTCCCACAATTGTATATGAGTGTGTGTGTGTGTGTGTGTGTTATCTGGCAAGAAAAGATCTTTGTGGCATCTGAAAGCCTACTGCGGTCCACAATGCTTATGCGACAATAAACCTGTTTTTAAGATTCCATAGATCTCTTTTGCTCCATTCTGAAGGATCATGCTTCTTTCATTGTTCCCTGCTTCACGTTATGCATTACTAGAAATGCCTGGTAACCTTTAGGAATCTTATAATTTGAAAACCGTGGATTAAGGCTGAAATTCACTTCACTTTCTGCATCTTTCTAATAACAGAAGGCAGGGGTATTTTGAAATAAAGGCTGTTCATCATACTGTATGGCATTGGCTTTCAAACTATTGTGCAGATTGTTGAGTTATTTACAAGTTTATCAGGGTTTTCTCAATGGGAAAATGAGTAATGGCAACCAGGGTTCCTTAAGTTTCTGCAAAGCAGGCTCTAGTCTTTTCCTGCAAGTAGATCCACTGCCAGTGGGCTGCAGAAGGTGGGAAGGTTTTGCTCTTCCATGCAATGAAATTTTATCTCCCTCATGATTTGTAGCTGCAAGAGAGTATCATGTACAGTATTCTCTATTCAGAAAGAGCAATAATGAACACCTTGCTTCTGTGTGTGTGCACTCTGAAATGTGTTGTGCAACTCCAGGATCTTTTGGATGAGTTTGATCTCAGGTCTGATTTAAGTTCTAAAATTTCATTCCCCTGACAGGGGGACCCAGTTTATTTCCCCAGACCTTTCAGTGGGTTTTCATACCATCAACTGTGGTATCTTTTTGATTTATTGTCTGGGTTCGGGACACTGTTTTACAGCGGTTCTGTTCCCACTTAAAAAACTGTAGTTTAAATACATTATTGTCTTACAATATGCTATATAAACAGCTCAAAGAAAGTCGCCCTAGCATATAAAATAGCTGCATTTCTTGTTACTGTGTAGTCACATCTACATACACGTGCAAAGAAACACGATGCCTCTAGTATCCCTTTTCGAGATTAAACTTGCAGAAATTCTCTCACTGTAGTCCTAGTCACACTTATCTGGAAACAAGTCCAACTGAACATAGTGACATAGTGGGGCTGACTACTGCATTTTATTAGTACAGTGGTACCTCGGGTTACATACGCTTCAGGTTAGAGACTCCGCTAACCCAGAAATAGTACCTCGGGTTAAGAACTTTGCTTCAGGATGAGAACAGAAATCGTGCAGTGGTGGCGCAGCGGTAGCAGGAGGCCCCATTAGCTAAAGTGGTGCTTCAGGTTAAGAACAGTTTCAGGTTAAGAACAGCCCTCCAGAATGAATTAAGTTCTTAACCCAAAGTACCACTGTACTGGTTTTGTGGTTTTTGAAGGGACCCTGGAGAAACATTTTTTTTTGAAGGGTTGTGGGAAATCAGGTACTGTATTTATCAGGGTGTAATTCATTTCAAATCCATCTTAAACTATAACTAGTATTTCAAGTTGAGCATTTTCTGAAGGCATTATTGACAAATTACAGTATCTTGAATTCAGAATTTAAAAATTAAAGAAGTCTACCTGTATTTATTATTACAGTACCAACTAGCTGCCTCTGTCCTCATCTGACATGTTGCTTAGCACACCCATGCAAACTAGCTACAGTATAGGCATGAATGGAATCTCGTATTCAATAATATCCTTGACACATAGGGAAAAAATTCCGTTAGTTTTGGGTGACCTCATAGTCTCGCTAGATATGCACCAATTAAATCAGTATATCTTCTCTGTAATGTAAGTAATATATAATATCACATCTAAAATACTGTAAATATTTATGCAGTGCAATTTGATGTGGTTCATTACAGGCCCATGAAGAGCAGGGGGCAGATGGGTGCACTTGTCTTGGGCCTTGGTGGGCTAAGCTGGCCAGGGGCCCTCACCAAGGGCCTACTGGACTTATGCTGTCATGCAAAGAACACCCTGAGCCTCCCAGCTGACTGGGGACTCTTGCTTCAGTCAAGCTCTGGATTGGCCTGGTTCATAATGCCTGTCCATGGACTGAAGCATAGTTTGAATGTCTAGAGATCTTTGCCATTGTAATTTAGGAGTAGATTCTATTTTGCCAGTTTCCATCAAACATTATACACCTTGTATAAAAAGTCTTTTTGGTCAGGAGAGGTCCCCATGAAAACTTCAGAAAGTTAGATTCCTTCTATGTATAAAAACAACAGCCATCTTCCATTGAATGCAGCTTCAAATTTCATGAATTTAAACAGGGGAAATGGTACATTAGACAACTTTTGTATTATTTAGGCAAAGAGAAAATGTTCCCCTGAGCTGTATTTTATTCTTAGTTAAAATGTACTGATTGCCTTTATACAATAAAAAGCATGCAGAGGGTGAGCAATTTAGTCTCATCTGTTCCAACTATCTACAGAAACCTATCCTCTTTTTTAAAAAATACTTGCTAGGATAGCAGCTCAATCGTATCTCTTAATATTCAATAAGGACAAGACTTCTGCTGGGCTTGAGAGAGGTTTGGCAAAGAGTCCTCTGCTCCCTGGAAAATGCGGATGATGGTGGCTGCTGCAGGAGTTTTGCCAAGTGCTTCGCTTCTCTTAGTGCTGGGCTGAGCACCATCATCCACTGCTGCTGTGAGCCACCACTGTCCAGTGCTGCCTGCCTCACTGTCTGTCTCCCATAGGGTTGCTAGGACTGTGATGGGGCAGACTGTGATGATGGGAAGAGAAACTTCACAGCAACTTCTACCTTGGTTTCCCCAGAATGCCTGTGGGCACATGTGGGAGAGTATCTTTGTAACAGAGTTAAAAGGAAAGAGAAATCTGGGGCACACATAAAATGGCATGTAAGAGACAAGTGACAAATAAGATCAAGATACAGAATTTAGAAGGAAGTTAAATGACTCGCGTGTGAAGAGTTTTGATTTACCAGTGTCAAAACATTTTCATAAAGCTGCTGAATAAACTGTTAGACAGTAAAACGTCATTCTTCAGTACAGTACAGTCCTAGTATGAAAGGAGCTCTGATGTAGGCGGATTCAGCTCTGCTTGAGATTATGTCTGCTCCCTCCCACAGGTTCAACAAAGGAAGAGGTGTTGTGGCACCCTGTTGCATTGCAAGTTATGTTGCTTTCACACTAGCTTTTTTTCCTGGAATGTTTCCTAATACCAGCTGGAGTTGCTGAATCAGGTTCCTCTTTTGAGTTTGGCTGCAGGAAAGCGAGTTGCTTTTCCTCAGCAATCTTTCCCAAGACACTGTTTTCTGAGGAAGGACAGCAGAACAGCTCCAACTCCTGCTGTATCACAAAGTGGGCTCCACTCTTCTTGCAAGTCAGACCACTGCCATGGGGCTGGAAGAAGGTGGGAGGGTTTTGCTCTTCCTTACAATGAAGCCTCCTCCTTCGTGACAGGTTCCCCATCAGCTTGCTGTAAGATGGAGCATGTTAGAATGCTTTCTTATCGGCCCGTTTACTAGTTAATTCCTGTGCTGCTGTTTGCAGGTGCGAAATCCATGCAACCAACAGGACAGGAAGTCATAAGGCTAAGCAGGGGCAATCTTGAGAAAGATTGTTGCTTCCCCATCCTTCTTGGAAGTTAACCAGTGGGCACACACAAGTAGGAACAGTGTGCTAATGACAGCACTGCCAGATCATCCAACCCTGTACAGTTTTTCTGATATACAGGAGAAATCATGTGGGTGAATTATTAATTACTGTGTTCCACTGAACAACCAACTGCTGTCTTGGAACCTAACTTTGCCATTTACTATGTGTAAGCATGCACCTGACATAAAAAGCTACATCAATTTGTATTGGCACAAAACTGGCCTGATTCGTGTAATCAGAGATTATACACATCAGGGATGTAAAGAGCTTTTTAAATGGACAAGAGTTGTTGTTTTTCTTTCAGTCTTCATGGATACTAGGGACTCAAATCCGTTAACACAGTGGGACTTTTTTCTGAACAAATATACATAGGATTGTGCTGCATGACTGACAGTGGATCACAAATAACTAGGTATGGTTGAGCAGGCAGGCTTATTCTTTTTTGAAAGCCTGTTGTATCCGTTTAAAAGGAGGAAAATCAACATGTTCTTACATACTTGAAATCCAGGATGTGATTAATGAGGGAATAAGAAGACTGCTTGTGGCTTCTGTGTTAACAGCAGCTGAGGATGCTTTCTGCTGGAATATAATTTTGAATAGCTACATTAAAGCTTGTTTCTTAGTTATTTCAGTGCAGCAGGATTAATTACTAAAACTAAAGTCTGAATACTATTTTGGAAGACTTTAAGTTTGCAACTAAAAATGTTATTCAGGAGATGCAGTGATGATAGCTCTGTAGTACTGTATTCTTGCTGGGCTGATAATGAGTTCTTTAACAGGGCTACATATTCTGCCTGCCCAAGACAGTCTGATTTGCTAGTAGATAATGTATTCTTCACTGTAGCAGAATTACATGAACATAAAATCTGGATGCTGGTTTTAATTGGCCTAATCATATGGAGTATGTTGTTGTATTAGGGCAGAACATGTGTCTGATGCCCACCTATGCAGCCCTAGTTTTGGGAAGTTTTGAAAATGTCATCAATATTCAAACTATAATTCCCTGCAAACGCACAAAAGGGAGGGCACTTTCTCTTTTAGAATACAGCTACATGGTTCCATTGTTAAAGGTTTTAGTCTCCTGTTCTGAAGAATGATTATGGCTGCTGTTCTGTAATCAAGGATTAGAGTCCTAAAAATAAACCAAAACAAAGCTCTTAAAATTTTGCAGGTACTACACTCCTTTTGTTGGATCAGTAAATCAGTGAAAAGAGAATTGCTATGGGCATCATGGGTATAATAAAGTGATTGCTTTCAGTATTGTTAGTACAGAAAATGTATGCATAATTTAATTTTTAGATTTTAATTTTTTTACTTTATGTATCCTCAAAAGATCAGATAGGCAGGGCTTTTTTTTTAGCAGGAGCTCGGGCAAACTCAGTTCCTGCACTTCTCAGGTGGATGCCGTTGCCGTTCTAAGAGAACGAGGGAGACGTTCATGGTGAGTTCCGGCACCACTTTTTATAGAAAAATAGCACTGGAGATAGGTAATAACAGTTTGTCTCCAGAATCTTCTGATTATCCCTTAAAATTAAATGCTCATGCAAATAAGATTTCTCGCCTTGTTTCTGAAACACTGTAATATGGTCCCTAGCATAAACCCTTGTAGCAAAGTCAAAACTGAATTAGGCAAACATACACTGTAGCTAATTGTAGGATCAGAGTGGGAAGGGACCTCAGAAGTCATGTGGTCTATCTCCTACCCTGACAATGTAGTAAATGTGCTCCTGCAGCATCCTTGAAAGGTGGCCATCCAGCCTTTGCTTAAAAATGTCTAACAAAGGAAAGTCCACCATATTCCAATACACTACAGCATATTTCCTTGCTGTAGGAAGATCAAACAACAAGGGTGCCAACTTGAATAAAATGTTCAAGGAGGGGCAGGTAAGCCCCACCCTCATAATCGATCACATGATGTGGTGCATGCACACCGTTTGAAGGGCAATGACCATCAACTTTGGGGCCCCCCTCAAATATTTTAGGGGGGCGAAGGGATCTTGGCCCCTAGGAGTTGGCTCCTATGTCAAACGGCTTGTACAATAAGGAAGTTCTTCTTAATGCTTAGTCTAAATAACTTTCTTTCTTGTATCAGGAGCCATTTCGGTTATTCATCAGGAAAGCTTGCGCAGATGAAAGGGATAAAATGAACAAATTGATTTGCTTTTAAACATATATATATATATAGAGAGAGAGAGAGAAAGACAGTACAGTTAGTTTAAGCAAGGAGTATGCCACTTATTGGGGCCTGAATTATTTAGTTTAGATGGAAAACAGTTTGACAGAAACAGTAATTCAATAAGCCGATTCATGAAGCCAGTGTAGTAACCCCCCCTTCATTACTTCCATCAAAGTTCAAGTAAGGCAAAGGTCAGACCAGTTAATACAGTTGAAACCGAGAATTCTAATGCTCACTCAGGAACAAGATCAGTACACTCAAATGAGAGTGAAAAGTGTAGAGTTGTTCAGGTACATACTTCAGGTTCTCCTTTTAGCTGTTGGTACAATCTTATCCATTAGGCTCTTCGGACTGTCAAGCAAGGCTTCATAGAAAGCCAGGAATCTGAGTCAATATTGTTGTGCTGTGCTTCCTTTTGTGATGTCCTAAGTGCACGTGCTGATAACCATGCTTGGTGTGATTGCTGAGATGCTACCACAGCTAAGATTGAGGTTTTTATCTAGGAAAACTAGGAAACTCCTCCCTCTGTCTGTGCCTTGTTAAGGAGCTATGGTGTTACTTGGACCTGCATGTGGTTGGTGAAGACAACCAAAAGAGCATACTTCTCCCTCTGCATTCGCCATGTCCTCAAGTCAGTTTCTGAACACCTCTATTGTCCTTACTCTAGAAGTGAAGTGGTGTACATCTTTTCAGTTGTGGCACTGCAACTCTGAGAGAGGTCCAACTGGTCTCCTCTAGGTGAGCAGTGAAATCTTGTTTATTTAGCAAGGCTTGTGTGATGACTTGATACTGCTTGACTGGTCGATTTAGATGTAGTTTTAAGCGTAGATTTCTGTGTAGCAATCTCTCTGTTGCTTCCCCCTGACTTTGTAGATTATTATGGTTTATTGTTGTTTTAATCTTGTATAAACTTTGTTGGTAGTGGAGGTCCTTGAATCCTAAATTTGTTGTATTAAATGGTCAAATAACTAAATAATGAACTGCTGTTGGTTGATCATATATGTGGGGCTGTCTCATCTTGGTTGTGACCTGGGTGAGCAAAGTATATATAAGGAAATAGTCTCAAGGCACATGGTGCAGTAATTTTGCTAAAACTAACATTTCTAGGTTTCATCATGTGGATGGTAGCCTCAAATGTTCTGTGCGCTGCTTTTAATTTCCATGAAAGAAATATGGTAAATAAATGTAATAATTATGAAAACAAATTCCCATTCCCTCCTCTGTTCCCATTACATTTTTGTATTACATGAGAATGATAGCATACCTCACACAATCCATTGGATCTTTGATTATATTTTGTCTGGGGGGGGGAGAGTTCTTTCGGACTTGAAAGTACCCAATTTTTCCAGCAAAAGTAATGGCTATGATGACACTATTAGCAATGAAAATCTTGATGGTCTCCGTAGCTTCTGTTGAGACTACCAATTCATTTCTCACAGCTGTTGAACAATCTTTTTTCTTGAATTATGAGCTATCTTAAGTTAAACCAGTGCCTTGCCGTTGAAAAGTAGTGTATCCTGTTACCAATCCCTTGAGCCACCCAGATGCCTCTTTATCCCAAATCTTACTTGATCTCTGCTCCAGACTCTACCATGTCCATTTAACAACACATTAAGACTGCCTGCTCTTGATGTGAGTAAACGGTTGGTTAAATATAGAAACAGTTTCTTATTTAGTGAAGATTTCCATGACAAATCCTTGTGGCTCACCATATAAACACAACCATATGGCCAAGTCCAGTATTATCTTAAAACGATTAGCTTGGAGCTTAATACTGTCATTAACTGAAAAATACACACATTTTTTTATTTGTATTCCACCTTTCCATAGTTCTAACCATGCTCAAGGCAGCTTACAACATGAAGACAATTGCATAATTACAAACATAACCAAAAGGAGCCTTAAATAATAAATAAAACATCAAAAAGTACATAACAAAATGGAACAATTTCCACATAAATCATAAGAACTAAAATAAAGATACAAATGATTAATATCAATACCAGCATCAACCCTCAAGCGAACCCCCTAAACAGTATTCCGGGCCAAGATTGAATTCACAGCTTTTGCGACTGGCTTGTGTCAAGCTATTGATAATTATATGTAAAAAAAGTTGCCGTAAGCATAAATAAAAGAACATTATCACACATTCATTAATTTCTTGATCTCATGAGATCTTATTGATTGTTGTTTTATTTAGTGTTCATTGATGATGTTTAATGGAACCTAACTGGAGCTTTTTTGTTTTTGTTTTTAAAAAAAGGAAAGAAAACTATAGGATAACATCATTCCCACATTGATTTTGAAAAGTACTTCAAGCAAAGCAGTTCACACAAATGCATACTTACTAACCCCTCAATTATACCTGTTTTGTTTATTTTTAAATAGTTTCTGGGATGGACAGATTTCGTTGTGGCCAATTTCATACCAATTTGCTTGGCACCATTCTATCTGTCATTGAAACTGATTGTTACCCCTTCATTTGTATAAATGTATTATAATATGGATTGTTTTTCTTTTCTATATTAGCAAGTGAGAGCAAGTATGATTTAGTGGTTGGGTGCTTGACTAGGACCTGAGAGACTCAGCCATGAAGATCGCTGGGGGCCTTGTGCCAGTCTGTCAGCCTAACCTACCACAGGGGTGTTGTGAGGATAATATGAAGAGGAAAGAAATATGTACACCACCTTGAGATCCTTGGAGGAAAAGTGGGATCTAAACACAATAACCCACCTTTTTATCATTACAGCAAGCTAGCAACTTGCTCAAATTTATATTGAACTGTTTGCTCCAGTGTGTAACACTTTACATTTACTTAAGATGGATCTCATTTGCCTATTTGTTACGCAGGTTGTCCTTTTTGGAGCTGTTCACAATTTGTGTTTTCACCATCCTAATATAAGTAATCCAGGGCGATCTGCAAACTGGACTTCCTTTCAGCTTAGCATTTACACAGATCATTTATTATTAAGTTAAATCATATGTTTGTCCTCACTATTTTTATGATATTCAAATATCTGTTTTGGTCCATTGTGTCTTTGCTGTAAGAGTTTTCAATTTCACTGTTTAGTTAAATCCAGAGACTTTTTTTTCCATGGAGAAAGTCTATTAGGTATATGCATGTCAACAGTACAGACTGGACAGTGTTCCAAACTCCCATTGTTCTAGGTGCATTTTGTGACGGGGAATTTCATTAGTGTGAGCAATTTCTGAGCTCTGGGTGCAGTATTGCACCTAAGATTTCAGATTAAACTGCAGAATGGAAAGTAAAGAACCTTTTTCTGCCTCTCCCCTTCTAGCTACTCTCTGAAGACTGGAGAAGAGCAGGAGAAGGCAGGAGAAGGAATAGACCATGTGAAAATTGAACATAATATTTTAGCTGCAGTTTGTTCATTTTCAGCTTTGTATTATTATTATTATTATTATTATTATTATTATTATAAAAAAGCACACCTAGACATTCCGCTGTTGCGCCCATAACCTAGGTTTAAGGTGCCATTTAGCTCCTATCTTTCATATCTCAGTTTCTAACACTGAAGTTGGAGAATCTTTTCAAGCAATTCTAAGACAACATTTGACTGAAATTTGTAAAATTTAATAGACACTATTGGTTAGATTAATGCTTGTACTCTTTGGAATTGCAACTTCTTCTTTTGTTTAGCCAGGTTTCTCTTCCCCAGTTTTCTCTGCATGCTGCCCAGTTGAGCCTTTCTGTTTATTGATGTGTTTCAACTCAAGAGAGGTATTTCCCAAGCAGTAGTGGCTGTGGTGATGTGCTACAAACTCATCTATTTTGCAGCGCTATGAAAGGCTCCATGTTTCTGTTGCTGTCAGCTGACTAGAGCCAAGGCCCTTTGTTTTTCCATTGTTTTTTCTACCAAGTGGGATGTTGATGGAATTGATTGAAATGTATTGAAGTGTTTAGTGCTGATTGTGGTTGGGAAGTCAGCTCTGAAAGGAAACTCATTGTTCTGAATGATGTGTCCTGCGGTTTAATATTTAGCTGTCAAAATAAAGATTTCTCTCCAGGGCCAAGCTAAAAAAAATAAAAAGTAGAACTGCTAATTTAGCATATGCTTACAGGGTATAGTAATAAAGAGGAACAGGAATTATTTATTTTGTCCTCTTTTGATGTATTTTAGAATAAATATTTGATTTTGTAAAATTGCCCAGTGGGGGGAGGAAAGCCCCCAACAATGCTACAATTCTCTCACAAATTAATTTCCACCCTTTGCAGAGGCGCTAGCCACAGTACCAGTATTTGGTACTGGTGGTGAGGGCTGAAAGTATCCCAGATACATGGTTTCCCTTGTACCAAAACCATTATTTGTGTTTTTACCTCATTGCCTTGATATTATTTCCCCATCCATGTTTAGAGAGAGCTTATAAAAATAAGGGACGTGGGTGGCGCTGTGGGTTAAACCACAGAGCCTAGGACTTGCCGATCAGAAGGTCGGAGGTTCGAATCCCCGTGACGGGGTGAGCTCCCGTTGCTCGGTCCCAGCTCCTGCCAACCTAGCAGTTCGAAAGCACGTCAAAGTGCAAGTAGATAAATAGGTACTGCTCCGGCGGGAAGGTAAACGGTGTTTCCGTGCACTGCTCTGGTTCGCCAGAAGTGGCTTAGTCATGCTGGCCACATGACCCGGAAGCTGTACGCCGGCTCCCACGGCCAGTAAAGTGAGGTGAGTGCCGCAACCCCAGAGTCGGTCACGACTGGACCTAACAGTCAGGGGTCCCCCTATAAAAATAAATCGGATGACATTCAAATAGAAGCAGCCTTAGAATTGTGTGCGTCTGGTTTTGGGATGTCAAACTGGAAGCTACTGCTGAGAGGTAGGTCATAGAATTTTCCTTATCATGGAAATGTTTGTGAAGGTCTGATTACACAAGGTTCTTGCGTGTGGGTGCTTTGGGGAGGTGGGTACCTAGATCAGTATTACCTCAGTGCTGTCTGCTCACAAGTTCTTACATGTTCCTTATCTTGAAGCAGTAGGTCAGCACCTGATGGGAGATCTTTTGTTGAATAGCGTTGACTGTCTTTTTCCCTCCCAAAGAGCTAAAGTCTTTGACTATTATTGGGAAATTTATTTCTAGGTAAGTGTCAGTCAAGAAATTCTGCTGGAAGGGTGGGGGGACTCCTTTGCTTAGTGTAAAATTGGGTTTAGCAAAACTTGATGGATTTGGCTGCCAAGAAATCGGCAGCTATTTAACTGAGTCTTGCTATGCAACTTTAAAGATTTGCTGTGGCTGTGCTGAATCAAGTTCAATAGCTCAATGTGCAAAATAATGGCAATATTGTTCCATTCATATCAGTAAAGCAAGAGCTGAGAACTTGTGTACTATCAAATTGCTGTTTATTTCAACATCTGACTTGTGTAGTCAAAACAAAATTTCAGAATAGAACATTATGCTGGTAAAGAAAGTCAATTGATAGATGAAGTTTTAAGGATTAAGATGAAAGTCTGTGTTCAGAATCAAAGTTATGACAAAATAGTTTTGCTTAACTGGTTTAGTGATCTCAGCCCAAAGCATCCAGTCAGTTCAGAATTTAATGCCTGCATATCTGTCAGCATATGGATAACTTGCTCCAATAACAAATTGGCTCAATTCTCCTAATCTAACATCTGCAATGCTCTGACTTACTAAATTCATTTTGACATGGGGGGCAGGGAAGACTATTGGAAAACTGTGACAAGGACCTCAAGTGTATTTGAGAGAATGGAACTAATCAAATTTTCTTTTTCATGTTTGTTTTTCACTTGCTTTATTATTGTGCTCAAGAGAAAATGGCATAACATTAAACGGTTGTACGTTATGAGCGTTTGAGAAAAAGTTGGCCATGTCTAAGTGTATTGCTCCTTATATTATGTAGATGTCCATTGTGTACATCCTGGAGGCCTAAGTGGGAGGAGATACAAATTAGGAAAATACAGTGGTACCTCGGGTTAAGTACTTAATTCGTTCCGGAGGTCCGTACTTAACCTGAAACTGTTCTTAACGTGAAGCACCACTTTAGCTAATGGGGCCTCCTGTTGCTGCTGCGCCCCCAGAGCACGATTTCTGTTCTCATCCTGAAGCAAAGTTCTTAACCTGAGGTACTATTTCTGGGTTAGCGGAGTCTGTAACCTGAAGTGTATGTAACCTGAAGCGTATGTAACCCGAGGTACCACTGTACGTGGATCGAAGAGGCTTCCTACCCTTGCAGAAAACAAACAAACAGAAGGTTGGCATAACAGAAGAAACATAAGAAAACCCTATAAATGTCCCAGCTGAGTGGGAATTTGAACTTGGGTTTCCCTTCTCTTAGTCTAGCCCTCTAACCACAAGTTTCCATTGCCTCCTTTTAAATGATTTTATGTAGGAATGTGTTTGTGTGAGTTGAACAATAAAGCAGATAGTGTATAGGAGAAGTACCAACTACCCAGGGCAAATGTTTTCTTTCATCTGGAGAAAGCTCACTGCCATCATCCAATAACTTTTTCATCCAAAACTTTCATCCAAATCTTTACAAAAAATCCTGTGTGTATTCTTCAGTGGCAAAAACTGAAGTGAAATCACCGGGACCTGCCTTTTAAGAGATGCATTTTGATGCCAATCATGAAAATACAACCACCTTCTAATTTTGTGTGTGTCATTATGCGACAGAGAACTCTTGTCACTTCTCAGTAGTGCATATTTGTCTTATGATTAGCTACTGTTTTAAGAGATACAAAAGAAGCAAAACTTGTAACATTTTAGATGTAAAAGGAATTAGCCTGTTATTGCTGTGTTGTGTTTGGAGTATTTAACATGCAGGTTGAAGATACAGTGGTACTGTACAGTGGGTTAAGTACTTAATTCGTTCTGGAGGTGCGTACGTAACCTGAAACTGTTCTTAACCTGAAGCACCACTTTAGCTAATGGGGCCTCCTGCTGCTGCCGCGCTGCCGGAGCACTATTTCTGTTCTCATCCTGAAGCAAAGCTCTTAACCTGAAGGACTATTTCTGGGTTAGCGGAGTCTGTAACCTGAAGCGTATGTAACCTGGGATACCACTGTACCTGCTTCCTTCCTGTTGCCATAGAGTATATCGGCAGCAGAGCACATGGGTAACCTTTGCTATCTGAGTAAGGGAAGCCATGTGCATTCCCTCAGCTTAACAAGGCCCCCAGTGAATGTTTTAAAGGACAATGTTTGTTCTGTCATTTTGGTGAAAAGAGCGAGGCTTTACCTTCACTGCCAAAAGTAATCTGGCGGGGAGGGGTGGAATTGTGATGTAAAAAGAAAAAGGGCTTCTTTCTGACTGAGACCAGTTCATCTCTCTGCTCAGCAACAATTGTTCCTAGGACAAAAGGGTACTAAGATCACTCTTGGCTACTGAAATGGAGCCAGCCTCTAAGGGTGGATACATTGCAGAGGGGAAGGACAGGAGGGATACCACAATTTTAAAAAGTCAATTTACAATGCCCCCTTAGTTTGGACAATAAATACTACGAGAACCAAAACTCCCTTTTTCTTTCCTTCTCCTGACAATTCCTTGCTGGTGTGTGTGTATAATATGCCTGCTACTTTTTTATGCAAAACCTGTTGGGATATTGTCTGTAGAAGTTTGCTTTAACTTGGACAGCAGATCTTCCCATAGATTTCCTTAGCATATTCTAAAACTTTTAATGAGGAAGACTAGGCCTTCAGGCACAAAAGAACAAGCATGGTTTGGATTTCAGATTGCTTTGTCAACTAAATAGTAGAGCAAGGATAACTAACATGAGGAGCCATTGTTAGGGATAATGGGGTTTCAGTCCTGCCCTCTTTTCTTCCCAACCCTATACTGCATATAACACCAGTGTCTCACAACAAATTTAACTGAAGAACCTGAAGAAAGAGACAATGGATGTGTTTTTGAAAACGAGGGGAAATTATTGTTTTATTTTAAAAAAGTGTGCAGCAGCCCCCAGTATTTAAAGAGCCCCAACCCCATTACATCATTAGAACCAGAACATAAACTGGAAAAGAGCAAAAAATATCAATGTTTGGTCCAGATCATAGGTACCATAGACAGTATGGATGATTCACTAAATGATTGTAGGATGACGTGTGTACCTGAGCTTATGGCCTCAAATTCACTTTATCTTATATGCTGCTTTATTACAAAAATGATGACTGGACTACTGATCCTAAACGGAATAGTTGCCCAACCACCCCCTCCAGAACCCACCGCTCTCAAATGACTCTCAACTGCCTCGCATTCAAACTCCCTTTCAAATCCTCATCCAATCATCACTCACCACCAGAATTCCACAATCTCTCTTTCCCCCTCCCTCCTTAACATTCCCATAATAATTCTGATACAATTACCTTAATAACCTTATTGCATTCAATATTTTATACACGCTGCTGCCTATAACCATACTGTTTGAAGCACTTGAGCTTCCCATTCCTGATTCCTAGAAATGGGGGAGCAAACTGCAGGTTCTCCATCCCTGTTCTAAAAACCAGATGTCTTCCCCCAAATGATCCTGGAAATTGTAGTTTGTTAGGGGTTTGGGGGATTGTAGGTCTGTGAGAGGGAAGCCACAATGGCACGAATCATTTCGGGGGAAGTTATGTGCTTTAAAGGCGCATTGGATGCAATGAAGGAATCTCAGCTAGGTGATCCATGGCTGATCGCCATCCAAGCACTGCTTAAAAACCTCCAAGGAAGGAGAGTCACTGCTTCAGGCCCTAAGCGCCTCTGGAGCAGGAGAAAGCAAGCTTGCTCCATCCTCCATGTGACAGCCCTTTATACTTTAGTTATTGAAAAGGCTGCATGGTGTGGATCTCATATCAATGTTATGAGAGTGTAAGCAACACGTTTCTCTCTCCCCTTTCTCCACACCATGCAGAATTGCAGTGGTAACCAGAAGGCTGGAGTTTGGAGCCCAGCCAGGGCTGGCTGTGGGCAGGATCCTTGTTTTGCCGGGGGTTTGACTAGATGACCCTTGAGATCCCTTCCACCTCTGCCATGCTATGATTATATCAAGCAGCTAAAGGAACAAAAAGATGCTTCTGAAACATTTGGGAATCATAGGCACATTCTCCCCACCAGTGGCTTCCGGCAAGAGTTTGCATCTTCCTTAGGAGAGAGGCAGTCCAGAACAAGGAGGGAAAGGCTCAGAGTTCAGGTAGGTGGAAATGCCAATTGAATGCCCTATACTATAGGAATGCTTTCTTCCCGTGTCCCCCACCCTCATGTGCCAGACTGGTGCTAGCATGGCTGGGAGCCAGGTGCCTGCTTATTCCTCCATTTTCTTTGCAGGGGGGAGCCTTTCCCCAATATATACTTTGTTCTGACCAAATCCCTGAAGAGATGTGATGACCCTCAGGTACTGGGGCAGAGGGAAGGAAGGGGTCCTTATGAAACACATTTGGGGAGTCTGTGGCTTCCAGCAGGTGCTTTTCAGAAGCATTGCTCCCTCCAACAGGGGAGGCTGAGCATAGCCATCACAGCTAGTTGCCTTTGATAGGCCTCTCCTCCATGCAATTGTCTAGCCCTCTTTGAAAGCCATCCCATCCAAGATGCTCTTGTGGTGCATCTGATTCTCCTGTGGTTCCTTGCTCCTGCAAGGAGATGACTATGGTGAGATCCTTTGGTTAACATCTGTCTGGGCTGAAAAATATTAAAGAATCAGAGGACTGGTGAGTTTCGCTTGAAGCACAACTGATCAAAGGCAGGCAGATCTGTTAGCATCTTGATAAAGATGCTCAAACAGCAAAGGATGCTATCATACCCCACAAGCATCTCAGAAAAAGATCCCAAGCTGATGGAGAAGACAGCAGTTAAGTGGTCAGTGGGACTCCAGGTTGCCGTTTCCAGATCCCACCACAGCCCTTCCAAGTTGCCCAAGAAATCAATGCCACAACAGTTTTTCCCTCACACCTCCTCCCCATGATCCCTCATGGGGCCTTCTCAGACATATGCTGTGTCTGAACCAGCAGATCCCACCAAACCAAGTAATTTGAGGACCCAGTCAGAAAAGGAGTGTGCACAGTCATACCATAAATAAGCAAAATAACTAAACAGGTACTAGAAGTCACCCCAGAACTGGCCCTACTGAACATCTTCCAAGATAACAATGCCCACTCGCACTAGAAAGAGCTCATAACCCACCGACAGCATACGATTCAATATGGCTAACTTAACCCGACAACCCTCCTCACCCATGCACAAACAAATCCCACTGCAGCCAGCCAAAGAAGAAGAAGAAGAAGAAGAAGAAGAAGAAGAAGAAGAAGAAGAAGAGTTTGGATTTGATATCCCGCCTTTCACTCCCCTTCAGGAGTCTCAAAGCAGCTAACAATCTCCTTTCCCTTCCTCCCCCACAACAAACACTCTGTGAGGTGAGTGGGGCTGAGAGACTTCAAAGAAGTGTGACTAGCCCAAGGTCACCCAGCAGCTGCATGTGGAGGAGCGGAGACGCGAACCCGGTTCCCCAGATTACGAGACTACCACTCTTAACCACTACACCACACTGGCTCTCCCTCACTGGCCAAAGACGATCAGCCACACCCTAGGCCACCCCAACCCCTCTCACCACCAAGGAAACATAACAAGTGAATAGAAAGAGAACTTCCCCAAGTGACGCTGGCAGAAAAATCCCAAGCATACACTAAATAAAAGAACTTAAGCTTTGCCACCCCATCCCCTCTCTCCTGTCCCCACATCTGGAGGGCCACATGTTAACTAACCCTGGATCAGAGGAATACTCCATTTCCCCCCTCCATTTTGCCTCATCAATTTTGTTTTTTTGGGGGTGGGGGGGAAGAGTAGAAACATGTGTCCAATCCCATATATATTAAAATCTTTCTCTGAGTGCCTGCACATCTGCGCAGCCATAGTTGCTAAGCCATAGTGTGGCAAACCAGCCCAATAAATAATGTGCTTTATTAAGCAAAAGCTCTGGTGGATATTATTAGTGAGTATTTAGGAGTATTAAACAGGGATGTGGGTGGCGCTGTGGTCTAAACCACTGAGCCTCTTGGGCTTGCTGATCAGAAGGTCGGCGGTTTGAATCCCCGTGGCGGGGTGAGCTCCCATTGCTCAGTCCCAGCTCCTGCCAACCTAGCAGTTTGAAAGCAAGTGCAAGTAGATAAATACCGTATTTTTCGCTCTACAGGGTGCACCTGACCATAGGGCGCACCTAGTTTTCAGAGGGGGAAATCAAGGAAAAAAATATGATCCCCCTCCCCAGCTCTGGGAGCAGCGGACAGGCTGCACGCAGCCTGTGCACTTCTCCCAGACCTTCTCCCTGCTATTGCGGGAGGTGGGGGAATTCCCCCATTTCCCGCAACAGCCCACAAGAGGGAGAAGGGACTGATTCGGTCAGACAGTCCCTTCTCCCTCCTTGGAGAAAAGCCCCCAAGAGCGGTGCGTTCTTTAAAGGCTGCGTGGCTCCTGCGGGCTTTTCTAGGAGGTGGGGGAATTCCCCCATCTCCCACAAAAGCCCACAGGAGCCATGCACCCTTTAAAGAGCGTGCAGCTCCTGTGGGCTTTTTGACCGAGCTTGTGGGGCTGGTGGTGGGGGGAAGCGCTGCTTTCCCCCACCGCCAGCCTCAAAAACCAGGTCGGGGAGCAGCGCAAAGGCGTCGCGCGCCTTCCCGCTGCCCCCCGAGCCTGTGGGGCTGGCGGTGGGGGGAAGCGCTGTTTTCCCCCACCACCAGCCTCAAAGACGAGACTCTCCTGGCCTCAGCGAAAGCAACGTGAAGCCTCCGGAGCACAGGCATCGGAGGCTTCGCGTTGCTATCGCTGAAGCCAGGGAGCCTGCATTCGCTCCATAGGACGCACACACATTTCCCCTTAATTTTTGGAGTTGAAAAAGTGTGTCCTATAGAGCGAAAAATACAGTAGCTTCCTCTGGCAGGACGGTAAACGGCGTTTCCGTGTGCTGCTCTGGTTTCGGTGTTCCGCTGCACCAGAAGTGGCTCAGTCATGCTGGCCACATGACCTGGAAAAACTGCGGACAAACGCCGGCTCCCTCGGCCTGTAAAGCGAGATGAGCACTGCAACCCCAGAGTCGTCTGCGACTGGATTTAACTGTCAGGGGTCCTTTACCTTTACTTTTTTAGGAATATTAAACACCTGTGTATGGTTGCTAGCAATTTTGAATGAAAGTAGCTTGTGTTCTTTATTACTAATCTATACCCTGCAACATTTCACAGATAAAGATTTGACACATGCATGTAACACCTCCCATATTGTTATGGTGGTTTAATATATTTAATATTACCCCTCTTTTCTCTGCAATAGCTTGTCCTGCACTGGTTTAAAATCTGATAAGAGTCTGTTTGGTTTTTGGGCTAAAATTATACTTGAAAAACAATGAGTTTTCTCTTGGGTTATTAAGAATCAAAAGGAGCTTCACCAACATATGCCGTTGCTGTCTGTGCACTGCATGGTGCTTTAGTGTTTCTGCGCACATGTCTACATGCATATAAAGAGACAAGATGCATCCACCACCCCACTTCTTGTGAGCCTGGGAAGAGAGCTAAATATGGAAAACTGACAGCAGCTCTGGCAACTCCCACTAAAATTTTTTTTATCAAGACTTCCCCCAAAGGCAAATATAGAGACAGTGATTGTACAGGAAATATAGATAATCAGAGCATATGCTGAATAAGCATGTGCTGTGCAAGAACAACACTCTTAGGCATTTATGGTGGGAACATAATTTCAAAAGTTACAGAATACAGAGCATCTTTAGGCATGGGGTCGAAATTAGGGATGTACCAAGCAAGTCGATGGAATGTCTTTATATAATATAGTCACTTTTTTCAGATTCCTTCTTTAAAACAGGGATTAAAAATTCCTAACTCAATTACATGAACCCAGCCTTAGACCAGTGAGTGTATTGATGGAGGTAACTCAAAACTCGTTTATAGTAGATTATTCTAAAACAGGCTTCCCTAACATGATGATTTCCAAATGTTGGACTACATCACTGCAATACCTCAAGAATGGCCTCTCTGCATATAAACCAACCTAGACTGTGTTCATAATCTGAGGCCTTTCTTTGTGTTCCTCCTCCATGTGAGGTCCAGAGAGTGGCAACATGAGAATGGGCCTTTGCTGCAGTGGCTCCCAGTTTGTGGAATTTTCTCACCAGGAAGGTTCATCTGGTGCCTTAATATATCTTTAGGCACCAGGCAGAAATATTCCTCTTCAACCAGACCTTTGGCTGATTAATATTCTACAGCTTTTTCAATGTATTTGTAGGAGGGGGGGTTATTGTATTGTTGTTTCTGTTTCAGCTATTTATTTGTGCTTTTATCTCGTGTTTTTATCTTATGAGATGCCCTGAGATCTTTTGATGAAGGGTGGTATATAAATCTAATAAAGAATATATCATCCCTAACCACTGCTGGCTCTGGCAGATGTGAGCTGAAATGGAACAATATCTGGAGGGCACTAGGGACTTGGCTAGATTGGTAAAGAAAAAGTGTTTTATATGTGTTGTATAGGTGCTATAACACTGTGACACTAGATGGCACTGTGGAGTCCTGTCTTTCCATACCGGATATCCCTGTATGTGTTTAACTGAACTGCTTCTTTGACATGTTTAGATCCAGCCCAACTTAGAGAAGACTGCTTTAGGAAGTGAGCAAACAGATTCTTCTTACTCATAAACTCATGCACACACACAATCCAACACTCTTTCTTTCTCGTGTTCTATTCACCTAAGCAGGTGGGCAGGGCTAAGGTTGCTGGTTTGACCACAACACAGCCTTGAGCCTCATATACTAGGAAAAGATAGCCTAACATGAAGTGTAATGTGGATACGTTGCTGCTACTGTACCACACTACTCTGCATCTATGTCTCCCCTTGCAGGCCAATTGCCACCACTGTGTTCCTCCACCTCTTCTCTGTCCAGGTCAGTTGTGTACACACAATTTAAAGAAGAAAAAGGAGGGGTTGGCATGGTGTTAAAATCTGGCCTGGCAAGCTTACACTTATTCATCCTTTGTTGCCTGTGGAAAGCAAAAAACTGAGTGCTAGTCAGTCAATTCACAGCAGACAGGAAGAAAAAAATCCTGGGTGTGTTTGTATTATTTGTTTGCTGAATTGTGACCATAGATCATATTTATATTATATATTGCAGTAGAGATAGTAGGATTAGGAAAAGGGACATTTTTGTAGTGACTAGAGGAGGAAATGGAGGTAAAATATTCAGAGCTAAAATGTTTTTGAAATCTTAGTCTCTAATATGAAAGAGATATTTCTCTCATCTACCTTTACGCATTTGGGGCAGAATTATGGGACTAAACTGCATTGTCTTTGGTTTATTGCTTGTTATAGAGGAATTGTGAATTGTCACCTGCATTTCAGCGAAAAATGACATTTCTTTGCTGTGGGTCCCCCCCCCCCCACAAAAGGAGCAATTTATATCCAGGCTGAGCAGAGCAGAGCAGAAAAAATGCAGAAATTGAATGATTACGGGAGTATGTTCTGCAGTGCCGAGAACACACTGGCAAGGGCGGTCTCTGGCTGTCACTTTAAAAAAAAAATGACCTGCTTGTTGGAGGAGGGGCAGTTTCCTGAGAATCAGGTGCATGTCTGTAGAGATGATGTCATCTTTCTAAGTAGACCTGCTTGAGAGAGACGGATGCAGAGGAGGGAATGATTTCCTAATTGCAGATCTCCAGCTGGGAGGAGTAAGAAATGGATAGAGCACAGGCAGTTTGTAAGTATTAAAAATATTGCTGAAGTCATCCGCAGTCTTCAGGAATTAATTGCTGTGTGAAGGTGATACAAAGAGCATGCTTCTTAATTGAGGACTGTGGAAAGACACTGGTTTGAAAAGGTGTTTTTTAAAAATTACTAGTGCCCCATGTTTAGAGGTAACATTTCTTAGGTTTCTTCCTAATGACAGTGTCATATGCTTTCTTCCTAGGGAAAAAAGCATGCTGCGTGGCTTATTGAGTAATTTTATCTGCCTTTTCATACTGCCTTCTTTATACTAAGAGGCAGTGCTGTAGCACTCACTTGTGGTAAAATGTAGTCCTGTATTGATGAGAAATGTCCTTGGTCCCCAGGCACTGCTTGCTTGTACCTTGGCTTTTAATTTTTGGCTTGCAAATGTAATTAACACATGCAAGATGGGCAAGAATAACAAAAGTTAGCTGCTTTCTTGTCTTTGATATCAGCTGTCAGCCGGCTTCATGGTCTGTGATGTGATTGTTGGACTGCGCTGAAATAGTTCTGGCATTGCACCACATTATCTAGGTGAACAGAGGGTCTCTAAATAGTGACTTCATGGTGACTTGTTAGCCATTCTTCTCAGAATTCTCTTTCAGAAATAACCAGGCCTCTACAGACTCCTTAGGTACCCACATACACAAGGAGAAGCAGTTAGTGCTAGTGGATAGGTATGGTAGGTATTGAACTGTAATAGTAGACCTAAATTAAGCTAGCACAGAACCTAGAAAGACTGCAGTTACAGCATGTGGCTGTAGTGGATTGTTGTTTGCTCTGACACGTGTAAATTTCAGGAGGAAGTGAAATGTTTACTTTTGATGAAAGCAGTATTTTAAGGGAAGGGAATCTGTAATTGGATTGAAAGACTAGCAGAACTTACTGGCTATTTCAGAAAAGGTTCTTTGTGTACACTACTTGCATCTTTAGTGTTTATAGTATCTACCAGGTATGAAGCACTGGACATAGGTAAAATGTACCTGCTGTTGTGTCTTGTGAAGTTGAAAGTAGAATTATGGTTTGGTGGCAAAAGTTGCTATAGGCAGTGGGGTACTGGCATATAGATAGAAACAGGCAGTGTGGAATGGCACCCCTAGGTGAGCTGAGTTTCAGTGTGAAGAGGCCCAGAGTTTATATACAAGGAAGGTAATTGGTTCATCCTGTTCACATGACTCCTTTGCCAGAAGAATTCTGCTTGAGGTTTCCATCTGATGACTTGAAAGGCCTGCAAGCTCCTATTCCGATGAACTCTCCTGCTAGCACAGCATATTAAGGGAACCGGAACCTGACTCTCAGTGTTCCGATGTGAATGTTCCAGTCCCTGACAAGAATGCTGCACTTATGTGTTGGTGCTGCCTCAGTTTTTTTCTCCCATGGTCCCCTTGGATGCTTATCAGCACACGGCTTTCAGTAAGTTCTAGGGCTCACACATGCCCTGTTGTGGCTGCCTTACTGCCTGAGATTATTCTATCAGCTTCATAGGGTCACAGGAGAAGAAAGTACCTGATCTTTGGGTAGGCCTATTTCTACAGAGCTAACCATCCCTTACTGATTAGGTGTGTATTTATTATAGGTTGAAGATGTACATTTGGAAGTTGGATTCATGAATGGAGGGGAGCTATGTATTCAGAACTACTAGAAGCAAATGGACTTGCTTTAGCCCAACATAAAACATGTTCTGAAAAGGTACACTGTTCATTAGAAAGGGAGTTCATTAGCTGTGTTCTTAAAAGCTTTAAGAATTACATGGTAACTGTTAGACCTGCAAGTTTAGTCGAGAGCTAGGAATCCACCTCTTGTAGATCCCTAGGTGTACCACTTGTGCTGTGGAGGTGGGGACCCTGCTGTGGGATTTTACAGACCTGCAAATGCTGCTCTACCACTTGGTTTCATGCTGAAGGTAAAGGACTGTTCTGTTCCAGGCAGTGGTCTCAGCCAGATGAGGTTATAGCTCAGGGTGTCTTTGTGGGTTGATGTTAGGCACAAATTTGTGTTCCAGCAAGGAAACCAAGGGAAAAACAAGGATATCCAGGTTCTGATCTAGCAAGGCAAGGTTCAGCTTCTACTAAAGCAAAGACCAGCAAAGCGGAAGCCAGCTTCCAAGGAGGTTGGGGTAGGGAACTTTTTCAACCTGGAAACCACATGCTAGTGGTGGGTAGAGCCATAAGCAAAAATGAACAGAACGGTGAATATTAATGTTACATTTGTATAGTAGGTTTACTGTACTTAGCCACACTCTTCTCCATCCAGGCAAGCAATAAGCATTATCAACGACATGCTCTAGCCAGGCAAAGTACTCAAGGAGAGTACACAACAGGGATGGTGAGAGGATGTGCCTGGGGAGAATTCTAAGAACCAGACAGAGAGGCACCAAGAGCTGCATTTGGTCCCTGGGCCTGAGATTTCCCATCCCTCCAATAAGACAAAGTCTAGCAATTTTGTTGTTGTTTAGTCGTTTAGTCCTGTCCGACTCTTCGTGACCCCATGGACCAATGTCTTTGTCCATGGAGTTTTCTTGGCAGGGATACTGGAGTGGCTTGCCGGTTCCTGCTCCAGGTGGATCACGTTTGGTCAAAACTCTCCACTATGACCTGTCCATCTTGGGTGGCCCTGCACGGCATAGCTCATAGCTTCTCTGAGTTATTCAAGCCCCTTCGCCACGGCAAGGCAGTGAACCATGAAGGGGAAAGTCTAGCAAAGCAGAGATCAAATTCTGCTAAGGCAAGGCAAGCAAAGCAAGTAGCACTGTGGATAGCTCCATTTGCCACTCAGGCTCGAGAGTCAAATGTTGCTTCAGCAACAAGCAAGCCCAGACTGAGCCAGCAGTTAAAGGGTCTTCTGTAGTAGTAGTAATTGTTGTTGTTGTTTGTACTCTGCCCATCTGACTAAGTTGCTCCAGCCACTCTGGGCAGTTTCCAACAGAATATACAAAAACACAACAGAACATCACACATTAAAAGCTTTCTGATACAGGGCTGCCTTAAGATGTCTACAGAAGGTCGTATAATTATTAATCTCTTTGACATTTGCCGGGAGGGTGTTCCATACCATGGGCATCACTACCGAGAAGACCCTCTGCCTGGTTCTCTGTAACCTGAGTTTTCATCATGAAGGAACTAGCTGGACCTCAGTTTCTAGGCTGAACAATGCGGGGTGGAGACACTCCTACAGGCATGCAGGGCCAAAGCCATTTAGGGCATTAAAGGTCACCACCAACACTTGGAATTGTGCTTAGAAATGTACTGGGAGCCAATGTAGATATTTTAGGACCAGTGTTATATGGCCCTGGCGACCATTCCTAGACACTGGTCTAGCAGCCGCATTCTGGATTAATTGTAGTTTCTGAGTCACCTTCAAAGGTACCTGCCTGTAGGGGGCAATACAGTAGTCTAAGCAGGAGATAACCAGAGCATGTACCACTCTGGCAAGACAGTGGGCAGACAGGCAGGGTCTCACCTAGCATACCAGAAGGAGTCGCTAAACAGTCGCCCAGGACACAGAGTTGACCTGCGCCTTTATGGACAGCTGTGGATCCAAAATGACCCCAAGGCTGCACAGCTGGTTCTTTAGGGCACAGTTACCCCATTCAGGACCAGCAAGTCTCCCACACATGCCCGTCCCCTGTTCCCCAGAAACAGTACTTCTGTCTTGTTGGGATTCAGCCTCAATCCGTGGACTGCCATCTCTCCCAGCCACCTCTAGCCACTCACACAGAACATTCACCGCCTTCACTGGTTCTGATTTAAGTGAGAGGTTAAAGGTAAAGGGACCCCTGACCATTAAGTCCAGTTGTGGCCGACTCTGGGGTTGCGGCGCTCATCTCACTTTATTGGCCGAGGGAGCTGGCGTACAGCTTCCAGGTCTAAGCCACTTCTGGCGAACCAGAGCAGTGCACGGAAACATGGTTTACCTTCCCGCCAGAGCGGTACCTATTTATCTACTTGCACTTCGACATGCTTTCAAACTGCTAGGTTGGCAGGAGCAGGGACCAAGCAACGGGAGCTTCACCCCGTTGCAGGGATTCGAACCGCCGACCTTCTGATTGGCAGCTCCTAGGCTCTGTGGTTTAACCCACAGCGCCACCCGCGTCTCGCCAGTGAGAGGTTAGAGATGGCTATTATCTGCATACTAGTGGACACTCAGCCCAAACCCCCAGCCATTTTATATAGATGTGAAAAAGCATGGGGGAGTGGATGAAGCCCTGAGGCACCCCACAAGTGAACGCCAGGGGTCTTAACACTCACGCCCCAACACCACTTTCTGGACACAGCCCAGGAGGAAGGAGTAACCACTGACTGATGGCACAGAAGTGACTGTAGTTTTCTGGAGTCCTCAGAATTTGAGGATGTCAGTGTAACTTTCTCAGGCAGGAGTGATGGTGATAAAACAGTCCGCTCCTGTGCTACAGCTTTCTGGACAGTAAAGTTTGACTTATTCCAGGGGCAAATCCCTCTCTTACTTTGATACTTCCTCTGAATCTCTGGCCCCATACCCCAAAGATGGGGAGTCTGTCCATGGGTCTTGAAAAGGGGACAAAGTGCTTGTGCTAGTGTGTGTGTGTGTGTACGTACGCGTGCACACACATATACATGAGGAATGAAGTACTGCATATGTGAGAAAGTAGGGTGTTGCTGCATATTTGAGGGTTGATGCGGCATTTATATTTCAAAAGATACCATGGGTTTTCAAGAAGAGATGCCTGTGGCAGCATATTAGCTCATGGACCAAATTGTAGTTCTGTCTGTGTGGTGGTAGGATTTTGCCGTCACCTCTGCTCACATCTTTTCCAGTGTGCTATCTTGCAAAGCCATTGCATACATTCTGCTTCAGTGCACTGAACCCTTGGAGCTAAATGATGCCACGGAACTTGGATTTGTGGGTCATGCAGTTTGAGCTGGTGCTCCTCAACTGTAGGTTAATAGTTTCAATGTCCATGCCTATTCAGGGCTTTAGTGTTATATGAATTTTTCATAGCAAAATGCCAGGTATGCTAGTAAATTCAAACTGCTCAGAGTAGTAAACTCCTGTGCAGGTGCATTCTCTACCTGTTGGTGGAAGTGACTAGTAGATGTCTTCTTCAGACACTGTCTTTGCAATTAATTTCTTCCACTTAGCTTCCCAGTGTAAATTGAGTAAAAGTGTCATATTTGTTTTGGAGCAGCTGCACTGAAGTACAGCACAGAAATATTTCCTATGCTCTGTTATTAATGATAGTTCTTTGTGGTTTCTGTTCAGTCCAGCCTTTGCGATTAAATATGTGCAGGCCATACTACTTGGGAATCCCAGAAAGTTCTGATAGTTGAAAAGGCCTTTGGCTCATGTTTTTCAGGGAGTGTGTGGGAAAGTGTGTGATCTTATACTTGTGTTTTTATAATATCTTTAAACAGGCATAATTACATCTGGGCAGTATTGTTTCACGCCATGCTGTTCATCATGAAGTAAGTGGTAGCTTCTCACGATCTGTTTGAACTGAACAAATCTCAGTGCTGTTTGTTATGAAAATGCCCTCTATTAATAATTTTATGAGCTATAGATCCCAGAACAAATAGCAAAATTAAAGGATAATGCTGAAACTAGGGCTGTGCTAATATTTTGGCCAAGAGTTTTTTTTCAGCCGCTCACAGAGGTTGGGGAAGAAATTGCCCTCAAAAACTGGGGCAAGATGGTGAAAATTAGGAGAAATTAGCAGGTGTACTGTCGGAAACGCCGGGGGCGGGGCAACAATGCAAAGCCCCCGCACTGACATATACTGACATGTACTAGGACACTTACCTTTTATTTAAATTACAAGATAACTGAGTATGTGTGCATGAATGTTTCTATGCTTGTGTCCATGCTTCCTTTAATTAATTTTTTTTAAAAACCACAATCCTTGTGCAGTTCTGCAGCTGGAGCACTTGAAAGCAATGCAAAAATATTTTGCCATTCCCAGTCTCTCCACAGGTAGCATCACCAGCTGCTCACAGGTCCTTCTGTTTCGAAACACCTTCCAGGAAGCACAGGCAATAGTGAGACTGCAGAGCTGCAAAAGCATTGTTGGGGATTTTTGGTGATTAAAGGAAGTGCACACGTACACCCTCAGTCATCTTGTAATGTAAATAAAAAGTAAGTTTCACAGCATACCCTTGCTAATTTCTAGGGATTTCCCCAACAGTTGTTCTGCAGGTCAACAATGCTCAGTCTGGTAGAGCTGCCAGGGAATGAGGTGGACAGATGGAATTCAATTGCCTCTCCCCCATCCCCATGCTTGTACTGCCTGGTTTGACAGTCAATCAGCATCCTTTCCATCTTGTACTGTCAGTGCTTCATGTTTCAGCTGCTTGCTCTTGGCTGAGAGCTGTAGGATTAAAACCCTTGCTAGGCACAAGCCTTAAATATTAATGGGAGGAGAAATGTTATTGCACCTATTGCTGTGACAGATCTATGGTGTTTAAGGTTTCCTTTGGTTAAACTTCTAAAATATTGTTTATGGAAATATTTAAAACATTTTTATTTATTTATTTTTGCAATAAGAGACCATCTTGCTCCCTTCTTCCCAGTGATGTACTGTATTTGGTTATACAGGACATATAAGATTGAGCTTCATTTTCCCATGCTATTCAGTTCTGTGTCCTAACAATGTATACTTAGAAATAAGTTCTACTGAATTCAGTGGGATTACTCCCAGGTAAGAGGGGTTAGGAATATACCCCTGCATATTAAACAATTTACCACTATCATTTATACATATACTGGTTTGGTTATTCTTCCAATTGTTTCTCTCGTCTCTCTTTTTCTAATTCTCCCCTTTTCAATGAGGAAAAAATAAATATGTTGCTGGCACAGAAGGTAGGAGTGTAAAGGGGAAATTCTAAGAAATTCTGCCAAATACCTTGAAATTTATCTTACATCCCTCTTTTTATATAAAGTGTTTGAGTTGCAAGATTTAAGAGGTCTTTCACCCATTGATCTACATCAGGAGAGCTTGTGGCTTTCCGTTTTTGAAGCATGATATGTTCGGTCCTGTAATAATCACATGCATTCAGTTCTGCAGTCCAGACAGCTGCAACAATAATCTATTTCTATGATTTTTCCAACTATGGTCCAAGATAAAGATCAATACTTTTAAGTTTAACAGGGCAGTGGGTCTGTGATCAAAGAACCACTGACAGTCTATACTTCCAAGTGGTCTTGAAAGAAAAGAAATGCTGAATTGACAGTAATAAATGCCACAACTCCTTCTATACTCAGTGTAGCTGTACTGAGTATGTGGGGTGGAGAGAGAGATTGTCCTCCACGCCATAGAACTTTTTGTCAATTAACATCACAATCCTAACCATATCTTAAAAATCCTATTGAATTTGGACCCTGCTTAGACAGTATTTTCAGGAGGTATACAAAGATTAAATATCTGTGGAGATTATTTGACTTAAGCTAGAGAGGTTAAAAGAGAATCAGTTTTAAGAAGAAATCTTAATGCATCTAAATCTAAATAACCCTCACTTCTTCCTTCAGGGCAGTTTGACTTTGACTTGGTGAAATTCTGCACTTCCAGGACTGCATCAGTCTAGTACTGAGTGCAGTACTAGATTATTTGATGTTTAGAAAACAAAACTTGCCATTGTAGCTGTAGAGATAGTGTTTGGAAACATAGGTAGTGACTGCAGAAGTTAATCATTTAGCTAATTGGTTTAAAACTTTTTTTCTACCCTGCCTGCCAATAAAATAGGGACGCGGGTGGCGCTGTGGGTAAAACCTTAGCGCCTAGGACTTGCTGATCGCATAGTCGGCGGTTCGAATCCCCGCGGCGGGGTGCGCTCCCGTCGTTCGGTCCCAGCGCCTGCCAACCTAGCAGTTCGAAAGCACCCCCGGGTGCAAGTAGATAAATAGGGACCGCTTACCAGCGGGAAGGTAAACGGCGTTCCGTGTGCTGCGCTGGCTCACCAGATGCAGCTTGTCACGCTGGCCACGTGACCCGGAAGTGTCTGCGGACAGCGCTGGCTCCCGGCCTATAGAGTGAGATGAGCGCACAACCCTAGAGTCTGGCTAGACTGGCCCGTATGGGCAGGGGTACCTTTACCTTTTTTGCCAATAAAATGTTTTCAATGTGGTTTGCAATAAACATGCAAAACAGTGATTAAAAACAGTTAAATAAAAGATCAGCAAATTCCTTAATAGTCAACCATAGACCAATCTGGAAACAATTAAAAGACTAGGAAAACACAGTACTTTTAATCTGGTGCCAAAATGAATTGATATGGAGAAGGAGTTTCACTCCATTGATAAAGCCTAATCCTGATAGCCAACCTCCTCATTTCTGGGTACCATGAGTCAAGCTCCTAAGAAATACTTTCCAACTCCGCTTTTAAAAGGCCTAACACTTCCTCATTAGCTAGATCAGACGGTCACATCCTCTCTAAGCAGTTTCATGTAATATTGAATGGCATGGGAGTTTTTGAATAGCATGGGAAACTTGCAGAACCTTACCACATAAATGTCATGGTCCAAAGCACCTGTGTCTCAGTTTTACCTTCTGGAACGATTCAGCCAAATTATCAAAACGTTATGCCTTCCATTCCCACCCCGACAAAACTGTCCAGAACAATACAATCATACCAAGCTTGATATGCACAGTTGTTGTCTCTTTCCTGATATGTGTCACCCAGTGGGGTGGTTTTATTTCTCAGAGCTTGCTGGAAGCAAGACTGAAGTGGGTCTAGATCAGGATGTGAAACCCTGTGGCCCTACAGATATACCGTATTTTTCACTCTATAAGACGCACCAGACCACAAGACGCACCTAGTTTTTGGAGGAAGAAAACAAGAAAAAAAATATTTTGAACCCCAGAAGCCAGAACAGCAAGAGGGATCGCTGCGCAGCAAAAGCAGCGATCCCTCTTGCTGTTCTGGCTTCTGGGATAGCTGCGCAGCCTGCATTCGCTCCATAAGACGCACACACATTTCCCCTTACTTTTTAGGAGGGAAAAAGTGAGTCTTATAGAGCAAAAAATACGGTATTCAGTTTCCAACTCCACCCAGTCATCAGCTGGATAGCTCAGTTGGTTAGAGCATGGTGCTGATAAGGTTGCAAGTTCGATCCCTGTTGAATTTTATTGTTTTATTTAACTTAAATATCAGATTTCCTGGCTTTGGAAGTTAGGCATTGTGAAACAATAATATCCTTTCTTTCCCTAGCATTTAGATTTGTAGCAAACCAAACTTATTTTTTGCTTAGGGGCAGGTTGTGGGGGGAGGCTTGACTTCAGATATGTTTGAATACTGTCTCTTTTTCTATCAAGATAAAGAAGATAACTTTGCTAGTTATGTTCACTGTAAACAGCTTCACTGTTAGCTGCCAGCATTGAAAGCATTGAGGTTATATGTTTTATTGGATCAGGTGCTATTGGTGTACATTATTAAGGAAGATTACATTGTGTTTGATGTAACTTAAAAACAAACAAACAAACCTAAATTTTGCTGTGGTGATCTTTCTGTGTGTCCCCCGCCTCTTTTTTCTGTTGAACATTTTGTTTCTGAAACCACTGTTATGGAATCCCTTTCCCCCCTAAGCTATGACTTGGCAGAGAGAGCAAGCTGTGAAAACATTGTGCTCTGTTACTTTATTGGGAAGTTTGTATCATAAAAAGCTAAAGGTCGTGAAATGTTAGTGGATTTTCCCACGTTTAGGAAACAAAGATTTAGCAGGTGTCTGGGATTTGACTAAATCATAGTGGTTCTCAAAGGGTAGGGCATGCTGCACTGGTGGGGCAGGAGAGAATGGCAAGTGTGGCAGGCAGAGTCGAGGACAATCAAAGAAACATTTAAATGTTTCAGTGTAATATAGGCTAGGATAGTATCATTTATTAAAAATATATATATACAACCAGAAACAGTATTCATGCCTCTCTTCAAGAGCATTGGCTATTCCTCTACGGTTTTCCACAACGTATCTTTGTCAACAAAGAATTTTATCTCTGACAAATATGAAAGATCAGAAAAGAGAGAGGCTTATTCCATGAAAAGAGTGGTATCAGTAGGTTTCCAGGAATACCAAAAAAAAAATAAAAATTGAAGGGGGAAAACCTGAATGAGGAAAGTGCATTAAGAACTGAGCATGTGCAGTGGCCATGGAATGCTGACTTCCTGTTCAGGGGAAGAGATGGAAAACTTGGGGAGAGAGTGATACTTCCAGGAATCCAGGATGTTTTCCATATCCTGGGAAATATGGTTAGCAAACTGGAACCCCGAACAGGAGCACTCCAAACAGTAGCATTTTGTTGCAACTCCCACTTGTATCTATTTAATGCACATTACTTTGAGGCTGCTAATTTATATGATTGCTAAGTCATTTGATCATCCCCTGCCTCCTGGGAAAGAACATTATGGCAATGGGAAGACCAGCCTGGTCCATCCATCAGCCCAAGAATGAGCAGCTGAAGGGGATTTCTTTCCCTTTTCCCTGCCAGAGAGAACACTTGGCTGCAACTCTGGGTTGACCTCAGCTGCATCTACCTTAGGGACAAATAACAGGGCGCAAGGCCAGGATCCCGCAGCTTAGCAGGGAGCCAAATAAATTACAGGGGCAGCTGCACCAATATATTTGTTCACCTTTAAAAGTCTTTTTTGCAGAGGTGGGTGTATGGCAAAGTGAAGCTCCAACTGCACCTACCGCCTTCATTTCCCCAGTGTGCCTGTGGTCCCACATGGAGCCCAGGCACTCTAGGGAAATGAAGTTGGTGGGCGTGACTGATTCTTTACCCTTGGTCATTGTAAGAGAGGAAGAAACTAAAGGGATCTCTTGGTGTGCAGCTGCAATGAACCCCTTCTGTCATGGCCACTATATTAAATTTCTCTAGGGAAATGGGTGCAATTTGGAGCTTTGCTGCCCAATGCACATTACAAAAACCTCTGTCAAAAGACAAAGGGATTAATTTATCTGTGCCCCTGCCCCCAACTGGCACAGGTAGAAGGGATAAATGGATCAACCAGGCTGCATAGTGGGTGGTGGTAGGAAATGAGTCCCTTTACACTTTTTACAGAGTTTGTTGTTGGGCATGATGGACAGCAAACTTCCGGTTGTGCCCACCAGCAACCTCTGTATAAAGTTTAAAAAGGGGGGGGCAAGCAATTAAGGTTGCTTTGCTGGTGGGCGGAGAGAGGAAACAGGACACCAGAGTGACTTGGGTACTACAAGGGGGGGCCCAGCAGTCATCTTGCACAGGGACCCTTCAAAGATTGAGAACAGAAGAGAAGTGTACCCTGGCACCTTCTGTCAGGCATGGGGGAAAAGGCTTCATGTGTGTACGTGTACGTGTGCGCATGTTCATGTGCATGGAATTTTTCTCTTCCTGTTATCACAGCCTGTTGCTTGTAAGCCACTGTGAGAATAACTTGATTGAAAGTTGGGGCATAAATCTTCTAAATAAATGGAAAGTATTCAGCAACACTTCTGTCTCTTCAGTTCCTGCTGCACTATTAAATATTTATCCATTCTTATTTAGCTTTTTATAAAAAGCTTTGCAGTGTCAATAGTTGTGCTGCTTTTTTCCAGTCTTTCTCAATATTTACTCTAGTAAAAACACATCACGTTGCAAGCATTAGTGGATATATGCCAGCAGACTACCTCTCCCTTCTGGTGTGTAAGGGACATACTCACATTTCTTTACAGTTTATACATCGTATGGCGAGGTAGGGACTATTACAAGACCCTGCAGTGTGTGGCCTTTTCTTTCTTTGGGTTGTATTCAACCATTAGCACAAAGACTTCCTTTTGTGCAATAGAACTTCCCTCTCTCCCCCCTCCAATCTGTTATGGGGCTTTCCTCAACTCAGAACAGGTCTGTAGGTAGAAGAGAGAAGTTTCATTGCTCAAGAAGTCATCCTTCTGCTAACCATAACCTCATTATTCTATATTTATTTATATCCTGCCCTTTCCATAACAGGCAGCTTGCAGATAAAATAAGAACAACTAAAAGCAGGGATGATGGTGATGATGGTGATGATAAATTAATAGAAATCTATCTATCTATCGATCATCTATATCTAAAGATCTATTAAAATTATACAAATAATTACAATAAAACCAGCTAGGCACCCTTTCATTAAAAGCAGATTTCCCAAAAGCCTGTTGGAATAAGAAAGTTCTCACTTGCCAGCAGAAAAATGAAAAGGAGGGAGTCAGTCAAACTTCTCCAGAAAGGGAATGCCAAAGTCTGAAAGCAGCCTCTGAGAAGGCCCTCTGTTGCATCCCTACCAAGCATGCCTGGGACAGTGGCAGGACCAAGAGAATGGCCTCCCCAGAAGAACCTTGACAGGTTTGGATGAGGTCCTTGCATGCTGTGGCATTACATGAAATACAGACATGTACCTGATACTTTCAAAACTTATGAACTGTCCCTAGATAATAAGGGATAGTTGGTCAGTTATGGAACTGTTTTAAGTAGCAGTTTCAAGAGAGAACCTTTGGTGCTTGATGCTTTGGGGTTTTCTATAGAATATTCGTCATACTTTTCTGACCTCTCCCCCTCTCCTTTTCTTCTTCCTTTCTTCCTTTCTCATAGCAGGGAACAGGTAAAGTGGATAGCTTGTGTGAGAATGCTCCATGTTCTTGTAGTATTTCCAGGGCTTAAGCATAACTTGAGCTTCTGTTTGAATTAAAGAGACCATTCTCTTTTGCCTGGTTATTCAGTAGCAAATACCGTATTTTTTGCTCTATAATACTCACTTTTTCTCTCCTAAAAAGTAAGGGGAAATGTGTGTGCGTCTTATGGAGCGAATGCAGGCTGCGCAGCTATCCCAGAAGCCAGAACAGCAAGAGGGATTGCTGCTTTCACTGCACAGCGATCTCTCTTGCTGTTCTGGCTTCTGAGATTCAGAATATTTTTTCCTTGTTTTCCTCCTCCAAAAACTAGGTGCGTCTTGTGGTCTGGTGCGTCTTATAGAGCAAAAAATACGGTACTTAGCTTCTATACCAGGGGTGACCAACTCCCAAGAGACTGCGATCTACTCACAGAATTAAAAACTGGCAGTGATCTACCCCCTTTTGGGGGATTTAGGTCAAATAGTTGTTAAGCTTTTTTTAGGGAGGGGGAAAGCCTAACCTCAAGGGAGAAAGTGGAACAGCCACTCATCAACAGGTTGCTGAGTAAACTCCATCTTCTGTTCTGCAGATCGTGGAACAATGGAGGGTGGAGTGACAGGACAGGGTCTGATTCTATTTTACCTACGCTAAGGAAAGGGATCCAGCGATCTACCAAAACCTCCTGGGGATCTACCAGTACATCGCAATTGACCAGTTGGACATTCGAGTGCCCTTCATGTATTAGAACAGATTCCCTATCAGGAGAATCAGATGTGTTCAGTGTAGTAATTTTGAGGCTGTCCCAGAGTTTTCCTCAGATCTTTCCTAGGGAGGAAGTAGTCAGTCAGTCAGTCAGTCAGTCACTGCACTCTCCATGGCATCAGAGGAACAAATATTTTACAAGTAGGAGTAATTAGAGAAGAATTCATAGCTGCTTATCAGGAAAACTGAAGCATGTTGAGGGCTTGTGATGCCCCTGCAGCTGCTTATGTGAGCTAAAGTGCCTTTTAAGCCCGTACTGTCTCTTCAAAATTGCCTGACTTTTGTTAGATGTTTGATTAAACTTCTACAAAGCAGAAAATTGCTCAAAAGGATTCACAGGAGTTCTGTGGTCTCTGTTGCCTTTATCCTACTTTGTCCATTTTGCCTGTATTAACCTGAATTTGAGTGTTATTTCTCACTGTATGACCATTTCACAGGTAGTGCCCATTTGCAATAGTGTGTTTCATGCCTTCCACATCTTCCAGTGTTGCATTAGACAAGATATAAAACAAACACCAACCCACAGACATTTACTAGATTTCAAGATGATGCAGCCTTTAAATTATTCTTAACAGCACACTCCCATTTTTATAAGCCTGCTTCTCATATAAACTGATAGTTTATTCTAGGGGTGTGTGCACATACTCTTTTTACTGAGATTGGTGTGAAAAAAATAAGTTGACTGTCCCATGGGAAAGTGAGTAGTGTTGACAGCTCTTGACATAAAACATTATGGCACCTGGATGGGGCCTTAGGGCTGAAACTTCTCATGCCTAGGGGCAGGGCTTGCAGAAAATGCTCTGCTCACCTGAGCAGTAGACCTGTTGCATGTACATACAAGTTCTGTGCAACAAGCAGTGCTGTGAATGCAAGTTCCCCTAGATCACTGTGCAATCCAGACTACAACTTTTCAAGAAAGCAGGGAAGAATTTCTCTGCAGAACAGATAACACAACAAAATGAGCCAAGCTACTTGGTGTGCGTCAAGTCACATATATGGATTATAAGGCAAAGGGATTTGTTGGAAATCTATAAAACTCACTTAGCATAGACCTTAACTGGCACAGTTCATTTTGGGTGGGTGAGCAAACTGTGGATGTAGCTCCTGGCCAGAGGACTGAGGGGGCATGACGGGGACTGCAGCCACAACTGGCTGTGCTAGGGGTGTGGGACCTATCACATGATTGATTGATTCAGTCAAATGAATCTCAAAGTGGCTTACAACCAATAAATAACCAAAACAAAATAAAACATAATAGCATATTGCAAATACAGCATACATCATATAAAATAATTAACAAATTATCAATAAAACAGTTTCAATTTTTAAAAAAATTAACAAAACAGCAACTAAAAAATAAACTTCACAATTACGGCAAGTCGTGTAATTAACAAATCAATGCGGCATTTAGAATCTATAAAATGATACTAAAAACATTAACAAAATAGCAACTAAAAATATAAGCTAAGCAGTAAGTTCATTCACACAATCTCTGCCAGCGGCGTAGCGTGGGTAGTCAGCACCCGGGGCAAGGCAAGTAATTTGCGCCCCCTAACCCGGGGCAAGGCAAATAATTTGCGCCCCCTAACCCCTAACCTGCCACCGCTGCCAGCTTCTTCTTGCTGCTGCCTGGGCTGGTCTGGTGTGGTTCTCTCCCGCGCTCAGTGCTGCGCTGGGCGGCCGCTGCACTGTCCCTCCCCCAGATAGTCCCTTGCTCTCTCTCCACACCGCACGCCTGGCACCCACCCCCTCCACAGTGGGCGGCGACCCAGCGGCTTGGATCGGATTCGCACAGCCAGCACTGCAGTGAGAGAGTGAGTGAGCCAGGTAGGGGCAGAGAGCTGCGAGTGCGAGCGCCCCCCCCGATGTTGCGCCCGGTGCGGCCGGCCCCCCTGCACCCCCACGCTACGCCACTGATCTCTGCACCCCCATGACTCATACCCTTTCCCCTTTAAACAAAATAAAACTGTACAGCAAACCAACAAGACAATACTAATTGAAATAATGAGAGTTACATTTATACTAAAACTAAACTAATCCCCAGCCCCGACAAATGTCCATCCCACCCACAAAGCGCAAAAAACAACATTTAAAACACCATAAATTAACAAGTATTTTAAACATTTAAAAACTTTTAAAAACATTTTTTACATACTCAGAGTAAGTGTGGGTCCTGCACCCTAGGCCATGTGAAAATGGGCCTTGCAAGCAGGGAGCGGTCTTCCTTCCACACTCACAGCAGCAGCAATGTCCCGGTGGCCTCCTAGGAGCCATTTAGCTGATCAGGGAGGGTAGGCTAACCAGCTAGAGAATAAGATCTAGCCAAATAGCATCTGTCCCTGCTTTTGGTCTTCCTTCTAGACCATGGAATTCTTGGTTCCTTGTTATCTACCCACTCTCTGTATGATTCATTCAATTCATTCAAGTTAATTGTTGTGTCCTTTCTCTCCCATAAAACATACATCTTGCAGGATTAGATCCTAAAGAAAGAAGCTAACCAGTCATATGATACTGAGACTTGGCTTGTATAGTGGCCGGAGTATCCAACTAGGACCCAGAGGACCCAGGTTCAAATTCCCATTCATCTATATTGCTCAAAATGTGACCTTGGGCCAGTCACCATCTCACAGCCTTACCTACCTCACAAGGTTGTTGCAAGGATAAATTGGGCAGGGAAACCACACACTGAGCTCTCTGAAGGAAAAACAGTAATCTAGTGAAATAATGTACAGTATCAACATATGGAGGTTGGGCAGGGAGGTGGAACAGACATGGTCCACAAGGGTATCATCTCACTCATCAGACACTTAGTCTAGCAGAGCAGCTTTATTGTGTCTATGTATCTAGTGTTCTTGGGACAGAATAGAGATTTCTGTTTGTCTGTAATTGAGCTCACAGAAATGGTCCTGGACCCAGTGTTGGAAATACCCTGAGTGTTAGTCCTGGATGAGATTTCAAAATCCTTACTATGGTTGCTTGTGGCTACTGTGACAACCATGGGATGTCCCACTGTGTTTCTGGCCCTATGCAAGTTGCTGGTAATATATCAATATGGAATTCTGTAGCAGTCAAGAAAAGGGACAGTTTGTGAGTGGAAGACACCAATCACAAACCTTTTGTGATGGATAGTTGTAACAGTGGGTTGGAATGGAACTCTTAGGATTGGCGAAAACCTTTGCAAAGATAAGGGGCCAGCTAAAATTTCTCTCCCCCAGAGGCTTGCTGCATTCAGGAGGATTCCAAACTCCCACTGGAGTTTCCAGCTGACCTGGCAAGCTCTCTTGCTCAAGAAGTTTAAAGATGCTGAATTGACCTAGTCAAGTGGCACAAGTATTCTCTCTGGGACTGTGGTTTACTGCACAGCTGCTAGAAATTAAGCAAGCGAAACAATAGCTAGAGCACAGGAGGTAGAGAACCCAGAATGAACCTGGCAGTTTTAAAGCAATCTGGACAGAAAAGTGGTCCTGTTGCTGCATTGTGTCTAAAGCAGGCTTCCTCAACCTCGGCCCTCCAGATGTTTTGAGACTACAATTCCCATCATTCCTGACCACTGGCCCTGCTAGCTAGGGATCATGGGAGTTGTAGGCAAAAAACATCTGGAGGGCCAAGGTTGAGGAAGCCTGGTCTAAAGTATTCTGTGCAACATAACTTTTCATACTGGTTCATAGCCCCGGATGATTCCCTGCAGTCATCAATTAGTCCTCTGTGACTTATTTGCAAGGCATTTTGAGGATAAAGTTCCTTATCCCCCCTCCAATAAGGGTTCCATATTAGCTGCATAACCTTTTGCTTTATTTTAATAAATTGTGCTCCCAATTTTATAATCACTTTTGTCTATATCAGTTACCTTAAAAACAAAGTGCATTTTTAATTGAAAGCCCTCACACTTCTTCTTCTTTTATGACTGGATATTATCAGAAATCCTCATGCTTGGTAATTTATTATTACTGTTCTACCTTTCAGGATACAAATCCTTCCAGGGTGGTGTAAAAGTAACGTTAAAATACGTTAACAGCAGCAATATATAAAAAATCATTGGGATTGTTACCACAGGGCAGTTGGTGGTACAGTGGTGCCCCGCAAGACGAATGCCTCGCAAGACGGAAAACCCGCTAGACGAAAGGGTTTTCTGTTTTGGAGGTGCTTCGCAAAACGAATTTCCTATGGGCTTGCTTCGCAAGACGAAAATGTTCCTGTGGGGTTCCCCCCCCTTTTCCCAAGCCGCTAAGCCGCTTATCAGCTGATCCTAAGCCGCTAAGCCGCTTAACAGCTGATCCGTTAAGCCGCTTATCAGCTGATCCGCTAAGCCGCTTATCAGCTGATCCGCTAAGCCGCTTATCAGCTGATCTGCTAAGCCGCTTATCAGCTGATCCGCTAAGCCCGCTAAGCCGCTAATAGCGCTAATCCGCTAATCCGCTTGCTTCGCAAGACGGAAAAAACCGCAAGACGAAGAGACTCGCGGAACGGATTCTTTTCGTCTTGCGAGGCACCACTGTACATGGGTCCAATGGGGAGAGATCAGCTGGAGCAGGCTCAGGTCTTCCTCCTTCTCTTGGGATCTTTCACATGGTGGCAAATGGCCCTGACTTCTGAATCTAAAGGGGGATGGATGGTGCTAAAGGGTCTATTGATAGCTTCTTGCCCAAGGGCCTAATAGATAGAAGACTTCTTACAGATTTCTCAGAGAATGAATTTTAATGCAGTTGAATGAAAGACTAGCCCTTTCCTTAATGTCATTAAATATTAAGACCTCCTTAAGAGCTTTCAGCAAGGAAACAAATGGAACCTTAAAATTTAACTGATTGTTAATTTAATTTATATTATAGGTTTTAATCACATTGAGTCTTATTTTTTAAATTAATTGAAACAAGATGTTTTTTATTGATTGGCTACAAAAATTAAAATGAAGTGCTACATTTGTAGCTTCATCTAGCCTGAGAATACAAAACTGCACAGATTTGTTTATGTCATTATGTTGTTTGACATACATCTGTTCTGCTTCTTAACACACAAAATATTTTTCAAAACATGTTTTGTTTACTAGATAATTAACATTTTCCACATGATGCTGTGTCATGCTGGGGCATTAGATTCATTTATAATATTGCAAGAGAGAGAATTTGGGAAACATTAGTTTAAATTGTAAGTTGTGTGGGCACATTATTACAACCCCCCCAATTGCTTTTAGCAACATAGCAAGCATTTATTTCTTATACCAGTACATTGGATAATGCAACACCTGTTCATTGTAAGTATATGAAACTTTGGAACAATAGTTAAAGTGTGTCCAATTTTCCATCTAAACTTCTGGGATGAATTGTCAATATCTTTGAGGACATAGATTCCATGGACATGATATTGACATGATAGATCTCCACAATGCACCCTGCAGTAAGAACAAGAACAGACTTTATTCTTTTTCATTATTTTTATGTCTATACTCGTATTTCTGTTGTATATTGTTATAATAATAAAAATGCACTTACTGGCATGAACTGGTGGGACCATTTGGGGACCCCTTGACTTGATGCTGGTTGGGGAGCCTGTAACCTCCCGATGCTGAGTTCTACTCCCATTATCCCTCACCATTTGCAATGTTGGCAGGGGCTGATGGAAGCTAGAGTCGAACAACCTCTAAAGGGAAGCAGGTTCCTCATCTCTGTCTTAATATGCTTTCCAAAGGCTATAGTCCTAAAATTCTGCCTTCAAGCGCTCTCCCCAATTTTCCTCTTCCTTGTCATACCACTTGTCTATTGCTGTTCCAAACACAGCAGAAAATGGTTTGTTGTAGCAGCTGTCCAGTTAGGGTTGCTTTCTTCCACAGCAAACAGCTCTGCTTTGGCTGCCATGCCTCTGATCTTGAGTCTTGCCATATTCTCATCATATTTTTTTTGGACAGGGTTCGCTATTGTTTCCCATGAGAGTGTGAATGAAGCCTAATCAAGAGTGATTTTATCAAATTCAAATGTGGCCTTTAAAATACATTTATATTTGCAAGGGAAAATCTCACAGAAACAAGCCATAAGACAAATGCTCATCTGAGTTAGTCCATATCAGGCTTCCAAGCAATAAGGAATACTTTACTACATGACATAAAAATGGGCATTTGTACCCACATATATAACATTTAAATGAAAGGAGAGCTAGATTGCTTTGGAGTATCACATAGTTTCTTGGTGTGAGTTCCTACTTGTTTCTTTAGCCCCATTGAATTTAATAGGACTTCCTTTTGAGTTGTTAGTAATTAGGATTGCACTGTTAAGTATCGTCCCCCCCACTATGTGCTATTGCTTGGTAGGTGCCCTTTTAAAGTACTCTTGCACCATGTTCTTGATTGAAAAGTAATTCACTCTGGTTATGCACCACAACAGCAAAAGTGGCATCCTGTTATCGTGTTACAAGCAAGTGGAATGCCAAACAAGCACATTATGAGAGATGGAGAACAAAACTGTCTAGCTTTTTCCGTTTGCTATGTTGTCACTAGGCAGCAGCACATAGTAGATGGGTTTTTAAAAGAGCATTAATGTCAATTTTCACAGTGAAAGATTAAATGCTTACATGCATCATCTGATAATTGGCTGGCTAAATCCTACCCTTGTTTCATAGACTTAACATGGTACATATTAACTGGGTCACTTTGTTGTTTATGAAATAATTGTTAAATTATCTAACCCGGTTAGAAATATCCAAGAAAGCTTGGAGCACCTCAGCAACCCGGTGCCCAAACAACCCCTGGCTTCCCAGCCTGACTGCAGGTTTAGAAAAAGGGGGTAGGGTTTATCCCTCAATTGCACTGGGCTTTGAACAGGAGCTTGTTTGTGTTGTGCTAATAGGACAGAACAAGATATTTTAATTTCTGTTTCAATGGGTCTTCTGTACCACATAAGAAAGGAACTACTTGTTTATTATACCAGATAGGACAAGTTTAGAAACTTTAGGAGTTTGAAACAATTGTTTGTTGGTTGTTTTTTTCAGAAGACCTGTAACATTATATTCTTCGTGCTCTGATTAAGAAACATCCTTTTTTGTTGAAGTAATCTGATCTGGATAGAGTCTAAACCGTTATAGCTTGCCCCACATATTTCCTTGGCCTCTCTCAGCCATGCTACTGCAGAGGTGTGTAACTTCTAGGAAACTGAGTGGGAAGAGATTTGAGAAGCTGGCAGAAAGGTGACTCAGTACCCTTGTCAGAAGCTTGCTCCTCAAAATATTTTGAATCTTACTGCTCTGTTAATTCAGTAAGTGGCAGCAGTTAGCAATTCATTATTGTCCCAGTGGTAAATCTTGGATGCTTAAGGCACCATTTAATTTTTTTTTTAATTGACTTGCCTAGTGACTCTAGGGTACTAGGATAAGTACTCACATAAGCCCCAGATACAGACATCTTCCTTCCGAGAGATGTTATTTAAGAAACTTGTTTACTCTCATCTCTCATTTGTGGCTTCAATTTAGATCAGTGTTGTTTTAAATAGATTTTAGTTGGCTGATTGACACAGTATTCAAGAGTCCTTTTTTCACTAATGCCCCCCAAACTTTGATTTGCATGTGGAGTAACTTCATATAGGTGAAGGTGAGAATGGATTTCTGTACACATACACTTTCAAAAAAGATGTTCTTAAAGATTGAGAAGACCCTCTGAAATAGAATGGGATATGGCAGTAGACATTTTTTTGGGGGGGTGTTTTTATTTTTGCAAATTTAGGTACTCTGACTTGGCATAAATATAAATATTTGCCTGTAAGGCAAAGTCACCATTGGATATAATCACTTTCATATTCTGCTGCTCTTATTGCTGATACTTTGCAATAAAGGAATTTGTTTTGCTTCTGTTAAACTGAAATAATTAGTTTGGAATCCACAATGTAATTCTATTTTTTTTTTCTTTTGCCACAATAGAATTAATTCATATAGTTATAGATAACGTGGCTATATTTTAAGGCTGTATAAATGAGTAGTTGTCACTGAATTCATTGCATTAAGTGCTTCTGGATTGGCTTTTGAGTTTGAGCAAAGACTGGGACTGGCATTGGAATAGGTCTTGGATATTATTCAGTGTTTAGGAATGTTGGAGAACTGGTTTGTTCTTATTCTTTGTACTTGCATGCCCTAAAGGAGCATAGATGAATAGTTAGGGCACTAAAGGAATAATTCTTCTGCAAAATCTGAATTATGCTTTCTTACTTCATAGGGATGTGGAGACTTAATTAATATTTTGTAAAATCTGATCTTCAGATAATGAAATGAAAGAGCAAAATACCCATTAGGATGACTGAAGCTTGCATTGGAACACACATTTGTATTTTTTTCTGGACTGTGTTCATTATATTCGAATAAGAAACATGCTATATAATGGAGGTCCAGGAAGCAAAGGCAGTCTCCAAATGCTTTTCATTTGGTCCCCAACAATAGCCCCCATCTGAAAAACTAATGGACACACCATTTTGTTCTACCAACACTTTTATCCTATATCAACAGAAAGTAAGACACTGGCAAAAGGCTTTTTAAAATACACACACCCATGTGAACAGCAAGAGACTTTATAGTAGAACTCTCCTCTTAGTGTGTAGTTTAGGTGCTCACTCCCATGTGTAAGCCAAGACACAAGACAGTAGTGGTAAACAGCTGTAGGTTGTCTGTAGCCTGTCCTCTCTGCTGCGGTATAACCCTATGCAAGCTGATATCCCAAGTGTTCTGACTGTTTATCCTGCTTGAATTAAGAATTCCCTAACAGGGAGGAAGTTTTCTCTCCTCTCTCCACCTCCACCGTTTAGTTCCGCAAACAGATTATTTTCTTCATGGGTTTTTCACTTTTATTTGCTGATTTTTTGCACATCTGGAAGAATGCGCTGCCTGAATTAAAAACATCTAGGTAACAAGCGACACTGGGAAATAAAAAAATAAACCTTTGAAAGAATCTTAATCTTCATCATAATGAACTGAATTTTCTGTCTGCCATCTCTTCCATGTTCAACAGTGATTTAGGAACCATATCTATAATACTGAATAGAAAACTATCATTTGTAATTATTTATCCAGAATAGAGCTAGGTAAATAACTGGCTACTTTGAGATTTCTCTGAGCATGTGTGTAGCAAGAGATACTATAGCCCAGCCATAGGCAAACTCCGGCCTTCTAGATGTTTTGGAACTACAATTCCCATCATCCCTAGCTAACAGGACCAGTGGTCAGGGATGATAGGAATTGTAGTCTCAAAACATCTGGAGGGCCAGAGTTTGCCTATGCCTGTTATAGTCTCATCATATAAAGCTATGTGTAATGTCTTAAAATATGCAAGTTTCCTGTTCTAGGAGTATCTCTAAACCTGACCATGGTAATGCTTCTTAGCTGCAATGGTTAGATTCTGGTTGGGATTTTGTTTTGCTTTGTTTTGACTCTGGTCCCGAGTTTCTGGTAGGAGGTGAGGCAATGCTAATCTTGGCAGAAGAGAACAAAACCAAGTGAGTAATTAAGTGATGCAAGCCTTTGATTATTTTTCTCTCTCCCCTCTCTCTCTCTGGCACAGCTAGGCATTCCATTTGCAAGAGAAGGAACACTAGAAGAAACTGCTCAAGTTCTACGCAGGACGTTAAAAGAACTTCAGGAAGACCTTTTTCTGCTCGGATTAAAGAACATTATTCTTGAATCTCTCCTTTGCTCAGCTTCTAAAGAGCCAGTTTGCCTGAATCAGTATTCCAGCAAGAAACTACTGACAAGAAGCAGTGAGGGGGTTGGCTTTTCTTTACTGGATCTTTTCTCTGTTGGATTTGGCTCATCACTCTGAGAAGATTTCAAAAGAAAGGGAAGTTGTTTTTGTTTTTGCTTGTTTTGTATCCATTTTGAACACTTGCAATTTTATTATTTGCAAATTGTTACCTGAATTGTTATTATTTTTATACTAAAGGATGGCACATAATCACAACGCTCCTTGAAAGACTATGACTTCTTTTAGTTTGCCTTCCATCTTTTCAGCTCTTATGACAGGTGTTTCTCTACATGGACTGTAGTTTTATATAGCAAAATTAGCAGCATTTGAAGAAAATTATGGTTTACTATACCTTGATGCAATACAAATGAGAAATCTGGAGACAGAATTTTGTTTTGGTGTTATGCAAGCTACTTCTGATTTTGAATCAAGGAAAGGACTTTGAGTACATAACATGCAGGTATAAAACCTTCCATATGATAAAGACTGAAGTGTGAAAGATGTCTTGGAAGAGGAATTATTTTTCAGTGGGACGGGGCACTGTGCAAGGAATGTTCACTCCACGTAATACAACATCTATAGCACCTAGTAAAGGTCTCAGCAATGAGCCTGGACAGAACAGCTGTTTCTTGAATAGTGCATTGCAGGTAAGAAATCTAAAAGAATGTGTGCCTATCTTTTATACATAGTTTTTCTCTTAATTTTTTTGTGCTATGGTGCTTCTGTGAGAACATCTAAACAGCAAAGCAACAACGTAAAAACTATCAAACCCTTCTATGAATTTATTTCCTCTTAATTCAGGTACCAGTCACTGGTACAATTATTGTTTCTTGTCTCGGATTTGTATAAATTCATTTAATTATTTTATGAGGTTAAAATGTATTTCAGAGTGGTAACAAATGTTACTTCGAAATCACATACAATTGCAAGGCTGTTAGCAGTGGTTTGGATTTGACACTGGGTTGAGGTGAGACTCTGTTGCACAATCTTTATGTAGGCTTTTCAAATTGGCTCCCATGTGAAAGTTGTGCTTGGGAATAAATGGCGTGGGCACACCCTGTTCTTGTAAATGTAGTATGTTTTCACTGCTTTTAATTCTGAATTTTGAAATTGTTGTAACCCACCGTAGGGCCTGCTGGTGTAGGGTGCATAATATATAAATTGTGTAATAATAATAATAATAATATTTTTTTAGCAAGCATTAGTTGGAATGTAATAATGTCAGGAAATGCCCCATTAGCTTGTGACAATTATTTATAATAGTCCTTTGGTTTAATTACACAGTATTTTTAGAATAAGTTTAAGTGGCACCTATTATTCTAATTTTATGAAAAGATTTGCTAAAGCATTTGATCTAATTGCTCAGGACTATGAAACTTTGGTAATAAAGCCAGGATAGACATACATCTGATTTTGTTTACACCAGAGATCGTTGGTACTAGTACAGGGTAACCAATAGAATTACTAAGTTTTATGAGAGCAAGACATATTCTTTTTGATTAGAGACAAAAATATGCAGAAATATTTTTGTGCAGGTGTGATTATTGTTATTGGCTGCTTTAGTTCTATGGATAGTGGCATATCACTTTTGATTTTCCCTTACTAAGAGAGGCATGGAAAACTGTTGAGCAAGTAGTTCCAGGCAGTGTTATGGATACACATGATGGTTCACTAAATGACATTGATAGCAAAACCGCAGGGTTTTGGAGTATATCTGTGTCTAAGCTCTGTGTTAAATGGAGTTGCTCTGAAGCGGGACATGTATCTGCTTATTTTTATTGAGGCAGCCCATTCCTATTTTTTTGCATGGTTGCCACTTTGAAACCGATGAAACTTTATTTAGTAGTGGACCTGAAATGGTTTCACCTGGAAAATATGATCACCCCTATTTAAAACTAGGTCCTTGACATGGGCATAGCCAGGATTTATGTTGGGGGTGGGGGGAGAACTGATCTATCTGCGACAGAAATGGTCAGTTAAGTATTTTTATTTATTTATTTGATGGGAGGGGGCAAGTGCCCCCCAGCCCACTGGCTATGCTCATGGTCCTTGATCAGTAGACCAGAGGAAAAGCTAGAAGAGGAAGTGTTGGTTTACTGTCTCATATTAAGAGGCACTCATTGTACTTCTGTTGCTTTATCTGCAAACATCCAGGACAACAAGCTACATTTTTAAATAGTTATATTTAGGTTTCCTATCTTTTAAATATGAAAATTACTTCTAACAGTAAGCTGGCAGTGAAGAGGAGATAAACTACACTTTAGTAGTTAGAACTTATACCAGACCTAGAATTTGGTCATATCCAAAATACAGAACCATTATTATGTTATAAACTGCAGAGAGAACTTTAATCTTCGGCTTAGTCAGTGAAATGATAAAAGCCTTTAATTCAGGGGTCAGTAAACTTTTTCAGCAGGGGGCCGGTCCACTGTGCCTCAGACCTTGTGGGGGGCCGGAGGATATTTTTTTTTGGGGGGGGGGATGAACGAATTCCTGTGCCCCACAAAAAACCCAGAAATGCATTTTAAATAAAAGCACCCATTCTACTCATGTAAAAACACCAGGCAGGCCTCACAAATAACCCAGAGATGCATTTTAAATAAAAGGACACATTCTACTCATGTAAAAACAGGCTGATTCCTGGACCGTCTGCAGGCCAGATTTAGAAGGCGATTGAGCTGAATCCAGCCCCCGGGCCTTAGTTTGCCTACCTATGCCTTTATTGGTTAGATGCTATGAAGGGCTGTAGCTCAATGTTAGAGCATAACTGCCCTGCGTGAAGAAGGTCCCATTTTTTTTTAACCTTATCTATCTCTATCCCAATGTTTGAGTTAGTATCACAGAATTGCAGAGGTGAAAGGGACCATGTGGGTCATCTAGTCCAACCCCTGCAATGCAGGGATCTTTTGCCCAACATGGGCGTCTTTACTAGTCCTATCTAGAGATGCCAATCAGAAACCATGGAGATCCATTGCCAAGCAGTGTAGACAACACTGAGCTAAATGGACCAGTATTGTGACTTGGTATAATGGAGCATCTTGTGCATGTTCATAAAATTAGTTTATTAATGTTATTATTTTAAGAGCCATATTTTATTTTTTTAGGATTATCCCTTACTGCAGATAATGCTAGCCTATATAAAATACAATATGACCCCCCTAATTTGAACTGCTCCCCAGATCCAATATTATGGGATGCTTTAATATAAAAAAGAATTTATTGAGCCATTAAACATTTGACTATCTTGGTAAAGAAATTCAGATCCAGACAATAACTAAAGCTTTTTAATTAAAAGAAGATGAAGAAGACATTGTCAGGCTTTAATACCTTGCATTGTTATTAAACTTTCACACAATCAAATTAGCATTTAAATATATTAAATATAAGATCATTTTGATAGTGAATTTTCTAGCAATTTTGAAACAAAATGGGGCCGCTTTGGGACTCCCAGCGAGCGGAAGTATAAGTTTGTACACTAAAAGAAAAAGAAAGAAAGAAACCTGAGCTCCCATGACCTATGGAATGTTGTGAGCATGAATATAAGAATATTCTACATAATCCATATAATTGTCTGGAGAAAAGCTTCTGGAATTAACTTCTGCCTTTGCTGCTACTTTGTTCTGGGCTGGAGGTGGAGAAAGAACATGCTGCTGGCAATTACATCTCCTCTAAAATCCTGGATTTTTTCATTATTTTCTATAGGCAACTCTCATTTCCATCTGGGGAGAGAGAAAAACAGTAAAGGAAAAAAGTCAGGCAGACTATGAGTCTAGCAATTAAGTTTGTGGTTTAGGACAGTTGAGCCAAGGAAGTTGAAGGTATCAGTTAAAAACAGAAAATGAAGGAAGAGAGGGAAAGTTGACATGCTTGAGCATTGGCGCTGTGTGGGGTATAATAATAATAATAATAATAATAATAATAATGATAATAATATTTTATTTAAAGCCCACCCTCCCCAGCCAAGGCCGGGCTCAGGATGGCTAACAAGCAATAATAAAAACAAGTTGAATGAATACAACTTAAAAACAAGATTAAAATACATTAAAACATTGAAACATTAAAATATCAAAATGCAGCCTCATCACAGGAGGAGAAAGGAAAAAGAAAGAGGGGGAGGGAATCAAATTGGCTCCAAGCCAAAGGCCAGGCGGAACAACTCTGTCTTACAGGCCCTGCGGAAAGAAATCAGAAAGAAATCGGAAAGAAAGCAGGGCCCTGGTCTCATGAGGCAGAGCGTTCCACCAGGCCAGAGCCAGGCCGGCCGTATAAGCCGGAGTTAAACACACACACACACACACAAATAAATACCCACACTGATAGCTGATATACAGGCAACTCCCCACTTGTGCGTGACCATGCATACATGTAGTGCTGGGAACCCAGAAGTGGTTCGTGGGGAGACCCTCCCCAGAGCCTGAAGAGGACATCCGTTTCAGGCTTTGGAGAGCATCTCCACACAAGCCAGAGGCGCAGTGGGGCTTTGTTGAGATTGTTCAGCCTCCCTACCTAACACCTGACATGCACTTTTCCCGCATGTCAGCTGAAGAGCCTTAACAAAGGCCCACTGTGTGTCCAGCTCACGAGAAGACCCGCCCCAAAGCTCAAAGAGGGCATCCCCTATGGTCTCCAGGGGTGGTCTCCTTGTGAGCCACAAGGACTCAACAGAGTGCTGCCCACTTACATACATTTCACTTATGCACTCAGGGCCTGGAACGTAACCCTGTGTAAATGGGGAGTCACCGTTGTAGCACTGGGTGGAGGAAGAAGGTTTTAAGAGGGTGATGGGGGCGGGGGGAAGGTGCCAACTTCAAAAAGCTCTACAAGCCCCCTGTTGCATGCTGGCTGGAATCATGAAGAGGAACACTCATAATAGTGGCTGCTTTCACTACTATACTATAGTGTAGTATTTTGCTGCAGCTCCATTGCTGCCAAAAGTAGTAGCCAGTGTTAGATCCATACTCTCTGAATTGGTCTAATTGCTTTTCCCACATCATGCATAATTTTATACAACTCTATTGTATCGCACCTTAGTTGTCTTTATTAAAAAGAAACTAAAAGGCACCCATTCCTTCTCCCTTCCATACTGGGAAACTATGGTTACCAGGTTTGGAAGAAACCAGGATTTTACAGCAAATTCCAGCCGTGGTTTATGGTCCTAGCTTGTTATGAATTTCGTAACCATAGTTTCCTTGTTCTCATGAAATGGGAAACTATGGTTAATTAAAAACTCTGTGACTTACTATGTCCTGCTTAAAAGAGATTAGAAAAGGCTTGAGGACAGAACAAGTGGGCAAAAGGCTCATATAAATAAAGTGGCTGAATAATGTGAGGTATGTGTTTGAAATATATTAGGAATACTCATATCACCAAGTTTATTCTGATAAAGCATACCTCTTTCAATCCTGGATCTTAACCCCTTTTATCTTTTACTCTTTTAATTTTTATTCTCTGGGATAAATTGACTGGTAGAGCATGAGGCTCTCAATCTCAGGATTGTGGGTTTGAGCCCCATGTTGGGCAAAAGATTCCTGCATTGCAGGGGGTTGGACTAGATGACCCACATGGTCCCTTCCAACTCTACAATTCTATGATTCTATCATACTAACTCAAACATTGGGATAGAAATAGATAAGGTTAAAAAAAATTCTAATCTCCAGATTAGATTTATCCCAAAGGTACTTAGATGCTGTTGATGAATTTATTATCTGTCTAATTTTAGCAAGAGATTCTTATCTAAGACATTCTGAAATGGATAATTTAAAAATCACATTCTTCTTCTTTGCTTTACAGGTTCTCTGGCATCTGGATATATTTCGACGTAGTTTTCGACAACTTACAACACACAAGTGTATGGGAGATTCCTGTATATTTTGTGCTCTCAAAGTGAGTAATTTGTCAGTTCAGTTCAGTTCAGATTTAGATGAAAAAGTAAGTGTATATTAGCTGCATCTTCATTCATTGAAGATTCTTATCCTGCCCTTCCTCCAGTCAGGAGCTCAGAGAAGCTCATGACTGATAGATAAACAATCATACAAAATGAGATTTAAACAACAAAAGTCATAATAATGTTGTAGCAGTATTTCAAGGTATGTGCCTCGCTTTACTTTCAAGCTATACTTTGGTCACGCTGAAGTGAAGCCATGAGATAGAACTTTGTGAAGTGCTTCAATTTATGGACTGTAACTCAGGTTTCTCCAGCAAGAAATTCCTCACTGTGATTTTTCCGTGTGATTTTTCCATTCATGTGAATATAAATTCACATTCTGCAAGAGTTAATTTGTGTCTTACTGCTCATACGCTTTCGTCTACATTGAGTGTCGTCGTTCAGAACCTGTCATACCTGCTCATATCAAAATAAGACGTGCTCCTATTGTAGCTTTCATAATCTGAGCTGCAATCTTAAACCTCTGCCTTGGGAAAACAACCGTGAGTGGTAGTGATGCATGGATCAAGGCTCCTACTTGCTTTCAGGCCAGCTGTCTTAGTGACTGTAGGATGCAGAAGTGCTGCCTTGACACTAGAACAATTTTCTGATCTATTATTCATTTTGATGTCTGCTGTGCACAGTCCTTGCTTTCTTTATTCATCTAATGTATGACTTTGGTTTGGAGTTTGTTTATCTCTGCTCAGGGAAGGGGGGGGATTGGTCTGTGGTACTAAGCATGCCACAAAGAGTTTGTTTGCCTTCCAGGGATTGTAGTGCCAGGATGTAGGACAGAGGGTGTTTTGTTGTTGGTGGGGAAGAATGCAGCATTGATTTGTACATTCTGCTAGAGCTTCTGTATTAGAAGTTTTTCATATGTAACAAAAGCAGGAAGAATTAACTTTCTGGGCAGAACGGGTGTTTTCTGAGGTGAAAGCTGAGACACACAGTGTTTGGACTGACATTAGGGACAAGAAATGTACTGTTCTAATTTTAGTAGGTAAGTCCATATTGAGCAAGCAAAATAAATTATGTACATCTGTACAGATCTACTTACATTGCTAAAGCTGTGTTCTGGTTTCTGAGACTCCTGGCACCACTGCCAACTTGTTCTTTCAAAATGTCCTCTTGTTAGGGGAGACACTCCCTCTGTTCCAGGATTGGGGCCTTTCAGATGTTGTTAGACTCCCAACTCCCATCCAGAATGACCAGTGGCTAAAGATGGTTGGAGTTTTCATAGAATCATAGAGTTGGAAGGGACCATGGGGATCATCTAGTACAACCCCCTGTGATGCGGGACTCTTTTGCCCCGTGTGGGGCTCAAACCCACAGCCCTGAAAAGTTGTAGCCCAGGAGCGTCTGGAGAGCCACAAGTTTCCTGTTCTGTGTGTAATCATACTGTCAGCATCGCCCTTGAGCCAGTGCCACCAACTGGACTCATCCACTTCAGCCCCGACTGGGCTAGGCGAGCTGGGTAGCACTTCCAGAGACCACCTTCTGCACAGGAACAGGTCAAAGTGCTGTGGACTCACAGCTTAGAGTTGTGAGCACCGGATTCACTCCCACAAGAAGACAGTCGTCGCACAGCAGAGTCTAGCAGAGTATATAAACAACTCGGAGAGCAGCTCTGTAGAATATCTTCTTTATTCTATCTACAACTATTATACAACTTTATACAGAGCTAAATAGGTCTAAGCATAAATGAATGCTGCACTGCACTGAGTGTCTGCAGCTGCTCTTAGCAGCAACCTTATCTCTACACACGATCTCTAACACTCAGTCTCTCTCTCTCTCTCTGACACTGACTGACTGACTGACTCGGTGCTGGAGCAGAATAAATAGAGAGCAGAACACGCCTCCTCCTCTCTGGAGAATCAGCAGACTCTCCAGCACACATTATTTTAAGGAACAAGATACATACCTGAATGTATGACTGGATTAGTAGGCATTCTCTCCTTCAGTCAAAGGGTGTATTGTTGCAGGCCACCCAAATCTGTGTCAAGCGGTGCACATGATTCCAAGGGTCTTGGCGCTTAGCCAGGGTTTGTGGTTTGCAAAATTAGGCACAACAGAGGCTATAGTGTCTTTATGATATATGGTTTATTTGCACATATATGCAACCTGAAGCTTTCATTGGAGGGGTTCACAGCGGCAGCACCCCAAAGCGTGCCAGCTTACTCCATAGTCGCAGCATCAGGATCTTTTCTCTGCAGCCTCTCTTGTTCTGCATGACACATCCCAGCTTAACTGTTCCTCTCTGCTTCCTGGTTACATCCTTTCCCTGAATTAAGCCCTCTTTGTCTATAGAGGGAGGGAAGACTCCATTCATTTGCACTCTAACACCTATTTCTTTTGAGGCTTTGAACTCCTAATGGTTAACCCCCCCCCCCGGACTATTTTTGCTTTACTTCATTAACACTTGTTGATTGACTAGTATTACAATGTCCTATACACAACCCAGGAAGTGTGCCTAGAATACACACTATGCTTCCTTAGGTTTTAACCCCTAGATAGTATGACTCAGTTTTTAACACAAGCTTAATGAAACACCTCAAGTCACCTCCTCACTTAATTGGCTTTTGATACTTAGCTTAATTGCACACTTAAATGCATGAGTCTAGCTATCACTTCACACCGGGAGACTACTGTATTTTTCCATGTGCAAGACGACCTTTTTTTCTGAAATTGGGGGGTCGTCTTATACACAGGTTAATAAGTTAAGTAATCGAGGGCTGGAGCTGCTTGCAAAAAGAAGCTCAACAACTATTTTTGCAATTTCCCAAAGAAAGCTCAACAACTTCCTTAATTTTTAAATTTCTTAATTTTGGCCTCCCAAAATAGGGGTCGTCTTATACACGGGGTCAGGTTATACCTGGAAAAATATGGTAGCTTTTGCTACCCCAAACCTTGCACCCCCAAATTCATAACATTATTAAGGCTTAACATTTTTTTCTCTGTCTCTCATTCATACCCCAGTTGCTATCATCTGCAGCAGTGTTAGTAGAAACATTTGTCTTGAGAAAAGGCAAGGAAAATGATTGTTGTGTATCATTACCTTTCTTATTTTTTATCATTAGCCATTAGTTATTAAGTAGTCTACTGTCACTCTGGGGCAATGTTGCTGGGTCCAAGAAAAAATTATTTCCTCCTATTTTGGTAGCAGATTTTTGTTGACAGCAGTTTAAATAATTGTTAATCTATTGATTAAATTTGCACAAAGGTAAAAACAATATTTCTTCACCAAGAAGTATATTTTCCTTGCTTTTTAGGTCATACACAGGTGTCATTTTAGGAAAGTAGGTGTGTGAAAGAAGGGTGAATACCTCTTTTAAGATGATACTCTATGCTTTCCTTTAGTCTCTTGCCAAGCCTCCTTTTTCCTAATCTACACTTTAAGTATTTATTATTTATTATATTTCTTGTTGGAAAATGCCCTGGGGTGCCCCTGCAGCCCCCGAACTCACTGTTCTTCCTAAAGGAGCCCAGAGGTCATCTAGTGTGCAAATTCCCTGCCCTTCTAGAAGCTAGGCTTGCTCCATATTAGTAAACAGGCAGCCCTAAAGGTTAATAGGGAAATTTCATTGGACTGCAAATACAATGATCGTAGTATTGCTTTATTGTAGAATTTGATTTTTTAAATGAATGTTGAAAAGTGCCTTTTTAAGCTCCTTCCTCACCCATGAAAATTCTTTATTAAAAAAGACTGACTAAAGGTGGCATGACTCATGATTTGTATTCAGAAAAACTCTCATTACACATAAAAATGGAAATTAAAGGTCCTAACGGATTGTGCTTAATTTTGAAAATAGAATTAGGATTAGGAAAATGGAACCAGAAAATAACTCTTAGGATGTCTAATTCTAATAATGCTTACTGGTGGTTTTATTTCCGTTTGAAAAAAAATTAAAGATCGCAGGATGGAAGTTAATATTTTATTCAAGGAGCTTGAACAAAACGTTGGAGCCTTCTCCCTCGTATTGAATATATATATATATATATATAAATCTACACAATATTGTATATATAAATCTACACGATATTGATTTGATGCGATCTGAGGAGAAGCCAGAGTATATTGTTTTGATAAGCACACGCTGGTAGATTTTCACCCTTCACCCCAAAACTGAAGTTTTTGCTCTTGAAGGCATAAAGCCTACTCCATTGTTTTAAAATGATTTTTATTAATTTTAAAGGAAAACATGAAAATGAACCATTTCAATCAGTGCTAAACAATTTACAAAACTTAAATCAGGATCCAGGATTCTTACAAATAAACAATCTTATTAATAAGCATCTTTCTTACAGGTTCCAAGTTAACTTTTACTCCCAAATGAAAAGCTTCCCACTGAGCTTATTGCTTAGAATCCTGACTTACAAAGCACCTTTCAGTTTCTTCCTGCCCTTTTCCTTGCCATTAAGAGCTTCTAATCCTGGTCCTTCTTGCAAAGGACTTCTAGCTGAGCCCTGTACCTTTTGTTCCAGTTTGCTCCCAGTCTCTCCTCTTGCAGGCTCTCAGTCTCCGTGTCTCACGTACTTCCTCCTCTCTCAAATTCTTGACCTTTCTTGCATTCAGGTGCCTGATTCCTCTGCTCTTGACACCACACCATCTGGAGCGTTCAAAGCTAACCCGGGCCCCATGGCTCTTCTCCTGCTAGCTTTAAGCCCCGGAGGGGTGTTGCAAGGGCCTTCTCCCCAGGTGAACTGCATCCCTCCAGCCCCCAGGCAGTAATGAGGCAAATTCAGGAGCTCCTGGGCTCCCACCTGCCTATCCATCAAAACTTTCTCCGCAACCACATTGGCTCATACTTTATGACTGAGATTTTAAGTTGAAATACTGATTGGGAATTTGAAATCTTATGGCAAAAATAGATCAAAGGAAGGTATGTGATAACATGATTTTTTTATTTATGCATTTTATTGTTTTTGTTCCCTGTCCTTTCTCCAAAGAGCTCAAAATACTCCGTTGCATGTTTTGGAATAGGTAAACAAAATGTTGAAACTGATTTTTGCCAGCTAGGAAGATTTTGTGATGCTTAGGAGACTGTCCTCCACAAGATTTCATTAGCGTTACGGTTAGAAGCCTGTTAGCATCATAGGAAGTTAATTGCTCATTTAGAAAGGTAGAAATTATTGCAGACTGGAAGAAGACAGTGTCCCTAAGGTCACTAACACTAAGAAGCTTTGAGTTAGTTGTAATGGAAAGTGGATTGGAATATTTCTAGCCGTAGATGAAAGCAAATGGGGTTGCTTTTAGTAGTAAAACGTTTTTAAAAGGACTATACCAGGGCTAAAATGGATAGAATAATTTAAACCATTTGAGACAAAAAATGTATCAAAGTACCAGCAATCAGCAAACAAGTGGGTCTAAGACTGTAAGTCATACATGTCTGCGGTGTAGTAGTTATAGTGCCAAACTAGTATTGGAGAAGCTCAGTCTCAAATCACTCCACCATGAAGCTTGTTCAACTAGACACAATCTGTCAGCCTAACTTGCCTCACAGAATTGTTTTTAGAATAAAAATGGATTTTCTACGTATTTATTCTTAAGTCCAATTTTGCTAAAGCTATATTTGCAGATGTTTTCCCCATGGCAATTTATTGATAATATGAATGTTTAGAATAGTTGCCATTGGGTACTAACTGAGGACTGCAATTTGCATTTTGACATTGGGGCTTTTTAAGTGCCTTTCCTGTTGCATCCCCTTGCACACCTGAAAATTTTCTCCTGGTTGTTGGAACCCTTTGCAGCAGAATGGAGTCCAGTGCAACGAGGTGCAGTCAAACTAAAATAGTCAAATCCCCTACATGTGTTTCAGATGCTGATGTCTTTTGTTATGCCAGTCAGATGCCTACTATTACAGGCAAGTCAGGAACCTATAAACGACCACCTGTTTGCCGTATCTTAAGAACATTGAAGCCTGGTTGTTTATAGGGTTGTTAACAAAAATACATGCAAAATGTTTTGTGCAGTAACATCCCTGGCAGTTATCTCTGATGTCTGGATTTGGGGATGGTATGCTGGTGCAGTCTAGTAAACACTAATTTAGCACGAGCATGTGAACCAAAAATAGGATAAAAGTAAAACATGTAGCTAAGATGCCAAAAGCAGGAAAAGAGTGAAAGTGTGAGTCTGCAGTTAGTATCAAGGTTTTCATATATGACATGATAACATGACAGATACTGGTAACCTGGATTCACTTTGTGTAAATGTACACTCATTTAAGACATTGTGTCTGTCCCGAAGAAATAATGTGAGTTTATGTAAAAGTTGACCTTTAACTTTCCTCCTATCCTAGGGTATCTTTAACCAGTTTCAGTGCAGCAGTGAGAAAGTGTTGCCATCTGATGCACTTCGTAGTGCTCTTGCAAAGACTTTTCAAGATGAACAGCGTTTCCAGTTGGGCATCATGGATGATGCTGCCGAATGCTTTGTGAGTATGACTTCTGTGGAATATCTGAAAATTCTTGTAGGAAAGAATGCCTTGCTAAGCACAAACTAGGAGATAAAATCCCCATATTCTCAAATGGGAAGTGGTTTTTTCATATTAATAATAAGTATTTTACAGCAGAGGTAGTAGTGAGGAACACTGAGCTGCTTCTAGTGAGACACTTAGGTAGGCTATACAGTGTAATAGTGAAGATAATACTGTTGCAAAAGCAGGTGAATTTAACAACTATTTTAACCCATCTAAACAGCTGCGTGTTTGTGAATAAGACTGTGAGAAAAGCCACAGTTTGGGGCTTAAATAACGATAGCATTAAATTCTACTAAGAATATAGTTTAGCCTTCACTCTCTTGCTCTCTCGCTGCTTAAGTAGAAGCATAATTTTAAAATTTCAGATCTTTGAATCTCTTACATAAATCCTTCAAACATCCATTGTTCTAGAAACAATCATGGCAGCTGTTAAGAGAGTGATCTTTCTTGAATTCAGAGACAGTACTGGCCAAGTCATTGTGTTAATTTTACCAGGAAGAGAAAATGTTATATCTGGCATAATCTGATGTCTCTGCTTGGTGCCTAGTGGGTTGCATCTGCTCCCTTATTTTGTTATTTTAAATGATTCTTGCCACTAACACCTGCCATATATTTACCCTTTTCTTTAAAAAAAAACCTATAACTAGTTAAGGTTTTGAGGTACAGTATTTATTCTGTTTGGAATGCCAGTGTTTTGCGTATCCGTGTTTCCTCTGACTTTTGGTGCATAGTGTCCAGACTTAATTGAACTGGGAAATCTTAGTTGATATGGCTCCTGTTTCCCTGTGATTTTGGCTAGGTTTGTGAAGCTGCCTTTCTATATCTGCTGGTGAAAAGGGGGAAGTAATATTAATTGGCAGTCACTTCCATATTGCGTACCCATACTCACAATAGTAAAAGGATATGTCATAACTGGTTATATAAAACCCACTTGTAATGTTTGGTAGCTAAAACTGGAAAAGGCTAGGAACTCAAGACTTGCCAAGCCAGCTTATAAATGCTAACAAATACAGTATACAGTTTGTGTCATCGCAAAATGTGATATTTGCTAACCTTGCAAGCTGGTAGGCTGGCATAAAGGTTGTGGATGGAGAATGCAAATAGGTTCCCACTTAAACCTTATAACAACTTCATTACTTCACTTTCTTTCCTTAAAAGGTATGTCAATACTACTTAAGCCAATATTATATGTACTTGAGAAATCACTGAACAAAAGATAATAACGTTATACCAGGTCAGTAAGCAGATAGCTAGGCTCTGCCTGTCACCCTTTGTCAGCCCACTATTTAGATGCTGCTTTGTATTTCAGCCAAACCACTGACATTTGAATATTTGTCAAAATTAATAATGGCAAAACCTGAAGATTTGGTGTAACATCCAATATGGATGGAATACAGGATAGCTTTCTGAGTTACATTAACTCATTCTTGACATTAGCTGTCAAGCTCCTAAATTCTTAAATAAATTTAGAATACTTAGAAGGTACATCCCACCTGACCCTAAAATGTCACCTTTCATTATTTGTCTTTCTGAAATTGTTTAATAATTCTTATTTTTATTTCCTCTCTCCCTGGCTGCAGGAAAACCTCTTAATGCGGATTCACTTTCACATTGCAGATGAATCTAAAGAAGACATCTGTACTGCCCCACACTGCATTTCACATCAAAAGTTTGCAATGACCCTATTTGAGCAGGTATGGTACAACATATCCATCCCAAACCAATTCAGTCCTGTGATATAGAAATGTGGAAATGTGCATGAGAAACTGTTTTCAGTTTTGACTACTGACGGTTTTTATTTCTCTGATTTAGTGTGTTTGTACCAGTTGTGGTGCCACCTCTGACCCACTGCCCTTTATCCAGATGGTACATTATATCTCGACCACTTCACTCTGGTGAGTCTCAGTTCTTTGCAATGGAAAAGAAAAGGAAAAAAATTCCCTTTGTGTCAGGAGTCTTATCTACATAACATACCATATATGTTATGTATATTATTGATAATTGGCTCCCAGTTCATGATATAATAATACTTTTCAGATATTTTTATTTATATTATTTATTATATTATTTATATTATATTATATTATTTATATTATAAAAGCATTTGTATACAGTCATACCTCGGGTTGAAGTAGCTTCGGGATGAATATTTTCGGGTTGCGCTCCGCAGCAACCCGGAAGTAACGTAGCGTGTTACTTCCGGGTTTCGCCGCTCATGCATGTGCAGATGCTCAAAATGGCGTCACGCGCATGCGCGGAAGCAGCGAAACGCGACCCATGCATGCGCAGACGCACAGTCGCGTGTTACGTTTACTTCCGGAAGCGAACGGGGCTCTGGAACGGATTCCGTTCGTATCCAGAGGTACCACTGTACCTCCTTTTGGCTCTCAAGAGGACGCCCCTCCCTGTGTTTTACAGCACTAAAATTATAATAGGCGCTTGGTGGATCAGGCCCACTGTTCTCACAGTGACTGACTTGCAAGGAAACTTGCAAGCAGGATTTAAGCACTCTCCCCTCTTGTGGTTTCCAGCAGCTGGTATTCAGAAGCATTGCTGCCTTAAACTGTGGAGGCAGAGCTAATAGCCATAGATAGCTCTCTCCTCCCAGGAATTTGTCTAATCCTTTTTAAAAGCCATCTTGGTTGGTGGCCATCACTGCCTCCTGTGCATAGCTGACAACGTTTCCCTTTTTTAAAGGGGAAATTCCCTTATTCCGAATAGGATTCCTCGCAAGAAAAGGGAAAAGGTGACAGCTATGCTCCTGTGGGAGGGAGTTCCACAGTTTAACTGTGCATTGCGTGAAGAAGTGCTTTAGCCAATTAGAATTAAAATTTTAAAATATGAAAACCAGAGGGAAAATGAGATAATTTTTACACTGCATGGTGTGACTTGATTAAATATACAAATTAAACAACATGTGGACAAGAAATACCTACAACTTATATTGCAATATGGTGTAGACAAGCGGGCACTGCTCATTAGCTCACTGCTATTATTCTGTGTTTTCCAAGTTGATTCGTTGAACAATTCATTGAACTGGTTTATTGTAATCGCTTCATTATTATGTTCCGTAAAATAATATGTTTAGTATTTTACACCTCCCCCCCGTGGCCCTTTTTTTTGTCAGTCGTCTCATGTTTTATGATTTATGTGTGTGCAATTTTGTAACAGTAAAATGATAAATAAAATATAACAAACAGAGAGCATTAAATCAAGCAACGAAAACAAAGCTGCAAGCAGGTAGGAATTAAAATAAATCAAAGGCATGGCAAATTAAGAAGACTAATCACTTGCCTAAAAATCATTATTGAGGAGGCTTGTCTCTTGGGAGGGAGTTCCATAGCTGAGGGGCTGCAATAGAGAATCTGATCTTTTTTGCATTTTAATTGGCACAAATGTGGCTTGGAGTATTTTAGAAAAGGCAGCATAATATAGGAAAGAAAATGATTAAAACAATGTGTTATACGTATTCACCCTTGAGGAACTTGTTACTGTATGTTTACATGACTAACAAGTTTTTTTCTGATCAAATTAGTAACTAATCTCTTCCCTTTCTCTGTTACTGTAGTCTTCCTCCCAATCGACATTAAATGTAAGCTCTTTGGGGGAAAGGATCTGTCTTCCTTGCTTAACTTGTTTTCTAAAGTGGTGTGTATTCTGAAGCTTTTATCCAAATATTATATTGCAAGAAATGCACACAAAAATTGGCTATAAAATCTTAAGAGATTTCAATTAGTTTTCAACATTTGTAGGATGTGGAGGAGCAGGATAGTGTATCCAATACAGGGCAGTGAGCCGGCCGTTAAATCCTTCATTGCTAAAAGCATCGCTCAGATGCACATTAGATTCTGAATCATATGTTGCCCATGCACATGTTTCTGTTCAGCTTGTGAGTTTGATTTTTAAGCTGAGACTCTGTACTTCTACACCAGATCTTAGGATACATACGCTTTATTAAAGTTTTGATCTCAGACCAAAGTCTAATGTTTTTAATTCTTGCTCTATACATTTTCCCCCTCAACTTAAAGCAATCAGGCAATTTGCATGCTGGAAAGACGGGAGAAACCCACTCCAGATATGTTTGGAGAACTGCTACAAAATGCCAGCACCATGGGGGACTTGAGAAACTGTCCGGTGTGTATATGCTGTTTTCCTTTAATAGAAGCAGTCGACTGAATGGTATCTACTGAAAATCTGTGTCTGCCTGTATCTAATTGTAGAATCCGCCATGTCTTAATTCATCAGCCTACTAGAAATAGTAGAAAATATTGCTGGTTTCATAATGGAAATTGTACAAGTTTGTGTATGACTGTCAATTGTCAATATTGTCAATGTTCTAACTGGGTGAGGTTTTCTGACTCCCTCCTTGTTTCATATTGTCAGTTTACTTAAACTCACTGTGGGTGCTTCCAGACAAAGAAACCTGCACCACCTGCGCTCATATTTACTTTGTGAATCAGTTACATTTCAAGCCCTTTCTGTCTTAGAGCAATATATTTAGGGTGGAAAGAGGTCAGGATTTGAGAGGATATGAAACAACAGGAAGCCGCATTAATTCCAGTTTTAGTTAACCTGGGTCTTTATTTGTTACTCTTTTTTTCAGAGCAACTGTGGGGAAAAGATTCGCATTCGTCGTGTACTGATGAACTCTCCCCAGATCATCACTATTGGGCTGGTGTGGGACTCTGATCACTCTGATCTGGCTGAGGATGTAATTCACAGCCTCGGCACCTGTCTTAAACTCGGAGATGTAAGTCCATTGCATTCTATAGCAATATGTCTCTTCTCCTTTTTTGTTTTTGTTTATGCCACTGCTGTTAAATTTTTGTTCCTTTTTACTATCAAATGGACTGCATGGGCTAGATTTAAGGTTGAGCTAAATAGTTAACTTCCTTTCTTTTCTTTTTAAGAGAAAAAATAATAATGACCTTTCAGTAGTTTTTAGATGCAATTTTCATACAAAAGACAATACAATTTTTGCTTTTTCTTCTTTTTTAAAAGCTTTTCTTCAGAGTAACTGATGACAGAGCAAAACAATGTGAACTGTATTTGGTTGGAATGATCTGTTACTATGGAAAACATTACTCTACCTTCTTCTTCCAAACAAAGATCCGCAAGTGGATGTACTTTGATGATGCTCATGTCAAAGAGGTAAGAAAATTAGATTTGTTTATTTGAAAGTTCAATAAAGACGTTTGGGTGTTTGTGAGAATGTGGGTCTATTTTGTTTTTCCTAAAGATTTTTAGATCATTTTAGGATGGGTTTTCACATATCAGCTCGTACTTGCTTCACCTCATGCAACTTGTTCTTGCACAGCTTTCATTTATTTCCAGGCATCTCGTGCTAGAAACGTGCAAAGTAAGCTGTGCTCATTGCATCTAAAAGGGTCACTCACTAGGAAGGCACTTTATTTTTGAGAGCAGAGGCTGGTGTTCATGTAACGGCTGCTATATGGAGGGCATTTTAAATCACTTCATGCAGTGGCTCTCCATGTAGTGAATGGTTACAGATTATTATTCTAGGGACAACTGCATATCATTTGAATAAAATAGAAATGGGCTGCCTCCCTATAACAATATGTGTTCTGGTCCATATATCTAGAGAGCTGTGCAGGGCAAAGGCAGGTTTTTACAGAAATGTGATCACTTAAAAAGGAAAAAGAATGCTGAGTGTGAGGGTAGGGTACCAGAGAAACATGGAGGGGGGAAGAAAAAATAGGAGGCTTACTTAACCACACCTTCCTTTTGACTATACACGATGGATGCCCTTTCTGATATATGTTACCCCCGCAGCATGTGTGATATTTGGTTGTGTGATATATGAGTGGTATTTCTTTCTACGTTTGCATTGTTCATTGCTGAAATTGTTCCTGGCTGGCAGTGCTGCTTGTGTCTACATTTCAAATACCTGTGGACTTGTATACAGCACAGCCACCAATGCCTGATATCATGATACTTGGTGCATTGCTCAGAGTGCAACGTTTGGGTTACTTGTTTGCCTTCCTGCATCAGGTTGGAACCCTTCAGTTTATAAGCTTTATGTCTTATTCCCTTCTTCTCAGGTGTTTCTGTACAGCTGGCTTTTGCAAAGCTTGTAGCTGAATGAATCATAAATAGCTTATGTAGTTCACCCATCAGTGGCCTGTCCCAGCTGGTTCCCCATTCTTGTTCTTTCTGCAAAATGAAATACAACAGACTGTAGCAGATGTTGGCTAGTGCAAACATGCCATCATTTAAGCATGCTGTTTCCTAATTAGAAGTTCTTCTCTCTTGCTGCTCTGGATGAAGTACTTGCCATGAAATCTATCATTTTGAGCATACAGTTCACTTTGATATTCTCTGTGGTTCTCATCTTCTGTTCCTACTTGTCAAAAGCCAAAAAGTAACAAAAGGAACCATCCTATTGCAGTGTGAATATTCACAACCCCTAAAAGAGGAACTTTACCTCTTTAATTTATTTTTGGTTGTCTTTCTCTGCCGTAAAATACCTGTATTTAAAAAACATCCCTGTGTAAGGATAAAATGCATTTTAAGGTGCTTGCTACAGTGCATGTCTGTGAAGTACAGGTGGTGACCATTTTGCATGGTGGTTCCGTTCTTGGCCCCCATGTGCATTAGCGGAGTGTACATAAGCCTGCCCCACCCTGTTGCCACCCATTCTGCTCTCTCCTGGGTCCAAAAGGACCTGCAGATCAATTGGACATGTGCGTAATGGTCACCACCTGTACGAAACAGAGTAGTGGTTATTGGAACACTCAGAATGCTACTTGTATTTTACATGCTGTACAAATCTTTTTCTGTATATTCATTCTGATGGACATCAACACTTTGATCTTGAAAGTATGTGCAATTCAGATTTAAATAATTAAGAGGTTTTGTCAACAGTAAATACTCCATTGGCATATCATTTTCATTTTTAAGGCTTTTCGACTCATTTTATATCTCAGAACGTTACTCCATTGCTACATTAAATCTTTTGTATGTAAGTTCATAATGGTCAATCAACGTTTGATTCCTGCCTGCCTCTTTGCCAAGACCAATGTCTTTTTCATATTATGGTGGCAAAGGAGGGAGGCTGAGCAATTCTGGCAAGGGACCAGGAGATTTAGAGTAGTAGGTCCACAAGCACATCCAAAATCCTATTGGCTCATGCCAGCCACATGTGGAGGGTAAGGTGTTGCTTTAAGCTGGTGAAATTGGAGGACCGGGCCTTTAAGCAGATCCATGTAGCTACCCCCACCCCTACCCAGAAATGGTCCATTTCAGAATTTCCCACTGGCTACTGCTGGTGAAAAGGCTACTGCATGCTGTCCTTGTCCTCAACTGCCAGCTTTTTGTCTGCATGAAGAAATGTGCTCATGAGAATACAAATTATCACTAAAATCTTTAAATCACATAGCCTTTAAGAATATCCAGTGAGGGCAATTCCAAAAGCCTAAAAGTTCTTGCTCAGGTTTATCTTAGGAGATGCGTCCAAAAAAACCAAACCCCTCCCCAGCGAGTACTACATTTGCTCATAGAGCATGCGGGGGGGGGGGGAGAATAAGATTTCGTGACTTTCTCCAACTGAAAGCATTAACACTCATTCAAAAGAAATAAAAGAGAATTACTTTTAATGTAACCTAAGTTCAATGTGAATCTCCGTTGACTAATGATGTGTTGTTATTTTTTATCATAATTCGAACTAAATGCAGGTAACCTCTACTAAGATGTGTTTTGAACTTTTCCAAAAATTTCAGATAGGTCCGAAATGGAAAGATGTTGTGACCAAGTGCATTAAGGGTCATTATCAGCCCTTGCTACTACTATATGCAGACCCGAGAGGAACTCCAGTGTCAACGCAGGACCTTCCCACACAGGTGGACCTACAACAGTATAGCAGGACCTACTATGATAGTGAAGACTCAGGTAATCTTTGAGCACTCTAGTTTCAGAGTTCTGCGTGTATTTTTGCCAGTCACCAAGATTTATGGTGTGTTTGCCTGGTGAAATAACAGAAAGCAGAGGAGTGGCAAAGAAATCCTGCTGGATAAGAGATGGTGTCAAAGTGTTCTCCAAAACTCAGTATGCAAATAAAATACCATTTTTTAAATCCAGAATTTCCAATGGGACTTGGAATCATTTATTACTGTTAGGCTGCCGCAGTGCAGGTTGTGGCCTTCTGGTGAATCCTCAGGTGCTTAGATTTCATACTGAAAAACACAAGAGGGAACTGACAAGGACTTGCAGAGGAGCAAGGCAGAAGTCAGGGGCAAGTGATTCTCTAAATTCTTCTGCCTACCTGTTCTTTTCCCCACAAGGAATTGACCATTGTACAAGGTTAGATTGGGTTTAGATGACATTTCACCTGAGCCCAGTTCCTGTCTTCCAGCAGCGTCAGTTCACACAGTTGCCAATCATGTAGGTTTGATGTTTTCGCTTTTGCCAATGCTGCATTTGATAGGAGATTCTCCCTTGGTGAAGCTTTTGCAACCTACTTGTATCCTCACCCTTTTGTCATTTTGCTGCTGAGCTACATCTTGAAGTCTACTGAATTCCTGATTTGGAAACAGGAAGTCTTCCCCTAAATTCCTGTTCTTGAGGAACAAAGGAGGGACTATTTTCTCACTTGTTTTTATGGGTTTGACTCATCATTTTTATGGGTTGGGCTCATCATTCTGAACAACAACAGCTCCACAAGGAAGGGCAAATCATGACTAGCTCTTCCTCCTGCCTTGAAGACTGGAGGGCATAACTCAGCAGCAATTAATTCCTTCGTTTCATCTTTGAGAAGAGGAATGTAGGAACTAAAAATTTATTCCCCTCCCCAGTGCCTTCCATGTATTATGTGAGGTAGCAAAGGCCCAGGGAGATATATTCATTGTTCTCTTGAATGCTTGCCACTGCTAGAGCATCTTTCAGAAGCACCGTAAGAGCTTTCCATTTGATGAACTGTTTGGTGTGGCAGGGAGCTAGGTTAAAATGCTACATCTGTCCCAGTGCTATAGGATCATTTCGACTTACTTGCGGTAATGCATCCAGCCATGTGCCCTCTGGCCCCCTTCCCTTCCTGACTGGTTGAAGCTAGTTGGAGGGGGATGATCAGGTAGACCAAGGGTGTTGTGAACACATCATTGTATGATGGGATGCTGCCTGCAGCCCTTAAGGAGGTGGTGGTGTCCTCTCTAACCCAATGGTGTGTAATAAGTACTGTCCAGTCACCAGTACCCCATCTTGAACAACTTGTGTACAGGATACTTTAAGTGCCACCTGAGTCCTTATATCCAGAGTACTGCTGTTATTTCAGGAGCCGACTGGCTTCAGCTAGCAGTCCGGCAGTTAGTGTCGCCAGACCCATGCTGTGGAATAGTCTTCCAGCAGAGATTCGGACATCTCTTGAAGACCTTTTAAGGCCAACAGGCTATTCAGTAGTTTAAACTTTTGCAAGATGAGATGCTTATTTTGTATTGGTTTATGCTATTTTATGTTGTATTGTACTTGCATATTTTGCTGTATACCACCTTAATATTTTAGATGAAGGGTTTTTTAAAAATATTTTGTATAATAAGAGGGTTTTTTTGTAAGGTAATTAAACATTTCCTGTGCTTTTGAGGAAATTCATCAATTGCAAAAAAAAAAAAGGTTGTTCTTGGCTGCACTGAGATATGTTATTATGCACAGTGGTTGTTGTACATCATTGTATAACACTTCTCAGTTACTGTTTTCCATCTTAGCCCTTTTCTGATTTGCCCTTCTAATTCTCCTATCATTTCTTTTTATCAGGGCGTGAGCCTTCTATCGCAAGTGACACTAGGACAGACTCTTCTACAGACAGCTATCCCTATAAACATTCCCACCACGAATCTGTGGTCAGTCACTTCTCTTCTGATTCTCAGGGAACTGTCATTTACAACATGGAAAACGATGTAGCTTCGCAAAGCAGCAGGGACACAGGTAATCATTTTCTTCATTTAAGGCAAACACAAAGTTGGCCCTATTATGAGCTACACTGAGCCACATGGCTTAAGGCAGCAGATCCGGGGTGGGGGTGAGGGTGGTGGCGTTTGTGCTGACTGAGCTCCCATATGCCTCCTGCAGGGCCACCCACCCAAGTTCAGGCGATCAAGTGTCTTATCAGAGTAGGGATTTTTCAAATGTCTGCTGGGCTGCCAGCCTGCCTGCCTGTCAGATCCTTAGAGCTGTGCTTCCCTCTCCTTATTTCTTGGGTTGGGACCATGAAAACAAAGCCATTGAAAGATATGAGCTGGGCTTTCTGCAGCTGTAGCAAAAATCAGCAGTATCTGTCAATGGGTGGGCATTTACTGTCACCCAATCCAGCTCAATTAAGGAAGGAAAATGAATGGTAGAAGGTAGGTGAGCTGAGGGGGAGCAGGTGAACACTAAGCAATGGGCCAAAAGCAATGGGAATAGTTGAAGACAAGAAACAATTTACTTTCCTTTCTTCTCTCTGTGATTCTTTGATCCATTTGCTGCTGCTTTTCTTTTGCTACCTGTTTTGTCATTCTGATGTGCGTTCCCATGCTTTGGATTATGGTCAAAGTTTTGCAACCCGCCAAGCATTGGATATGGATGTTGTGAAAAGAAACTGTTCAGAGCCAAAATAGTGCAGTGTGGCTAGTGGATCTGAATATGAAAACCCAGGTTCAAATTCCCACTCAGACTTTAAGCGCTTGTGGGATGACCTTGGGCCACTCCCCCTTTCTCAGCCCAATCTAATTCACAAGGATGTTGTGAGGATACAGCGTGGAGGAGACAACTGCTACCTTGATCTTTGTTGAAGAAATGTAAAATATAATTGCAACACATGAATATGCTGGTGTGAAATGAATAAGGAGCTCTTTTGGATGTGGCCCAGTCTGCTCCCACACCCGCAAGAGGGAGTTGCTGAATAATTAAAACACCAGCAACACAGCATTACACAAAATATATTCAAAACAATGTGTTGTTTCCCCCATACCAGGCTTTATTTCTGTTGGTTCTGTTTTCATGGTTTGCAAATGTTTGAAGTTTTAAATATGCTACAGTAATAGACTCCCAGCCCTAATAAGAGAGGAAGGTGAGCCAGAAAAGGGAGCTGAAGCAGGTATCACTTCTATGTAAACATGTAATTAGTTGCAATTAACTAATTCACCCTGTGCATCCTTACCTGCTGAGTTACCTGGTGCCCTGTGTAGTTCCCATGGTGATCAGAAGAGTTCATGCTGGGTCCAGTATATGTAATCTTTGTATCTATAAGTTCTTTCGGTTGCCTTGGGAACCATACAGGCTGGTGAACAGCAAACATGAAATCTTTTTCTTTCAAAATATTAATGCTTAAGGACTTTCTCAAAGCTTGCCCTTGTCAAAATTTTGTATTGTTTCATCTCTAAATTTCAGGGTCACTTATTACTTCCCTTGAAGTACTGGGAGGGGCGGTTATCTCCTCCTATTGGCTATGGGCAAATCTAGTTGCTGGGGCTCCGTTAGAAAGAGAGTTGTAGGCAGATAGTGATGCAAAGATATGTTCCAGACCTTATGGGCAATTTTAAAAAGTAACATCATCGTTGCTGTTGTTGTTGTTGTTGTTGTTGTTGTTGTTTCAATGCCACTTTTATAGAAACAAATCTAGAGGCATTTTACAAAACCTTAAAACATCAAATAAAACCGTGCAGAATAAAACAAATCACTGCATCCAGATGACATCTACTCTCAGAGAGGACTTAAATAGCTCAGATAGGAAGCTGTTGATCTGACAAAAATATGTAACTTTCCCCTAAGATTGGTCTTCATAACGATGGACTAGAAAATGGCCATTACAGTGCTCTCTCTTTCTTTTTTTAAAGTAATGGGGTGGGTGGCAGTGGCGAGGAATGCAGAAAATTGCAAGCCAGTTAGCTTAACATCTATTCTAGGTAAATTGTTGAAACACACATTGCTAAAGAAAAATTTATCAAGCATATGGAATAGAGTGATGGACAAATCTTGCTGAAGAAGGATCAATATGATTTTTCTAAGACAAATTTTATCTCACTAACTTTTTAGATTTTTGTTAAGAGTTCCAGTGAGCCCACTGATCTTCTTTTAATTGGGGGAGGGAGGGAATCTGGAATGGCACAGCCATTGCCGAGAGCAGAAATGCTCCAAGGAGGTTTTCCTGATCAGTTTGTACAGCTGGCTGATGACACAATGAGTCAATGCCAGTACTAGGGCACAGCAGAGGCATTTGGGATATTATGTTGGGAATGCTAAGAAGGTAGTCAGGAGAGAAACCAAGCAATAATGTAGCAAGCTTGATCATCTGTGGTATGACTGGAAGTTTAACCATAGTTTGTTAACCAAAGCATGACTTAGCGTCACATGCAAACCATACCATTGTTGGGTGGGGGGTAAGTAAGGGACAGATGATGGGAGCTGTATGAAATTATGCATGGTATGGAGAAAGTAGATAGAAACCCCTTGGGGTTATATCCAGAGTCATCTGGAGAAGATGGATGGTGGGAGATTCAGGACAGGCAAAAGGAAGTACTTCACAAAACACACAGTTATACTTCAGAATTCCCTTCATAAAATATTACCATTTTGATGGCCACTAATTTAGACAGCTTTAAAAGGTCATTGAACAAGTTGATTGAGGATAAGGCTAGCCATGTCTCCTAATCATGACATCTGTACCATGCCTCTGAATAGGAGATGTTGGAGAACAACTGTGGCAGAGGACTGTTGTGTTCAGGCTCTGCTTATGGGCTTCCCTTAGGCACTTGACTGACCACAAACAGGATGGTGGACTATATAGGCTTTTGGTCTCATCCAGCAAGGCTCTTCCTACATTCTTTGCATACCATGTTGTTATAGAAGAGCTCAGTTATGGAAAGGGAATATATATGTATTTGAGAAGATGAAAGGAAGTTCTTCTGAGCTGTAAGGCAGAACTGCAAGGAAACAAAACTAGAAAATGATCCCTTCCCCTTCTTGTTACATACATTATTAAATGTATTTTCAAACTTTTCAGACTTGATTTCCCCTCCCCCCATTATTATCTTACACAGTATGCTGAATTTCTGAACTGGGGTGGCCAACCTCTGACTTTCCTAGATGTAGCTGGACTCTAGTTCCCATCAGCTCTAGTAGTCAGGAAAGATGGCAGTTGTAGTCTAGCAACATCTGGACCAAACACAGGTTCTCCACCCCTGTTCTCAACTGGGCTGATAGCTGTGGTATGATACCAAGAAAAGACCATAAGTGCAGTAGGAGGAAGAGTGAAACAGAGGTATCACATTCGCTTGGAGAGATGCATGAATTCTGTCTGTTAGTATGGTAGTACTGAAAGGTGCTAGTGGCCCCGGAGGATTTTGAGCCAAAGCTCAATGCGTTGCCTCCTGTCCCTCTGTATTAGCTGTTTAACTTACCACATCTAGATGGATAGTTGCTTTTATTATACTGTAACTCTTCACTTACTGAACTGATACACTTACTGAAAGCTATTCATTTTACTCAGTTCTAGCATTAACCGGCAGTTTGTGGGGAGTGAAAAAGGTCTGCTATTCTTAGAATGCAACACAGCCAATTGGAATGCTCTTTCCATCTGAAGTATATTCTTTTCTTTCAGGACACCTGACTGACAGTGAATGTAATCAGAGGCATATTTCCAAAAAGGGCTCGCTGACAGACCGCAAGAGGAGTTCCAGCAGGTCTCGGAAAAAGGGAGATGAATCACAGCCGTCAGGATATCACAGTGAAGGCAAGAAGAATGGTTTAATTCTTCTGTGTGTCTGTCCAGCATAGATTGAATCTCTTCTTTTGCCTCTGCCAGTTTAGAAAGATGATAAACGTACTGTTAATTTAAAAGAAAGTTATGTAGCTCATACTGTCTTCTGCTTCTATTCTTGAGCTGCAGGGGAAACATTGAAGGAGAAACAAGCCCCCAGAACTGCCCCTAAGACATCCAGCAGTACCAGCAGGCTGAGGGAATTTAAAGAGACTGTCAGCAACATGATCCACAACAGACCATCACAGACAAGCCAGGGCTCTCCACGAACAGGGAAGGATCAGGCTGAGATACAGTCACTGCCCAGAGCTCTGCCTGCTCTGTCTCGAGACTGGGAAATGGAGAGCACAAGCAGCGAATCCAAATCAAGTTCTTCTAGCAAGTACCGTCCAACTTGGAGACCCAAAAGGGAGTCACTGAACATAGACAGCATCTTCAATAAAGAAAAGAGGAGACAGTGTGGTTACACACAACTCAGCCCCTTCTCTGAGGATTCAGGTAAGAATTTGGGAGAGGTGTGGGTTGGGAGAGTATGAAAAATGCATTCATTTTTTTTATTAGTCACTATGTAGAAACAACTGATAACATTGTTAACTAGTATGCATAGCCAGTAAATTTTCTTACGCTGTATCAGATGAATCTGTGAGGCTAGTCTGAATTATCCTTTGTGCCATTTTGGCCCTGTGAACAACGTGTTTGCTGAAATATTTCAAACACACTCAAAGGTCTATATTTTCATTGTGAGAGGTCCTTTCATCATTCCCTTTCACTTGTCTATGCAAAACACAGCAGTCATATTTTGCTTTTTCCTGCTGTACAGTAATTTAGGACGCTAGATTAGAAAAGCAATTGAGGACAGCTACTCACTACTGTTTCTGTTGAATCTCTCTGACAGTGAAATTGACTGATACAGAATCAGCGAGTGACTAACCCTGGTTTGCCTCGAATAGAAAAGCCCTTTAATTGTCAAACCAAAACCCAGTCTTCAGTAAGGAAACATCAGAAACTATATTCTCCGTGTGAAAATGGAAGATGGGCGTACTCGCTAATCCTGCTCCTGCTTATCCATAATGGTTAGGGATGCAAACTTTTTTTTTTAAGCAAGAAACCTGCACAAGGAATGGTGAAGACATTTTGAAGTGGTCTCCACTTCAGAGGTTTCAGAATTAGAGTTGCTTGGATTTAGGATGAAAAAAATTGAGGCTGTTTAATGGTGTAGCAATTGGATGGGAAGGAGGTAGTGGAAACTATTGATACGCTCTATAAGAATTGGAAATTGCTGAGAATTCAATAGAAATAGGAAGACAGGCATCTTTCTAGGTGAATTAAAGAAATCGAGACAGAAGGATTGATTTACATAACCAGTTTCTATCACCAAGTAGAAACAACTCATTTAAAGCATTTGTTTTAATTAAAAATAATTTATTTAGATTCTTCTTTAACATGAATATAACCTTTATGCAAACAGGTGGCACCCTCCAAGATTCTGAAATACTTAACTTTAATAAAATGTTATACAGTGCACTGCTTATTTTTAGATAATAAACCAATTGCAGGGATCAGGTAGTTGCAAAGCATAAAATAGGTGCAAAAAGGTCACTCAGATAAGTCAGTGGAATAACAATTTGACCTGACCTGGCCATAATCTAGGTATAGGATGACAGATTGTGATGATTTTCCTCACAGGACTTCCTTTGCCAAAGCAAGCAGCTTTTCATAATTGTTTATGGTTGTGTTTATTGTAAATCAAGAGCTACTTTCAAACATAGTGGCCACACTTGGAGCACACAGTCCGCTAACTCATAATCTTAATTTACTAGGTAATTGATCTGCACAAAAAAGATAATAAGCAGAGCACAATTAACAAGTTCTTTGCAAAGCAATGCAGGAGGTTTTGTGGCTTGAAAATACTGCTTTGGTAATTGATGAGAGCTCATTCACAACTGAGCATACCCAGTGGGTTTTTGTTTACTTGCTTGCTTCATTCTGTTTGCTTAGGGTTATTTCCAGTCTCTATAGCAACTGACAATCTGTTAAGGGCAAGCTTATTTATCATGTTGATTTGTATTAAAGCCAGATTTCATTTAAACCATTTTAAAAAAATATACTTTCAATATAACTTACTAAAAACCCCAATTTAAATCTGATTTTCAAAAAATCGTCTTTTATCTTTCATCATAGTTATGTCTTAGGGGACCTCTATAGAGTAGGGAAGAGGAGCCTGTGGTCCTGCAGACATTGTTGGATTCCCATTAGCCCTAGTCACTCTGGTCAGCTATCTGGGACAATAACATCTGGAAAACCACAAAGAAGAAAGACTGGTTGCTTACCTGCAGTTGATGTTCTTCAAGTAGTCGTCTGTGCAGTCACACAGCCCTGTTGGTGCTTCCCCTCTCCTCCCCCCCCCCCAAAAATCTGCTGGCAGTTAGAAAGAACTGAATGGAAAAGTCCTTGGCTCACCTCTTTAACCAAAGGTTCCTCGTATTTCTGGGAGGGAAGGATAGGTGTTGGTTCTCTGGCGAAGGTTCTAGAAGGCACTGGTCCCAGCAGTGTTGAGTGCACTGATAACAACTGAAAGAACATCAATTACAGACAAGCAATCTTTCTAGGATGTTGAATTGTATAGAGAGTGTGACAGAATAAAATTTGATTCTTCACTCATGTTCTTTGTATCTTATCAGCTAAAGAATTTATGGAAGAGGAGCCAAAGGAGCCAATCTCCCAAACAAGATCAAACCAACCCAACAAGTATAAGCAATGGACTCTAGGTCGGGGTGCGCACTATATGATGGATCAACAACCTCGTCTGATCCAAAGGATGGAATCTGGCTATGAAAGCAGCGAACGCAACAGCAACAGCCCAGTCAGCCTGGACATGCCTTTATCAGAGAGCTCCAGCACCTCCAGGTAAGTTTCATAAAAATATAACCTGGTTCCAGTTCCAGTGCTCTAAAGCTCAGTTCACACATTACCCTCGTAATATATCATCGCAAGATTTCTCTGTTAACCACATTGGGAGCTTACATGGAGAGATGGTCTGTAAATTAGAATAAATTAAAAATCTGCACAGGCCTCCCAAGGGCTTTCATGGCTGCTAAATTGACAACTGAAGAAGGGTTTGGATATGATATCCCGCTTTATCACTACCCTAAGGAGTCTCAAAGTGGCTAACAATCTCCTTTCCCTTCCTCCCCCACAACAAACACTCTGTGATATGAGTGAGGCTGAGAGACTTCAGAGAAGTGTGACTAGCCCACGGTCACCCAGCAGCTGCATGTGGAGGAGCAGGGAATTGAACCTGGTTCACCAGATTACGAGTCCACCGCTCTTAACCACTACACCACACTGGCTACAGGTGCATGTGTTGAAGGGATGCTTTTCATCTCTCATTTTGCCCCATTCCCCAAGCGGGCAGGGCAGCCAACACTATACTTTCCTTTGCCAACAGTGCCCCACTATCTCTTGCAAAGAGGAACAAGGAAGTCCCAAACTGTTTACTTTCTTGTTCTATTTGACTTTAGTTATTCCCACCCACTCTTTATGTTCTGTTCTAAACTGCAGACAAGAGGAGCCGAGCAGCTAATATTAGAGATAACAAGGAATGATAATTGTTGGGGAGTGATTTCCTTGTTTCTCTGTGCAGGAAAACAGTGTTGCTGGGGGACAGAATTGCCCACAGTGGCCAGATAAAGAAGCTTCCTGTTAAGAGGTTAATGTATAAACTAAGCCTAGGATCTTGGAGTTTGAGCTAAAATATAAATTCACTACAGTGTTGGAAGTAAACAAAACACCAGAGATTCCAGCCCCTTGTTCTTAACTTTAGACCATTCTATGGGAGTGCATTTTGGGGTTCTAAGGAGCCAGAATGCCATATGTGAAATACAGGATAGGTCCTTAACCTCTACTTTTAGGATCTGTATACTTCCGACTGAAAGGGTAAAAATGTTAACTAATGTTGAGGAAGGTATGGAAATCACCTTTTGAAGATCTGGCAGGTCTAAATCCATGGCTTCTAGGGCAAAGGCTATACAAAAATACTGCACCTATAGTGTAAAAAACACTGGGAGGGCAGGGGAGGAACAAAATGGGGAGGGGTGAGGTGGAAAGGGTTTGGACAGGTGTAGAAAGTGGGCTGGCAAAGGCCTTTGTGAGTAGGCAGGGTTGGTGTGTTAGACAAGCAAGGACAGCAGACCCTAGTAGTTCATAATAGAATAACCTTGCTTTTCTTCGGGTTAAAGAGATTCTCATATGAAGCGACCTGGAGCTTTTGTTCCTGCCTGGCGTAACATTCCCAAATCACATAGCAGCAGTATCTTGGAGGTAGAATCTGCACCAACTGCTAGTAGCTGGTCAAAGAACAAGCACGCCATCGGTAATGGTAAGGTTTTATTTTCCCTCCTAAAGTACTTGCAGTCCTTGGAGCATGTTATTTCTATTACTGCCTCCGCCTGCTGGGTTTTCCCCCCTCATCTCACACAAGTAGAAGGCATCAGAGCTGTGGGTATTCCTCACTGTGTCACACTAGCACAAGTTCTTAGTATTGGCGGCAGAGTATCATTGGCCCTCAACACCAAAAGAAAGTCTGGTGAAAGCAACAAGGTGGTAGCTCAAGTGACTGGGATAGGCTGTGAGGGCTCAGAGCACCTGCAGTGTGAACAGAACACACTACTTACACAATTTGCTGAATAATCAGGCATATTGAGAAAGGAATGAATCTTTTCTCTTATACTTTCAGTTCCATTTAATAGAAATGCCACTTGACACGTTTTCAGTTGTATTATTTTTGCTTGGTGCTGTGGCAGTGGGGAAAATGAAAAGCAACCACAATTAGAAGTAGGCTGTTGTCATCCAGAAAAATACATGGTTTTTTTGTAAACAACAAAGAGCCTTGTGGTACCTTAGAGACCAACATTTGTTATGGCATAAGCTTTTGTGAACTGCAGTCCATACCATCAGTTGTATGAAGCGTTATCCTAAATTGCTGGCATGGGTGGGTGTCTGTCTGTGTACACACACACACACACACACACACACACACACAATCTGAAATATATTTACCAGGTAAATCACTGTTTAGATGCCTGCTTTCATTTTCAGTCTATTCCACACTGCTACATCTAGGTGCAAGAGCCTTCAATGGTGGAGCAGTGATCATAACCATGGTTTGTAAAAGCATTCTAAAAAATAGCACAAAACATTGTTTGCAAACCCGCTTCAAACTGGTTTCTGATTTGGGTTTATGGTTGGTCACTTCATTGTAGCAACCACCCAGAAGTTGTAGGACTGCAACCCCCATCATTCCTTACCATTGGCCAAACTCCATGGGAGTTGTGAGAGTTGGAGTCCAACAACCACAGAGTCCATAGGTTCCCAAGCCCTGCACTAAACATAGTTAAGCTTTATTGGTTGTGGTTTATTATGATGTCTGAACTCTGAGAGAGCTGGGGGGGGGGGAGGGAGTTTTAACGTAGATTGATCTGAATTAGCAAAAGGAAATGGGGTGGATGAGAAGCCCAAGGAACAGCCTATGTTTTCCAGACTAATTTGGGGAACAAGAAATTGTACAGCGGTTTGGGTTTTGTGGTGAAAGAATAGAAGGTATAGGAGATGATGCTAAAATTGCATGCCCAGCAAGTAGAGAGGTATTGGTGTGGGCAGAAATAGCAGGTTTTCGCCTCTTTGATAAGTCTCATATTGGAAGTAATTGCTTGGTACAAACTTTGTATCAGCTATAGTAGATTTAAGAAAACTGACCAAATTTTTTGGGGGGGAGGGGGGCAGTGTAATCCTGGAAAGAAAATGGCATGTTTATTAACAAAATGTGGTGTTCTTGATGTTTTTTCCCTTCTCAAGGCGGGGAGGTGCTTGTCTCTTCTAAGAGTGAACTGGATGAATTACAGGAAGAAGTGGCAAGGAGGGCCCAGGAGCAGGAACTTCGAAGGAAGCGGGAAAAGGAACTGGAGGCTGCAATGGGCTTTAATCCCCGCCCAAGCAGGTTCATGGACCTGGATGAACTGCAAAACCAGGGTAACATGTATGGGCAGGCTATCCATCTTGCACAGAAGTGGTAGGATTGGGGTTGGCTGATCTGTGCCTAGGATGATAAATGGGGAGAGAATGGTTTACTACAAAGATCATTTTACACCCTTTGGGGGTTGCAGTGTAACTTCTGTAGCAGTTTCATACATACTTGCAGAGTTTGTTAGATGTGTTTCAGTAGAAAAAGGAGGTCCTTAGCTTTATTGATTTCCTTTCCTTTCTGTCCTATCATTGGATCCCAAAGGGCTCTAAAGGCATTAAAATAAGTGAAAATAAGTGAAATATTTTTTTACATTGGGGCTGCTGTCAAGAGTGAACTAGATGAATTACACCCAGAAGCTATAAAACGCCCAAGAATGAAAAACAAATACACAGATTTCCACTAGAGATAATATGTTTTGTGATACCTCTTATTCTGAAGTTTTTTTTCTGTCTATGTTATATCCACTTTTAAACAAAGTTCCTCAAAGTAGTTTACAGAAATGGAGTTAATAAACCAACCGCTCTAACCAGTAGTTTGAACTGAGCTTGAAAATGAACAGAGAGCTAGCTAGGGAAGCTGTTTTTAAAACCGCAAGGTATGTTCCAAACAATCAGTTCTGGTTAGTAGCGTTTTCACTGCATTGTACACAGGCTGTCATTTCTGAATAGTCTTCAAAGGGAGTCCAACATATAATATGTTGCAGTAGTTAATTTGGACGTTGCCAGGGCATAGATGACAGGTGGTTAAGCCATCTCAGTCCGGGAGGAGTCTCAGCTGGTGCACTAGCTTTAGATAATGAAAGGGACATCTGAAGTTGGTGCTGAAATTAACAGCAGTTTCAAACTGTGAATCTGACCCTTTAGGGGAAGAAGAAACTCTCCAGAGCAGGCTGAACAAATATTCTACCTTTTCTGGACTGAGCTTCAGTTTATTAGCCCTTATCCAGTTCATTACTGCTCCTGGGTTCCATATTTAGCCCACCCACCTCCTCCCTGTATTAGAGGAAAATGAAGGATAAAACTGGATATCATCAACATACTAATGATACTTGCTTCTTAATCCCTGGATAGCATAGCTGCATTTGACCCACAGTTTTCCCTCTCTTTCTCTCTGCTGTGCTTATGATTCTGAGAAGGGTCTGCTATTCAAAATGTTGCAGAGCTAAGGTTGCTCTGCGTTAGGGAGGGGATGTTGTCTTTTGCTGAGGTGAAGCGGGGAAAGGAAACTTGAAAAGAATGTCAATGAAAACGAAGAGTGCTGCCCCCTTGCAGGGAGGACTGATGGCTTTGAGAGGTCTGTGCAGGAGGCAGATTCAGTCTTTGAAGAATCACTGCATCAAGAGCAGAAGGGAGACTGTGCTGCAGCTTTGGCTCTCTGTAATGAAGCTATATGTAAGTAATTCTTAATTGCTTCAGCTTACCCCGCTTTTTGCAGTTTACTAATATCTAATATCATCACTTAGGAAAGTAAAACTGGACAGGTCAATGCAAACTCACAGTTGGAAAAAGCTTGTGTGTGTCTTAAAAGTGTATGGAAGCATCTTCTTTGTGAGCACCATCATCCCTGGAATTCAGTCCTAGCGTTTCCCCATCCCCTTTTCCGACTGGGGCTCCTTTTGAACTAAGGCAATAGAAAGAGGAACAAAAATGTTCCACTTGATGCCAACAGTTCTGACTGCTGTATTATTCTACCTCCTGCTTTCCAGCCGCCCGTCTCCCCCATGGCATACATTCCCCCCCAGTTCAGAGACTGGTTTCTCAAAAAGTTTAAATTCCCAAAGTACAGCATATAGCCTTATTCCCCCCAGAAAGGAGAGAGTGTATGCTGTACCAGTTGAAATTTTGTGATGGAAGAAGAGGCATCAGTGTTTCAATAAGTTTAAGACATGTGCTGTGACTTTTGGGAACATGTGCTGCTGCATTTCTTTATTTTGATACGTTATATTTTTGATTGGCTGACTCTTTCCCCACCCTCCATTCCCTTCTTGCTGGTTAGCAAGGTTGCAGACAAACTGATTTCTAATGTCATGGCTTTGGAAGGTTGAAAGTATTTCTTTTTGGAAGTCTGTTCTCATGGATTAAAGGAAACAAGAAGGCAAAATACAGACTTCATAAAGGCTCTGGTAGCAAGTGTCCCAACTGGCTATATCTTGGATTTCATATCCTGACCAGATTCATTTGTATATAGAGTATTATTACAGTATTTGGAGCTAAACACGGCCATTTGAAATGAAACAATTAGTTGCTTCAATGCATCAGGGAGTGACCCATGTCACAGAGAAGAGGGGGTTTCCTAAAAAAAGAAAAATAACAAAACTCAGCTTCGTATCTTTTCAGTTTTGATTAACCTGTTTGGACACATAGCTAACCTGAATGTGCATTAATGGGAACGGATGCATCCTTGTGGACTCTTCTGTGGCAGTATTTGCATGTTTCTTTTTTATGTTTTTGTTGCATCTTTTGTTTTTCTCTCCCTCCCCCCCAGTTTTGTTTTTGTTTCTGCTATGTTTTCTTTTGCTTTTTAGCTAAACTAAGACTTGCCATGCATGATGCCAGCTCTAGCACTCACAGCAGAGCTCTAGTCGATAAGAAGCTGCAAATCTGTATCCGAAAAGCACGGAGCCTCCAGGATCGCATGCAGCAACAGCAGCCAGCACAGCCGCCGCCCACCCGCCACCCGCCACTGGGGGGCAACATGACCCAATCTTCAAGGTAGACTAAGAATATTGCAGTACTCCAGATCTGAATTGGGCCTGATCTGGAAAGAAGAAGTGAGCTTATATGTTCCCCGGTTTGTGTGAAACCCCTTCTTTAACTCATGCCCCCAAGCAACTTAGAATATCGTGGACCTCTCCAGGTGGTGAGAATAATTGGATTTTGTTTTTTGGTGTTGAACAGTGCAAACCCTGATCCAGAACTAGGACCACAATCCATTGAAAGGTTAATGCCTCTGTAACAGATGTGGGAAAGGTGTCTTGTTTTAATGGAAATGTTCAATTTGGCAGGGGTAGGGGGTGGAATATGCATTCTAGTGCTGAAGATGGAAGTATACATCTCATTTTTAAAAAGTCTGCAAAGTATGCACAGTGGTTGAGGAATGCTGCTCATAAGGCAGTAAGCTTGCTGGTTTTGGGGGGTTTGCTGTGCTCATTTCTAAAGGCCACTCTTCTTCCATTCTTCCAACAGGGAATAATAGTACCTCTCCTTTTTTAAAGGCTGAGAATGGTGTGGGGATAGGAGCTGAGTGAATGTTCCTTATCACTAGTGATACTGTGGATGTTGGCCAACAAGGAACCAGCAGGGGCACACAAGGAATTTTACTGCATGTGCCTAGCTAAGGGGGAATCACAACAACAAAATGGCAGTTTAGATGCTGAGAAAACAAAACAGAACCACCTATAAGGAGAAAGACAGAGAGAGAGATCCACTGCAACAGCCAAGTGCAACAGCTTTGCATTAATTGTACAATAAAACAATTGTCTAGTAAGGTATTTAAAGAAATTGATAGTGGTTTGCTAACCCAGGCAGGTTTTCTTCACCACAAAGAAAAAAATAATAGATAGATGACAGTACCATTTAAAAAAGGAGCCGTGTGAAGGCAAAAATAAGATGTGAATGAGTGAGAGTAAAAAAGAAAGAAGAAATGCTTTACAATACCAAAGTTGAATACGCCATGTAGATAAAAGAAAGCCCTTCTATTAATGAGTTTTGATGAGACATCTTCGGAAATCACAATGATGACCCTGCAATAGCTGTCCACAGGGTGTGTGCACCCCAGCAACCCAACACTGACTGCCATACAATCAGTTCTTGTCTGATTTCTGCAAATCCTGAATTACTATTTTTTAACCAAGTTTGTGTGTATGGAGGCTTCCTAGTCTGCAAAGTAGTTTTAGAATGTGGCACAAAGTGTTTGAGCATGTTCTTCAGTACCAATCAAATTGTCAGCGCCAAGTTACAGGTACTGAACCAGGATCAATACTTACGTGGTAGCAAGCTGATTTTTAAAATTGTATCTAACGTCCCAAAATGCACACAAACTAGCAAATAAAATGTGGAAGCATGCCTTTTTCCAAACTAGTATTCAGTGAAGTCTTTAGTAGAGAGATAGTCAGTAAGTCTTTGGAAGTATCCTGACTTCTGCTCAGTTCTGGGGCATGCCGTTTCTTTTCCATGCATTGGAGGGTTGCTTCCTGTGTTCTGAAATTTGGGGACTTGGAAGCAGGAAAACTCTCTTAGTATCAAGGGGGATGAGAACCTCCCTACTCTAGTACTTCAGAGATGCATCTGAAAAGAGACACGTGTTCAAATTTTCCTCAGCTTCAACAATAGCTGTATCATATGGCCAAATTGCTTTATAGTAAAGGGCAAATAGCAGTTGGGGTGGGTGTGAAGAGAGCGAGTGGCAGGCAGGAAGTTGGTATGATCCGCAAATCCAAACCAAGAACACATTTCAGACTTGGGACGCACAGCTGCTTTTTCTTCAGAATGAAAGTGGCCAGTTTGAGTATGCTTTTTAAAAAGCACAAATAACACAATGCAGATTTATGCTAAGCCTTGCTTGTTACAGCTTTCTTCTAGTCCTTTTGAGATTTAGCTGGAAACTGGCCTGAAAGCCAAAATCCTTTGGGTTGGGGGCAGGCAGAAAGGGCTGGAGAAAAGAGACTCTGCCCTTAGGTATTTTTTCCAAAATCCAGGCTAGTTTTGCTTCAGATTTAATAGTTATCAATTTACCCACCTTATGGTGGTCGTTGGAGAGATGTTACATTGAAACTGGACCATATCGCCCCATTTCCTCTCATTCAGACTGTTGTGGTTGTGACAATCTCTTGTGGCAAAAAACTTGGAAGACATCAAAACTTAGAACATGTCACGTTATTAGACTAGAGTTCTTGTTATTTCCTCCATTATAGTGTGCTGTGGTGTACTGTATACTAATTTAGATCCCTACAGTGTGTATTATAGACATGAGTGAAAATAAGATCTCTGGAAAATAAAGTTCCATCACAGTTTTAAAATTTGACATCACCATATGCACAAAAAGTATTCTTTTATGTATTATATTTTGTAGATATGTATCTGTTACAGAAATGCTCATGTTAAAACAACATTACTTCAAAGGTAATTTTTAATGTGGAGAGTAAATCAACTTGTAACACTATTATAGTCACTGGTTCTCAGGGTGAAGAGTCAACTCCATCTAAAGGGCTTACTGGTTGAATCTTCTGCATGATACCTTCAAACTTCCTTTTACACTTGCTTTTGGAAAACTTCAGCTTAAAAAAAAATGTGGAGAAAATAAGTTCTAAGAAGAGTTCTACCATAACACAGCAGATGATGCACATAAGCTAGGAATTGCATCTTCTTGGTTTTATGAGGATCTCCTCTGCCCTACTCAGATTACAAAAACATACTCCGTGTTTGGGTTTCCCTCTAGATATCTTCCAAGCTGCAACTGCATTTCACATGCACTTTAACTAGGAGTATTTTGACAGAATGCACACTAAAGCTCTTTGTTATGGATACTGCTTTGTGAATGATGATGATAAGTACCAATGGGACTCATGCCTGTAAGAAGACTAAATGTTACCCTGAAATCAGTAGCCTTTCTTCTCCCACCCCACCAATTTATTATTTTTTAAAATGCTAGGAGAATTAACAATGTGCCTTGTTGAAGGTGAATTAGAGTGGGCGTTGGTGGAGCACAAGGGGTTTCAAATTCATCCTAAGATTTGTTTTCCAGTTAAGAAGCACTAAAAACTGACTGTGATTTTATGTGTGTTTCAGTGAACAGACTGGCCCGCTCCAAGTACTGCTGAGCCAGAAGATTGTACTGGAACCCAGCAGAGAAGCAGAACTTGGGTCCAGTTCTTACTTCCATCCACCTGCTTCCCATCATGAAATGCAGTCATCCTATCCCAAGTCCTTTCTCCCACCTCCTCCTGAAAGCAACCCCTCTTGCAAGCCTTCTCTGAACTTTCAAACTGCTTCTGCTGGTTTCAGTGATCGAGCTCCCTCTTTTGCAAGTAGACATGGGGTGGGTGACAGATCCACTGGAACGGAGAATGAAGTCTGCCATGATACAGTGCGAGAGGGAGTCTCTCCCACTAGTCTAAAAGACAATAAGGATTGCAGCAGTAGCAGTAAGCTCGAAGAAGTGCATAACATAGTGGCTTCTCTCACACCATATTGCAAATTGAAAAGTAACATGGTAAACTCTGGATCTTTGCCTACGCTCTTCCCCTCTTCACATCCAGCGCAAGCACCATCTGATAAAAACAGCATTCATAATCCATGCTTCAAACCATCAGGTTTTTCAGAGAGGCCTCTTGTTGAGCAGCAGTGGGCCAATCACGCCATAACCCTGACTTCTCTTTCCCCTTTGCCCCACTGTCCTCCAGATCTATTGCCGACTGCAAATAGGTACCCAAGAGCAAACAGCCATGAGAGTTTACATCACTCACAGGAAGAATTTGTCAGTGGGGGTTCTCTGAAACCTGAGATGATCAGTGCTAAGGGGCATGTTCGCTCCCTTGCAGAGCAATTTCAGCGGTTGCAGGGTGTCCCCCAGAAGGAGGGCATTCATGAGAAAGAAAGGGAAGCGTCTGTCTGTCATGATCAGTATGCTCCAATGTTACAGCAGGAGCCCTTCAGCAATCCTCAATTCCTAGGGCATAGGCAGCCAGTAGTTGGAAGGCAAGAGAATGGAATATGGCTTGCTGAAAAGTTGAACTCGTGCCTGAGTTCTAGAGACAAGTTCAGTTCCGGAAATTATTTTAGTGCTCACAGTAAAATGTCCGAGAGTTCTGGATCACACAATGAAGAACTGTGTAACAAAGGGGAACAATGTTCCGTAGATCCTGACTTATCCCCAGGGAAGTTCAACCACGAGGGAGAAGGGAGAGAGGTGAATGACGGCAATCTTGCTGGCTTGGTTACATCTATGCCTGTGGACTGTTGGGTAGACAATGTTAAAAGGTATTATAGTTCTCAGCTGGATTGCAAGAGTGCCACCTGTCTTCCGGTGCCTAGGAACAAGTCGCCTGTGTCTCATCAAGTAGCCTTTGGGGAGGACCCAATACAGAAGCACCCACAGTGGAATGAAGACACAGAACAGGAGATTTCTGAGCTGGAGTCACTGTATCAGGCTAGCTTACAGGCATCTCAGACAAGCCAGTCTGTATCAGGAAGGCTGGACAATCCCTGGCATCCATTGGGCAAGACAGGTAATGTAAATGCTATGAATTGCCATATATATATATATATATATATATATATGGGGGCCTAGACTGGCAAAATATTGCAAGTACTCAGTGCCTTGGAGTGTATAAAAGGCATTTCGATTTAAATTAAAGGCCAGTGGCATTGCATGTTTTGACATATATTGCACCAGTTGGTAACACTGGGAGTTTGCAGTATAATTTCTGTTGCTCAAAAAGGCGCAATATGAAATTTTTGGAAACAAATGTGTAAAACGAACATGTCATGAAATAAATGCTTAAAGCACACAAGTTATGCAGAGAAATCTATATCGCCAGGAAAATGCTGCCAACATTTTCCTCTGAACTGATATGCTTTGATGTTCAGTTACTTTCTTCATTCGATCTGTGCACGTTCCTTGTAAAGGTTTCCCTTGGTGCGCAAGTCTATCAAGCTCCATGCAAAAGCTCAAACCTCTGCCATTAACTGGAGTGTTCTTGTACTATTTCCTACAAGTCATACCTACTTTTCTTCTATGCCAGAACCTCAAATTTGATGGGTTATTATTCCTCAGAAGAATTCAGTTTTTATGAAGACGATAATCAACAGTTTTGCAGCAATTCTCATTAATCATGACCTATCTTCAGTCAAGATAACCCTCTTAGCTTGGCATCTGGAACTGCATTTTTTACAAACTTTTAGCAAGCTGTGGCTTTCCCTAAGTTTAAAAAATAGAAATGTGCATTTCATGAGGAAGAAGCCACGGTTATGCAATATTCTGACATTGTAGGATGAGTCTTTTACTCAGCAGATCATGCCTGCCTTTTCCCTAAATTGATGGTAATAGCCAAAATTGGACTGGTAGAATAGAAGGGGTTAGGGTAAGGCCCTTGTAATAATAATAATAATAATAATAATAATAATAATAATAATAATATTTATTTATACCCCACCCTCCCCAGCCAAGGCCGGGCTCAGTGCAGCTAACAAGCAATAATAAAAACAAGTTGAATGAATTCAACTTAAAAACAAGATTAAAATACAACAATTAAAATATTGAAACATTAAAATATTAAAATACAGCCTCATCACAGGTGGAGAAAGGAAAAAGAAAAAAGAAAGAGGGGGAGGGAATCAAATTGGTTCCAAGCCAAAGGCCAGGCAGAACAACTCTGTCTTACAGGCCCTGCGGAAAGAAATTTGTAGTCTTAAGGTTCTAGTCTTCCCCTCCCCTGCCATATCCTTCCTTCAATCTTTCCACTTTTCCTGGTTTTGCTCCCTGTATATGCTGAGCTTTCAATGCTCCTAGGCCAGCATGGGTTGTAATTGGGAGGCAACAGGATGAGTAAATTTAATTCCATGTGTTGAATGGCCATGCCCTACCATTCTTCCTGTGTTCTGCCATCAGTGGCCTTTGAGTGCTCCAAGCAAAGTTCAGTTGTGCAGCTTAGTGAAAAACAGTCACTGGTGCAGACAGTGCAGCTCCTCTGCCAAACACACACATAGTTTTTCACCTTGGTTAATATGAAGAAAACTAAGGCAATAGCTGTGAAGGTATAAGAATATGAAACTAAGTTATGAGTAATTTAGCTAATTTTTTTACTACTGATAATCTGCGTAATAAAAATGAATTGGAACTGTATAATTTTAAATTGTGACTTAATTGTTTCTGAACCTTAAATATGGTGTCCTGTAAAATAATAGGTTATGGGATAGATTATAAAGATCTCTGTTCTTTTTGCTAGCTCTCATAGTTTATACTACTGTACTGGTCACTGATGGTTGGCAGGAAAAACCTGAATGTTTTACAGATGTATACTTAAAAGTTCAGCTTACCACTACTTTCCCCCCTCCCCTTCCCCCACAGCATCTGCAAACTTACCTACCAGAAAGATGCGCGGTGTAGCTTGCATGGGTCTTTCAAAAACACCAACAGCAGAGATCGAACGTAACCTCTATGGAACCATTGCATCTCCAGTATCCAAGGTAGCAACACATTGTACATGTGTGCTGAAAAGAGGGTTGTGTTAAATAAAGGAATGCTAAAAAGATGTGAGGAAATGAAGAGGTAGAAGCCGGGCAGTTATAAATACTTGTTTTAGATTACACCTTTCATCATATCCAGCATTAGAAGTAAGGTAAAGGTAAAGGACCCCTGACCATTAGGTCCAGTCGCGGACGACTCTGGGGTTGCGGCGCTCATCTCACTTTATTGGCTGAGGGAGCCGGCGTGCAGCTTCCGGGTCATGTGGCCAGCATGACTAAGCCGCTTCTGGTGAACCAGAGCAGCACACGGAAACGCCGTTTACCTTCCCGCTGGAGCTGTACCTATTTATCTACTTGCACTTGACGTGTTTTCGAACTGCTAGGTTGGCAGGAGCAGGGACCGAGCAACGGGAGCTCACCCCGTTGCGGGGATTCGAACCGCTGACCTTCTGATCAGCAAGTCCTGGGCTCTGTGGTTTAACCCACAGCACCACCCGCGTCCCTAGCATTAGAAGTAGGGGCAACTAAATAAGTTTACCTGGTCATGATCCTAATAACTTTTTAGTATGGTTTACTGAACCATAAGATGAAAGAAATAATGTTCTAAACCCAAGCACACATATGCCAGTCCTTTCCCAGTGGACTTAAATCAATACAGAGCAAACTGTTCAATTTCCACGTTCTGCTGGAACAGTTCTTGAGCTGGGCTAACCAGATGCTGAACATAGTTGCTGCATTTTAAGATGGCTTCTCCACATCCAGCATAATACCATTATTTTCTAAATCTGATGCAAACTGATTTCTATTGCTTTGCAGCCTTGGGTGGAACCTAACATAGTGCTAAGAAAGTTGTTCCATCAATGCAAGTATTTCTGCTTGTGCAATGGAACATTCTCCCTCTCTCCTCCCATTGTGCTAGGGGTTCCAACAACCCTCTGAAGCAGATTTGGGGGTGGCATGGAGCATGTGTAGGGGGAGAAGTCCTGGGGCACAAGTGGAAATCCATTCGTAGAATGCCCCCCTTTGCTTCCTTATTTTTGCCATTTCTGAAATGGAAATGTTAATGATCGATGTAATTTCAGTGTCCATTTCTGAAACTGTGTGTCATATTGCTGTGGTCTCCTTTAGCTAACAGTGTTGTATGCCCGTTTTCAATGGCAACATCTCTTCAGGTACCATACCCAAGAAACCACGGCAGAGAGCCAGAAGAGGAAATGTACAGTGCAGAGAACTTCCGCCGCATTGCACGTAGTCTCAGTGGGACCGTCCTCACAAACAAGGAGGAGACACTTGTTTCTTCCCACAGTTTTGTAAGTACAAGATTCAAATATGAGTGTGATTGAGTCACCCCCCACCCCAAATAATTTCTTTAGCTTTATTGCCAAGTTCTAAACAGGGGGGACATTTTAATAAGCTTGTTCTATGAGCCGTTCTTACATCTCTTCTCATTTAACAGAAAGTGCCTTCCTGCTTATGCCATTGGCACATGGGTCAGTTAAGTTTCACCTCTCTTTTAGGTTGTTTTGCTGTTTTTAGTACCAATACATTCTAAACCAAGGGTAGCCAGTCTGGTGCCTTGCAGATGTTTTGGATTACAACCCCTACCATCCAGGACTAGTGGCCATGCTGGCTGGAGGTGGTGGAGAGTGTTATAGTCCAAGCCTTCTTGGGGGCATCCTACTCTGTATCTAAAACCTTTCAACTGCTTTTCCAACACTTTCCCCTCAGAACCCCACATCCAAAGCCTTCGTATTAAAAGATTGTGAACAGCCATGCAGTCAGTAGGGTGCTATGGCCAAATTTCAAAGATTCTAGGGCTGTGTTTGGTGCAACATACACTCATTTCTACTAATCATAAAGTGCTTCAGAGTGCAATCCTGTATTCAGAAGGGAATTCCACGGTGATCAGTGGGACTTATTCACAGGTACAACCTGCCTGCTTAAGCAATCCACCCAATAGTGCTTCCCTTCCTCATCATCTCCAAAACAGAATACAAGTCCTTGGAAATGAAATACACTTATAGAGACCCTATAAGAGACCCTTACAGGAGTGTTCCTTTGGGGCAGGAATGCCTCAAATCTTTCTTCAGAGGGCATATGGTATTCAGCTCCCACCTTGAGTTTTAGAATCACTGGAGATGGTGAATATGTTTTGGAAGGATAAATCTGAGTTTGTGTCTGAGGAATCTGCAGGGAAGATGGAAGAATTGGAACTGGAGACCTGAAGATACAGACTGATAGAAAGATCAGGATATCTGGGAAGGGCAGAGAAGATCTTGATTTTCAAACATGCAATGGGAAGACTGGTGTAAGGCATTTATTCTTTGTGTTCCTTGTTCAGGGACAAATAAATCATGCATTTATGCAGCATGATGTCTGGAATTTTCTAAAGCTAAATTCAACCCCTTTTTGCTTTTAAGCGTGGAGTCCACTTCTCCCAAGAGGAAGCTACATGCTCAAATAGGTGGAGCAAGAGCCCTCCTGCTCCATTCTCTTGACAGCATCAACACCAATAGTTTTCTCTGTGGCTTTCTTCCACAGTGAGCCCGCTATACCTTTTCTTCCTTTAGCCATCTTTTTTAGTCTTCCTCATTCTCAATTTGCCTTTTTGTTCTCCCTCCCTCAGTGTACTTTCCCCAACAATCATGTGCTTTGGGTGCAATGACCTTCTTTAAGTAAGTGTTGGAAGGATCGTGGCAAACCCCTGAACCCCTCAGATGTGACTGTTCTGCCTCAGTGCAGTGCCCATGATGGCACTAGCTAGCAGTCAAAAACAGGCTGAAACAAGCATGCCGCAATGTATTTTTTCCTTTCGATGCCATTCTGTGGGAGCACACCCTTTCAGCTTTGGATGCCTCAGGCTCCACCTTCTCCCTCATCACAAACCTGCTCTCCCCCACCCCATGCTTTCGGCTGATCCCAGTGCCATAGCAACTTTTCCACATTGGTACTGACCTCAGGTTCTAAACAAGCGGGGAGAAAAGAAAGCTGCTGCTGACTCTTTTCCACCAGGAGATCCTATGGGAAAGGGGAAGGAAGGAAGGAAGAAGAAGCAGTGCCGTTCACCAACTTCCAGCACCAGTTGCAGCCCTTCCTGGACAGGAATAATCCTGCTTCAGTATTCACGTGCTGGTGACTTCCCATTTGGATTACTGCAATGCCTCTGCAATGCCTGGGGCTGCCTCTGAAGACAGTCTACAAACTTCACTTAGTTCAGAATATGGCCATGAGTGTACTAAGTGGGCCTGGGTGAAATGAGCACATAGGCTTCAACATATTCACTGGCTCTCAGTTTTGTTTCTGAGCTGAATTCAGAGTGGTGGTTTTTGATCTTTTAAGGTCCTTCACCATGTCTTGGGACCAGGGTTCCTAATGGACTCCCACCTTTACCTGCCCAGACACAGACACCTTCAGAGGCCATTCTCAGGGTGCTGCTGTTGCCAAATGAGGTGTGGCAGGCAGCTATGAGAGACAGGATTTATTGTGTGGTGGCACCTTAGCTGTGCAATGCCTTCCCTATATATTTTTATTTACACACACACACACACACACACACACACACAAACCTGACATTTTCCTTGATCCTTTTTATTTCCCCAGATCCTTTTAATCTATTTTAGCTTTAAGGTGTATTTGGTTTTATGCTGTATTATACTTTTATTGTCAATTCTTTTACTCTTCTTGAATATGAAATTGTTGCTGTTGCTTGCCACCTGAGAAGAGAGGGGCTTATAAAGACTGATAGCAAAGAGGAAGAGAACAGAGACCCAGGCTGAACTTCTCCAGCAGTGCTGAACACACACACACACACACACAATATTTGGTTTAATATCTTCAGTCTTTGCTCCTGTCCAGATTGCCACAACTCCCTGCTTTGGGAGACAAACCAGGCACATGTCTATTTATTAACAACTGCCCACTAGTTTGGCAATAAACTGCTTGTGGTGGGTTACCTTTTAGTATTAAAAGGAGTGGGACATCTTATGTCCCTGTGTTTTGATGCTTTAAGACTTTCGCCTCTGCTCCCCAGCCCAGTTGCAATACCAGGCTTAAAGCAGTAGAATGTGAGGGAGTAAAACAGAGCAAAGGGAGAGAAAAGGCTGCTCCCATTTCTTTTAAAAGTTGGATCTGCCACTGCTGCTTTGTAGCTAAAGCCGTTGATTGCATGTTAAGTATGAATGCATTTGGTCTTGCCCTGAATTGTTACTTCAGCAGATATTAGGACAAACTCCAGCAAATGTTGTTGTGCTCTTCTGATATTCATGTCCTTGGCTCAGAAGGTGAGATCAATGAAACATCAATGAAACAATTTTGGATTCATTCTCTATACCTGAATCACTCTCCTGCTAGCTCAACCAGGCCATTATTCACCTCATTCTTATCTCCCCTTGTCCTGTTCTCCAGTAGGACAATTGCTTCAGGTATAATAATCACATGCAGGCTTGGGACTATGACTGCTTAGAGCATATACACTCCATCCATGCTGCCAGTATTGAACCCAGCACCCACTGAAAATCTTGCACATAAAATCAGTTTGTCTAAAGGATTAATGAAACCAGTCACAATTGGGGGGGGGTATCCTTTTATTGCTTATGTTGGTGCTGATGCTCTTTGCCCTGGAATGATGCAGACAACCTTCTGGAAAGACTTATTTGGTTGGTCTCAACTTCTTTACACTGTTAGACAGTGACAAGTGGGACTTGCAACAAAATGTTGCAGTTCAGAGTGCTCCTGTTCCATGTTGGTCATGTCTTCTGTCAAGATAATTCCATTCCATTTCCACCTCCTCCTTTTCCATTCCTGCCCCAGCATTCCTTCTCCACTCAATAAGCTCAAACCTCATTGGACTGTTTAGGGGTTTTGCTTCCCCTTAAGGGTTTTTATCCACAAGCTTTATTTAATACTTCTTCAAACCTTGATGTTCCTCAAGGTTACTAATAACTTCCTTCTGTTTGTGAATGGTACTGTTTTTACTACCTAAGGGTTGGCATTCTGAAAACTGAGTTTGCTATTGGTGTATACAATGTTTGCCAAGTAATGTTGGCGTACAGAAACTCTGTTTTATTAAGTTACTAGTATATGAAGCATTTTTCTTATACTTATTTCCCAATGCTGTATATATCTGGCATTTCAATAAAATTTTGCAGGTTTTTTTTTTAAAGAAATCAGCAACAAAAAGGTGATTCTTCAAGCATTTCTGGTCATAGTCACCCATTGGTTGGTGAAATAACCAATCTGTTTGTCTGTACCTTGACTTTCTCATCTATGAACATGTGGGTTGATGGGAATGGTATGTGTCTGATATCGAGGGGAACTGTGGAGCTGAGCAACAGGCAGCAGTGAGCAAATTCACTGAGCCCACAAGTAGATCCTTGGTTTCTGAAACCTTCAGGAAACCCTGGAAAGTATAGACATGGGGGGAAGAAGAAGAAGAATTTATTATTTATACCCCGCCTATCTGGGTTTCCCCAGCCACTCTGGGCGGCTCCCAACCGAATATTAAAAACACAAGACAGCATTAAACATTAAAAACTTCCCTAAACAGGGCTGCCTTCGGATGTCTTTTAAAAGTAAGATAGTTGCTTATTTCCTTGGCGTTCCACAGGGCAGGTACCACTACCGCAAAGGCCCTTTGCCTGGTTCCCTGTAACCTCACTTCTCGCAGTGAGGGAACCACCAAAGACCCTCAGCACTGGACCTCAGTATCCGGGCTGAACGGTGGGGGTGGAGACGCTCCTTCAGGTATACAGGACTGAGGCTTTAAAAGTCAGCACCAACACTTTGAATTGTGCTCGAAAATGTACTGGGAGCCAATGTAGGTCTCTCAGGACCGATGTTATATGGTCTCGGCGGCCACTCCCAGTCACCAGTCTGGCTGCCGCATTCTGGATTAATTGCAGTTTCCAAGTCGCCTTCAAAGGTAGCCCCATGTAGAGCACATTGCAGTAGTCCAAGCAGGAGATAACTAGAGCATGCACCACTCTGACGAGACAGTCCACAGGCAAGTAGGGTCTCAGCCTGCATGCCAGATGGAGCTGGTAGACAGCTTCCCTGGACACAGAATTGACCTGTGCCTCCATGGACAGCTGTGAGTCCAAAATGACTCCCAGGCTGTGGACCTAGTCCTTCAGGGGCACAGTTGCCCCATTCAGGACCAGGGAGTCCTCCACACCCACCCGACCCCTGTCCCCCAAGAACAGTACTTCTGTCTTGTCAGGATTCAACCTCAATCTGTTAGCTGCTATCTATCCTCCAACATATGTTAACACTCAGATGTTTGTTGCACCTGAGATTGGGATGAAGGCAGGTTACAGATAGGTTGTGAGTTGGAAAGGAAACTTCAGTGGTCATGAGGGTACCTCAACTGAGAACTGCTTACAAAATTTCTGTTTAAGAACCGAGCAGCATAGCTCTTCACTAGCAGAAATTTACAGACTATCTTCAAGGGCAGCTTCATGTAGAGTGCTTTACAGCAGCAAATAGAAAGGTAACCACAGCTTGGGTGATTGTGAACAGAGCTACATTGTCAAGCCAGGTGATCAGTTTTCATTGATAAAAGCCATTCCTGTAATTTGCTATTATTATTAGACACATGAGCTGGGATTTATCTTGCCCAACTTCATTATGATTTTCCTGACTTTGTGAAATTGCTTGGATTTGTGTAAATGGACATGTCTCCTTGCAGTTTAACTGTTTCATTTGACTGCTTCACAGGTCTGCGATATCAGGGGAAAAAATGTTGTAGGGGCTATGGTAAAATTAGCACGTACGGGTTAGCAAATGAGAACTATTTTATGTCTGAAATCTTATGATTCTAATCTTGGTGTATCATTGGTCATTTTAAAGATAATATGTATTCATTTGAATACTTCCCCCCCCCCCAACGTTTAAAAATGGGAGTTGGATATTTAAAAAGTGGGGCGTGATATCTCCAAGTCACGACCTGCCCTTTTTTTCTTACTGACTGCTGGCTTCAAAATGAGAGTTGATTACAATGCAGAATTCCTTCCATCCTCTCGCTGCTCTTCAATGGTTTTGCACAGTGTGGGATTGCTGAAAAGCAGACACACCAAATTCAGATTATGAATAGAACTAAACCTGGCCTTGCTTACCTGGTATCTATGCATTGCATATGCCAGAGATCTTGATGCATCGCAACCTGGAAAAAAAACCCCAAAAGCTGAATGTCCCTGTTAATGCTTCATGTTATCCCCACCCTCAGCTTACTTTGAGGATAGTTTGTGCTGTCCACATACTTAACATGCTGGGGATGTTAAGAAATATGTCCAAGGACAGCCAGTATTGTGCCCTTTAGATGTTGCTGGAGCACAGCTTCCATCCTTGACCATGGGCATCTTTATTTATGCTCTTAATTTAATCCACTTAATTTACAATGTTGACGTGTTGTTTTTGATGAAGACCGTGGTTCTTTATTTATTTTAACAGTTGATCTTAGTCATTTTGTTCATGTCTGTGTCTTCAAATTACGTTGCGCTAGATTTTGCAATAGTAATAATAATAAAATAACTATACAATAAACAAGTTTTTAAATAAATAAATAAATCTTGGCAATTCTTTTACAAGTTCTGAGAACTGTGATGGCCACACCTATAACATTTCTATTTCTCTTCACAAGCAGTTGCATGCCCTTTTTGGAGTGACCGTATCACTCAGTTGTCCCTGCACTCTCCCCACCTGTTATCCCAGTTCTTTACTTGCCTGGTTTTACCCCAGTTCTGTGTTTAATCATTATTTTCAATTCTATTTCCCTTTTGTCAAAAGGAAGTGTCCAATGAGAGGAAAATGCCAGTGGAAGCCAGACACCGTTCCTCCAGCACCACTTCCCTCACTTTCCCTCACGATTCTCCTCCTGTGTTACCCTTTGATCCCCAGCACTATTCAACCCAACTGCAGCACCTCTCCCATGATGCACCAGTGCCTAGCATGGTGGGCAAGACACATAGGCCATCAGGTAATCACTGGGCTCTTCCTCCTCCTCCTCCTGTGTCATGGGAGAGTAAGTACGCCGCTCTTTCATCAGCTGTAGCACAAGGCTCTGGGCTGGGCTCTTCTGCAATAGTGATGCTTTTGATCCCTCCAGCTGCCTGGAATGATGCATGACCTTTCCACAGTACGTTGTCTTAACACACCGCACTGCTCAATCCATACTGTAGTGAGTGGGCATCTAAAATAAACGGTTCATCTTTAGCCTATGTTAAGTAGCAGTATTTCTTCATCCTGTCATGGCGGTATACCTGTCGTATGACTCTATCCCCCCACAAAGAAAAGGGTGTGAGAAGAGTTGGCATTGTTTGTTTGCATTGTTGTTTTTACATACTAGTTATAGGCTTATCAAGTTTGGTGGAGGTATGGGATGAAGAATACCAGTCATTTCCCTCAATCTTTCAACACCCTACCATCCTACCGACCATTGAAGCCTTTACTCTTGGAAAGCGAGGGGCAGTACTGTGTTGTTGTTTTCTTTCCCCAAACCTGAACCTATTGCCTCTTCCTTCTAACCCTGGAGTCACCTTTAGGAGAAGGAGGATGTATGTTATTTCATATCTGTCGTAATCACCCTAGTGACCCTGTGTGAGGGGGCCGTAGTCAGGTTTTGCCTATAGTTCAGTATTGTCCCCAAGGAATGAATAGCAGCTTTTTATGAATTTTACTAGTGTTTTGTTTTAAAGCACTCAAACTCCTTTGTTAGTAGCTTCCGAGGTACATTGTTGATATATCATTACTTAAAAAACAAACAAAAAACATCTGCTCGGGGCAAATAATTTTACATTTTTCCTTTTCTCAGGAAATCAGAAGAACATCCAAAAAATTTTGGTTGTGCCTGACAGGGGTGAAACTTTCCAAGGTGAAGACAACCCAGCTGTGGCACTGAACTATGGGAGCCTCACGTACAAACAGCAGGGCCTGCCTTCTCAACTTGGGCAGAGACCTCTTCTTAATCAACATTTAGGAAGCAAAGAAGCATCTGGCCCCCCTGGCCACTGGCTGCAGATGAGTCACACTGCCAGACAAACAGCAACACTGCCAGATAGACAAACAGTACACTGGGGATCTGCTGCTCCAACAAGCAAGGGATCACAAAAACATTTACTCCAGCAGCCACTGCAGCAAGGAAAACGGGATGCTTGTGCCGCTGACTGTAGGTCGCCGCTTGGCACGAGTTACAGTACCTTAAGCATACCTCAGCGGGCTTCAAGAGACACAGGTGGCTTTCAAGGTTGTCCAGTGCCACCCACACAGGCCAAGGCTCCAGGTCCCAGAAGGGTAGATATGCCCCCAGATGAAGACTGGCGGCAGAATAGCTATACCTCTCAGCCTGGAGCAAGGAGAGTGTTGCCAGTGCACATGATAGATGGAACTTATTCATCTGCTTCTGAAGCTCACCGTAGGATGCTGGCCCGTGCAGCTGCTGCTTCCATGCACAACAGCAACTGGTGAGGTCTCTTTAACTTCAGAAGGGATTGCCCCCTTATGAAACAGGTTGTCCGAGCTATAGTTGATAAGACAGCAAGATTTTTTTTTCAGTCCGTGTCTGTGCCAGTCTTGTCTTTAAAAGTAGCTATACGATAAGTGGAAGCTAATTGCACTGTGTTTCTGTACTGCCGAACCGCTGTCCATGGAGAACTATTTGGAGACTCCATTCTCAGCCTCTCTCCGCAGAAAATGGTTTCAGGCCCACTAGCAATTGGAAGAAGAGCAAGAGCTGCGAATGAAATCGGTTGTTGACAACAGGCTGTGTTTAAAAGGACTTAAGTCATGAAAAGCATCGCTACTAATCCCATATGCCAACCCATTATTCAGTTTTGAGTTCTTCTTCTCCATTAGGTGGGGCCTGATAAACTTCCCATGTTCTCTGAAGTTAGAGATTTGGCAGTGCTTATGGGTTAATGAGGCAAATGTATCCTTCTTTGTGTTGAGATGTTAGGCACAGATGACTGCCGTAGGTGCTAGTGCGGAGCTGGAAAGAAGGCATAGCTCATGTGTAAATCAGGCCTTCTCCCACTTCCTCAAAGCAGACTAACAGTGCTTCAGAAAGCAAAGACTGTTAAGGCTGCACACTTAATTATAACATTGTAAACACAGAATCACTTTAACTATTTTAGGGTCAAACATACTTGCCTTTGTAAGTATTTTTCAAATAAATTTATGAAATAGTTATATTTATTGGGTGGTGTATGAATTGCTCTTTTTGTCTTTCAACCAGGCGATTTAAAAAACCTAACAAACTGGTATTCTACAGTTCTTGCACATTCATTAGCTCTTACTTTTGCTTTGCACATGAGCTGCATATTATGGAAACTATCCCCTGGCATCTGATACAGGTTCGCTCATGATCCTGTATTTGGAGCAAACCTCTGGAAACAGGTAGGACTTCCCACTCTATAGGCAGAGGTGTAAGAGTACCGTGCTGCTATGTTTTTGGCATCCGTCTGTCTGGAGAGACAAGGGAGTGTGCCTCCAGAGGTGAAGACAAACGGCTGCATTAGCAGCACCGAAGTAACCTCAGGGCGCAAGCCTGGGCAGTGTGTTTGGAGGTTTTTGACTGCCCAGATGACAGGACTCCCCCTCCCCTCTCACCCTCACTGATGTGGTCCAAAGAGAAGCAGAGCTATACGTTTGACACCAGCTTGGCTGCAGGAGTTGCTAGAAGGGGGCGTACCAAGGCACCATCCAGCCACCGTAGGGACTCCAGATTTGCGTAGGATTTACTTCTTAGCCTTTTCTTCTCCCGAAGGTGTTCCTAACTCACCAAGGATTTGAGACCCATCAGCTACCCTCACCTGGTTTAGCCAGCCAATCAAAGCTATTTCCAGGGTGTGGCTGCTGTTACATGCTGGCAACTTCTAGTAGCCACGGGTGAAAGCTGAGTGCAGGGTATGGACCAAAGGTGGACAAATTACCCCAGAAGCAGCACAATATGTCCCCCAACAGAGATACTATCTCTCCCCTAACACCCTATACTAGTGTGGTTATTCTATAAACATATGTAGAAGTTCACCAGTGTGGTTGGATGAAGGCCAAGAAGTTCAAATCCCAGCTCAGTCATCAAGCTTGCCAGGCAACTTTTGGCCAATCGATCTCATACCCTACCTCATAGGGTCGTTCTGAATATTAAATTGAAAGGTAAGGCACATGTATGCTGACCTGAGCTCTTTGGAGGATAGGGGGGAAGTAATTAAAGATAAAAATTAAAAGATAAAACAATTTGTTAACAGGTAAGGAATCTCCATACCATCTGCTGCCTGTCAGAGTTAGTCTGAGACTTTATTTGAAGAAAAACTGCTCTCTGCCTGTTAAAGGGGCTGGGCTGGCTACTGACTTCCATATGATCTCCGTTCCTTTTGGGATTTTTTTACATTGCCTGTAGCTCCTGCTAAGAGGTAGGTGTGTTGAATGAGTAATTAATTGCTTTTTAAAAATTAGGTATTTTGAACTTAGGAGCTAGCTCTACCAGGAGTGTTGGTGTGTGAAAAATCTGAGCTTTGTGAATTGTTCTTCTTTGTCTCATTGCTTGAGTCCTGCAAGAGCATGGCACATTGTTACATTATCCTTTTAGGGAATATTGTCAAAGACTTGCCAGTGTTACAATGAACACCATGGTTTGCTCCCACACAGAAACTATTAGACTGAAAAGTGGATTGTTAAGTTCTTGACCTCCATATAAAACCTAGACTGCTGCCTAGTGTTCCTTCTAAATACATATGCCAAATTGTCATCCTGCTTGAAAATTATACTCCCCCCCCTTTTTTTTGCAGTGCAACTTACTAAATGTACAGCTCATTTAACATGATGCTGTGGTTTCCGGGGGGGGGGGGGGTGTATGCAGTCTGAGCACCGAGCTGCAGATAATATTTTTACACCTGACCTAAATGTGATACGGTTGCCCATTCAATTCTCAGTATTCCTCTGTAGCACTGTCATATGATGTCTCTAGTAACAACCACGCTCAGAGCAACCTTTTAAAAGCTCTCATGTCACCTGCTAGTGGTGATGCAGGAGCAATCAGCTGGAGTGAATTGCCTTGTTACAAAGCTGAATAGAGCACAGCTGTGCCAAAAACAGTCTTACTGGGCTGCAAATCAAGGCCAAAGGCTCCTATCAGAGAGGTGCGAGCATCATTGTGAACACTGACTTCTGATGCTGCCCCGATTCTGGTGAAAAGTAAGTACATTGAGTATAAGGTGAAAGACAGGCTGCTATTTCACTTTTGATTTTATTTTTTGCTTTGTAGATGAGGATTTGTGAAGACACTGGTTTTCTTACATTTTAATACTTTTAAGGTGGTAGAATAAGGTAACAAAAGACAACACACAAATTAGGTTACAAGGTGGTGATCTATATGCCCTTATCGCTTGGCTGGAACCCAGGCTAATGAAGAAGGTGCTAGTGAGGGGGGCAAGGGTTAGCTGGAAAATAAATGCAAATTTGATCACGTTTTAATTCCTACATATTGTACGTATTTTGTTGCAATCAGCTTGGCCTGTGGTCAGGGATGTTGCTACAGGCACTATTAAGATAGGTGGGCTATAATTTTAAATAAATGGGAGTGGAGAGAGAAGTATGTGTGTGAAGAGAAAGGTGAGTTAAGGGGTGTTTGAAAATGTGGCTTGGGTTAAGGATTCAGCATGTCCTGTGTCGGGTGTAGCAATGTGTATAGATGTTAGGAGACTATATATTTATTAAATGTTATGCTTCCTCACATTTGTGAGTTCAGCAGAGTACATCCTTTTGCAACTTATAAAGAAGCTTAAATAGGGTAGTTTTAGCCTTTCAGTTTAAGTAATGCAGAATGCTTTAAGGCAGACTGGATTCTCCTGATATCCCCCCCACTTCTCCCCCTTAAAACAATAATCACACAAGCAACATTGTAAAAAAGTAAAAAGAACCTTTACTCAGTTTATGTTGCAGAATAACAGATACAGTAGCTTTGTTCAGGTAGGCTTAAAATGACAATTCAATTAGACATGCTTCAGTTTAGCTTCAGATGATGTCTGAACTACGAAGCTCAGCCATGCAGATTGTTCTCAGCTTTCTGGCTTGTGGTGGGCAAAAAGCTTTTCGGCCTGGATTTTCACATTTTGAAATATGGCAACCCTAGGTTCTCTCTAGCAAACTGGTCCAGGAGCTTCGACTTCTAACACTACACAGGTAAAACATTCCCTCAAAGGTCACACCTGCTGCTTAAAAATTCTTTGTCAATAGCAAATAAAAGCTAGGAAGGAGAAATATGTGTAGCATGGAAGTCTAAGCAAACTAAAAAGAGATCAGTGTTGTTTCATAAAAATCTCATTGTTACGATCCTGAGCTCACATAAAGATATGCAAGATGAATATATTCCCCTAGATGTAGAAACTGATGCAGAATAATCTTGTCTTAATATGGATGGTCTTGATCTAGTCCAAGGTGCCCACCAGTTTATTGTCCAGTTTAATAACCTCTCTCTAGACAGAGGCGGCTTTAATATGGTCCTAGATCAGGGATGAGGAACCTCTGCTGCTCCAGATGTTTATGGACTCCAGTGCTTATCAGTCCCCGCAGCCAACGCAGGTAGCTGCTGGTTGGTGATGGGTGTTATAGTTTAAAATACTCTGTAGTGCCATAGATTCCCCACCTCTATTTTAGGCCCTCTCGGATAAGCATCCTGTATCCCATAGTCTGAACCAGGACCACCTTCTAGTTTTTATAAAAGCCTGGGTTTGCCAGTTATAAGTCCAGCATAAAAGCCTCTAGGCAGAGTAATTTAATATTAATGGTGATTTAATATGAAGCTACCAAAAGAGCCTTTTCTTTGGACAATCCACGAATCGTCACATGAAATTATTTATGCAGCATGATGACACTGGGGAAGTGAGCTTCCTAAATGTTTAGGACTGCTTGAAGGCTTTTAAAGGGAACTTTATCATAGCTTCTGCCTCTGCAAAAAAATTTAGTTGTAATTGCAGTTTCGTTCACTTTTTCTTTTATTATTATTGCTGGCCGTCCAGTGCTGGATTTAGGGAAGCCTCAGCAGTTCCCCTCCACAGGGTTCTGAGGCGAGAGGGTGCAAAGCCCATTTAAAAAGCAATTGTGCCTGTGTGGAAAATAAGAGATATTATGGGAGGTCCCTTGGGACTGTGGCTCTCGCCCTTGTTTTATTGCTTGGGGGAATTTCGACACGCTTCTTTTTTTTTACACTTTTGTGAGCCGCCTTGCAACCGTCCAATATCAATACCGCTATGGGGGGGCAGTTAATATGCCACAAACTAATATTCCTACTGAGAGCAATAGACGCTTTAAAAAAAAAGAAAGGGGAAAAGAAAAGCATTTCGGAAGCACCCTCATTTATTTGCATGAGGAGCCTTTAATTATGGCGCCTCAGCCGAGCACTTCTGAGGCGCTCCCTTAAGCCTCCTCGTGGCGGGGGCGGCGGGGCGGGGGGGGGGGGGATTGCGGGCGCGGTGCATGCCGGTTCCGAGGCGGGCTGCACCCGCCGCCTCGTCACTCGCGCTCGCGCGCTCTTTTTCCCTCAGCGGCTAGTCCGCCGCCATGTTGCTTTGGGCCCTGGCTGCTCCCGCCCGCCCCTAGTCTCTCGCCGCCCGCCCCTCGCCCTCGCGCTGGCCGGGCCCCGGCGGGAGGCGGATAAAGAGAACCGCAGCCGGGGCGGGGGGCGGCCGGGGCGGGTAGAGACGCTGAGGGAGCCGCCGCCGTTGCTCCTCTCGCCGCCCGCGCCATGTCCGGCAAGGAGGGGACTCGGGTTGCGCTGGCGACGCCTCACGGTACCTGTGAGCGGGCCGTCAAGGGTGAGTGACAGGCCCGGCCAGGCCCGGCCGCCTCGCTAGGCCCGCCTCCTGGGGCTGGGCTGGGCGATCCCGCGCCTCGCCCGTCAGTTCCCCTCGCTCCGCGTGTGTATGTGGGGAGTTCATACGTGCTGTGGGTGCGGGCCTGAGAGGCGGTTGCAGGCGCCGCTCGCGTCCTCTTCGTGCCCGCTTCCTCACCCGAGGGAGGGAAGAGCGCATTGGCTGCTTGTTTGTGTGGCGCCTGCCTGCGAGCGTGGTTGTGTGGTGGATGTCCATCGGGATGCCGGGGGGGGGGGATTTTTCTGTGGTGTTGTAGTTGTTTCCTTTATGCAGCGAAGGTGCGGGCTGGGTTTTGTTTGGTAGCCCTCCGAACAACCCTCTTGAGTTGGGCTGAGAGAGTTTGTGGGGTTGCCTCCCCCCACCTGAAATTTGAGCGGGGATTGCTTATTTGAATCCTGGGTTTTCGGGTTAGTTTTTTTTCCCCCCAAGGCAGGGAGACAAAAAGGGGTGAGATGGAAGGGAAATACATTGAGGGTTCCAGCTGGTATAGCACAGCTGTTCTCTGTCGAGGGCAATGTATGTAAAATGTATTACCATCATTATGTATTTTATTTATACCCTGTCTTCCCCCCCCCCCCCATGAGCACTCAAGGCAGCTTACAGATAAAAAGAACTGCTAGGAACGTGATTAATATTATTATTGAAAAGCTTTGTCAAGGGCAGTATAGTAGAATGAAATATTGGTATCAATATATTTATACCCCAACTTTCCCCTTGATTGGGACTCATGATAGCTTACAGATAAAAACACAAACTGCTAAAAACATCATTTAAGCTAAATAGGAATAAAACTAAATTATTAGTTAAAAACATGAAGGAAGAAGAAAGAACCGAATTAGAACAAAACATTGAGATTGAAGTCCATAAAAAGGTTAAATATTTAGGGGTTTGGTTAACATCAAGAAATATAAACCTGTTTAAAAATAACTATGAAAAAAATTGGCTTGAGGTAAAAAGAAATTTAGAAATATGGAGCAGAATGAATCTCTCAATGTTAGGAAAAATATCAGTGATTAAAATGAATGTGTTGCCAAAAATGCTATTTCTTTTTCAATCAATACCAGTCATCCTGAAAGATGAATGCTTTAAAAAATGGCAGAAAGAGATTTTAAGATTTATCTGTGGGGGCAAGAGGCCTAGGATAAAACATAAAATACTTACAGATGTAAAAGATAGAGGCGGGTTTGCCCTCCCAGACCTTAAATTGTATTACGAATCTGCTTGTTTGGTATGGATCAGGGACTGGATGAGATTGGACAAGCAAGAGGCATTAGAACTAGAAGGACATGACAACAGATTTGGTTGGCATGCATACTTATGGTACGGGAAAGGGAAGATTCATAGAAGCTTTTACAACCATATAATCAGGAAATCATTAATGAGAGTATGGGAGAGATATAAAGACTTATTGGAACAAAAGACTCCGTGGTGGCTTTCACCACATGAAGCATTACTGCTCAAACCACTTGGAAAGAAAGGGAAATGGCTCATCATCATCTTAATACAGAGTGATTTACAATATAAAAACAAAAAAATAATAATACATAACATAGTATCAAACAAAAAACACTGTTCCCTCCCAGACTTTTTAATTAGCCAAAGGCCTGGGAGAAGATCATTTTTTGCCTCCCACAGGGGCCACAACAGAAAAGACCTTTTGTTGTCACCCTCCCAACCTCTCATGTCTCATGGAAGGGGGCACACGAAGGAGTTCAGGTGCTGATCACAGGGTCCAGGTTGGTTCATATGGGGAGAGATGGTAATGTAGAAAAAACATACAGTTAAACATTAACAGAATTCAAACTATATATATATATATATATATATATATATATTGATAATTACAATAAAAACAGCGTGGCACCAGTCTTTTCATTAAATGCCGTACGGTCACCAAATGAATGAGTTGGATTATGTAGAAGGAGACACTCAGTATTCATTGCCATATAAATCAGCAACAACCCGTTAAACTTGGCCTGGTAGTTCAGTTGAGCACATGTGTGTTATGTGCACAGTAGAATGTACCACTGAGCATCCTAACCACTGTGTTTTGCACTAGCTGCAGATTCTGAATAAACTGTAAGGACAGCCCTACATATAATGCAGCTTGGTGATTCAGCAATATAAAATAGCAGAAGTACTGTAAATAATAAAATAAAATAAATAATTCACTCTGGAGGCTACTGTATCTAAACTGTCTCTGTTCAGGAAAGGGTTCACCAGCCGAAAATTGGGTGTGTTTTGGTGGTAGAGAGTCGAGACACATTACATTCATTCTACACCAAGTGGACTGGTTGACACTGTGCTTCCAGATCCAGTTTCCTGTCCTGATGTTTTTAAACTTTTATGTATTGCCTTTATGCCTATGAATCTATCTGTGGCTTAAAACTGGATTTGCAGCCTTGCTCCTTTCATACCATCAGCTTCCATCAACAACTTGGCCGCCAAATTTTGCATGAGCTGCAGATTTTGAACTGCCTTTAAAGGCAGCCAATGCACTGCAGTAGTCCAAACTAGGGTTACCAGTGCACAGGCAACAGAAGTCAGGCTGCCCCTGTCCAGATATGGCTGCAGCTGGCCACCAGTTGAAGGCTCATGCAACATAATGGATCCAGAAGGTACCCCCAAGCTATGCACTCACTCCTTCCAAGAAGGTGTATAGTATTCAGCCTTGATTATTGTAAATCTTAGATCTATTTCAACAACATCATATTGAAATCAGAAATACTATGTCTGATCTTGCTCTAAATGTAGTTTTGTCATCCTAAAATCAATTGATGAGAAATCTAGCATAACATAATTTGTTTACAATTCCTGAAACATGAGTTTTTGGCATGGTTTAGGAGTGGCTCTGGGAGAGAGCAGAGCTCTTTGCCTTGAATGGCTGTTTAGCAGTTGGAAATCTAACAATCTGACAGACATTTTATGTGTAATCTCTTATTTGTTTTTTTCTGTGAGTCAGTGGCCCTTAAAAAAAAAAATTCAGAGATTTCCCACCCCTGCCTTATACTTATCATAGAAAAAAGACCCAGACATGGAGTAGTCTCCTAACCTGGTTACCATCTTCCCCACTATGGGGAGAGCTAATTTACCTATAAATTAGTATATGCAAATTTGTATCCTCTTTTGGGAGGGGCAATACATATATAGTGTACTGGGCCCAAAGAACTCGGCACACTGATCCCTCTTGTGTGCCCAGAAACCTGCCCTCTCAGACGTGGGCAGGACAGCAGGATCAGACCTTTGTTCACATTGCTGAGGAAACAGCTCTCCTTGTGGGAGGATTCTCTAGCCACCACCTTCAGGAGTGTGCTGTCCAAGGTCCTGATAGCCCCTACCTTACCTGTTGTGACCCTGCCTTGCTTTGCCTGCTGTGACTCAGACTAACTGGTAAGTGCCTCTGCAGCCGTATGCTTCGCCTGAGCTTCAAGCTGGGTCAGGGCAGGACACATGCTTTTCATTAGACAAAGTGGTCCAGGCAGCTGCTGCTGTGGGACTACTTTTCTTGGCTGCTTACAGCAACTTTCTGCCTTTACTGAACCCATTCCCAACTTAACATTTTATTTTTTTAATGTTAACAGTGCCATCCTACAAATTTGTATTCAAAAGTCTCAGTATGTTCAGTGGTGCATCCTCCAGTGTCATAGGAGGCATATAATAAAGCAAAACATAAAATAAAAATGACCCCTCACAGCATCTAAACCTATTATAAAGTAAGCCTTGTAAATGCAAACATATTCATTATTGCTTTGTTACAGTAAAGCTAAACTTGATTGAGTGGGAGCTTCTTTTCTATTATTTTGGTATTTGCATTTGATGGAGTAAAGTGTAGTCCACAAAAGGTTATGTCTTTAAGATGCCACAAGACTTTGTTGTGCTACAAAAACCTAGCATAGATATCCCTCTGGAAATAACAGATAATGAATCTTATAATGTATAAATTATCATTGAATAAAATCTGTGTGGTCTTCTGTAAGCTGAGTCAATGTTTTGAACCAGATACCATTTTTAAAATGAAATAATTAAATTTGGGTTCAAACCCCCTGTAATGAAGGAATCTCCGCTAGATAATACATTACAGATAGCCATCCACCCTCTGCTTTAAAGCCTTCACAGAATCGTGGAATTGTAGAGTTGGATAGATATTGGCATTGATTCTTTTTCCATAACACCCAGCAGGATTTAATTGGGAACAAAGGGGACTGAATAAATTCCCAGTAACAGGGCAATCTGAGCCTTCAGTCTGCTTTACTGGATGGGGTTTGGGGGTGGCCCTCTGCTGAGCCCTGCTTGGATCTACCAACAAAGAGCAAATACCCAAATGGGGAAAAGTTGCTACCAGCACCACTGGCATTAATTCCCACCCCATGTCTTCCCTTTTCACCTAGGGAGATTAAGCCCTTCCTCATTTAGTGTTGAGTGCGGCAGCCAGCACACCTGCCATTTACCACTTGACTGGGACTATCCCAGTCAGTTGGATAAATATAAGTTAAAACAATCTCCTTTAAGGAACAAAACAAGTCCAAAAGGGGGTGGCTGCCCTTGTGGCATTCTCCTTTGGTGTCATCCCTTTGGATGGCACTGGCCTGGCCTGTCACATTGCAGCATGTTGCTTTTATGGGCAGGAAATTATGCCAGAGTTAATTTTTACCGTCATATCTCCATTTGGTAATGCCATAACCATGGAGCTTCACAGATGGATGAGGACTTTTAGGAGTTGAGGAGAGGTGATGATAATATGCGTCCCCTGCCCCTTTCCTCCACACTGTCCAGCACAAACACAGAAAAAAAGCAGAGTTTGTGACTTTCTACACCAAACCATAGCTTGCTCTAACCACAGCTTGGAACCCAAACAGTGTCCTGAGCTTCCCAAAGTAGCTGGTTTATAATTGCTTTTCTGTTTCCAGTTTCATTGTCAGATTTTTTTGTTTACTCCAGTCCTTATGGTGAATCAGCCTGTGGAGCTAGATTATAATTATGGCTTTGTTTAACTGAATTCAGACAGCTCCTCAAACTGCTTAATGAACTTTAGTTTGGCATTATATATGAACTGAACCATACTCTTGTGCTCTAGACCAAAAAGGGAACTGGGAAAGGAACGTACAAATAGGCCCCAGCTTGGTTTTCTAAGTTGCTGCAGTCACAAGGTGTAGGGAATATGTTTATTTCAAACCTCAATGGTATCCTAAAGCACACTCTTTTATTTCTCTAATAATAGTGCCTGCCACTTTTCCTGTGTGGAATACTAAATCAATGCACATGCATTTCTGAAACTGAATGGCCTTGCCCTCACTGCCAAGGAAACTATATTTTTGTGTGCTTTGTGCACACCCTATAATGTATTCCATCCCCACACATTCAGCCCCCTCATTTTCCTAGTATACATACATAAATAACCAAGCCAACTGTTTCTTCCTTCCTTTTTTAAAAAGTCACTTTTTTGTCTGTCTTAGATCAAAATGGTGCTCAGAGCTTTTTCAAGTCATTGATTGTAAGTAATATTTGCGGTATTTCATTTTCAGCTGTCCCTTTTCCGCCAACACACCGATTAACATCAGAAGAAGTGTTTGATGCAGCTGGAAAACCTCGGGTTGATATTTTGAAAAACCACCTAATAAAAGAAGGTCGGGTAGATGAAGAAATTGCACTAAGAATCATCAATGATGGTGCTGCAATTTTAAGAAGAGAGAAAACCATGATAGAAGTTGAAGCTCCTATTACAGGTGCAAGCTCTGGCTAACTGTTGCCACTTTTAATGTCATAAATGCATGGAATGAGGTTTCAGTACCTTTGGAAGTAAAATAATTTAGGTAGAAAGATTGAAGGTGTAGAATTTTCGCATGAATGGTAAAGAAAAGAAAGGGATTATATGAGCTTTGAAATATACTGGGGTAGTGATGTCATTGATAAGCCTTGAGACCTGTCCTCCCACTTTTTCTTCCTCACGTGGTACAATTGCAAGGAGGTGATTTTATGCTTTCAGTTGACTACAGTTTAACATTACATCAGAACATAAACCATCTAGTACTAGCTATGATTTGCGGCCAGGTGGGAGGAATATTCATAATCTCTGGTTGGAAGTTGACTTGTTTCAAACAAACCATAGTTAATATTAACCGTAGTTTGTTGGGTTCAGATGCAATGAAAAGCTGCAGTTAAAATGGCATTGTATCTAATCTCCTTGCTGGTGTGCCAAAGGAGAGAGCAGAGGGTGAGTGTGCAAGTCTCAGACTTGTCTCATATCATTCTTGTCATTATACAAATCATGATTTATTGTGATGTTTGAACCAGCTCACTGTACCTTGGATGAAGCTTTGCTTTTCAGCTTGCTAAAAAAAATACAATTTAATGGTCCACTGGAAACTAGAACAAGTCTTTCTGAAATTTTATATTTGCTTAATAATTTTAGTAGTGATATAATTTACACTTCTGAAATTGAATACATTTAAATTTTATCTAAGGCTTGATTTGGTTGTTTATAAGTTTGGCTATGTGTCAAGTTTTGCTTTTTATAGCTTATATTTTTGGGGAGGCAGGATTAAATACTTTAAATTATGACATAAAGGTTGTATTTCCTAATTTTAGAGTTTTAGTATTTCCCAAAATACATTGGACTTCATAGAATAAATAACATATTTATGCACCCTTATATTGTCATGCTTTTAGACTTCTGCATCATTTGCTTTTGCTACACATAAAATACCCATCACTTTATGTGCAAAGATGATGGTGCCTTGTGACTAGGAATGCACAAGTATTGCTGCTTCTTATCTGAAAGAGACCAAGCCTTTGTGAACCTTCCAAATGTATGCTTCCCTTCCTTTGTGAATGTTCACTAAGTCTTGAATTTTTGTTTAGTGTTTCATTAGTGAGTGACTACAAAGCATCCTCTGCTGCTGCTGTCTTTCCCATTTCTGCTCTAAGGTTCAGTAACTTACCTTGGAGCAGGACGGGGAAAAGTGGCAGAGATGTCTTGTAATCCCCAAAGGTAAAGGGACCCCTGACCATTAGGTCCAGTTGTAGCCGACTCTGGGCTTGCAGCGCTCATCTCGCTTTATTGGCCAAGGGAGACTGCGTACAGCTTCCGGGTCATGTGGCCAGCATGACTAAGCCGCTTCTGGCGAACCAGAGCAGCGCACGGAAACGCCGTTTACCTTCCTGCCGGAGCGGTACCTATTTATCTACTTGCACTTTGATGTGCTTTCGAACTGTTAGGTTGGCAGGAGCAGGGACTGAGCAATGGGAGCTCACCCCGTTGTGGGGATTCGAACCACCGACCTTCTGATTGGCAGGTCCTAGGCTCTGTGGTTTAACCCACAGCGCCACCTGCATGCCTTGTACTCCCCTAGCCCCAGAGAAATGACTTTTCTTGATGAGGATTGAGATTACTAGTGGGAAACTGATGGATGTGCATCATTTCTGCCTGGGAAGAAGGCCCTCGGACACTGCTGGGACATGGACACTGCCTACCACCTCTCCAACCTTACTTTGGGTTCTGAACTGAACAGAGAGATCTTGGGGCAGGGAAGGGGAGACGGTACTCGCAGGATAAATATGATCATCCACCCTGCATGCAGCAAACCTTCTCCCAGGCAGAAATGATGTGCATAGCATCACTTTCCTTATGGGGATTTTGGAACTGATAGTTAAGAGTTTGCCAGGAAAAGCCACTCTACCAGGGCTTTCATCATCTCTCCCCCCCTCCCCCCGCAATCCTTCCCCCCCAAGATTAGTTACTGGTCTTTGGGGCAAGGAAAGGGGGAACACTTGCTGGTGCTCACTGAGTCAAAGCAAGGACAGACTGCACTTTTAGCAGGCTGTGAACACGGCTGTGCACACAAGCATTCAGGCTGGGATGCTATTCACTGTTGCAAGTGCTCCTAGCATCTTGAAGATTCAATGGGCATGATTTTTCATAGACCAGAGGTTAATTAATTAATTAGATGGTAGATTAATTTGGAAAGCTGGTAGATACATAGGCAGTGGAGGTTGAATCCTAAATAATAGAGTTCATTAGCAAATTTGACAGTGTTTATTTCCTTTTAAATTAAGACTATGTTTGTATATTTCAGAATATAGCTTTATTCTTGAACACCTAGAACTGGTAGGTATTAGTAATCTACTGATTACTGCAAGATGATAATAGTTTAAAAAAATATTGAAGAATTGGCAGGTGTAATTGGTGAGTAAAATAAATCATGTCAAATGACTACAGAAAGTTGATATGATTAATGCTTTGCAGGAAATAAAGGCTACCTTTTAATATTTTGGAACTGGACAGAACACTGGAAAATCTTGCATAAGAAATGTTGGTTCTGAAATGAGATAGGTTATTGTGCTTTATTTTTAATATAAGAATTGCTTTAAAGTTGTAGACATGGATATTTGAATAGTATGACATCAAAAGTGTGAAGGTTAATTTCTTCCGCAGTTCTTTTCTGCATTTTTAAAATATTGTATTACATATTTATTACTGTTCAATTCAAGTTAAATACTATCGACTTAACTGATGTTCTGACTGACCTTATTCATGATTCATTTCTTGGAAATTAACTTTGCCCCCTGATGCATGTGCTACTCAGTTGACAACAGGTAGGTCTTTCCTCAGTTAGCAGCCTAATGTTCAACTTCCCAGACAGATATTAAGAGTTCCTTTCTTTGATAAAGCAGATGGTTCTCTGCTTTCTACACAGATGCTAGGCTTTTTAAGAGTGGTTTTAAATCATTTTTTACTTTGAAGTCTTTCTGTCCCTTTATCTTTATGAAAAATTTCCCCTATCCCTTAGGAGATTGTGCTCTTTTTACTTTCAGGCTGCGACCTTTTCAGTTAAAGAGAATCCGCTTTCTGAATGCATTGCAGCTGGATTATACTTTTGACTGGTTTCCATATATAGTGTGTCAGCCTCCATTTGTGTGTATGTGTTTCTCTCCTCACCCCCCCAAAAAAAGTATCTATCTATGTGGGATCGTAGCCCCAGAGAACTCTGCAGCAGCATTAGGAAAAAACTGGGAGCCAAATACACAATGCTTTTCTATTAAGTATGTTTTCCTATCTACCACCATTGATGGTGGAGCTGCATGGTGAACACCACAGGGAACATTCAGTCAGAGTTGGTTGTGGAATGGGATAAATTCCGTGGTCACTCAGAAAACAAGTCCATATGGGAAACTCTGTATCACACTGCCTTGTTAAACAGAGTAAATGCATGAAATGTCATGTGCCAGAGTTGGTTGCCTACAGGACTATATGCCATTGGTGTGTGAACACTTCCACCCAGTACCACGTGGTCCTGGGAGAGGTGGAAATTACATGCAGGAATAGTTAACAGAAAGAAGAGGGGATGTAAGGATAAAGACTGAAAGGAAAATTAGGAAAAAGAAGAAAGGTCAACATGAGGAAGAGATTGGAGCAAAAGTTATGGTAAAAAATGAATGGAGCAATAGCAAGTGATAAATTAATGAGGAAAAAGAGGACAAGTTTGCTTGAATACAATTTAAGATTCTAGTTCTGCAATAATCTAGATTTGAGAAAGTTCAAATAACTTTAGTCTTCCTTTAGGGAAGTTGGAAATAAAAATGTTTGATAGCTCCTAGGGTATGCAGACAACCTACTGAATAGCCCTGAACAGTTTATATGTTCCTAACACTTGAACATTCTTGGTGGCACCTGACACTGCAAATATTTTTCCCAGTCCTATTAATCTGAGTGTGAACAATAGCTGAAAAACAGATGGTGCAAGATTGGTGCTGGGGTGGGAAGTCATTGCTACTTAAAATTAATTTTAATTGCTACTTAAAATTAAGATGCAATGACTAGATTCTTGACCTGAAATTCTGATTGAATCAAGTTTAGGTGGTTTTCCCACCAGTAGAACTTCATCATGGTTTTTTAATCAGCAGCATTTTTATTGCAGTGTGTGGTGACATTCATGGCCAATTCTTTGACCTAATGAAGCTATTTGAAGTGGGAGGATCACCTGCTAACACAAGATACCTGTTCCTTGGTGACTATGTAGACAGAGGATATTTTAGCATAGAGGTAATTGAATGTGTGTGTCCTGATGTTAATATCAACAATGGTTTTCCCATTTATTTGCTAAAGTAACTGTTTCACCATGGTAAGATGTATGTTTATTCTCTCTGAAGGAGGTGATGATAAAACTGCTATTAAAGAAGCTGAGTTCTAGATTCCTCAGCTTTGGAAAATTACTGTCCCATTTCAGGCTTACTGTTGCTCAGCAAGGTCCTAGAGTGAGTGAAGTCTTGCCAGCATCAGGCAGTTTGGAGGACGCCAGTTATTTAGAACAGCTCCATTTTTTTTTATTTTTTCTTTGCCTGGATTCAGGATGGAAACTGCCTTGTTTGCCCTGGTGGGTGACTTATCCTGAGAACATTGAAAATATGACCCCACTGGTTCTTCTGGGCCTCATGGCAGCTTCCAGTAACATAAACCATTATATTATGTGCCTACACCCTTTATTAGCCTTTCTTGGTTTGTAATTTTTTCCACAATCACAATCTTTCACATATTACTACACCATAAGGCAGTGTTTCGGTCCGCTAGAGGTTTCCATGTGCTAAAGGACTTCTGTTCCTCCTCTTGACCACTGACCTTTGGAGTTCCTCAGGGCTCTGTTTTGCTCCCATGCTTTTCATCATCTACATGGAATTGTTGGGAGAACTAGTGTAGAGATTTGGGCCACAGTGTCATCAGTATGCAGATGAGACACAGCTCTTCTTGTTTCTGTAATCTAATCTTAAGGAGTCGATGGAAGTTCTGAGCAGGTGTCTAGAGGCAGTTCTGGGATGGATGAGGGCAAACCAGATTAAGCTTAATCCTGACAAGATGGAAATTTGGCAGGTTGGGAAACTGCTGATCTGGATGGATGTATGCAGTCTGTTTTAGAGAGGATTGCACACCCCCTGGCAAATGAGGTAGGCACTCTGGATTTGCTTCTGGGCTTGGCACTCTTGATGAAGTGGCCAGAACTGCTTTTCATCAGCATTGGCTAATTTTCCAGCTATCACCCTATCTGGAGAAAGTAGCTTGCCTTAGTGGCATGTGCACTGCTTATGTCCAGGCTGGATTACTGATGTGTTCTATGTGAGGCTACCTTTAAAGATGGTTTGGAAACCATAGCTGGTGCAGAATGCAGCAGCAAGAATGCTTATTTGGGCCCAAGCAGCTGGAACACATTGCACCAATTCTGTACCAGTGGTTGCCTGTTGGTTTCATGGCCCAACTTAAATTTGAAGCTGCTAGGTTCCAGATTTGATTTGAAACCTATAATAGCCTCAGAACGTTTATGTACAGCAGCTTGTTCTCTGACTTGTCAATAAGAGATGTTGGGTTGATAGGTCCCTAGTACAGGGACTTTCTGGGAGTGGCACTGTCCTTCTGGAATTTCTTATCCCCATCCAAGAAATAATTGTGGCACGCATCACTGTCAGTTTTTAAGAGAAATGTTAAAACATGTTTATTTCAATCCACTTTTTATTAATTTTATTAATTGTGATAAAAATTTGCTCAGAATTCCTTCTAGAATGACTACCCTTGCCACATGATAGGCCTGAAAAATAAGTTGTACCCCTGTTAGCTGTACGTTGCCTGCTCCTACATTACATCAGTAAACAATTAGGAAACTGACTGATAGGCAGCAAGCATTCTAGAGTTCTGTGAAACTAGATTCAAAGATTCACTAGATTAATTGTGAACAGCTTTTTATCTATCTTTTTTTTTTTTTAAAGGAACTTTCTTTTCTGTGTGCTTAATACGCCATACCATACAGAATAGTGTGCTCTTGGAGCAGAGCCATCTAGGTTGACAACTGTGTGTGCAAGGGCATCTTAAGATATTTGGATGCATTTTTTGGAAACACTGGGCCTTTCAAAACTGATGTGGCTGGTTTTATAATACTAATGCAAGGACATTCCACTGTGCTGCTGTACACCGGGCATTTTGCACAGAATTTGATACTATGTTCTTGCACCAACAGGAAATATTCATTAGAATGCCTCTGAAGTGTCAGGCAGTTATTGCCAAGTAGTAATGGATTTTAGGTTGCCACCATGTTTGAACTCAGGTTCAGCCACAGAGTAGAATTACACACAAGTGTGGATGGAAGGATCCATTGGGCAGTATGTTTAACCCTTCTGCTTGTCAATTCTCATCTCATCACTTCCCCAGTAGGAATGTTTCTTGATGGGGAGGAGGTAAAGGGGTATCAGGGGAAAGATGGGCTCAGTATGCTATTCCCACCTGCCAATTATTGCCTTCCAGTTCCCTTGCCTCTCAGCAGTAACAGAATGCAAGTTGGGAATTCTGTCTTATTCTGTGTCATTCCTTTCCAAATTGCCATAGTAATTTTCTAATACACTGTCCTGAGTTCCCTGAAGGAAGGGTGGTATACAAATGTGATAAATGAAGTTTAAGTGAGCATTATTCTATATGTCAGCTGGATATTATGCTGTAATACTTGAAATGGGGCTATCACATATGACTAGTACTCTTGTTTTTCAACAGTGTGTGCTATATTTGTGGGTTCTGAAGATTCTGTATCCAAGCACATTATTTCTTTTGAGAGGCAACCATGAATGCAGGCACCTCACAGAATATTTTACTTTTAAGCAGGAATGTAAGTATTAATAACAGTGGTAATTGTTGGCTTCCTGAATACTTAGTTATCAGTAGTCCCCCTTTTTTTTAAACACATTTTTGTCTTGCTTCGTATGTATTTGAACGTTTTCCGGGATCTGCTGCAACATTGTAGTCTTGAGATATCTATAACTGTACTGTGTATGTGTTTCTTTTGTGCACTTTCCCATGAAAATGTTAGAATAGGACATATCAGTATGGTTATTTCTTTAATAAATCTTTGTCCTTTCAGCCAAAGTGGCTGCCAGGATAGGATGGCAGCCTACCTTGCTATTAGACTCACATGGATTTCATTAAGTGACTTACCCCTGTATACAAATTGAAATTGATGGCTATCCTACAGCTCTTATCACTGTGCCAAACAGCAACAAACCCTTTGAGCTTAAGATAACAACCAGCCAATCAATTAAAAAAATTGAAGACAACATGTAAATACATTTACCAAGAAATGAAGCTAGATCCATATATCACAGGTCAGTTAGCTAACTTTATAGAAAAGTTGCTTTACTATAAGAGGAAGGCTGCAGAGCCTACATACAGATTGGGGCCTCCAGCAGATCAGGTACGTGTGGACCATATATCCACTTTTTAACTGAGCCAGGACAATTTCCTGCCTGCAGTTCTTGGGGGTGCACCTGACCATGATCAGAGTATTCCAGCATTGGAATTTTGTATGGACAACCAGGCTACTAATTATTTTTAATGGAAAGGTGATTTTTAATGTACTTATTTGCAAAGCTGGTATTACATGAGCAGTATCCTTCTTTCCCATTCTGACATATCATATTGTTAAGACACGTGTCAGCTTATATTCATCTAGTTAAATGTGCTTTGCCAGAGAGTTCTCCCTTTTATTTTATTTTTTGTTTAAATTATGATACCCATTCATCAATTTTTCAAGGAACAATCTTGATAACTTATTTTTAAATGCTCCTTAGATGTAAGCCTGCCATCATAAACAAATGTATGTCATAGACTGTGTCTCTCTCTCTCCCCACGCCCACCTTTATAGGTAAAATAAAATATTCTGAAAGAGTCTATGATGCTTGTATGGAAGCTTTTGATTGCCTTCCTCTTGCTGCACTTCTAAACCAGCAGTTTCTTTGTGTCCATGGTGGACTCTCTCCAGAAATAAATACAATAGATGACATTAGGAGGGTGAGTGTTACTGTGCTAAAGGCATGGGGATGTTGGGGTCTTTTGTAATGGTCTTGACGTGCCACTCTTAAATGTTAAGCTAATTCAATTCTTGTCCTTTGTTAGACATCAAATGAAAATTAACTGCAACCCTATACATGCCTGCTAAGAAATAAGCTGCATTGAGGCTTAGTCCCCACTGTGACTTAGTTCCTGGTAAGTGTGTATAGGATTCCAGCCTAATCCCCTGATTTATGGAGTTTTTCAGTCTGAGAAGGTAAGTGATAGATGAAAAAAAACATAAAGTAATGAATATCCTTTTATTTCTTTGGTATGATTGGATGTTTGTGATCTATATAGCTTAACACGAGAGTGAAAATAATAAAAGAAAATGGACATACTGAAAATGAAGATCACTGTGGTATTTTTCATTGAAACAGCTAGATAGATTCAAAGAGCCCCCAGCATTTGGACCAATGTGCGACTTGTTGTGGTCAGATCCCTCTGAAGACTTTGGAAATGAAAAATCACAGGAGCATTTCAGTCACAATACAGTCAGAGGATGTTCCTATTTTTATAGGTAAAAAATAAAACTGATCAAGTTGATAAATGATTGCATGAAAGCATTACTTTATACTCATAGTTGTTTCATTTCACAGCTATCCTGCAGTTTGCGAATTTTTGCAGAGTAATAATTTGTTGTCTATTATCAGAGCTCATGAAGCACAAGATGCAGGGTAAGTATCTTGCCCTCCCATGATACAAATATTCAGTACTCAAATATTCAGCTTCACCACTTCCTTTGTGACACAAAGTCAACTGTTCTTATTTTACAGTTATAGAATGTACAGGAAAAGTCAAACGACAGGGTTCCCATCATTAATAACAATTTTTTCTGCACCTAATTACTTGGATGTCTACAATAATAAAGGTAAGAGCATATTGCTAAGAAAGGTAAATATGTATGAAACATAATCTGTCTTTGTTTAAAAACATTTCTAAACTGCTTAATATATATTTTTTTAAATCTCTCGTGGTGTATGCTATTTACAAAAAAGATTAGACAGTAAAACAAATACAAGATAAAAGAAATACAGTGGTAGCTTGGTTTAAGAACAGCTTAGTTTATGAACAGCTTGGATTAAGAATGCTGCAAACCCGGAAGTAAGTGCTTTGGTTTGTAAACTTTGCCTTGGAATAAGAACATGTTTTGCTTCCTGTCGAGTGTGTTCCATTTGTAAATTGAGTCCCCCACTGCTATGGGAAAGCACGCCTTGGTTTAAGAGTGCTTTGGTTTAAGAACGGACTTCCGTAACAGATTAAGTTAGTAAATGAAGGTACCACTGTAAAACAATATAAAAACATAAAAGCAAGTGATACAGAAATTCAGGGGATTCACGCACATTAATCATGGTCCAGTCTTACAGGTCAGGAAAGCCTAGGCAAAAAGATGTCCTTACAAGACATCTGAAGCAACTGGTGGTTGCTGCTTCGTCTATAGCAGAGTGAAGGTGATTCCACAGAAAAGGGGGGCAACAGCAGAAAACGTCCATGTCCACTCATCCCCCTATGATATTATGCTGGTTATGGTTTCACGAGTAGAATGTTTGAGTAGTTGAAGGGATGAATGAATTGTACAATATGTATGCAATTGAACACAAACGTTCACAGTAACTTGTATGAAAGAATCCAGGAAGTTCTTTAAAATGCTATGGTCTGGTTCTGCTTCATAGATTCTATGCCCAGGCACAGGCAAACCTGGCCCTCCAGACGTTTTGGGACTAGAACTCCCATCATCCCTAGCTAAAAGGACCAGAGATGATGGGAGCTGTAGTCCCAAAACATCTGGAGGGCCGAGTTTGCCTATGACTGTTCTATGCAGTGCTCCACACGGTCTGCAGAGGCACATTCCCATATGCAGAACCATCTGGAAACCTCTGGAAGATTAGAAGAACTGAAGTGCAGATACAGTTATATTTCATTACATTTCCACTCAGGGTAATTTCTCTCACACACATGGCCACAGCAGAAATGGTCCTCTCTTTATAGAGCTGCTTAAACGTTTGCCATAAGTTTGTTCGATATCTCTCCAATATTCAGTTGTTTCTCTTTAATCAAAATTTTGCACCATGGAGAGAGAGAGCTTTATTTTTTTAATGCCATAAGTGCAGCGTCTACATTCCAAAATCAGGCGTTCATGGCTCCTGCCTTACATGGTTGAGTGAGAGCCTGGTCATGGAAATCTGCAAGTACTTTCAGAAACCCAGTGAAAGAATTTGCAAATTAAAGGCTCAGTACCTCCCAAGTCACTATGTGAAAGAAGCCCCTCAAGACATACTTCATCATACCAGTTCTCCTGTATTCCTAGGTGGAACTTCTCTGTAGGCTTCTGCCTCCCACACTTCATTATGTTCTGGCCCCTTTCCTGCTGTTTCTTCAATATCTGACCTGAGTCACCTATATCTGGCTCCTTGTCACCTGCTGATCCAGAGTGCAACCCTTAATGCCAGTAAAGCCTTCTGGTTCCAAATCTTCACCTAAGAATTAGAACTTTGGATATTGAACTACCAATGCATTGTCTTCAGTGCTTAGATTCTGAAGTGGGGGGTTATTGGGTTGTTGTTTTGATTTTGATTATATATTTTGTGGTTTTATATTCTGATTTTGTGCTGTGAACCACCCTGAGACCTCCAGTTATAGGGCAGTATATAAATTCAATAAATAAATTAACAAAATTATAAATCCTCAGCTCCTGAGCATTTCAAAATTGATTGCAATATTTAATCCTTCAGTGGTTATTAAGGTTAGTTCTACCTTCTAGTCAGGTCTCAGGGGGTGGGAATCAAACTCATAGCCCTCATGTAACTGACACTCTCCAACTCAGTTCCAACAGATGAGAACGAGTGGGGAGAATGAGGACATTATGCTCACATTGCAGGTTGGACAAAGCCAGAGTTGTTTCCTTCTGTTACAGCGTAGGACACACAGAGACAGACAGACAGAGTGATGGAGGGCAGCGGGTTGACAATAACTTGTAATGTAATTCACTATTGTCCCTATATTGCAGGTTATGGTGGGGGTTACCACAAATTGTGTTGTGTTCTCCAGATTTCAGATGAGGGCGCAAGCTGCTTAATAGTAGCTTACAACAAGTCTCTTTAATGGAAATTGTGTATCACAGATACAAGCCCCCATTGCAGTACTACAGAGTGTACATGTGTTATCAAGATGCAGGTAGTTACACAGGATATGCATTTCAAGTCTAAATCACCCGAAGCGCATCCACATTGAAAACAAGACAGCACAGGAAGAAATAACTCCTACAAAAAATACCTCAGGTAAATCTCTAACCATCTCCTTTGCACCACCAGCAGCGCACTGGAAGCCAGCCCTCAGTTAAAAGTAGACTCATTGTGCTTCACTTACATGCAGACACTTGCTTTTACCCCATCCTACAATGTAGAATAGAGATCCCGAATAGGAAAGCAGAGTGTGACTAGCCCTCTGGAAACAACCGGCTTCACTAACCTCACCCAATGCATAGAATTCTATAATATGTGGGATGAGGGGCCAGTGTTCCTAATCTTCTACACCTTTCTAAAAGGTCACTACTGTATATGTGTGACTTCACAGAAAACTGACTTATAAGAACAGGTTACAGATAAGCAACTCTGTATTCACTCTCTATTGCCTTCGGAAAGTGGGACTAACACTGTCTGAAGTGAGATCAAGCTTGCACTGGAGGCAGCAATTGTGTGAGCCAGTGCCTCTATGAGTGGAGCTCAGTTGTGGCCGAGCATTGACCCTGTGCATTCCTGAGGTGATGGTGAGATGTGAGAAACATTTTTTAAAAGGAGGAAAGGGAAACTAAGGAAATAAATAACAACCTCCCCCCCCCCCCCCCAAAAAATGATGGGGTGAAAAGAAGGTTCCCTCAGAATGGATCCAAAGAAACATTAGTGGGAAGAAATAGGAATAATATGAGGGTTTCAAAAGCAAGGAAATAGCTAATATGAAAACAGTGCTGTATATTTTTGAAATAATTCTCAAAAGGACTCAAAACTGATGGAGATGCTGTATTTCATATAGATGGAAATGGAGAGCAAGTGTCTGGGGCACTGAAGAAACAATAATAGGGCCTGGCTTTAGAGAATGCTCACGTGAGAGTTTTGCTGTGACAATGGAAATACAAGGATGGAGCCTCAGTGTTGAGAGAGAGAAAAGGCAGCAGGTTTAATTCTTCTTTGAGCAAATGTCACACAGCATCATGTATGTGTGTGGCTGTCTGGGAAACACTTTCCAGGCAGTGTCAGGAGTTTACAGGAGAGACATCCCCACATCTCCTAGCACCCAAGACAACCAGGTTATATACTGGGAGTGGGGAACAAGAACTTTCTATTTTCTGTCTTTCTAAGGGGAGCAGAAGTGCACAGATATCAGTGTACCTGGCATCTGCTTATACATCTGTTCACTAGTGGTGTGATCCCTTCCCTGTTGGATGGAGGGGAATGTTCCCTCCTGCTTGCCATCACTTCAGACTTCTGCATTTATACTCTTCCTCTAGGGAGGTGGCTTGGTTTTTATGCTCTTCAGCACACTAATTCCTTGAGTAACTAAGGGTGATCTTGGTAGGAGTGGGAAGTAAAGTAGGGTAGCCTTAAAGTGCTCTGGTATAAATCTCCACACATCTAGGGCAGATGACCACTTTCTACTGAGCTTTGGAGCATTGCACATGGCTGCTCTCGGAATAAAAGTTATTTTGTTTATTAAAATATTTCTGTCTTGCCTTTCAGCCCCAAGTTAGTTCAGTCTCAGATTAAAGCAAAATACAGTATAAACCACAAAGGGAAAACAGAGCTAGAAGACTTGTTCTTGTTAATATTTTGATTATGTATTCTGTGTTTTTATATCATGATTTGATCCTGTGAACTGCCCTGAGACCTGGGGTATAGGGCAGTATGTAAATTTCTTAAATAATAATAAAAGACCGAGCTTACTACTAAAATATATGTGCAGCAGGAGGGGAAGGGGGGAAATCAAAACCTCAGCAAAACAAGATATATCTACAGAATGTTGGAAAGTGTTTTGAGATTGGCCTCCCAAAGTAACAATTCCCACAGCCTTGGTGCTGAAACAGAAACCGCTGATGATAAAGAGATGCAGGGCGAGTCCTCAGATGAGAATCACAGTGGGTAGACAGGCTTATGTGGAAGAAGGCGATCCTTCTAACAGCTTGTTCCCAAAATGTTATACGTAATAATAAGCACTTGAATTCTTTCTGCTGGAACAAAATTAACAGTACAGTGGTACCTCTGGATGTGAACGGGATCTGTTCCGGAGCCCCGTTCGCATCCTAAAGTGAAGGCAACCCGCGTGTGAGCGGGTCACGATTCGCCGCTTCTGCGCATGCACGTGACGTCATTTTGAGCGCATGCACAGAGCGCAACCTGAAAACACTCAACCGGAAGCTACTTCAACCCGAGATATGACTGTATCAGAATGAATATGCTCTGAAAAGCCACCATATTTTGCACCACCTAAAGTCTCCAAACACATTTAAGAGACTGTGTTCCATAGGGTGCATTTCATTACTCTCATCTGAATGTGACCAAGATAGTGCAATTTGCATTCCTGAATTATATTTGAGTCAGATATATAGACACGTGTCACATAGACACGATGTAGTAGCAGCGGCAGCGGCAATGGCAACGGCACTATTTTGTGAGAGTCCTAAAGGACAACTGCAGCTAGTCATTCCAACGTACCTACCTCTTCAGGGCAGAAGGAGTGTTTCATTACTCAGGAAGAGACATCTATGTTAGTGAATCTGATGCCATCACTCAGTTTCCTTATCTTTCCCACCTTCACGTTAGCTAAAACCAGTTGGCAAGGCCACAGTTGTTCCGGATGAGAAAGAAGCACAAAGGTCTCTCAGTATACCCTGATACAGTGGTGGTAAAACCTCAAGTCTGATCATCTTGTGCAGAATGAGAATTTGACTCATCTAAAGCTTTAACTGGCTTTCCTTCCAGCATCTGCAACTTTCAGAGAGAGCACTCATCTATCTTTGGAAATTCCTGCTATGTCCAAGATGACACTAGCTTGATATTCTGTGTTGCTGCTGCTTGTTAGAGGCCATATTTGATTACATCCTGCAAGTTCCACTGTGTGCCTACTATGGTTGTGGTTGAATAGTTACAGGGGCTGTTTAAGCATAATGCCAAATGCTCTCCTCTTGTGCTCTGAAATTAGTAACTCCTAGTCCTTGTTTGTGACAGTTGTTTATTATTTTGTTCAAACAAACCAATTCATGGTTTGTGTTTGCTTGCTAGCCAGGCTCACAAACTAAGGGGCTTGTGCCTGCTTAAACTCGCATATGAATAGCCCGATAGAATCTACAATTCACACAACTGTTGGCTGTTTAAAAAATGTCAAACAACCCTTAGGTGTTGGAATGAATGTGCTAGCTGAAAGGTTTGCAATTATTATTGATTGCTTGATACATAATTTCAGCTAATCACTAAAACTTTTTTACAGCTGCTGTATTGAAATATGAAAATAATGTTATGAATATTCGGCAGTTCAACTGTTCACCGCATCCTTATTGGTTGCCAAATTTTATGGATGTCTTCACATGGTCTTTGCCATTTGTTGGAGAAAAAGGTACGTCATATGGCATAAAAACAGGTTGTCACTCAAACATTTGCCACTTATCTAGTGCTACATTTATATTGATAGCTTGTGTGTATCTGTGTGGCCAGATAAAACCTGCCTGTAGCCCACCAATTCAGACACCGCCTACAAACTGTATTTTTGCCCATTGTTTGATATTCACTTTGGTTTTTGTTTATTTTTGTTTTTTGTTTTGTTTTGTTTGTTTTTTGTTTTGGTTTTTGTTTCAGGCAGGTAGCTAAATTACAATGCTTGTTGTTCCAGGCAGGTAGCTAAATGCGATGCTTGTTGAGCCCCGCTGAGTTGCCATGTTTGACTGTTAGGTGGGTTCAGCATAGTACGTTACACACAGTACTATAGTTGTGCTTTACATTGTTGGGCTGCAGATTTTTATTTATGTATGTAAAACAGACATTTCTGTTAAGAGTCAGCAGCCATCAATATACTGCACAAGCACTTCCCGTTTTAGTCGCAGCTGATATGCATGCAATCACGCACAGCAGTGAACCCAGAAGTAACTTGGAAATGTCATAAAAAGTGTCATTAGAAGGGCAGGATGGGGTGGAGTAGGGTGGAATGAGGCAGAACGGGGTGCTTGCAGGCTGTTTAAATTGCATGTGATTTCACACAATCTGGAACGCAGCCCCTGCTGGGAGCAAGGACTGATGCCTTCATGCCCTGTTTGTGAGCTCTCTAATGGCACCAATTGTTCTTAATTTCTAAGAACAGCAGTGCTGTTCTTTTATTAAATGACTTACAGTGAAGGACTGGAAGTTGACCTATTTAGCTTTTCATATAATTTTGTTGTTTCCCTCCAATGTATTTTGCATTTTAATAGTATTGTAGAATTTTAAACTATTCAGCTTATAATAAGTATTATGATGTGTTGGATTGTTTTTTTATTTTATTTAGTGACAGAAATGCTGGTGAACGTTCTGAGTATTTGTTCTGATGATGAACTGATGACTGAGGGTGAAGATCAATTTGACGGTAAGGCTACTTTTATGACTTACGGGTCTGTACTGTGAATTCCTGAAAGATTTTATTCTGTGCATAATTTGTGAACTTCTGAGGAATGCTATTAGATTTTTAAAAGAGAGTCTTCAAATGATTCTGGTATATTAAGAATTGAAAACTTGGTGTGCCTATATTTTCTGTATTAAAATTCTTCATGTAAAATATTTATTCCATTGCATAGAATAAAAAGACACGAGACCTGCTCCTTCATTGTCTCCCCCTGCAACACACGCGCGCACACACACACACACACACACACACACACGATTGCCATCATGCAAGGGGCAGAGTAGGGATGAACTATTTGGCGCCAACACTTCCTACACACCCCCAACATATTGAGGGCTAAATCTCTTCAGTAGGGAACTTGACTAGGCTCCCTTGGGCAATCTAGAACCCTGACTTAGGGGCTAAATCATAAGTGGAGCCTGTGCAAGTAGAAAAGACTCCTTGCTGCCCAAGTTCAGCCCCAAAACTGTGAGGAGAAAGATGGGATTGGTAGCAAGGAAAGCTTGTCCGGAGGGGAGAATGACCGAATAGGGCTGTAGATTATCAATTATTTAGCCCATATTTCACATTTCTGCTTCCTGATACATGTACTTTATTATTACTCATTGCAAGGAAAGCTATGAAGTCTGTTTTGTTTATAGCACTATAAGTGAATTTGGTCGATCTACGGTTCAGTAGCAACAACTTTTACTTATTTTGACTTTGGGGTGCTTTTTATACTATATTTAACAGTGTTTGTTTGTATATTTGTGTTACTTGAAATTTATGTCTTTCCTACACTTTATATCATCCTGTCAACACTCACTGAATACTGAACAGACATTACAAATGCTACCAATATATTTTAAAAATGCACTCAGCAGTATGCAGTGTTCTATGAGAGTAGCAGTTTTCCATTTTTCTTCCTCATTTTTCTTTTCAACTTCCATTCTTTATTATCACTGCCAATGTAAAAGCTCTTCCTTTTAGTTTTCCTCACTCACCTTTTTCTCCATCATTCACTTTCTTTTTTTCTGGACTCTCCATCTGAAGAACGAATCATATATGGCAATAAAAAAGGTACAGAAAAGACGGAGTAATATTGTTTTGAAATATGGCTTATCAAAGTTATCAAAGTAGAGAACACATTTATATATTTTCCTTATATAAATGTGTAGTATTTGTTTTATTGCCAGTCTTTCTGTGCATGAAGGGTTTCTCCTCTTTTCCATTCCCCTTTTGTAGTAGCTTTCATATTTTCCCTACTTTTAATATCTCTTTTTCTGATCCTGCATGTGTAGGAAAGTTTTCAGTTGTCTGCCTTGTTTATGATTTTAGTGTAAGCATTCTACATTACAAATGGTGCATGAAATGTGATCTCTGTAATGTTTCAGTTGCTGTTTGTGCAGTAATTTTGTTCTCTTCCAGCTAATATTTGTATGAGAAAGCTTTAAATCACTATTGTGCTAGTTTCAAGCTGATGTGTATAATAATAAGTTAGAATAATTTATATTACTAGAGTAGCTTCTTCCACAAAGGGAAGAACTAACCAGGCCTACAGGGACGCGGGTGGCGCTGTGGGTTAAACCACAGAGCCTAGGGATTGCCGATCAGAAGGTCGGCAGTTCAAATCCCCGCGACGGGGTGAGCTCCTGTTGCTCAGTCCCTGCTCCTGCCAACCTATCAGTTCAAAAGCACGTCAAAGTGCAAGTAGATAAATAGGTACCGCTCCGGCGGGAAGGTAAATGGCGTTTCCGTGCACTGCTCTGGTTCGTCAGAAGCGGCTTAGTGATGCTGGCCACATGACCTGAAAGCTGTACACCGGCTCCCTTGGCCAGTAAAGCGAGATGAGCGCTGCAACCCCAGAGTCGTCCACGACTAGACCTAATGGTCAGGGGTCCCTTTTAACCAGGCCTGCAAGCAGAAGTTTGCGCAAAGACTTTCGCTAGCACAACAGGGCTTTCCCTGCACCGTCCTCTCCCCACAAGCCCCCTGTTTTTACCCCTCCCCATTTGCATGGAGGAGGTTAGGATAACTCCCAGAAAGGCACATGGGAGGCAGGTGAGCAGAGATTGCTCCATCAGCATAAGCATAAGTGTTTGTACTGATAGAGCAATCTGCTTGGTGCTATGTGGAATTCCTTGCAGAACTTTCATTATGAGCCGAAGTATATTTTAATAGCTTTGAAAGAGCCTGTTACTAAATATTGCTGCAGTGTTATTGCCGCAGATCCAAAGAACTGTGCAACTTGCTCTACACACGTGACGGAGCTTTCGACTTGTGTTTCATTAATGGCCCTCTCCCAGCCTCCCCGTTGCATGGAAAACCTTTTGGGGGGGGCTTTTTAAAGCTGTGGTATCACATAGTGGGGATGGTTCTATTGTTTAAAAGTAAAAATTAAACATTCCATGGGGCTTGCCCAAATCCTTGGGTGCACCAAATATAACCCAGACATGACCTTTATTGACCAGGCTTTGGGGACAGATATTAAACACAATTATGATAAGAATGTAAATTATGCAACCAGTATGCTGGTAGTGGCATGTTAGATTGCCTACTAAGTGTGCATCTTAAATAAAGAAGAAATGTCCCAGTAATTCTCTAGTCTTCCTTTGAAAACTATATTGGAAACTGCTTTTTGTTCCTTATATGTCTCCCAGTTGCGCACTGTATTAAGTACAGTCTTACAGTTCATTGGTTGAGGAGACAACTTCCATTCTAGTCTCCTCCCCCCCCCTTCCTGCTTTCTTGTGTTGTTGGTGGGATTTTTGTTCCTATCCATGCCCAGAGCTTAGTATTTTTTTAAAGGGGCAATCATGCAACTGAGTTTCATATGTAGTTGAAGCAAGTAGCCTGCAGTACAAAGGTAAAGTATACATGCTCTTTGCCTCTGACGCTGCCCACCCCTGGCAGGCTGCCCAGAAGGGAATGTGGCCCTTGAGCTGAAAGGTCCCGCACCCCTGTCCTACAATCTTTGTAGACCACATCCCTGAAGGAAAACCATGTTCATGTGTGTGTATGGGAGTCTAATCTAATTTTTCAAACAAAGAAGAGATACTGTGTTTTTCCGTGTATAAGACGAGCTTTTTTGACCCAAAAATGAGGTTCAAAATTTAGGGTCATCTTATACACGGGTAGTGCTGAGGGGGGATGGGCGAATGGTTTTTTGGCACGAGCCTGAGATTGTAAGTGGTGATTGGCCGCTTGATTGGTGGGGCGGGGATGCTGAAAATCGCTCACCCCCCAGAACGCAGCACACAACTGCCCGTGTCGCTTACAATCGGCGCTTACAAAATCAGGTGAGCAATTTTCAACATTCCCCTCCCCACACACAATCAAGCGGTCAATTGCTGCTTACAATCTCGGGCTCATGCTTCGTTCCAGCAGGTGAGCGATTTTCAGCATTGACCGCCGGAACGCAGCACACAACCGCTCGCGTCGCAGCTGCCCGATCACCAACATTAGCCCTCCTGATTGCCGCTGCAGCAGCCAATAGGCAGCTGCCTTTGTTGCAGCAAGCAGGAGCATGATTGGCGTCCGCTGGTGGCGATCGGGAAGCTGATAGGTGGTTTCTGCTATCAGCTTCCTGAAAGGAGCAGGTGGTCTGTTTACTGCATGTGTAGCGAGGAGCGATGGCAGAGGTGGCCTCCTCCTCGCAAGCCTTGTTGCCTGGCTCCGCGCGATCGTGTCCTGCCTGTTCCCTAGCCTCCAGCAAAGCAGAGCAGCTCAACAACTCTGCCCCCCCCAAAGAAAGCGAAGTGTGTGTGTTTCTGCCACGAGGGAACAGCTGATAGGCAGCTTGTTGGATGCGTGTGGCTGTCAGCGTTTGTCAACTATTTTCCCTAAAAAAAAGCTCTACAAGTCAGGGCAATCTCCCCCCACTTTCTAAATTTGGAGTCCCCAAAAATAGGGGTTGTCCTATACAATGGGGTGTCCAATACACGGGAACATACGGTATCTGCCTGGAAGAAACTTACAAGTGAAACAGCACTTAGGTTGGAATGAAGTATACATGCTAGGAGAGGGGATGTTAGCTAGCTAATTGAATTCATGAATCACTTCCCACAACAGAAAGTCCTGAACTGATTTACATGAATAAAACATAGTGATTGTGGGAGATAGAGGGAGAGATGGAGATGGATGAATAGACATGCTGTTCAGTGTTCTAGAACACTGTCGATTTGGAGCACATTTAGGTTGCCAGTTAGTAATTTGAATGCCAGCTATGGTATAAGTCCCATTTATTCCTTGAATTTTCTATTTGTGCTCAGTCAGGTTCATAACTGTTTAAGAGGTCAGCAGTCAAAAGCCTAAGAATGAAATGCCATCAGTAAACAATTGGCAGCAATTAATAGTCTTGATATTTGTCACTTAGTGTTTAGAACTGTTTAATCTTTTCAGGATGTTTGGTGATCTGTGGACTGAAGAGATTTGTCTGTGATGAGGCATCATTATTCAATCACCTTAAGTTCCAGGCTGAAGGAGAACCATATGTTATCACAGTTTTATTGATGGTCACATTGTATGCAATTTTTGTTGTGTGCTCCATTAGCTTGAGACTTTCTTCTTCCATTGGAAGTAGGTACAGCTGCAGCACGAAAAGAAATAATCAGAAACAAAATCCGTGCAATTGGCAAGATGGCAAGAGTCTTCTCTGTTCTCAGGTAATTACTATTCTCAACTTGTCTGATCTGTTTATATGGAAAGACTACGTGTTAGCAGCTCCCTACCTGCTCTTACAATTAAGTGCGACTGTAACTTTTTTAATAGATGAGTTATCTATTGCTAATACTGTACTTCTGCTAAACATTTATTTAGCACCAATACTTGTTTTTCAGAATGTGGAGCTATCCTAACCCTTTCTCATGCAGCTGAATAATGAGAGCAGAGCAAAGGTGATGGCAGGATCAAAGAGTAAAAAATAATGGCAAGAAAAGCTGTGCCAAAGAAATGGGCTCTGAAAGACAGGTGCAAAGGAGGGAAGGGAAATGATGTCATGGGCGCAGTGAATGGACAACACAAGAAGCAGAATTTAAAGGCAGCAGGAGTAAGAGACAAGAACAAAGGGATCTGGTATTTGGTTTCGCTTAAAAATAATAATCCTGCCACATCCAAGCTCAGAGTAGCTCCTGACATATAATATTTTTGAAAGGCAAGAAGATGCCAAAGATGTACAGTCGTACCTTGGAAGTTGAATGGAATCCATTCTGGAAGTCCGTTCGACTTCCAAAATGTTTGGAAACCAAAGCGCGGTTTCTGATTGGCTGCAGGAAGGTGCTGCAGCCAATTGGAAGCCACAGAAGCCCCGTCAGACATTTGGGTTCCAGTGAACGTTTGCAAACCAGAACATTCACTTCTGGGTTTGCAGCGTTCAGGAGCCAAAACGTCCAAGTACCAAGGTGTTCAGGATCCAAGGTACGACTGTACATATAATGGGAGGAGGAAATGCCTTTCTTTCCTTCCTAAACACCAGGGAGCAGGGCTGGCAGACCTCTCCTGAGATTGTGTTCCCCAGACTTCACCTTCCTCTCGCTATTCTAAATCACACCCTCCCTGCTATTTTCACTTGCAGTATTACATTTCCTGGTTCTTCAGTGTTAGGTAGGAGACAGTGGATTTGGGGAATAAGAAGAGCTCAGGCAAGGACCTGCATGCAAGTCTGAAGTATATTGGGTATGAAGACCTCTTTGGGTAAAACAGTTTCCCCCCTCCCCTTTTTTGTCTCCTAAATTCAGGGAAGAGAGTGAAAGTGTACTGACACTCAAGGGTTTGACTCCCACTGGAATGTTACCTAGTGGAGTATTGGCTGGAGGACGCCAGACCTTGCAAAGTGGTAATGATGTTATGCAACTTGCTGTGCCTCAGATGGAATGGGGCACATCTCACTCTTTCGCTAACACCACACACAGTGCATGCAGGGAATTCCTTATGCTTTTCAGTTCTTGTCTTAGCGGCTGATGATAAAGCATAACTTTATGTATTAATCAGGCAATGTAAAATCAGTATTTAACCAGGGTATTAAACAAAAAGCAAACAGTATTAGTCACGCTGTGCTAATCTTTGTCTGTCGTTGAGCTTTCCTTGATAGAGCATTTCAGATAGCAAGATTATTTATGAACTGGGAAAAGATTGACAGGGTAGGTCAGAAAATTAAAGAGACACCGTTATTTCATCAGATATCACAAATGGCCTTATTCTTTATTCCTGCAGTTTTATTACAGACGTTAATCTGTTTAGTAAATGCCAGTTGCCTTTTAGTATTGATAGCTACAAGTTTCCAAGCTCAATTTTGCATTCCACAGATGGAAAATGTGCTTTGTTTCGTACCCTGGTGATCGATGCCAAAGTTTGTTCCTTCATGTTGTTTGTCAAATGTTCTGTGTAATACTACTTGACTTCCCTGAATTGTCCTTGTAAGTTGCTATTTCCTTCCTCTGCAGATGTAGCTGCTTTTTTTAGATCTGTCTGTCTTTCTCTAGGTATCGCTGTATGTCTGTATAAGTGTGTAAAAAAATTAAATCACTATCTCAGACACTTGTCTGTCTCTTGATGTACAAGCAACTTCGTAGCACCTTATTTTTGAGGTTGGCTGCATTTGACGCTGCACCCGATGCATTCTGATGGCTAATGTAACTGAAAAATAACCAATAGCTGTTATAAAATCCAATTGAGAATAAAGGGGCTAAATGAAAACCTTGTAAATAAGTCAGACTCAAAGGGTGTTTAAGTGTGCTTATATTTTTTGCATGAAAATAAAAAGAAAATACACCTGTAATCTGGCTCATTGAATACTTTATAAAAGTTGATGGATTAGTTGTTGCCAGAAGAATATTGTGAGATTCTTTTTTCTTTTTTAATTTCTTGTGACTATATAGTTCATTTTTTTGTAATGGATGTCAAGAAAGAAAGTGGGCGTCATAACATTCCTGAGCTTTATTAACAGAAAACATTTTAGTTTTCTGTGTCGATATTTCTGTAATATCTGAGTTCAATTTTACAGCACATGTTTTTTCTTGTCTGTCAAAAAAAATTTTTTGCCACCTAATGTAATCAAAATTCAACATTTTAATGTAAATTTGTGAAACTTTTCTGGTACTGTGTCAGTCTAAAATATTTTTTGTTTGAGTTAACACCTTTTAATATTATTTAAACTGTTTTATTTACTATCATTATCCTCTTGGAGCATATAATGTCTCCAAGTTCACTTTTCATAAGTCCTTATATATGTATGTATGTGATCTGTGAATGTCTGTAATAGCAAATGGTGTGTATGTTCCTTGTATCATCAGATTTCCCCCTCTAAATGTTACTTTCAGTGTGTATATTCACTACCCAGCTTGCATATTGTAGTTTTCTCAGCACTATGTAAGCTGTAGAGAATTGGAACATACGCATTTGATCGGACTTGATAATGTTGTCTCATGTTTGTTTTAAAACAAGACAAGTGGACCTGACATATAACATCAATCAAAAAATTTAATTTCAGCATGACCACAACTTAGAATTTTAACTAACTTTACTCCTTTGGGAGCCTCAAATGGCAACAGTTTAACAGAAATGTTGTGAATACAGTAGATTTTTAAGGTGCTCACACAATTTCTACTGCTGTTGATAGGGTAAACCAGATGATTCCTGTTGCAAGTTAGATATTTCTAATGTTTAATAGAAAGTTGTAACACAAATCTTTCATCACTTACAACAATGAAATGTTACAGTAATTTGGACAAATAGAAAACTGGCATTCAGGAGTCATTTTGTTTTCCAAAGGAGTAATGCCATAGTGTTGTCTACATTAAAATTAATGTAGTAGCAATATAAATCAAATGGCTTCTTGTGATGAAAGATTTGACTGAGCACCATTGCTTTTATCCTATATTTTATTTTATTTTTTTGTAAAAGCAGCTGCATCTTATGGGTGAAGCTGTTGGGAGTGGGCATCCAGCCCTTAATAGCCTGACATTTCCATTCTTTAATTCAGGTAATCTTTCAGAACTATGAGGTACAAATGAAATACAACATCGAGATATTTGAGTTTTGGTATCTCTTTTGCTAGAGGGGGGAAAAACCCTTCCATAAATGGGATTAGCATTTCAGAGAAGCTAATTCAGCTCACTAATTTACCGGTAGTTTGTGCCAGACCTGATGCAAGTTAAGTAATTTCATCATGTTTGGTTGGAATTACATGCTTAAAACGGTATCTCTGATTGTGCTGGTATGTGTGTGTTCTTGCATCCCACAATCACCTCCCTTTGCACTGTTGTTGTAGACTAGGATTTAACCATCTTACACACTTGTAGATGGACTGGTCTCGTAGTAAGTAGTAAGATGGTTGAAGGTGAACTCTGTGAGGTAGTAACTGCATTTCCAAACCAGCACCCTGATAAGTGCACTGTTGCTGCTGCTGTATTGCTTGCCATAGGAGGAAAAATTACTTGAAGAAAAAGGCAAATGTTTCCCTGTCTTCCTTGACTAGACTGAATTATTTTTAAAAGACAGCAACCTTTATGTCACTGGTTTTCAGTGACCTGGGTTGTGGTGCAATGGGATTCAGAAAAAATAAGATATTGTCTCTTGAGTTTGAAGGGAGCCCAGTAAGAACAATCCAGGCTTTGCCTACAAACTAATGCTGTGGCCCTCTTGCTATGTTCACACGGAACGATAAACTGTTTTACCATTACAAGAAGGAGCCTAGTCAACCTTGTGCTCTTCTCTGCCACGTTTACAACAGCCACAAGGAGGAGATTGGAATCTTCAGCTTCAGTTGTCAATTAACCACAGTTTAGGGATAACATTTCACCTGAACTGTTCATAAACCACAGTTTGAAATTGGCTTGTTTCAGTAAACCACAGTTAGCACCAACTGCAGTTTATCCAGTTTCAAATGTAACATGAAACTGCAGCTAGTCAAAAACAGAATCAGAAGCTTCTGATGTTTCTTCACAGCCAATCCTATAGGAGAAGAGAGGAACAAAGAAGCTCACTGCCTGTCTAGGTTTATTCCTACAATAATAAACTGTAGTCTGTTGTTGCATCCAAACTCAATAGGGCTTTTTCAGTCCCATTTCCAGATCCAGGAGTATGGCAAGCTGCTTTTGAAACTCAAGTGGGTTTCTTAAGAAATTTTAAGTTGGCTTTTGTGTTAAAGGAGAGTTTTATTAGAGTCACTTGGGATATGAGTTTGGTTATTCCTGAAAGAGGTGAAATTAGTTTCTTCATTGTTTTTTATTAGTCCACTTCTGTTCCTGCGGTATCTTGGGAGATTTCTACCCCCCCAAAAAAAAGCCTGATTAAAAAATACAGCAGTGTTTGGGGGTTTTTTTTAATGCACATAAAACACATTTTGAAGCAAAGCTTTATCACTGTAACTTCTAACAATATATGCCAAAACAAATGTTTCATTGTATTTCAAAGAATACAGTTCTGCACTTAAATGACAAACTGACGATATAAAACTTGAGAATTATAGGTTGGCTTCAGCGTCTTTATCAATGGTTTCATTGTGGGTGAGTTTGTAGGTAATTCTGTAAACACAATATTGATCTGAAAGACCTTGTTGTCCATAACTCCTCCAGTTTCCACTCCTCTATATTCATTTGTAAATTTTGTTCCCACCTATTTCTTAATCCTACCCTACTGATGGTAAACGCAGAAGAGGAACTTTTTTGATGGTAATAAGAGATCATTGCTTTATAGAACAGGTATTTGTCCTCTAAGATCTTACTGAGCTAATGGCATGGGTCACTGCTTTTTCAATTGTCATGGTGCGTACACAGAGATGTTTGAATATTTCATCTCTCCAAAGAAAATTACAAAGAAAAACAGTTAATTCTTGATGATGTGACCATCAGTTTGTTTTACCTTGGCTATCAGTGAAGGGTCTTTACATTCCTTCTCATGTGAAATAGTGTTAGTCTGTTCATAAGCATATTAGAAAATGTGCAGAAGAATATCCAAAGTTTTATTTTTTTCATAGCTACTTTAAACAGTAGCGGGTTCACATCCGTTTTTAAAATCTGGGGATTCCCGTTATTAACTGCAGCTCACCTACAAACATGCAGACTTTTCATCTTCTAAGTTTGCATGGCAACTGGTTACATTTTTAAAAAATATCATCATTGTATGTAAAGCAGCAGTTACTCATGATGATGATAAGAAACGTTCCTTTCTCAAATTCTTGTGTTTGACTCAGGAATAAAATACTTGATATTTTATTGCATGTTGGTATTGTGGACTAATGAAGAAAGTCCTCCCGAAACATTACAAACGGTCCCTTTCAGCCCTTTCCATGTTGTTGGGAACTCATATTAACCTGTGGTTTCTTTAAAAATAAATAAATAAATAAATAAATAAATAAATAAATAAATAAATAAAAGTATCAAAGCCAAAAAAGCAAGGAAATTTTTATTTTCAAAAAGGACTTCTTAAATCAACCTTCAGCTAGTATAATATTAATCATATTTTTTTCTGCTATGTGATATTACACTCTTCATCTTTCTCATTCATTTTGCATGCATCTACTCACTTCTGTACAGCCACAGTAGAGGCAATTGAGGCTGAAAAAGGTATGGTCTCAGTGTCTTTGCTACTGGCAGGGATTGGGGTCTGGGAGGGATTTAGAAGTCTGTTCTGCTCTTTCAACTTGCACAACCAGAGATGAATCAATACACTGATTCATTTGTTGTTATCTGTAGCATTTTGTCTTGTCTTGAGGATGACTTGCCTTTCGCTTTTGGGGTGATTTGATTTTTCTGACTGTGGAATAGGGATGTGTTTTCTTTCGTTAGCATAATAGCATGCTATGTTTATGTCCCCTCTTTTAGTTGACATACTTTCTCTGGTGATAATGGATTTTAAATGACTCCAATCCAGCAGGCCACTTTTAAGTATATGCATGGCTTGAACACTCAAATTGAGCTTTTCATATTTGCTAGCCCCCCCCACCCCTGCACCCAATATTTTGAATGTGACTTCTCAACAATACATCATAGCCATGAGTTTCAAAAGTAGTTTCTGGTGCCATACAATAATGCAGCCCTCCTCTCTTCCACTGTGCGCAGATAGCTTCCCATATGGTTTTCTGGATTGAAGTCTGTGTCTTTTCGTTTCTTTCTCATAACCCATCTGGTAGTGCAAGATTTAGTTTTATAAAGGTGTTTTTATAATGTGTAGTATTCATTTGTGAACATTAAGTGCCAGGAAGCTGGCAAAATATAAAATGTTATCTTTGGATGAGAGCCGAATAATAATTTAGACATGGCCAATGGCTTGCCTTATTTCCAGAGACGCGTCTTATTTTGGAACGGCAACCTTTCATGCCATGTCACTGCTTTGGCAACTCTGCTCAGATTGCTTGGGTGGTGTGGGTAAAGGTTCCTGAAGTCTTCTTTGGATCCTAGCCTTGATAGCCACTATCCATGACAACTTTTATATCCCGTCTTTGTCAGGCCATTGCTTTACTATAAGCGACAAAGTATGTATATGTGCACAAATGAGCTACCACGTTTGCAGACTAATCTGTAAGGCTGGTGCATATGCTGCTTTTCAAATGTGTGCCAAGTCTAAAGACTTGGACTATACTTATTAGTGGCTCAGCATCTCCTTAAAAATCTTCAGAGGAACTTGCCAGGCCAGCAAGCTCCCTAATGGTTCAAGCACCATATTTATACATCACTGTTGATGATTAGTTACATTTGCAGGGTGGGATTGTCTTGGTGGTGGAAAATGGAGTAAGATCCTTGGCACCATTGTACAGAACTCTAGTTTCTATAGCAGTGTGTGCACATGTCATTGTTCTTCAAAACTGAAAAATTTTCTTATTATCAGTGTTCAAAATAAAATGGGCTCCTGCCTGATGTGTAAGGTGATCTGTTGAAGTCTAGGTACCATCCTTATTTTAAGGTGGCTTCCAAGGCTGTTGTGATTATTCTCACATGTTTAGCCTAGGTATTCACAGTCATATCTTGCATCGCTGCCAACTTTAGTTTTTGTGTTCTCATAAGTGATGTTTGGAATGCCTAGCGGCCTTAAGCAAAAATTGGTATGATATACTGAAGAAGAAAAGTCAGAGAGGCTGTACAACTCTGCTCACTTTTTACAAGAGAAGTGTAAATACATAAAATCACATTTAATCTAACTTACTGGTTTTGTGGGTGTTTCCCCCCTTTTTCTTTTTTACATTTTGATATTTCTTAGAAGTTACTAAGAATGCGCAGAGCTTTTTCCCATTACTGACATGTCTAATTTGCATTTTGTTAAGCAATACGAGGATTCTCTCCACAACATAAAATCTGCAGTTTTGAAGAGGCAAAAGGACTGGATAGGATCAATGAGCGAATGCCACCAAGGAAAGATGCTCTTCTTCAGGGTGGCATTAATTCTGTGAATGCAACAAATGCCAACGGAAACAATGGTGCTGGCAACAACAATGCACAGTGACCATCGCATCTGCTTACTTACGTAATAATTCGTTGAGGACTGCTTCTTGAAAAGACAGTAGCCAAAACATCCCAGGGAGATGCAGTCCGCACGCTTTACCCGGAGCGAAATCACAACTTGATCTTACCGAAGAGAAGCCATGATGCTTTGGAGATGACAGCCACTCTTCTAAAAGTGACAGCATGAATATTAACAGTGCATATTTGGAACTCACTTTGTGGAGAGAGATCCAGGGTCAAGCTTCTGCTGTTATCACTATAGACTTAGCATGTTACTTTTTTTATCATTGTCAACACTTTTTATGTTTACAGAATGGGATTGTAGAGCTAGGTGGTGGGTTTGTGAGGTGGTTTTCTTTTGTTTTTAAATCGGACGTTCTAATGCATCCGTATTTATTTAATGGTCTTATGAACTGTCTTTAAATGATAGTTTTACAGTGGTCTTAAAATATAAATCTGAGGCTGCAGACATGTCTGTGTTTTAAATAAGTGAGGAAGAAATGCCAAAAATCTTAGTAATTATGTAAATTTCTGGTCTTGGGTATACTCCTGTTGCTAATTCTGTATAATGTTCAACATATTATTTTTAGTTAAAACTTATCAGAAGATTTCTATATAAAAATGTTTATTACTTGAACCATAGCTTTTGAAAAATATTTTAATTTAGAAACTTTTTTGCCCAACTTTTTGAGACTTTCCCCACACTTGAATGTTAAAAGAACTATTAACAGTATAAAAAAAAAAAGTTTAAAATTAAGGTACTTTGTGCATTACGTTTCAAGTAAATTTGATTCATATCAGATCTGTAAAGCTTGGCTTTGTATTTTCTGTATGCATGTTTTAATTTTGCAGATATTTAATATATAGACCTAGGGTGTACAGGAGAAAACATCCTATAGGTTATGCAGCACAGCTGTTATGGGTATTTTTAGTTTATTGTATTAAAGTTGCTTAAATAGTTAATAATTGTTGGGCTGAGTTGCTGCAAGTGTGTTCTTTTAATTCTGTTTGGTTGTTTTTGTTTTTGTTTTGAACTTTTGGCCATACAATGCATAATTACTCTGGACATTATGATGTTAGTGAAGATATAAAATCAAGATGCATGTTATGTTTTTGATAGCTGGACTGTTCGGTTAAAATAAAATCAAACCATGTGTTGATCTAACGAATGAGGAACTGTAGTTAAATTCTCCCAACATTTTGTTACTTACCTTTCTTATTCTGTGGGAAGCTGTTGGAATCTTACGGCAATGGATTTCACCTGCAGTGTATTTGCCACAAAGTGGAACTTGTGTGTGGCCCTAAGTTGGCTATTTGATGCATGTTTTAAACCATTCAAGTATTTTATAATAAGAAGCGCACAATAAAGTTTGTGCATGGGCCTCAGCTCGGATTGGTTTGCTTCTGTTTTTGTTTGCGTAATGAGGAACACAACACAATCAACCATTTTAGTTGACCTCCTGGGGGCAAATATCTGGAATGGGGAGGTTCCCAGCACATTTTAGAATCTTTGAAGTCTCCGAGTTAAGGAAGCCTTGCTATGTCAGAAGTTTGCTCCAACTTGAGGAAGGTGACAGGGGCAGAGCTGGCGTGCTCATTCCTACAATCCTTCCTCATATAGTTACTTGGATGTAGAGCAGTGCTGTACTTAATGAGAGTATTATATGGTGGGTGATTAGATCTCAAGCACAGCTAACTAAAATGGCAAAGGAACATTTCATTTGAAAGTCAGTGATGGTTTTGCATGTATGGGCAACGTAGAGTTAGCAGCTCTTTATTAATGATGTGTGTAATTTGGGGTGGGGTGTTGTTTATTTTTATTGATTTTTTTTTTAAAAAATAAAATTGAAAAGTAGCAGCCATATTTGTGCCCAGCGTTCCCAGCCTCCTCCATCCCTATCACAGGTGACCTCCCATGACCTATGTCACAAGGTGGTTGTGAGGTTAAATGGGGAGAAGGAGAACCATGTATGCCACCATGAGGACCTTAGTGGAAAAGTGGAATATAAATGAAATAAAGAAAGAAAGGTAAGCCCGCAGGTACAATACAAAAGCAGCAAAGAACGTCCACTTTCCAGTGTCTCATGTATACAATTATAAATGTGTATGAAATACAGTGGAACCTCTGTTGTCAAATGTAATCCGTTCTGGAAGACCGTTCGACTTCCGAAATGTTCGACAACCGAGGCTCAATCCCATTGAGAAAACCGAGAAATGTGCCCCAGAAGCCATTCAGCTTCTGATGCGCTCAAAAACCGAGGTTCCACTGTATATTGGGGGGGGGGTGTCATCGCCTCCTACATCAATTAGAACGTGCAACAAGTATATGCTATTTAACACCAATGCTGCTCCACAATAAAGGGTGGGGGAAGGGTGAAGTGGGTGAGTCCTCGGAATGCATGTACATAATGTGGGACAATACTGACTTTTCTCCCCTTTTCCCACAGGTTTATCTGAAGCTTCCACCTGTCCCAATCTGCTATGCCATTCACTAAAGAGGTGAGAAACAGCAATGTCTCTTGTGAGGTGGGTGGGTGGTTGGAGAGATTAAATGGTTAAATATCTGAAATGTTTAACTGCAAGAGAATGCAGTTCCACTCAGCTGCATTTGTTGTGAATTGTTTGAGTGACTTGGCCCACAGACTTATTCCATATTAATTTTATACCTTGAGATGTCCATCAAATGACTTATTTACGTGCATTACTTGAGGCACAGCAGCTGTCCCAGAAGTAAGATAAAAAACTGCACACAGTGCAGTTTTGTTTTCTTGGCGTAAAATACTGGTTCCTTTTAATGTTTGTGTCCTGATGTCTTGAGGATGCCAGAGCAATATAAACTAACAAGGGGCAGCCCTGCCACATTCTTTTAGCATTTTCACGTCCTTCTAAAGCCCTGAACACAGACATAATTATTTCCAAATGCTTGTTAAGCATCTTCTCAATTTAGAACTCATTCCAACTGCTGGGAAGTACTATTAGTGGTATAAGCCTGATGGATCTGTCCAGATTTCACCCTCCCAGCATGGAAGGGCTCCTGTCTGTGAGGCTTTTGATATAGCAGAGGGATCTCACTGGTAGAAGGGAGGTGACTTGCCTGTTTCCAGTTCCCTCTGCAGCCTTCACACACTAATCCAGAAGGTGTCTCCGTCTTTCAGAGTAGGTCTTTGGAGGCTGCAGGGGAAGGGGAAACTGGCAAATGCCACCACTGTACTACATTGTGTTCTGGCAGCAGGAGCAAAGTCTGGAACCAAGCCTACTCTTAAAACCTCACATATAATTAAACTTGAAGCAGGCAAAGTTTTGACCTCCTTACTCTCTGCCCCTGCTAATGCAACTATTTCTGTCTGCTTACTGTTGTCTTGCTTTTTTCATCTCGTTCAAACGTACATGGAGTTAAATATTACTAGCCTCTTAACTGTGAAGAACACTGGGTCAACATGGCCTGGGCTGCTGCTCCACAAGTATCTCCTTCACTGAGGTCCTCTCTCAGCGAAGACAACTGGTTTAGTTTTGGGTTATAAAGTTCTACTGTTAAAAGTTATATGAGAGTCTGTGCTCGGGTTCCTCACTGCCATAACTGGACTGAGTCCTAGATATACTGGAAGAATGTAACAGTTGTTGGATAGTCTAAATGTTCAACTTTTAAAGCTGTCATTAGCACTGTGTGTTAGTTGAATAGGTGTTTGTTAATTCACTGCTCATTAACACATTGTGTCAAGGGCTTTACATGTTCACACAAGCTACAAAATCCTGGGAAATGACCCAGCTTTGTGATTAGTTTCAACTTCCTTTGAGCTGCATGGCTGTCAGAGGCAGAATGTTAGATCCAAGTCCAAGATTTGTCTGTTCACGTTACAGGGGTACGCTAGTAGTACAGCTTAAAAATGTATGAGAATAGGAATTGGAAGGTAGGTTGAGGCTTCAACCCTCAGATGTCATCAGTCTGCCAGACAAAATCGCTAGTGTCTGTTTCAGCTCAGATTAGGAAACGCTTACTACATATTATACAGGTGAGTCTTTTTTGTATTTAATCACATTGTTAGTACATGTGTGATCTTCACTGTTTTGTTGTTTCTTCAGCTTGCAAGCCTCCTTGTGTATAGTCATATAGAGAGGCAGTATACAAATGAACAGTGAAATGAAATGAAATATCTCATGCCACTGAACTTTCCTCATATAATCAGGATGCGTAAACCTGAGTGCTGGAGAGGTCAAAAGTTTTGTAATAAAATTCCTAAATTTGGGCATACGGGGATCTTCCTCTGTAGATAGTGGTGGTATATATTACTTCACTTCAATATGGGCTAAACTAGAGCTTTTCTGCTTGGGGCAGAATAACCAAGAGGACTCCCAAAGTCTGTCCTGCTGGCACCACTGTGCTTGAATAGTGAAAATGTTTCTATGACTAGCAAGTAACAGGGACTTTGACAGCCCAATTAGATGCCTCACTCAAACACACAGTAGCAATATGGGATCAGACTCTGGAGAAATGGTTCTTGAGTAACATTACTACCATATGAACAGGGTTTTGGTCACTTCATACAGTGGTTGAAGATCTAGTTAAATCATAATCCTTTTAATGGATTGTTGTTCCATTTTATCAGTAGCTAGTATTTGCATACTTTGAAAACTGGAAGGGTGAAAGATAAAGCCCTGGCTTATGCACTTCAGGTTTCTAAATGAGACTGCAACAATGTGTTGCAGTGCAAAGAGCTGCAGGTTTCAGCTCTTAGTTGTTTTAAATTGTTTTTATTAAAGATTTTCTTGGGTTACAAAAGTACATACATCTCTGTTTTTGCATCATACAGTCCTTTCAACAGATCAGTTCTATTCGATGTTAGACGTTGATGTTGTATACAGTATAAGGTTGTGGGAAGAGAGGTGGGGCGTAGTAAACTTGCATTTTTACAGTGTATGTGCAAGGTTTTTGTGTCAGAGTCACATGCATAGGTTCCCTTTCTATTCATTCATTCGTGTTCATGGGGGCTACAGTAAGTTGTTACAGTAAGTTTTGTTTGTGCGTGAAGGGTTGTTGGCTCAAGTTAGCCATGTCGATTTGCATGCTATCGCTGGGTTCTTGTTGGGCTGTGTGTGTAATAAAGGGGAACCACACTGGGGTGAAGGCATCCTTGTTTATTTGTCCCTGTGCTAGTTTTGGTTTGTTGGTTAGCTTTTCTAGTAAGGCTGTTTCCCATACAGTTTGGTACCAGTGCTCCACGTTCACTCCTAACAGCTCCCTCCAGTGTTGATGTTCTTGACTGCTGAGAGTAGGTGGGTTATAAGCTCTTTGTAGTGTGAGTGATTGTCTTGCAAAATGTTCCAACGGGGATAATTCTGCCATGGCTTCTAGTACTGTTTTGTTATTTTGCATATTTATTGAAGTTTCAGCAAGACAGCCACGCATTATTCCAAGATACTTTATTATAGCCTTTTCTCCCCACCCCCCACCATGTTCTGAACTGCTACAAACTTTGTACATATAGGAAAAATTTCCTAAGTAGAAAGGACTCTTTCTTGTATGTGTGAAATGCTCACAAGAGTAAGTCTACTACTGTGGTTCATTAAGTCTACTCTGAGTAATTTAGCTACAATCCAAGGTTATTTAATATTTGTAAATAAGTGATAATTGGTTTATATTAATGTATTGAGTATAGCCACGGTAACAAGAAAAAGACACTTCACTACAACTCAGACAGCAGGTGTCTTATTTTATATTGTAAAGTACATGATGTGCGAAATTAAGGCAATTATATGTGCAAAATAAACCATCCATTAGAAGCATACTTGTTTACATTGTCTAGGATAACTTATGCTCTTATATGCAATGATAGTCATTTGCCCAAGCAGCTCATTTTCCATTTTCTTTGTTTCAGCATGGTCTATTGACCAACAAGGGCCAAGAGCAGACGCCTGTAATCTCCACTTGTGTCACTTTGTATCATTGTGCCCAAAGTCTTCTGATACATCTGGGTGAACATCTGTTTGATTTGTGCAAGATCAATCTGTGCCAAAAGAAACAAAGCAGACAACTGAGAGAAGACACAACTTAATTCATGAATCCCATTAAACTCAACAGGCAGGTCTAGTGCCACTGAAATTCCAGGCGGATTGTGCCCCATTCACCCGCACCGGGCATTAAAACTTCAGTGCCAGTTTGATGATGAGGAAGAATTAATTTGACACCGGAAACACAGTCTGCAACATGTTACAAAGCTACTCAAGACATAGGTTTGCCTAGCGATCCAGCCTCTAATACTGCTCTCTGTGAACAAGTAAGTAATGCATATATGCTACTCTCTGGTACAGTGGATGATGTGTAATGCAACCTTCCACATCAGGGGAGAAGTTCATCATGTTATTTGTATGCCACCTTTCCTGAAGGCATGGTTTTCACTATGGAAAGACAGCATGCAAATAATAACTAGGGCTGGGCAGTGTTACCATATTTTTCGCTCTATAGGACGCATCAGATGATAAGACACACCTAGTTTGGGGGTGGGGAGGAAAAGAGAGAAAAAAATATTTTGAATCCCAGAAGCCAGAACAGCAAGAGGGATCTGGCTTCTGGGATAACCGCGCCAAGCCTCTTCAGGGCAGCGGGATGAAGGCTCCCCCTGCCCAAAGAGGCTGCGCGCGGCTAAGGCAGAAGCCAGGGCAGGCACATGGCTGAAGGGGCGCTGGGCACTTCTCCCTCTCTGCGCAGCGCCCCTTCAAGCGAAGCTGGAGGAGGAACAGGAGGAGTCCCCTTCTGTTCCTCCTCTGGTTTCCAGGCAGGTGCGTGGCTGAAGCCTTTGGAGCGCAGCGGGAACTCGCGCTGCGCTCCAAAGGCTTCGGGCAGCTATCCCTTAATCCAGGAGAGTCTTGCTCTCCAGGCTTCAGCGAAAGCAACGCGAAGCCTCCCTCTGCGCTTCAGAGCCTTCACGTTGCTATCGCTGAAGCCAAGGAGCCTGCATTCGCTCCATAGGACGCACACACATTTCCCCTTGATTTTTGGAGGAGGAAAAGTGCGTCCTATAGAGCGAAAAATACGGTACATTTTCAACATTGTGGTGTCTCACCAGCAAGGGGTGAACCCAACCTCAGCTCTCACTGTGGAAGCTAAGGTGCTTTCACCCCAGCGCCTGGTGGATGGGAAGGCTCCTACCCCCCAACTGAGAGCCCTGGTGTGCCAGCAGCAGGGACCTCCTTTTGGAGGCACTCTCTGCTGGTGTGGTACCTCTTTCCCCTGGGAGGAAGATGCAGCCAGCTTACCACCCCCCCAAAAAAAAGATGGACCAGGCAGCAGTAGCCAAGTTCACAGAGCCTGTCAGGCTCTGTGCGTTGACTGCCTTTGCCTATGCAAGCCTCTTCCCTTGTGGGGTGGTAACAGACAGCTCACCCTCCCAGACAAAGGCAGCCAAGTGCACACAGCCTGGTCCTCAAGCCATGGGGTGCAAAACCACTGTATCCACGCAGCCTCTGCACCCCCTGGCTGAGCCCATCCAACCCCCTAAGCGGCAGCAGTTGAGGCAAGTGCACACAGGCTTGCCTCAGCAGGTGAAGTCTAACAGAGCCAGAGGAGAGGTGGGTGTTCCTTTAAACGTCTCTGTTGAGGGGTGCACACTTCGATGGAGAAGTGTGACAGAGCCTGCACTTCCCCAGCCACAGTCCTGCCCACATGCAAGCGGGAGTGGGGCTGGGAAGCACTTTAACAGACCCCCCCCCCCCCACCGCTGGCTTGTGCGGTGTCAGGGGATCTGCAAAACTGCTTGGCGGGGGCAGCGGCGTGCTCAGCCAAGCAGTTTAAAGAAGCACAGGGAGGAACAAGGTGTATCGTGCCTTGCACAGTAGGATGGCGGCTTCACTCAGGAGGTGGCAGTTTCACCCATACCACTGAGTGAAGCTGTCATCATGGTCTGCCCCTCCTAGCAGTCCTGGGCAAGATATTGATGTATTGCCAGGCCTAATAACACGACAGAAGCAATCACACACAATAAATACATGAAACAGTACGCTTATTTCATTCTTAAAGTGCATGGCTCCAACCTGTCTTGGCAACTGCAGCTGCCCCCACCTCATGTTCATAGCCAGTCTTTCTACCTGGAAAGCCTCTAAAGCAATGACTCAATAATGAAGACTGAGGTTGGGGCAACTATCACTGCCAGGAACAATGTGGCACTGAGTCTGCTACCTAAAAGAAGAGTGCTTTCTATCATCTAGATCTGTGCCAGCTCAGGTAACTGGCATCACCACTAATGGCCTTGAATCTATACAATGTGCCACTTGGGTTGTACAAGTTTAATAAAGAAAGCTGCTTATAATACCAGAAAAGTTTCAACTATCAATTTGTCAAAAGTGTTTACAGCTTCTGTTACCTTTCCATTGTGCCTGAACTTCATACAGTAAAAGACTGTGATGGATTTGCGTTTCAATAAAGGAGCCATTTGACCTCTTTGGAAATATGGCCAGATTGTGTATATAATGAACACAAACAAGATTAAATAACCGGCCTTTAATTACATATTAGGTAAAAGTTACACATAATAAATTCTTACCTCGCTGCGAGTGACTACAATTCGAACCAAGGTAGAGTCATCTGTGCCGGCTCCTTTCATGGAATGATAAAGCCTCTCTGCAAAAAAGGCTGGGCGATTCAGAGCACATTGCACTGCAATAAAACAGTATTAAGATCAACTCAAAGTTGACACTGACAGCTCAAAGCCACAAGATTCTAACAGCATCAACCTGCCAGAATCTTTAATCCAAACTGCATTTTTTGTCATTGCATCCCCCCCCCCCCCCCGGTATATTATAACATAAAGATAATACAAAGACCAAGAGTCCAAAAGCATAAAATTATCCAACCCAATAGTAATTAAAAGTAACAATCATGTCCTTACTAGGCAAATTAGAGTTAAATGTTGTTAGATCAGCCCTAACTGGTTCAAGGGAGGAGATGGGTAGTGCATCTAGCCCAGTTCCCAGTGAGGGCTTGCTTTAGGGAGTGTGCCTCCTAGTGGAGGGAAGGGATTACTGCACCACCAGCAATCTGAAGCAGTGGTACCTTGGTTCTTGAACAGCTTAGTTGTTGAACAAATTGGCTCTTGAACGCCACTAACCCGGAAGTAAATGTTCCAGTTTGCGACTGTCTTTCGGAAGCCAAACATCCAAAAAGGCTTCCGCTTGAGTGCAGGAACCTCCTGCAGCCAATCGGAAGCCGCGCCTTGGTTTTCGAACGGTTTCGGGAGTCGAACGGACTCCCGGAACAGATTAAGTTTGACAACCAAGATACCACTGTACATCACATGTGCAAATTAAGCAACTGACATCAGTCCTCTTATTTTGCATAAATTATTTTACAGGTCTGGTAAGGGCACTGAAGCCCCAGCTGATGCTCATTAATCAGTGAAGTTTCCAGCACCTAATAGTTGTAGGTGCTTGGTAAATAAATTTCCCATAAAAATGACCTCATTGAACAATGAAATGCAGGAAAAGTCCCTTACCGATAGCCTTTAAACCACGTTCTACATTTCCTGAAAACTCCCGGCCAATGCTGCTTAATAAATCTCGGTTAGCAACCTGCAAAAATATAAGTAGGAAATGTTAATTTTTTAGCCAAAGAACTGATGAAAGCCAAATCCAGTCCTGTCTAGTCCACACAAATGCCCTCCCCTTCTTGTCTACCTGAGAGTAGGCTTCAATTGTGGCTTTCAGCTGGGGAAAGCTTCTAGTTGCCAGGACCATATTGAAGGCAGACTCATCAGTCCCCAGCTTCCCTTCACCAGCTTGGAAAAGGCGCTGAGCATCTTGTTGAGCCTTTTGGTAATCTACAGTTTGATTCTCATCCCGATTACCCTGTAAGAGAGAAAAATATTGATTACTACTATTATATACAGTAAGCCCACAACTTAATGCAGGGGTTACGTTCCAGGGATCACAGCTGAAATTGTGTATAGTCAGAACTCATTGGATTCAATGGCAGGTAGGATTGCCAAGTCTTTTTCCCTGGATGCCCACCCTCTTTTAATTTTCTTTTTTGCCAAGTACACACATTTAGACATAGCAAATCAAATGATTAAACATCTGGCCTCCATTTATGCTTTATAGTATCCTTGTCTGAACACAGCTATGGCTCCACAAATATGCAAAACGAAATGAGCAAAACTAAGATCAACTGTTCAGTCATCTCATGATTTCAACCGTCTAGAGGACAAGGCAAGATTAATTTATATTTAAAGCCACTGTAACTGTGACCAGGGAGAAATTAGAAATTAATACTTGCACGTTACAGTGGTAGCTAAATTAAGCAGAGCCACAGTATAAGATAAATACTACTAACATGACCAAACTATTTCTCTTTCTATCAGTTAACAACAGACTAGTCCAGTACTTTTATTACTTTTATTGTCAACAATGACAATTACTTAGGGGAGAAATTTAAACTGAGCTGGATAGACAGACTAGTTTCAAACTTTCTTGGCACTGTAAGATTGTGAGCATTGAAATGAACCAATTTTGTTCCGAGAAAGAGGATGGGGGAACCTGCAGCTCTCTAAATCTTGCTGGACTAAACCTCCCATCGTCAGTGGCCCATGCGGACTAGAGCTGGAGTCCATCATCTGGAGAACCAAAGGATCCGTCACCCCCACCATAGAGCAAGATATGACAGCGTGGCAGCACATTAATAAAAGTGTCTATTTTTTGGTCCATGATCTGTGCCTGTATCAACACATTAACAGGTTGAACTGGTTAGGAGAGATGTATTCCAAATCAGAGTTTTGGTTTGGGCAAGATGGAACAAGTCTATTTAACACAGTATTTTGGTTGCATCTAAGAGAAAAAAAATTGTCAAATACATCCCGTTTTTGGGCACCATGTTTGTGTGTGGGCCAAATGACTCGTGCAGGAGCGCAGCCCAGAAGACACACATCCTGGTTTTTGTGCTGGGTCATGTTGAAGTGTATGGTGGCACCATTTACATAACAAAAACTACCACATTTTGAAAAGTAGGTCTATGGCTTGGATTTTGAAAAAGGGGGGTCCACAGTCCTAAGCTAAATGGGAGCTACTGATCTATTGTGTTTGTTTTATTCAATAATATTCAGTAATAGGTCTCCTTCAGAGCTGAATGTCACATTGATCGGGTCCTAGAGGGTCATGTTAAGCCAAAACCATTTACTTCAAGAGATAGGTATTTGAAATCTCCATCTGATAGAAAAAGCCTAGTCCTATCATCAAATCCTATTTCATACAAGGAATGGTACCTAACTCAGGATACATTTCAAAAGGGGTGGAAAACTTACAGCTGGAACTGTACTTGGTGCAAACTAGATACTTATATGGTGGCCTCGTTATCGAGAACAAGGTAAACGTGTGCTTGGTAAACATAAATGCGACAGAAGGTGGTTGTTCATCCTACCTGGCACATAGATACAAGTAATCGTTCAAAGTGTCCTGACGTATCAGACCGAATATCATGCTCGATATCTCTTCCAAATTCACTGTTGTAACATCTGACAATTTCTCGAATCTCCTGGTTTGTCCTTGTGCACAGAATCTCAATCAGCACATTCTCCTGTGTGCCTGCACCCTGCAGGCAGAGAAACAAAGCACTACAGACATTACCTCAATGCAGGCTGCTCAGAAAGCTGACCAGAACATCTAATTGTTTTATTACATTAGAAAGAAGATTGATCACTTTTTTGTACTGTAGGAACATCTGAGCCATATTGCTTCATTCAACTAGATCATGTTGCAAGCCATTGTGCGTCTTTCAGCTCATGCAAAAAACCTACTCAACAAACTTGCTTCATTTAGCCACCAGCTACCAATAGTTCCCAAGGTTTGTTACAGAAGAAAAGTATTATAATCTAAGAGCATAATCCAGTGATGATCTCATTGGAAATGAACAGGATGCAGGCACAAGCACGGGCGAACATGACTTCGGTCTACTAATTTTAATGGGTCTATGCATTAGTAAAACTCAGCTGGCTACAACCAGGGAACTGTGTCTATAGGGCATTTGTCACTTGTATCTCTAACACATACATATTTCCATATCTGGGTATATATAGAAGTCATGCAGCCAGAAATGTAAGGAGCTTGAGCAAAGAAAGCAAGGACACCAATCAATCCTTCAGTTTTTCAGAACACAGAAGGCCTTTTCCATTTCTTAAAATAACTAAGGGATGTGTGGGGAGGTTCATGTTAGGAATTGGTACCATGTACATATAAATTACACTTGGGCACTGCTATGCTCTTTGCACAGGTTTCATTCATTGTCAGTGGAGCAATATTTTCAACTAGACTGTAGCTTAAATTCACAGAATGAGCATCCCTGCCTCCCTCCTGAAGTACTCCCACAGTTGTCTTACAGGTATTTCTGCATCCAGATCAACCATAGTCACCCAGCCCTGCTACTGGAGACAAGCCAGCGCTGCATATCTGACTTGTTGGCTGAGGATGACAGAAGTGTTGTCACTCTTCTTCTGTATGCCTGACATAAAAAGTTTCTCTCACCCGCCTCCCCACCCCAGCTCTTGCCACTCCCAACCTGCCTTTCTGGAAAATTGAAGGGGGCTGAGGAGAAAACCAGGAGTGGATTCCAGTGGATTTGGGGGTGGGGGTGCAGGGTGTTAATGTGATGGTTTATTTGTTTCTGCCAAGCACAAGGCATTCCTGGATTGCACATGTGCCCAGTTCCCCAACTCTAACAGGGTGGGGGGTGGAATAAAGAACTGGGAGAGGGAAGAACAATCATCTCTGACTCTGACTGAAAGCCAAGTGAATAAGAAAACAAGAAGTGGGGTTCTGTGAGTAGCACAAGAGAATATGCAAAACAGAGGACCATGGTTAATTTTGCAAGACAGGCATTGGGGCCTATTTTTATGAGAGATTTGCTGTAATTTTGAGAGAGTGGGTGCAGGTTGCATTTGTCTATGAATATTCTGGAAATGTACACTGTATATATTCCTTAATTTTAAAATCTATTTACACAATTTTCACCTTTATTACTGAAAATTTTTTTTGAAATGACTTTGATCTAGTTGAGCATTTACGGTCCTTTACAGTTAATGTGCTCATTTTACATGAAAATAAATGCCAGTGAAAATCATACCTTCATGGCATGCCGCAAACTCCAAGCATCATAGTAAGTACTTGGCATGAACAATGCAAGGATCAGCTCTTCCATATTTCCACTTAGCTCCGACTTCAGGTCTTTAATTAAATCCTGTCCAATTACAAAGTGGTATCAGAAAGACATACATTCATAAAATATGCATGCGCACACAGACTGAAAATGTACAGTTCAGCTGCTGGCAAATCAATGTTTATTGAAGTCTAGTGAGACATATTTTCAAGACAGAAAATGAAGGCAGTAATCATGATAAATCAATTTAAAACTTCTTTTAAACTAGGGGATCATAACATAGGCAGCCATTTTAGAAGAAATTACTATTTTATTTTATACAGCAGAATGCAAAAGAGTTGGTGTGTTGTAGACATGTGCCTTGTATGTCAATACTAGTACCTCAACAAGGCCCATACTGACTTTTTATGTCAAAGAGCTATTTGGAATCTTCTATGATAGGAGAAGCCGCTGTCTGAAATAGGTTGCATCACTCAGCACATACTGAACATGAAGCTACTGTCACCACTTCACTGTTACACATTATACTAGTAAAGCACAGCCAGAGGCTATGTCCACTCCTAGCTTTCTTGAAAACCACTACAGGGGAGGGTCCAGTATTTGACAAAATAAAGAAATGAAGTTAAATTACAGACCTCACTCTGCTCACGACAGTTAAGCACACAAGCTGTACCAGCTGTTGTACCAGCTGCTGATTTGCTTTTCATTATTATGACTAAAACAAAATCACCAGCAATCATACCTTGCCATACATGGTCTTGAAAGCAGCCTTAATTTGCTGTCTCTGACCATTGGAGCGGTTGGACACAACATCAATGATTGCCTGTTCATCCGTTCCTAGGGAGCAAGAAGGCAACTCAGTGTAGTCTCTTATCAAGCCATTTCATCCCTTTTATTGTACACCCCAAGGTGTACATCGGGCAAAAACACTGCTTTAGTACAGAGACTTTGCAAACTGCTCACATTCATAGATTTCCTGTACAAAATGAAACTATCACTTCACTGCAGAGTTTGAACGCAGAGAGATCTCATAGGCTTGCTTAAAACAGGTATTTAGCAATGCACACTGTAGGAGAAATATTTCAAACACAGGGGACATCTGACGAAAGCTCTGGGGTAGAATCCAACTTTGTACAAGTGGACTTCTCTGATACAATGGAACTTCACCCTCCTCTCCTCCCACCTGCAGCCACCAAATCAGGCACCACCAAAATCTGCCCTGGACAGTGTTGGATACACTTTAGACAAGGGAGTTCCCTGCCAAGGACAGTATCAAGGAGCATCTAGTGCCCTGCGTATTGTGCAATCCTCTCTCATGGTTACGATTCTTCATGCCCCGCTCTACAGACCCATCTATCCCAAGTCTTGCTGCTCTTTTTCACTGTTGCCTATATTTCTATTTTTAAAAATCCAAAATGGAAACCAAGCCATGGAAAGAGGAAGCCATGTTGAAAAAAATATTCCATATAAACAATTCAGGTTGTAGAGTGAAAGGTTGATTTGCACCCCAAGTTATGTTAAAGACTATGGTTAAAATATATACAAGTGTTGGAAGGATCTAGTGAGAGACGTACAGGATTAAGGTAGAGAAGAGTGTTTGGTTTCTGGGCTACACAAGTTTAAACACGAACACTGTATGAAACACAAAACCGCTCTTACCAAACCCTTTCATAGCCTTGCGCAGAATTTCTGCATCCCGCCCTGCATCAAAGTTCGGAGCTGGTCGAATTGTGCCTTGCATATGTTGAGTCATTGCTGCAGGCTGAGATTGAGAAATCTGTTTTACCATGTTATTGATCCATGTGAAATGCTTATTCAATCTCAACAATGAAATCTTAGGCATCAGTACTTTAGAGGGAAAGGAGAGACATCCTAAGCAGTCGGGAGGCCGATATATTCCAGATGAAAAGACCTGGTTTACTAATATGATGGGGCGCCTGTCATCGGCTCAAGCCTTTACAAGTATTTGCAGGAAATTACCCCAGCAATCAATTTCAGGCTGGAGGACACATCTCCTCCCTTAGTATTCAGAGTTAAAACAGAAACACAGAGAGGGAGAGGTAGGCTTGAGGCAAAGAGAGGGAGAAGGAGAGAACAACTGAAGATGCAGCTGCAGGAAAAGCTCCACAGCATTTGGGGCTTTCAACAGGAACACAGGCACAGGAAGAGAATGTAAGAACCTACTAAGAGCCTACTGGATCAGGCCAATGGCCCATCTACTCCAGCATCCTGTTCTCATAGTGGCCAAACAGATGCCTGTGGGAAGCTTGCAAGCACAACAGCCTTCTCCCCTCCTGCGGTTCCTAACAACTGGTATTCAGAAGCATACAGCCTCTGACTGTGGAGGCAGAACACATGCATCATGGCTAATGTTGATATCCTTTATGAATTTGTCTAACCCTCTTTTAAAGCAGCTGACTCAATGATAAGTAGGAGGGTGGCAATCCCTCACTCCCTTGGGAGTCAAAGGAAAGTTTATTGGGTGAGGCAAGAGGCAACAGCACTGCCTGTGTCAACTGTGTACAGGGACCAGTCTAAGAGAAGGAAGGAGGAGGAATCTGAGCACAAGGAGGTGGTAGAAGAAGCCCCTAGGAGGGTCCTGTGATGAACTGGGATCCTGAATTCTGAGAACAAGGGCTCACTATGCCTACTCCAAAGCAAGAGTGGCCTGAACCTCAAGGGGGATGGCTTAGAGGGGGGGAAAACCCTGTTGTGAAGTATAACTGTTGCCAAAATCTATTATGTTCCAAGTTACCACACTGGAATCATCAAGGCTGCAAATCTCAAAACATGACAGGCCTTTACAAATGGCTACTGCAGAAGGGTTTTATTAGCATTTAATTTAAAAGCAGGTTTTAAAAAACTAATTTCAAACTTCTCCCTCTATTTAAATTTTACTATTTTGACTATTATTATTATTATTATTATTATTTGCCCCCAGCTCTTTCTTTTACATGGAAGGCTACAGCTCAAGCTTGCCCAAGCGATCTTCTCCTGTGTACTCCAATTCATCTACCGTCCTTCCCAATACATGATAACAATAGTTTATTCAAAATCAGGCAAGTAAGTTCCTCTCCCATTTCAAATCATGGTTTCTAATTCAGGCCTGGAGGCAAAATATGCAGCAACTATGGTTTGCCACATATGGATGACAAACTATGGTTGTCACAAGGAAGTGAGGTAGGGAATTTGACACACACCGGAAGTACAGCTGGTGTATGCCTGAGCTGAGATTCCACAACCTCCCTTAGAAAGTTTTTCTTATACTTTCATTAAGCATACCTTTTTGTAGTTTAAACTGGTTCTACTTGTCCACCCAGAGCCCTTGCAACAACCTAACCAATAGTTTGCTTAGCTTGATTTCCCTCAAAAGGAAAGCTTGCCCCCTAAGACTGAAGGACTCAGTTATATTTACGGCATTCTCTGGCTTCTCAAGCCAAACTCCAAGAGGTGTATTCAAATATGCTGCATACACAAGTGAGTAGTTTTCTATACTGATCTGAGGAACTGGACCACAACATTTTTTCTTCGTCAAAACAATTTGCATTCCCACCATGATCAAATAAAACCAACAACATTGTCCCATTTTATAATACAAATGACATACCTGAGGTGGTGTTGGAGTTGGTCCACCTGGATACCCAGCTTAAGAAAAATATAAAATTGAAATAAGATTTTATTGTTGTCATGCTGTGTGCATAAAGTATCATCATAGCAAAATGTGAAGTTTGCTACTGATTCATGCACTGGTTTTCAGCTAATATTTCCTCATGCAGATCAGGGAGAACTTCAGGACTTGCAAAGAAGCCTGCAGGCTTCACAGTGACATGAGCACCCACCAAATTGTGTCACTTTCAATCACACTTCGGATTTCTGTCTCTTTCCTTGCATCTCCTGCTCCCTTCAGGTGCACGGAACAAATACTTGCTGGATGCAAAGCTGACCATTAAAACACTATCACTTGCAGCCTGGAACTCCCTATCTTTATTTCCAAGGTCCTTTCCGACACAAGGTTAGGAAGTGGGACTACGGTAAGGCCCAGTGCAGATGTGGCATTAACAGCAGCATAACCAAGATGAGGAGGAATGCCACAAATTCGCAGGTTCCCTCTAGCTTTTTGGCAGCAATTTCCCCCCTCCTTTTCCTGGTTTGTATTTACGCGGGTGTCATGTTATATCTGCATTGCCACTGAACAGATTAACGACAGGAGCCAACTACAGCAGCACCCATGCAATCCAGGATCATGCAGGACCACTAGTGGACTCACAAGCCAGCTGGGGCTGTGCATAGATGCTGTTTCTGTGAATCACTGTCCCCACATGGGATTATACATGAGGCCGGTGCAAGAGCTGCAGGCATTCGTCTGTCTCGAGAGACCATGAAGTGCGCTTCTGGGGTTGAAGTCAAACTGCTGGAGAATCACAGCACCTGCTGTGGCTGCAGAGACTGGTAGTTCATAGCTGTTGCCTCTCACATTGTTTCTGCTATGTTAGCAACATCGAAGTGACCTCTCTGAGGCAGAGGCCTGGGCGGTGTGTATGGAGGTCCTGGGCTTCCTAGATGACAAGAACCGCCACCCCGCCCTGCCCCACGGTGTCAAGGATGTGGCCCCAAGGAAAGCAGAGCAATACATTTGGCACCAGCTTGGCTGCAGGAGTTGCCAGAAGGAGGTGTACAAGGCCCCATCCAACCATCTTAGGGACTTCATTTCAAATTTGCGTAGGGTTTGCTCCTTGGCCTTTTCTTCTCCTGAAGATGTCCCGCAAGGCAGTGGGTAACAGTACTTAACTACTATTTTGTGTTTCAGCAGTGGAATACAGACTTAGAGTAAGACTTACAGATACAAGTTTGCTTCACTAGTCTCATATTTTACAGGGTACATTCCACCTCTAAACCCATAAACAGAATGATTTATCCTTTCCATATCCAATCACAATAGTCGTTCAATACCTGGTATTTGTGCTGGTCCACCTCCCATATAATTTTGGGTTGGAGGCTGCGGATAGCCATAGCCAGAACCATTTGAAGGTACTCCAAACCCAGCGCCTGGAATAAATACATTTAAAAAAAATAAAAAATCTGATACCATGCAAGTGCAACCAAAATATTTCGATCACAAAGTACAAAATATATAGTTGTCAAGGCTGCCTCAGGTCTCAGCTCACAAAAGACCAACGCCAATCTCTTCTTATATACAAAAGTGTTTATTGCAGTTCATTGTTTGCTTCATATCCGAGGCGCGCAGCCCCACGTCTGTACGCTTAGACCGTTGAAGTCCCCTCTGAGTCAGTCCCTCCCCTGCACCAGTTTAAGAGCCTTGCGCTGCTCCACCTCTTTCTCTCTTTCCTTTCCTCAGGGTCTTCCTGCCCGCTGGGGTTTCGCCCTCCTGGATTCCCCTGACGCGCTATCCCCCGACTGCTCTTCCCCCTCCTGCGGGCTTTAGGACCTGGCTCTTCCTCCGGGCTCCCTGTACTTCCGCGCGCCTCTACATTTGAACTTGCGCGCGCGCCCAACCTCTAACTTTCCTTTTAACAGTTACACTACTCCCTTCACTACTCCCGAGCGCTTCCGGGAGAGTGGCTTGCTCCGACCTACCTCCCTTCTCTGCTGCCGGAGCTGCTTCCCCTGATACACTGGAACCTTCACCCCCTTCGCTGCACTCTGGCGGGGAGGCTGGTCCTGACGCCCAGCTGCCACTTTGGGATCCCCCGCTGGCCCCCTGTTCCTGACACGTCCCCCTGGGGCTCCTGGCCTTGACCACTGGCGCCCCTTCTGGGAATCCTCTGATTCGCTGGAAAGACTCATGGAATCTCTTGAGTCATTGTCATCCTCTTCCTCGCTGTCCTGGGATTCATCCCCATCGCTCTCCATCTCCTCCCTACCCTGTGCCTCTGTCCCTGAACCCCTGACAATAGTTAATACATCAAATTAAAGAGCTAGAAAATACTCAGTTGGTTTAATGTCTGTTTGAAAACCTGTATTACTTGTGCTCACTACCAGAATCCTAATAATTTTTTTCCTTTATATTGGGTAAGGAACTTTCCCAAATGAATCAGGCAGCTCACTGTATGCTGTGGGCAGAGGAGGGGGGCAAGTTAAAGAATCATTCAGCAGACACTGCAGAGTTAAGGCTAGCTGTTTCAATGACCAGCATTATCCACACTTTCCAGGCACGGCCCATGCGCTTTAGAGCTCAGTGTCTGAGCACCTTTCTTTCTTTTTGCTCCAGAGCTTTCACCACGAAAAGCTGGTCTTTAAAGGTGAATCAGAGCAAATGGCAATCCACAGAAAACCCAAACTGCCATTTGCTCAAATTCAGCTTTCAAGAGTGGATTGTCGCAGGGAAAGCTCCAGGGGGGAGTGGGGTGGCACACTCAGACACAGAGCTTTAAATCATGGACTGTGCCTGGAGAGAGCAAAGGAAAGGTACGTCTGGATAAGCCAGCCCTTGTCTGAAGCTTACCTATTCCTTAACATGGTTCTGGTTTTATAGTAGGTTTTTAAAAAGTCACTCATGTGGGGCCAATGGTGGCAAGTATGCAGTAAGCTAACACTATGTGGGATTGGGACTGGTGTGTGGCCTTGAATAGTCACTCTCAGTTATGCAGTGTCCTTCCCTACCCTGTTCAGTGCCTGACTGGAAGACAAATGGGAGCTGAGCATTTAGGTTTGCCCTTTTCATCTAAGCTTCTCTGACCTTTCTGAAACACAGAGAACATAACCACCACCTCACTGAGAGCATTGATTCATTTCTTTCTTGCTTAGGGTTTAGTATGAAGTTGTCCTGTTAGTCAAGGACTTCCTCTTCCTCATGCCTACCCCCCACAAACTCGTTCTGGGGCGTTTCCACAACCTTCCGGAGCAGATCTGGAGAGTGTGGGGATAGATGGGTAGATGCATTAACAGGATGGTTTTGTTGGATACAACCTTGTATTTCTTAAGCCACCAAAAACAGGCATTCAACTACAGCAGAGATAAGCAGCCAACAGTGTTTCAGCACATTACCTCCAGGATAAGTTGGCATTCCACCAGGCTGAGGAGCCCCAGGGTATCCAGCAGGCGCAGGGGGGTACCCACCAGGTGCGGGTGGGTATCCTGTAGCCCCTGGGAAGCCACCAGCTGGTGGAGCAGCAGGATATGCACCACCTCCCATAGGTGGGAAGCCTCCAGGAGCAGCAGGGTAAGTATATTGACCAGCAGGTGGGTAAGTAGACTCTTGCCCTGTAGGCTAAACACAAGCAGTAGATCAAGAGTTAACACAGTTGAGAAAGAAAGACCTAGAGAAAGTCACAGAAAATTGAAAATCTATACTGAGGCTCTCACTTCAGCTCCACCACTTGCTGGATTAAAGAAAACAACTCTGCTGTACTTTAAAAAAAAAATCACACATGGAACAAATATGCTTGCCTAATACATACAGTGCAAACCTGACCATTAAAACAGTTAATGCAACAAATTTTGGGGGGACAGGGGTGTGGGGGATTCCCTGGCGGGTGTGGGGGATTCCCTGGTCCTGAATGGGGTAACTGTGCCCCTGAAGGACCAGGTGCGCAGCCTGGGAGTCATTTTGAACTCACAGTTGTCCATGGAGGCATAGGTTAACTCTGTGTCCAGGGCAGCTGTCTACCAGCTCCATCTGGTACGCAGGCTAAGACCCTACCTGCCCGCGGACTGTCTCACCACAGTGGTGCATGCTCTGGTTATCTCCCGCTTGGACTACTGCAATGCGCTCTACGTGGGGCTACCTTTGAAGGTGACCCGGAAACTGCAATTAATTCAGAATGCGGCAGCTAGACTGGTGACTGGGAGTGGCCGCCGAGACCACATAACACCGGTTCTGAGAGATCTGCATTGGCTCCCAGTACGTTTCCGAGCACAATTCAAAGTGTTGGTGCTGACCTTTAAAGCCCTAAACGGCCTTGGTCCTGTATACCTGAAGGAGCGTCTCCACCCCCATCGTTCAGCCCAGACACTGAGATCCAGCGCCGAGGGCCTTCTGGCGGTTCCCTCATTGCGAGAAGTAAGGTTACAGGGAACCAGGCAGAGGGCCTTCTGGGTAGTGGCGCCTGCCCTGTGGAACGCCCTCCCAGCAGATGTCAAGGCAATAAACAACTATTTTACTTTTAAAAGACAACTGAAGGCAGTCCTCTTTAGGGAAGTTTTTAATGTCTAATGCTGTATTGTTTTTAATATTCAGTTGGAAGCCGCCCAGAGTGGCTGGGGAAATGGAGGCCAAATGGCCGAAATATTGGGAAATTCTGGAACAAGATGGAGACAGATTAAAATTGCAGAGCTTTGAAAAATTGAAAAACAGAGTATGAGATTGGCTCCATTATTACCAAATAATGGAGGCATACAATCTGGACAAAAAAGTTGGTTTCCAGGTGGAAAAATCAAAATTGGAAACAGAATTGTTAGATCCAAAAATTAAGAATTTGTCAAGAATGTATAACTTGCTGTTGAAATGGAACACTCAGGATGAAATGGTGAAATCAGCTATGATTAAATGGGCACAAGATGTTGGACATAACATAATGATGGCTGACTGGGAACAGTTATGGACCACAGGTATAAAATTCACGGCATGTAATGTCCTGAGAGAAAATTTAATGAAAATGATTTATAGGTGGTATATGACACCAATCAAGCTTGCAAAAATTTATCATTTGCCCGACAATAAATGTTGGAAATGTAATGAGACTGAAGGTACATTCTTTCACCTTTGGTGGACATGCCCAAAGATTAAGACATTCTGGGAGATGATCTATAACGAAATGAAAAAGGTATTTAAGTATACCTTTCTGAAGAAACCAGAGGCCTTTCTTCTGGGCATGGTTGGCCAATTGGTGTCAAAGAAGGATAGAACTTTTTTTATGTATGCAGCAACAGCAGCAAGAATACTCATCGCGAAGTATTGGAAGACACAAGATTTACCCACTCGGGAAGAATGGCAGATGAAGTTGATGGACTATATGGAATTGGCGGAAATGACTGGCAGAATCCGAGACCAGGGAGAAGAGTCGGTGGAAGAAGACTGGAAAAAGTTTAAAGACTATTTACAGAAATATTGTAAAATTAATGAATGTTAGAAAAATGTTGGAATGAAGTTATATGGCTTTAGTAGAAATGTTATAAGGAATTATGTATAAATAGATCAATAGAGTATTAAAGGGAAAAATAAGGTTAGAATCTGTTAAGATAATTAAAGGATAGAAAGCAGAGGAAGATGGAAACGAATTGCTGAAACAATCAACAGAAGTGGAATACAAAAAGGGAGGTGTGAGGAGGTCACTGAAATAAGTGAATGAAAGATAAGATATTGAAATTGTTTGATGTCTTTTAAATTGTTTTTGTTTTGTTTTGTTAGTTTAATGTGTTATGTAGTGTTTTTGTACTGCATTGTATTGTTCTTTTTGTGTGTGTTTAAATTATTGGAAAAGTAATAAATATTATTTTTTTTTAAAAAAACAGAATGGCTGGGGAAACCCAGCCAGATGGGTGGGGCAGTCATTTTTAAAAACAAACCATAAAACAATTGCATTAAAACAACACAGTAGTTAAAACAGGAGACTCAGGTCGATAGGTCAAGGGAATGACTGCGTAAACAGGTGCATCTTCCAAAGATAGCAGAATACCAACATGGAATGCTCATCGTCCATGAAGTGGGAAACCTCTTCAAGAAGTGGATTAAAATATACATATATATATAAAAAATAAAATAAAAGTGGATTAAACAACTGCAATTGAGAGGATGTCACTACTACATACCATCAAGTGCCAGATATGGAGAATACCTTTGCTTCTTCCTCCTGAACAGCTTCTGACAACATTTGATGTCAGAAGCTAGACTGAAGATCTCTAAGCTCAGAGGAGAGAAAGACAGAAAACTCCCTGCTTATCACCCGGGCTACAAGCGTCTTGCAAAGAAAGAAACAGATACCCAGCTCTGCAAGGTTGCCAGAAGTTGGGCTCCCCTGTGTTTCTCCCTTCCTCTCTGAGCTTGCCAGAGAAGCAGAGAAAGCTCCATCGCATGCACCCAGTTTCCAAGCACTTTGCAAAATGGTGAAATTATCCTGTCCTGCAAAGCTGTTGGAGTCTACCACTGAAGCAGAAAAAATACAGATCTATACAGAAACTGGCTCCAAGGTTGTGGCTGAGTAAACACTGGCCCTTATTCACCCTACCCACAACACTGGACTTCGGACTAAAGTAACAGAAGCAAGGTCAACCATAATGCCTACTGTTATCAATACAGAAAGAGAAACTTCATTGATCAGAAATCCCAAAGGAGCAATGAAACAGACAATTAATTATTAATTATCAAAGGAGCAATGAAACAGACAATTAATTATTATGGACAACAGGGATCTTGGATCTTTCCCAGAGGGATTCAAATTTCTCTTTGAAAGGAGAAAGTCTACACCACGATCAAGCATAAGCAGACTCTGGGCAAAGACCCTCCCCCCGCAAGTCATGCTGGAAAGAGGGGATTGCACATTCCAGTTCACACCACAGATAATTTATACCCTAAGATGGTTCGAATATTCCTCCTACAATTGGCTAAGAAACTGCAGTTTACAGGCTTCCCGATCCGCCTACATCACGTTTGCTCCTAAACATGTACCCCCAACAATAGCATATATCCCATGTCCATTCAAATTAGCAGTTTTTACAATAGGGGTGTGTTTTATAATATTCATGCAGCATTCAAGCCTACGTACTAGCGTGTGGCACTGTGGGTTAAACCACAGAGCCTAGGGCTTGCCAAACAGAAGGTTGGCGGTTCAAATCCCTGCAAGGGGGTGAGCTCCTGTTGCTCAGTCCCTGCTCCTGCCAACCTAGAAGTTCGAAAACATGCAGTTCAAGTAGATAAATAGGTACAACTCTAGCGGGAAGGTAAACGGTGTTTCCGTACACTGCTCTGGTTCGCCAGAAGTGGCTTAGTCATGCTAGCCACATGACCCGGAAGCTGTACGCCAGCTCTCTTGGCCAGTAAAGCGAGATGAGCGCCGCAACCCCAGAGTCATCCGCGACTGGACCTAATGGTCAGGGGTCCCTTTACCTTTTTTTTTACTAGTTCTTAAACTATCATCTGCTATTTCTCCTTGTTATCTCGGGTCACCTCTAAACTATAAATCTATCCCTCTTTCAAGGCTAACAATCTAACACATTCTTTACTTAATTTTAACATCAGCCAGGGAACGAGCCTCTTAGGGAGTCAAGCTTCTGAGTCCAACATTTGCTTTGTCTCAGCAACTCAGGATGTAAGACATTTACAACTCAGGTAGTAAAACATGCTAATAAACAGTTCTGCAAAGGGGCCCTCCTTGGGGCTTCTTTGAACCTCTTTGTTCACAGAATCGTTCTTAAGGCAGGCATGCTCATCTTCACCATACCATCCCTAAGAATAAAAGTCATTTTCATTCATTTATTCCACACCCTCCTATTCCAAAAATATAGTATCAACATCAAGACAAAGGGAAGTGAGGGCAATAAGCACATCATACAGTAGAGAGTGTTCAGTCTCAGGGTAGATTAAGACCTACAAACATTTACAATATACAGTTCTGGGACTGATTAATATTTCATTGCCCTGAAAGAGTGTGGTGGTGCATCTCCCTCCTTAAAGAGGACCTGCTTGGATGCAGAAGTACAAACAATTTTGCCACACACGCACACAAACAAATCTAGTAATACACCACGCTACCTGAATAAAAAAGTAAAAACTCTTTACACAATACCAACCATATCACTCATGGGAAAGATAAAAACAAACAGTTAAAATAGTGAATTACAGTACAAATAAAATGTAGACATGGAACAAACAAACAAAAAGCAGCCAAAAGGGGGGAAAAACACCACAATGAATAAAAAAGGGAGGAGGGAGAGAATGAGAAAAACGCTGGTAAAAATAATACACATTATAGTAGACAAAATTAAAGATTATAAATAAAAAGCAACATTATAACAACAACAAAAAAGCCAAAACCAAACATGAACAAAAGACCAAACAAGAATTTAAAGCATAAACACTGAAACAAGAAAAAAATTATGAACAGAAGTAAAATATACTATTATGAAGAAGTGGACGAACACAAGAGCGAAACAATGTGTGTCCATTGAGTAAACATGAAACAGGAGAAAAACAGAGAAGTAAAAGTGCCATTGAGAGCATTTGCTGGAGAAGCACAAACTGTGCTTTTATGTGGTGAAACCTCAGAGCACTTCGGAGGACAGAAGATGCCATTATGCATGACAGAAGCAGATTGATGTGTGTGAGTCAATATCCTTCAGCACAACAATTCAAAACACTCTTAACATTTTCTTTTCCTCTGCAACTTCAAAACCCAATACCAACACAATGCAATAATGCTCGCAACAATAATTTCTAGACCAGTTGCACCTTACAAATTACATCTGTGTCAATAACAGGAAAAAAATTCAATTTAATTTTTATTAAGCAATAATATGCGCTTGTTATTATATATAGTTACAACACAAGCCTCAGTGTTCTTACAGTAGTCCTGGTTTTGGATGAGAAGCACTGGCAATATCTCTGGGAGCTGTCTGAAACCCAAATAAAATTGATCCAGAAAGCTACCCTGGGACTGCTTCAACCACTGGTGGCTAAACTGCAACTCTCCAGGTGTTGCTGAGCTCCAACTCACATCGTCCCTGACTATTGGCCATTTCCAACAACATCTGGAGGGCCACAGATTAGCCATACCTGGCTTAAAGGCACCATCTGATTGAAGCTTTATGCCTACTAAATACAAAGCAAAACAATGCAAATCATCATTGTCTATTGCTGTGCTAAAGTGTGAAAAAGAGATAGAACTGAAATATAGTAAATACTTACAGGATAGCCAGGGAAAGCAGGGTAACCTGAAGGGGGATATCCTGGGTACGACATTCTGTAAGACAAAAAAAAAGCACTTGAGAGCTTTTACTTAAGAGTTACGTGATTTCCTCATGTGAGCACTTCACCACCAGCAGGATATAACAATCTGTTCATTGGTTGGAGCTGCTCACTGTAGGGTTCTGGTACACCAGCATGTTGATTGTGGGGGAATATGCCAGCAAAGCAGACCTTTGGCAGGTCTACTTGACAGTTAGGTGATCCCACCCACCTATCAGCCACCATGATGTTGAGCAAACCTTGTTGGTCCCACATGTCAAAGTGGACCAACAAGGGCTGGAAGGAGATAACCATCTAGTCCATGGGCCAAAAAGGTTTCCCACTCCTGTTTTAATGCATGTGCCATCCATATTATGGCCTTGATAGTCTTTCATCAGAATACAGAAGGGCAGGTTTCTTTTTTTCCTTGCTGAGCAACTGGGTAGAATATGCACCTTGCCTCCATATAAAAGGGAGAAAGACTTAAAAGCTTAGAAATCAGAGGTGGTGAATTGAAGTCAAGCCTCTACAAGCTCCACAGTGCCTATAGCCCTCTCAGGCATTTTCTGTTGTTCCAGAGAACTGAAGTCACATAATATGAGCTTACTAAAGGCCAGCCAGCTATGTTTCCATCTCACAATGAGTCACTAATCCATGTTTCAGTGTATCCTCCTGAAGTAAAAAATGAGGACCACACCCTCCACAAAGGCAGTTATGTAACGCCAAGCAGGAAACAGAGTAGTTCATTTGACTGTGGAAATCTATGTTTGTGTTTTAGGAAAAACAGTCTGAAGTTTAAAAGCTTTCAAGATAATTTAAAAGGATCTGTCTTTTTTATATTAAGGCTATCTGGGTAGCATTCAGTTGCAACAGACTCTCTTCTGCCAAGCTTCATAGCAATGCAAATTAAATTAAGACATTCCTTCTAATTCAGAATCTTGGAAGAGAAGCACTGATGAGGCATGGCTGTGCACTTTATCGCTGGATCAGTAAATCAAGTCTCCACAAATCTACTCCCCAAGGAGTAGAATCTCCCCTCCTTTTACCATGGGAATGGGAAGGAGAGGTTTAATGTCACAAACAGCTCCAAGTGTTTCTCAATGCAAAGCTTGGAAGGAAGCTCAGGGTACAAAAGCCCCAGCCTGTTTGTCACTTGGCCAGATATGAAGATTCCCCCTCTTCCTACTAGGCAATTCCCATCACCCTGCAGTCTGGAGGTGGTCACGGTGCAATTGTGCAATACACTTCCTCTTGCACATACAGGGGACTTGGAAGTGAGGGGTCAGAGGTGTCCATAAATTATGACCTGCTAGTGAGCCAAGTCAAAATCTGTAGATTCCTGTAGCAGACTACAGTCAAACCTGTTTCTGAAAACATCCCCTTCTTCCATGGCTACACCTTTCACATTTGCCGGTGCAAATTTAACTTTGTTACATTGCCCATTTAACTGGGTCAAATCTGAGATACAGAGGGTATGTGAGACTATGCCATCTATTTCATTTCGCTTTGCCATATGCTTCAATGAATGTAACAGTTGGCAATGAAGTTGCTAGTCCCTTGCTTTGTCTGTGATCCTCTTCCATTTCCTCTTATTTATATAGGGCCTGTTCACTACTTCAGCCCCAAGTATCGCTACAGCCCTCTTCTATTCCACACACAGAAATCTTATTCATTAACTGTTTATTCATTAACAGGTTCACTCAGCACTTTCTTCCCCTTCCATACTGTTTCCTAGCAAGCCATGCAAGAGTAAAACAAAATCCAAAGTTGACTGTTAAAACTGTGATGACCTTCAGCAATGTTTGAGAAATCCTTTTAAAGAGATCTTGACAGGGGAGCAGACACGCAGAGATATGTCTATACATATCCACAGTCCAGGACTAGGTAACCTTGCATTTACAGTTTCTGCTAGACTGATTTTCAAAGGAAAAACCTTTACCTCTTTTTCCAAACCTTGTCTTCTCTATGAATGATAGCAAAGCACATTTCTGGTCAGAGATTGTTTTGGGAAGCTTTAGGGCATTTTTGCTATGCTATCGTTCTTGCATTAATTTCCAAAGCCATTTCAAAATGGGTAGTGGTGTAAATAAAACTGACTAATCAGGGAAAAAGCATGAAGGAACACAAGAGCAAGGAAACTTGGTTAAAGAGTTTGAGAAGGGTGAGGCACCAAAGCAGCATCTTATCAAGTAACTGCAGGAATGGGAGATGGAATGAAACCCAAACATGAGATAAAGGTACCCACTACTTCAAATTAAGCTACAAATATAGAGGGAAGGTTTTTACAGTTTTTAAAAGTGCAATAAATGCATCCTTGTTACTAAATTGTTTTTTGGAATCCAGATATCCTCTACCTAAGGTAATGTTTTAGTGACAGGAGACACCAAGATTTTTTTAAAGCATTCAAACCATCAAGTTACATTCTTCCCACAGGCCAGTGAATCCAGTGCTCTTGCATAAACATCACAGGCATCTACTAGATAGCACTGCAATACAACTGGAGAAGAAAAAAATAGGGGAATTCCGTAAGTAAGATTTCACAACAGAAATGGACAGAGCCACAGGGAATAAGAGGGCCAAAGCATTATGTGGGAGATCGACTATGGGAAATAAATACTGACAAAATCTCTCTTTTTTTTTGTAAAAACCTCAATGGAGCAAATATTAGGTTACAATATCCAAACACTATGTTTATTAACTTACTCTAAAGACAAGAGAGTAATGCTGCCAAAGGCAGCATTAGCGGCATATATGATAACAGCAGCTAGAACTATACCCAATCCTGAGGACAATGAGAAATCAGTCTGAGAAGATAAAGCACTATGTGCTAATGGCAAAACTGATAAGCTAAATGAGGGTGAAGAAAAGAGAGGAAAGACACACCTTCATTAAAAAGGGGAGCCTGTTTGCTGAATGCTGCAACAGAAATCAGCTGCATTTAAATACAAATACAGTTATATTTTATTATCCTAATGAAGTGTTTGTTTTTAAAAAAAGAGAGAGAAAAGAAATAAAGCAACCATAAGAGGAACTGAATGAAAGGAATAGCACTGAGAGAGCAGGTGGCGACAGCTCTTTAACCCTTTTCATCCCCACCCTGTTTCTTCACACCCATCAAGCACAATCTGCTATTAGCCCTTTCTGGGTGAAGACAGATACTATGCAGGCAATTGTTCCATTCCACAGCAGGGCTAACACCAGCAGAGGGAAATGTCTTGCCCTAGCTTCTCTACTCCAAGTCGGTTTGGGGCCCCTTAAAAAAACCCTGCTTTTTTTTATAAAAAAAAGCTTTAAAAATACATATAAATATATGCAATAGTCCGCCCAGTAATAACATAGAGCTTAACAGGAAAATTGAATGAAGGTAGCAAAAAGGAATGTAGAAAGACAAGAGTTGAAGGAAGACCGGAGGAGATGTGCAAGGGGGCATACATGAATACTCTATGGGTAGGAATCTGGGGGGCCATTTATGGATTGCCTGCACTGAAGAACAAGTAAATATATAACTCATCTGCAGATTGTCACATGTAATGGCCCTACATGAATTTATTTCAGCATCTATGCTTCAGTGCACAAACATTTATAGTGTTATTTGTCATATCTGATTATATGCTCACTGATTTCTAGCCTACACTAATTCCTATATGATAGTGTCTAAGAAACCCATATATATAGTGTGTAAAATTGCTTTCAAGATTATATGACTGATTTATTTTATTTCGTTGTTTTTTAATGAGACAGCAGCCACTTTTTTTTCTTGTAGTTGCATTTGTTTTCAGCTTGGGCTGTTTTGAATTAACAGAAAATAATGATGTACTATGAAGCTGTACTACGTGTGCTCAGATTGTTCTCAAGAACAGAGTCTCCTAAAAGGCAAGTCAAAATTCATAACAGCCTGCTTCGGAGTTCAAACACAAGCTATTAACATCAATATGGAAGGTTCACTTTGGGAGAGAACATAAAATCACTTTATGTATGATAATCATTTTAATCCCACCCCCGGTCTACCCTTTCAATTAATGTTTTTGCATGAAATAGTAGCTAGAAATCTACAGGGGTAATTGCTCATTCATGTATGATCAGGGGTGATCATTAAGAGTGCACACAGGAACACAGGAAACTTGTTCGTTTGTAGGGGTAGTCTGTTAGGGCTAGTTTTTCAGGGTAGTTTTAATATGAGGTAAGTGCTAAAGAATCATGTAATGGTCATTATCTGGTTATTTAAATTTCAGTTTTATGGACTTAAAATCTTACCCATCTTTGAGATGGGGCAGATTATATGAATAAATAAATTGCAAGTACAGGACCACATAGCATTGTTTGATTAAGGAGAAAGTGCAATCTCATTCTGTCTGAAGTCCCGATTTCAGGATTACTTCATAATCTCCACCCCATATATAAATAAATGCCACACCTTTTAACTACTCAGCCTGCTTGTTTGCAAAGAAACTCAACAGCAGTTAACAGATCTTTAATATTAACTCAAAGTTCTGCAGGGAGAACCTATTGAATGAAGGCCACTGTGAGCACACAAGGCAGGATGGCAAATCCAGGGTTACAGCTACCTTGTATGACTCATGCATTTGCCCACTGTCACGCTTTCCGTTTTGGACATACTGTACAACTAAAAGCAAATGTGTCAAGAATCATTGCATCGCAAAAGGCACACAGTCACAGAATCACAGAATTGTAAAGTTTGAATGTGCCCCCAAGGGTCATCTTAATCCAAGCCCCTGCAATGCTTCACTTCAGCGTAATCCAGAAAAACTCCAGTACTTTCACAGTGTGTTAAACAAGAAGAGGCAGCTACTAGTTACTGTTAACATTGAAAGCGCATCGGCAAACAAATTTCCTCCAAAGAGCATGCATGCAGTTCAGTAACCACTTTAAAAAAAAAAAAAAGCAAAAGCACCTATTTATTTATTTATTGAATTTATATACTGCCCTATACCCGGAGGTCAAACCTAGAGAGCATCTTAAAAAGCAGAGACATCACCTTGCCAACAAAGGTCCGTATAGTTAAAGCTATGGTTTTCCCAGTAGTGATGTATGGAAGTGAGAGCTGGACCATAAAGAAGGCTGATCGCCGAAGAATTGATGCTTTTGAATTATGGTGCTGGAGGAGACTCTTGAGAGTCCCATGGACTGCAAGAAGATCAAACCTATCCATTCTGAAGGAAATCAGCCCTGAGTGCTCACTGGAAGGACAGATCCTGAAGCTGAGGCTCCAATACTTTGGCCACCTCGTGAGAATAGAAGACTCCCTGGAAAAGACCCTGATTTTGGGTCAAGGAGAAGTGGACGACGGGACGAGATGGTTGGACAGTGTTCTCAAAGCTACCAGCATGAGTTTGACCAAACTGCGGGAGGCAGTGGAAGACAGGAGTGCCTGGCATGCTCTGGTCCATGGGGTCACAAAGAGTTGGACACGACTGAACAACTGACTGAACAACTAAATAACAACACCCGGAGGTCTCAGGGCGGTTCACAGTATTCTGTGTATATATATATATATATTCTGTATATATATCTCTTGCCACAACCATCATAAAAAAGACTCAGGGCCAGCCTAGCAGCAGAGGCAAACCAACCCCACGAAGGGGCAATTCCTGGGGCTTCCTCTGCCGCTTTAGGCGAGGCAGCACCTCTGCCCCTACTTTCTTGAGCAAGCAGCCGGTTTTATAGAATGCTAGCAGCTGAAGAAATCACGCGCTGATCTCCGCGGCTGCCGCCTGGGGCGCAAGGTTGAGGGGGAGGAAATGTGGAAAAAATAATGCGCATTTATCCCTTAACGTTACCCTTAGTTACTCTCAGCCTCGGTCGCCTGATTTCCAAGGGAAGCTTCTCATTCCTAACCTTGCCCTGAGTTGGAAAGAGTCGTGGTTGCCCTGCGGCTGTTAATCCGAATTTGATCCACCACCGAGGGAGGGGAGAGAGAGAAAAAAGGCAATGTCCGCAGCATTAAGAGTTTGCAGTTCAACTCTCGAGAAAGGGGAGAGGGGGCTTGGGTTTTTTGCTCGAGCCCCTGGACTTCAGAAGGATTTCAAAAACTTGGCACGCTCAGAAGCCGGGAGAGAGACCGTTGTCCAAAAAAAGCGGGGCGAGGGCTGAGGAGACGTCCACGTCGTCAAGAAGGAAAACAAACACGGGTTTGGTTTAGAACACGCACACACAACACGGGAAACGTCGCTAGAACTTAATACCCCTATTACCACTATTACTACTGCTACTATTACTACGGTATTTTGCCCCCCCCCCCGCGGGTTCCCGCCTTCCCGCTCTCACCTGAGGCGCGGCCGACAATCCCTGCTAACGCAGCTCAGCGAAGCAAAATGGAGACGTCGCGCGGGCGAGGTGAGGCCGGCGGAACCCGGCCCGCCCCTTCCCTGGGGCCGGGGTTGACTTTCGCCCCGCCCGCCTTGAGGAAGCGAAGACCCGCCGCGTTGCCCCAGCGGCTGTGAGGAGAAGCGGCGTTGTTGTTCAGGGCGGCTCTTCTCGCGGGGAGGGCCCCGCCGTCACGTTCGCACGTTCAGGGCGGCTCCGCAACGCGGCTGCGCGTTCCCACCACCCAGGAACCTGGGACGTTTGAACGGCTCGCAGCTGCCGCGCTTGCTGTCGGGCAAGGTGGTGGCTATACCACTCCAAGCTCTCTTAGCCGAGAGGTGGATTAGCTAGACCAGCCGTGGGTGGGCAAATTGGACTCGCAATATTTTTTACCGGATTGCATTCCCACCATCCACAACCACGGGTTGATGGGAGGTTTGCAAGGTTCAGGACCAGTGTTAGAAACTGGGGTGGGAGCTAAAGCTAGCTAGGAGCTAAATGGCACCTTAAGCCTAGGTTAAATGGCACCTTAAGCCTAGGTTATGCAAGGCTGAAAATGAACGAACTGCAGCTAAAATATTATGTTCATTTTTCACATGGTCTAGTTCTTCCTCTGCCCACCTCCCTAATATTCTTAAGAGGGTCTCTTCTTCAGGCTTCAGAAAGTAGCAGGAAATAGGGAGGCAGAGAAAAGTTTCTCTTTCCTTCCACTCTGGAAGTTTTAATCTGAAATATTAGGTGCAATACTAATAAACAGCTCACGCTAATGAAATTCCCTGTCACAAAATGCGCCTAGAGCAATGGGGGTTTCGAATGCTGTTCAGAACCACTAATCTACACCATTTCAATCCAGCCTTGAAACTGCTTTGGTCGCTCTAATAGCAGGAGACAGAATGCAAGGGTAACAATTTTCTTGGACCTTCCAGTGGCTTTTGATACCACTAACCGCAGTATTATTCTGTGGGTAGGAGCATAGAGATAGGAGATTCATTCATGACATCTTGGCTGTGGCTCCCCAACAGGCTTCCACCTTATCCCCAATGGTTTCTAACATGCATATGAAGCTGCTGAGGCAGCTCATCCAGAGCTTTAGAGTGAAATGTTACTAATAACGCTGATGACCTCTATTTCTCCTTGTCATGGGAGTCATGTGAGGCACTTAAAGTTCTGAACCAGTTCCTGGAATCAGTAATGAGCTGGATGAGGGCCAATAAACTAAAGCTAAATCCCAACACACTGAGGTTCTGTGAAAACTTCTCTGGGTGGTGTTTAACCTTGTTTTGAATGGGGTTGCAGCACTCCCCCAGAAACATCATGTTCCATCTGGGGGTGCTCCCTAGAGGGCCACATGTCTTTAGTTGCATAGATTGCTTTAAAGAAGTGCATGTGTGTATGTGTGTGTATAAACAACAACAAACAGGCAGTAACTCACGTTTTTAAAGTTCCAAGTTATGTGCCGCATCTTAAAATCCCCAATGAGCAAAGATTGCAATTGCCATGAGGGTCCTTCATTTGTTCCTTCTTTCTACCTTGTTTAACATTCTATGGTGCTGGTGTGATGCATACCTATGCTATTACTCATAACCCACATAGCTAAAGGAACACTTACCCCTGTATCAACCTGACCACACATTGGACTCATCTGTTGACTCCTCAGGGTGCCCTCACCCTCAGCTGAGGCAGGTGATGACTAGGGAGGGGGGCATCTTCAGCAGTAGAGCCCCACTGAATTCCAGTTCCTAGGAATCCATTATTGGCACCTGCTTTGCTATCCATTCATTGCCTGGCAAAAACTTAATTCTCATGTCTTAGTTGTGGTCGGTAGTTCAACCATTTGAAATATTTTGAGGGCTAACCTGCAGCCCTCTAGGTGTTGTGGGCTACAACTCCCATCTTCCATGACAACTGAATGTGCTGGCTAGAGCTGAGGAGAGTTGGGAGTCCAACAACATAAGTAATCCTTCATAATAGATTCAGGCAGGTAGCTGTGTTGGTCTGATGCAGTTGAAATAAATAAATAGTACAGTAGCTTATAGCCAGAACAAGCTTCATAATAGGTTTGATTCACACAGGAACTGCTGCTAGAGATGGTCTCTATATATTTTTGTTGCCTCTCAGTCTTATACGTTGTTCAAATACCATGTTTCATTATATTGTGTTCTCTATTGTATGCCAACCTGCAGTTTGCTGAAGGCCAGTTTAGACATTAAAAATAAATAAATTAGAGGTGAGCTAGGGAAATGCAAGCCTCTTCACCCACCACCCCAAGCGGTGGTGTAATTTGTTGCCTGGCTCTGAACTAGCCATCAAGGAATGCTGAAAGAACACTAATCTCTGCTTTCCTTCAAACTAAATGCAACAATTGTATAACCACACTCTATCCAACTTAAGCTAAGCAGCTGAAGGTTGACCTTTCCCTATGCAAATTACTGGTCAATAGTCCAGAATGGCTAATTGATGTCTCATCAGTGGGAGGCAATTGTTAGGTAGGAGATCAGAGTTCGAAGGAAGATACACCAAGCACTGCTTGACACAGCTGAGAGGAGGCGATAAATATTGGCTGAAAACACTGCAAAATGGAGAGGAAGAGGGTCCGAGACCTCTGCTTGTCTATTATATATTTTGAAAAATGATTTGTCCATCTGGTCTCCAAAGTTTGGAAGTCTGTTGAGATATCACAACCAAACAGCACAAGAGTTCACAAGCTGGGGGTGGCAGACATTGCTGACTTTTGGACACCATTTTGAATCAAGATGGTGGACTGAAATGTGACTTTGGTGTGATTTTTTAGGCTTAGGTTCTGCCACCTTTCAAGATATCATCACCAAACTTGGGATGAAGGTTCCTGGGGTGGGTGCAGCAGTCTTTGTCAATGTTTGGAGTCTGGGTATCATTTTAAATAAAGATAGCAGACCGAAATGTGACTTTGACATGACATCACCTGCTTTTGGTATGACACACATACTATCCATTTAACTCACAGTATTTTTCAGTTTCTGAAATTTTCTGGGCAGCACCGAGCACTCCCCACTAGTATATTTACAAATAGTGAAAATATTACAAGGACACCCTCTATCTCTAGTGCACTCTCATCCAAAAGGAAACCAAAGTTGCATAGGGTTGCCTTGAAACTTTTCACTGCTCATCATCACTAAGATGCCAAAGTGCAAAAGAGCGTGCAAGCATAAAAAAAGATGCCTGAAAGCAAAACACACATAGGTGTCACTAGAGTTCACAACTCGAATGTGCTATATAAACAGTAATATTGCCAAAATCACAATATAGGTGCATTTTGTGATACGGAAACTAAGAGGTAACAACCAACCATATGTGAGAAAGGTCCCTTTCTTTCTCTCTCCTTTCCCCTATACCACCTATCAAAACTGGTGGAAATTTATAATCTCCATGTTTTTGTTTAACAATACATTTCCATTTGTATCATTGATGAAAGAGCTGCCCCTCCCTGGCAAAGTTGTTCATAAATTTTAGTCATGGGTAAGCTTGCAGTGTCTTGAGACTATGAAGGGGCTCTGTAGCCTTGCTAACAGGTAGAATGCAAAAGGCTGCTGATTGAGAAGACAACTGTTAAGGCAAGCTTTTAGTATTAATGAGTCGAGTGGGGCAGGTGATAGGCAGAAACTGCAGTTCTTTCATTCATTAAAGGACATGCTTGTGAACAACATCAGAAGCAAGATATACCTTTGCCTCCTCCCTTTTGTTTTCTTTCTGCCAAGCATACAATATATGCTGATAGGGGACAGACTAGTAACAATGGTGTGTTTTTACAAGCATCACAAAAGAGACCACAGATGCTGCCGTCTCAGGTTTCTCAAGGGCCATTGTGTCACTACCATTAGCACAAATCATGGGTTGCCTCCACCACCATTTGACAGCCCAAGTAAAAAAAATAATATCCCAGTACAGACAAGGGCAGTAGAACTTCCAGAGATATGTCCAAGTTTAAAGGGCTGCTCAAGCAGTGACCACTGGTGGGGCCCCTCTGTCAACAGGTTCTCTCCAACTAACCTGGCTTTGTTGGCAACACTCAAAGCTTTGTTGGGTATAGCCATCCTTTTAATTTCCTGTAATTCCTTTGCATAGGACGCGGGTGGCGCTGTGGGTAAAAGCCTCAGCGCCTAGGGCTTGCCGATCGAAAGGTCGGCGGTTCGAATCCCCGTGGCGGGGTGCGCTCCTGTTGCTCGGTCCCAGCGCCTGCCAACCTAGCAGTTCGAAAGCACCCCCGGGTGCAAGTAGATAAATAGGGACCGCTTACTGGCGGGAAGGTAAATGGCGTTTCCGTGTGCTGCGCTGGCTCGCCAGATGCAGCTTTGTCACGCTGGCCACGTGACCCGGAAGTGTCCCCGGACAGCGCTGGCCCCCGGCCTCTTAAGTGAGATGGGCGCACAACCCTAGAGTCTGTCAAGACTGGCCCGTACGGGCAGGGGTACCTTTACCTTTTACTAATTCCTTTGCATGGCACTAGATCAGGGGCACTGTTGGTATTATAATTAAAAGGTTGGCTAAATCCAACCAGGTGGCACTTCTTGGAGTATCAGACTGAAAATAGAATTTACAGTGGACCAGGGCAGGAATCGTTAAAGCTGCTGGGATCCTGGCACCTGCCCAAGGAAATCATGTCCCAACAGTGGCACTAAGACCATCACAGGCAATGGAAAGTGCTATTAACATCCTCAGGTTAAAGCAGAGTTTGCTACCCTGACTTAACTTTGCAACCAGAATACACAATTTGGGCAGGCATGCATTTATTTGTCTGTTTTTTGGGGTTGCAGTTAATAATAATAATAAGTGCTACTGTTGAGCGCAAGTCTGCAATGTACATAGTGGCTAACCAAGTCAGGATCTTTGAAAATGCTGTTGCTTCCCTTTTATGTGCATTAAAAGGTTCAAATCCCTCTCTGATGAGTCCTCACAAAGACATCACAGCGGGGATATTTTCCGCAAATGTGGAGATGAAGTGTGGTTGCTCTTGTATTTGGGGTTTAAAATCACAAAGGATATTATTTTTCGACTTCTCAGGATAGCAATAGGAAAACTTTGTTGCCCAAAAGGTTCTCAAAATGAGAAACCGAGGACCACTCTTTCCAATTAATCTGTTGGCTATTGCCCATCACAGATTAAGCTAGCAACTGTGTAAGTGTTTTTTAAAGCATAATCTAGGAAGATCAAATTGATCTAGAAAGCCCTAAATGCTTATGTTCCAACAGATTGTGCCCTTCCGTGATAAATTATAAGTAGAGGCATACAGAGAGGCTTTCAAAGGTTGCTTTGTGTAGTCCCAAGGTGAGGAACTCTGATGCACTCCATGTTGTTGGGATTCCAACAACTATCAACCCAGCAACCGTGGGAAGAATGGATGGGAACTGTAGTGCAGCAACATTTGGAGGGCCAAAGGTTGTAATATTATTTTTTCATATTACGTATGAGTAATAGCACAGCTGTATAGACCTGATGAAAGTGAAGGCTTCAACAAGCTTGGCAACAGTGAGTGTCAGAGAAACAAGAGTTTGGAATGCATTTTAGAGAGATTATAGTTAATCATGAGATACACAACTAAGTATCATATGCCTCTTGGCAGAATAGCTCCCTGTAACAGAGGAGACACTGTTATGTGTTTAGCCAGAAAACATGCTTAGGAGCCATACCCCCTTGCTGACACATGTGCTTTATATAGAAAAAATGGGACTTTAAACAATGGCTCCTTGCCATGGTTTAGCATCAATTCAACACTGTTCTGAACAAGTCCACTTCCAATAAACTCTTGTTGCCATTTGGCTGGAATCTAATCTGTACTCCTGATTCCAAGAATATTGAACTCTTAGAGTCTTGGGGCAGAAGCCTCTAGGCCAAGGAAAAGTCAGCCAATATCTCCCGCTCCATTAGATTCTCACAATTCTTCACTATATTTTATGGTTTCTTCCCCCACCCCAAGTACTTTTGAAGATCAAGCAGAGTTTGGGTAGTGCTGAAAGAACTTCGGCTATTTAGAAGAAAGGTTTCAAAGATCAGCAATATTTTATGTAGTTTGTTTTTGAAATGTTTGTGGTATGTATTATTAGGTTGTTCTTCCTCTTCCCTCAGGTGCTGATGTTAAGAATAGATTTGTCAAAAAATGAATTAAAAAGGATGGGCTTTTACTTGGTTGGTTATTAAGATCTAAACATGAATGGGCAAGACTCAGCAGCTTGGGAGTTGCTAGCTTATTTTTAATTATTGTCTTCCTCTTTGTGATCCTGTTTTTGGGGGGCGCGGTTCTTCAAGGGTTGGAAAGAGGGGCCAGGATAAACTTGACAGTTTAGCTATCAGTCATTTCAAAAGTTATAGTCCAATTATAAGAACTGAATGACAAGGTTACAACTCCATAGTTTTCTTCACCTTCTCCTCTAATAAGATGGTTAGGAGTTAATTACAGGTTTAGGATTTTTTCATTGAGTGCGATCTGTGACTGTGTGAGATTTGCCAAGTAAGTCACCATCAGCAGGTCCTGAAAAGAAGAAAGGAGCATGCAATAAGATTAGGCAGAAAACAGTCGTATAAAATAACAATCTCTTAATTTGCAGGAGCGTATTGATACTTGGGTCCACCTGGTTGTGCCAAGAGACTGCAGAGCCTCTTAGGCTCCCAGTTCCAGATTGTTTAATACAGCTTGAAAGCCTTGCCAAACAGTTACATTATCGTGAAGCTTCGTACCAACGGGATTTAGTCCAGTAAGAGAGGTGCTCTACTAATTTTGATCTCATTCTCTGCAATATGGTATAGGAAGGGAAACCTTATTCCGCCCGAGGGCCACATTCCCTTATAAGCAACCTTCTGGGGGCCGCTTGCCAATGGTTGGTGTGGCCAGAAGCAAAAGCGGGCAGAGCAATAAATGAAACTCTTCTCTCTGTACGGTAGACTAATTCCAACCACACAAAAGCCAGAGGTTTTGACATCTCTTCATACACAAACACCTCCATCCAAACAAGCAAGATGAATTATCAAAGTCTAAGGACACATTCCAACCGGGCAAAAGGACTTGAAGAGAGCATGGAGCAGTGACAATGAGGCGTGTGGCCTGGGTAGCCAGGTGCCAATGTTCCAGACCCGTTGTCCACAAAGGCTGCACAGTTGGCGTGCCTCCATTTTCCAGACAGGAAACCTGAACCAGAGGTAACCACCACTATCTTGAGTTATGTAGTCTGAACACAATGGCCACTGCCAATAATTTTACATGTCCAAGACTGCAGTGTGCAGTTGGGTAAACCGAGGCTCTGGTCAAGACCTAGGCTGTGACTGCAAAACTACACAAGAGCATTCAAGGGAGCTTGTGGGAAAGAGCTTATACATAGAACATACTGACTTGGCTACCATCCTTCTATAAGCAACATGTGTATGGACAAACCCCACCCCAACGCTAACTTTGGAACTGGTCAGAGTCCATATTTTTATCCAAATGGGCAACTTTTCAGAATATGATCCAATACAACACAAGTTCTTGATTTGCAGGGAAATAAGCCTTCATAAAAGGCAGCCAATTCAAAGTCCCCTCTGGTTGTTCAGGAAGGTTGCTGCACCAGAGATCTAAGGCAGCCTTGCAAGTCAGTACACACAAGAGATGCTACTAAACCAAACAGGAATCACCAGCTTACCCACCTATACATCTATATCTTAGCCAATTGTGGCACATTGCTTGCATGGAGGAAGCTTCCAAACAAGCGATGCTTTTACAAGCCAGCTCTACGGACTTACGTTGATATTGCTGTTCAACATTGTCTCAAAGTCCTCTGGCGAAATCTTCGGAACCTGGGTGATGAGGTCCATCAGGAAGCGGCCAACAGTGTTGTCAGCAGTCACCTTACCAGACTAGATATGAAGACAGGGAATGTTAACAAGTCATTCAAAATAAAGGTGCACACAAACAAGGGTGCATTTAGTTTCTGGCCAGACCACAACACTATCCTCACCAGCACATCTTCAGCATACTGCAGCACCGTGCTCAGGGTATCCTGAATCCGAGCAGAAGCAGCTCCCACTTGCTGAAGGTCACTGGATAAACTGATCACTCGATTTGGACTGAAGCAAGTCTTCATGATGAGATCAACTGAGAACACAGGGTGTGGGAATGACTGTTAGAACACCATTTGTCGCCACTGACAATTCCAGAAATTGAACCTAAAGCCATGTACCGTAGCAATAATGATGCTTCACTGCTCATATGCAGACTTCTGAATCCATTGCCACACCCTTTCTAGTGGGAATTCAACAACTGCTATTTGATGCTACTGCCTCATCTCTTCCCCCTGGCCACTGCATGGTTATTCAGCTGAAAGCATTGTTGGCAAAGCCTTTCACTCATTAGAAATCGAAATCCAATTGTTAAAAATCCAGATTGCTGAAGGTTGATATTGCCAAATAGTGTGCATTTTCCAATTTAGAGAAAGCATTTAAAAGCTGAACATGTTTAGATGCAGAACAGTGTCTCTGGGCACACAAGCATGTTGCTACTGTCGCTGCTGTTAGTGCTTAATTTCCTTCCTGTCAGCCAAGTTCCCCTGCAAGTCCCTCCTCCCACCTGCTTTCCCTCACAATGTGGCAAACATATTATCTAGGACCTGAGCTGAAGGAAGGAAGTTGCAGGGGCAAAAAGCAATCAATTGGAGATTAAGGCCTCTCACTCTACCCACTCGATTCAAGCAATGCACCCACTGCCTTTTTGCAGCTGTTCTCAGCCACCAAAAACCCAGCTGGACCCAAATATTCATAAACACAGTGGTATCTAAGCACTGAGCAGCGGACAGCTATCATTGTGCTCTCACTGCTGCCAGGAAAAGCCAGCACCATCCTACTGCCCAAGAACAGGTTCTCCAACCCCTGGAACAAAGTCATGTGGTGGTGGTAGGCTGTTTTCCCACATGGCCATGGCCGAACTTTGAAAGAGCAGCAACTGGAAAATAATACCTTTCCCACAGCCCTTATTTCTGAAAAAGAATCTTACATTTATTGTAGGTTCATTTTTATTTTTTACTGTGAGCTGCCAGTAGGAGGCCTACTGACAGGCAGAAAGGCAGGATATATATGGTTAAAACTTAATTTTTATTATGAGCTAAATAAATGTCAGTTCATTCAAGAAAATGCATTAGTTGATCAGCTGGTTATTATAGCCTTAACTATTAGTACTCTACATCATTCAGCTCCAGTCTTACAAAAGAATGTTGGGTAACTGAATCCTCCGTCTTTTGTTCTAAATCACCCACAGCAAACCACCCCCACCCCCACTACATGGAAGTAGAGAGAGCATACACAGAGACAGCAGCCATAATATGCGGAGGCAACACAAAGGAGTGCTATGAATGCTCTAGACTGGAACACACAACTATGGTCAAGTTGGCGGTGGAATAAACAGATATGTGCATTTGATAACTACTTGCCCCAGGCAAACCAGATGGCTGCTGTGGATTAATTAAATAAAATCCCAGTCTTCCAACCTAATGGTCAGCATCACCCATAGGAATGAGTGGCAACTATTTCACTTATACGGGGAGCAGCAAAGGGGTGATCACACAAGCCCCACTCCTTATCCCTAGGAAGATCAGCATCAGGCATAAGTGGCAGGTTAGGCCACTCTTAACTGCATCCTAGATTACAGCCCTATTACTTTATCCTACAGAACACTGTCAAGCCAACCTCTACTTGTCTCAGCCCCAAATAATGAGAGAAACTTGGGAGGACAGGCACACACTACAGTCATACCTCGGGTTACAGACGCTTCAGGTTGCATTTTTTCAGGTTACGGACCGCCGAAACCTGGAAGTACCAGAACAGGTTACTTCCGGGTTTTGGCGGTCGCGCATGCGCAGAAGTGCTAAATCGTGCTTTGCGCATGCGCAGAAGCGCAGAATAGCAACCTTCACGCGCGCAGACGCAGGTTGCGAACGCTGCGGGTTCTGAATGTGCATCCCGCAGGGATCACGTTTGCAACCTGAGTGTCCGCTGTACTTTAATCACTCAAAGACATTTATAAAGTATCAAAAAAGGACAAGAATACTTACCACCTATCCGTTCTGTGTCGTAGTAAGTATATTTCACTGTGAGCGGAGTGAACATTACTCCCATAGTCTTACCAGGGACTCCCATTGCAGTACTAGAGGAAAAATAGATTTTCTTAGCACAACCAAGGGCTCAGAGGAAGCTTTATAGCACCCAAGAAGGTGGTTACACTGGCTTGATTCATATGGCATGGTAGGACAAACTATGGCTTACCGAGATGGTGCCAATGTGTGGGGTTTTGGAGGAGCTCACAACCACTTGGCTCTTCCCAGGTCATTTTTGTTGCCACACTACACCAGACTATGCCCAAGTTTGCCTTAGGGTGTCATCTGAACCCAGGATCATGGTTAAGCTCCCTCTTCACTAACCATCAGCTAACACCAAGAACAAACCTTGGTTAGTACAGCTCACAGATAGTGAAAGGAGAGTTTAACTATGAATCCTGCTTCGGGCAACACAATAAGCCAAACTTTGGCAAGAACTGCAAATATACAAATAGTACTTCTGAATGTTCCGGTGGACAAATACCTGATTAAAAAGCAAGGAAATTGCAGAATGGTAGGAAATAAAAAAAAGCACAAATGAGAACATTAACACCTGTTCTCATCCCATCCCTTCTCCATACATAGTATGTGGAGGACCATCCACACAATTGGGATCCTTAAAAGCAGGATGACAATTTTTTTCCTCTCTCCTTCCTCTGTAATGCCCACTGAAACATTCTCCAAATCCTTTGTTAATTTGAAACTTACAGTCAGGATCCCTGGAATGTTCTCATAAATTAAATGTCCTTGGGTATATGAGACAGACAGAGCCTTCTCCGTGGTAGCGACTAAATAAGAGACATTCTCCCAAGCAAGTTCCACTGGGCTCAGTCTTTCTGTTTATAGATATGCTTTGAAAACATTTTTATTTTAAACAGTCATACTTATTTGATGGTCTACTCTATTGCATTTAGATTTTCGTTTTTGGTATGTTATTGTCTTACTTGTTTTTGAAAGGCCATTTTTGTGAAACACCAGATTTCTAGTTAAAAGGAACAAAGATGGAAGTAGAACATGTGCAGTACACGAAGGTTGTTTTCTAAATACCTGATATAGGCCTTAATGCTCATGCGCCCATTTTGTAGACTGGTGTCCACCGTGAGGTGAATTGGATTGTGTGCTTCTCGACTGTAATATTCGTGAATCAAGACAGAGTGTTCTGTGATGTCATGCCCTGTTGCATACCTTCAAAAACGTAATTAAGACTAATTAATACCTGCACACAATGAAGCCCATTCATTTAACACAGACCTTTTAGACGCAGATGTGATATGCCAGTGAGATATATTAAACAACGCTAATTCAGATGTAGATACATCCATAAATCATTCTTGTGCTGCCCTCTGAATTACATTAAAGATATATATCATAACTTGCTTTGGAGGCAAAAGATTCCTGCATTGCAGGGGGTTGGACTAGATTACCACTGTGATCTCTTCCAACTTTACAATTCTATGATTTGTTGATAAACCAGTTGCATCACAAAATAAATACAAGGAAAAAAGATAGCAAGACACTTGCCAGTACCTCTGCGGAGAAAGCATAAGCCCAGTGCAATTAGAAACTGCACTTAGTTAAAATAAACCAGAATCAAATGTGTGTCATTTGTTTAAACTAACTACAGTTAGAACTAGCCACAGTTCTCCGAGTCTGGATAAAACAGAGAACTGTGGTTAATCTAAAAGTGAAAGCAGATAAGCTTATAATATCCTCTTGGTTGTGCGGAGACAAAAAGTAGCAGGTAGGTATATGCTTCTGAGGCTCACAAAACACTTGTTCCTTTAATCACAGCCCACAGTTTGTCATTATGTCTGAACCAGGCCCTTACACAGTGAACATATGTTATAGGTATGGGGAGACTGGCACATCCAACGTTCATAAGTAATGTAGCCGCATGATACTCCAGCCATTTAACCAATTGGTCTATACGGAACAAGAGGTTCCTCTCCTCCAACTAAATGGGCAGTCAGTTATTTACTGCAGTCACTGAAGTCTCTTGCTGGGTACAAAAAAGGACTTTTGAAATGTTTTTGTGCGGAGTGTAAGCCATCATGGGGGGGGGGGGGGGACTTTGGATTTTGAAAGATGGCATAAAAATATTAACAAATATGTATTTATTTAACATGTTTATATCCCACCTTTCTCCCAAGTTGGGACTTGGCAGCAGTGCTTTTTTTAAAAAAAAAATCAGATAAGACACTCTAACATAGAACTAACAGAAGTCAGGAAATTGCTGTAGTTCTGCCATTTTTAGGTAAGTCACAATTAATTTTACCTTCTCTGGAATGAGTTATGCAACACAGGAGTAAACACACTTTTGCCCCAGCATAACTTGCACTGTACATCAACAATTTTAAAAGCCCATTAATGCTGTTCTGTTTTTGTAACAAGAAGAATAGCAACCTACCATCCCAGAATAATTTCACTGGGAGAAACTTTCTTGTGCAGTTCATACATATTCTTGGCAAATTCCATGTCAACTGCCACCTAGAAGTAAAAAAAGGAAGTAAGAGAATCTGTAGCAGTGAGTCTCATCTATTGCAATGGTAGCAACTCTCCAAGGTCTGAAGCAGTCTTCCCTGCCTTGTTAACTAAGTTCTTGTGACTGTAGATGTTGGGGATTGAAGCTGGAACTCTGCATGCACAAAACCTGCTCTCTGCAAATGGTCTTATAGCTTCCCTGCCTTCATTTCAAACAATCACCAGGTTATCAAATTTCCAAGAAATGATGCTGCACCAGAGTCACAGGGATTTTGAAACCCAGAATTCTCTAATCTAGCTATCAACTATTTTAACACCACACTGGGCTTAGCTCTGAGTGGCCAGTACACGACATAATACAGCATGGGGAGGAAGCAGCTACTCACCTCATCTTCTGACTCATTGTGAGGCACTGAGAAGCAGTTGGTGACTTCTACTGAATGCTTGTCAATGGTGCCTGCAAAATTAAGGACAACATGTTTCTGTAAGAGAAAGCCTTTCTAACCAAGCCACAGGATCATGCAAGGAGAGATTTTGTAATTAAGGTATAAGACAAGGATGAGCGATTGTCAGCTGCTGGGCTGGTCTCAGCTCATGAAGCCTTGCAATTCCAGAATGTTTGTCAACTGTGCCTGTGAAATTAAGAGAGATATTTCCATGAGAAAGCATCAGCCAGATCCTTGCCATGGCCCTTTCCACAGTTTTGTTGGGAGCTAGAGGGAGAGGCAAAAGTGCTGGAGGGTAGAGGGAGGAAACCAAGATGAATAGGCAAAATGCCTTCTTTAGGCTGGAGAGTGTCTGATGTAATTCGAATTGCAAAGTGTTGTGGGGAGAAAGAAACCAAAATTTAGGATGCTGGAGGGAGAAGCAGGGGGCTTGTTTTTTAGGGGTGCTGCTGCTGTAGAGTATCAAAGCATCTGATGTACTCAAAATGCAAAGTGCTTTCCCTTTTATTGCTTTCTCTCGAAGGAAGAAAGGGAGGGAAGGATGAAGTCGACTGAGTCTCCAACATAATGTAACCCCTGACATCTTACAGCTTGTGGATTGCAGCCCTTGACAAAAGGTTTCCCACCCTTGGCACAGAACTTAGGAGAAACCTGACCAAAAGAAGCAGAAGATTCAGGTTTGCTAAGAAAGTATACTGGAATTAGAAACATCACCCAGCTTTCTTCTCCAACTTCAGTTTCTTTCCGTATCTATTAAAGAATGCTTTTTATTGTGGTGTACAACAATGTGGCTATAATTTACACTAGCCCATGGGATCACGTTTCAGTATAAGGCCTGAGTACAGTTGTACCTTGCAAGACGAATGCCTCTCAAGACGAAAAACTCGCAAGACGAAAGAGTTTTTCGTTTTTTGAGTTGCTTCACGAGACGAATTTCCCTATGGGCTTGCTTTGCAAGACGGAAACATCTTGCAAATTTGTTTCCTTTTTCTTAAAACCGGTACAGTAATACAGGGTGCATTGCTTGAAGAGGTGCAGTTGCGACTTGACTTCGGGGAGCAACTCATAGCACGCGGTGTGGTAACCTTTTTTGAAGATTTTTTTGAAAAAATTGAAACCGTGCTTCGCAAGACGAAAAAACTCGCAAGACGAAAAAACTCACAGAATGAATTAATTTCGTCTTGCGAGGCACCACTGTATTTTGACCTGGTGCAAAAAAGAGCTCCCTGTTCCTTCAATAAACTATTTAGAAAAGTACAATGCAACAGATGCACTTTCCCTTGCCTTTTATGACAAGCTATCCTCTTCCAAAATCCCCTCTTCCACGTAAATTCAGAGAATTGTAGAGTTGGAAGGGATCCTGGGGGTCATCTAGTACAACTCCCTGCAATGCAGGAATATGCAGCTGACTTATAAGGGGATCAAACCTGCAACCTTGATGTTATTTAAAGCACATTTAGTTCTCCACTACATTTGGGCATCCTAGGGGTGAGATGTGACCATGCAAGAGGTACCACAGCCTAGCGGCTTGACCTACAAACCAGTAAGTTCCTGGTTTGCCTTGTCTCTCTGCCATAAAGTCATAAATTCAACACCCATCTGCAATATGGGAATAATCATACTCACTTGCCTGACAAACTGGTTGAGATACCATAGTGAGTGAAGTGTTCTGAGAGCCACTACAGTTGACGTGAATAGAACAGGGAGATCTGGCTTCCAAATTCCTTGCTCAGCCACTGCAGTATACACAGGTGGGCTGCCTTTTAGGCTACTTCACAGGAACGATCCTGCGCACCAGCCAAACAATGACAGAGGAAGCAGGAACAAAACGCAATAAATAATGCACCATTACAAAACGGGAGCGTCGAAGCAGCAAAGCTGCCATGTGACCTCAGCTACAAGGCATGAAGCCCAGATTCAAATTTCGCCTCTGCCTGTCAAATACGCTTGGAAAACTTTAATAGGAGGACCCTATGACCCTCCACTTACAAGAAATGATGGGAACTGGAGCCCACCAATGTCTGGAGAGGCCAAAAGCTCCCCATCCCTGTCTTTAAACTGCAATCCATGCAGTTTCAACCCCTGGCCTGTGGGTAACCCTGCAAAGCAGTCTAAACTAAGCACCGCATAAATGCTGCCAAGCAGCTGCTTTTAGCTTCTTGTACGTTTTCAACACATGGTAGCTTTTCACTGGTTTATCTTTTTGTAACATGCTTTGAGGGTTTGGGTTGTTGATGTTTACAAATGATGTATAAACTTCATGACATAAAAAAAGCATAAAAATATTAACTAGCATAGCTACATTTTAATTAGTATGGTGATGACTAGGTGGTTTTACATCTTGATTTTATTCTGTGAACCGCCCTGAGGCCCCTGGATATAGGGCAGTATATAAATTTAATAAATAACAATAATTTTGAGTTTGACTGACGACCAAGCGATGTATATGTTTTATGGGATAAAAACATAGGAAGCCTAAAGTTATTAACTGGCAAAGCTACAGTTAAATGAGTACACAGTTGACTGACTTCCGAGTTTCACGTTTGTGTTTTAACACCCAAGCGGTGTATACATTTTACGAAATAACTACGAACTAAGACTATGCCAGTTAATTAATTTATCGCTTCCGCTTCATAAAACCTATACACCAGTCGGTTATAAAACAAAAGCAAGCCAGCGAAACTCCAAGCCGATTATTACCAGCCTAGCGACGAGTGCAAGGTAGGTAAAGAACGAAAGGCGGGCTTCTGAGCATGTGCAGAGTTCCGGCCACGAGGAAAAGCGGCGGTTGGGACGGAAGGGTGTCGTTGGCCTTACCGAGCAGCGTCCCGATGACCCGGGCGGCCCCCTCGTTCCGCCGCTCGAAGCTGTCCACGATGGAGGCGAGCACCACCGGGTGGATCCGGACCGCGCGGCCGCCGGGGAAAGGCGCCGCCAGAGCCGGCGGCGGGGCAGGGGCCGGAGTCGGGGCCGGCGCCGGGGCGGCCTGAAGGGGAACCGGAGCGGGAGCCGCGGGAGGCGCCGACGAAACGGCGGCGGCGGCGGTGGAGGCAGCTGCGGGCGGGGAAGCAGCCGCGGGAGCAGGAGGCGGCGGCGGCGAGGGCGTCGCGGCGCTCTGAGGGGAACTGGCTGCTACGGCCGCCATCTTGTCGGCGAAAGGGACCCGTGGAAGCGGCTCTTCGGCGCTGATAGGCTGAGCCGAGGCCACTGGAGAGTCACGTGCTTCGCCCTCTTCCCGAGGAGGCGCGTCACGCCTCCCATCCCCCGCGACGCTTTGGTTGCCGTCACCATAGACGTATAAAGAAAGCAGAGTGACGCGTTCAACCCGAGTGCCGTGGAGCTTCCTAGCTCCCTTTTCAGTTTCTCCTTCCTCCTCAAGGCGCCCGTAGAGGAGCAATGGAGAAACTCAGGGTTTTCATCGTGCTTGTTATTGCATAAGAATTGTAGATTTGGAAGGGACTAATCCAACCCTCCCCCTGTAATTCTGGAAGCCTTTGACCAATGTGGGGCTCGAACCTACGACCCTGAGATTTAAAATCTCATGCTCTAGCGATTGAGCTACCCCATGTTAAATAGGTAGTGGTTCTTCCCTGCCAAATTGTACTTGTTGTAGATATTTGATTTCTTGCGGGATGGGGTAAAGGTAAAGGGACACCTGACCATTAGGTCCAGTTGTGACCGACTCTGGGGTTGCGGCGCTCATCTCGCTTTATTGGCCAAGGGAGCTGGCGTACAGCTTCCGGGTCATGTGGCCAGAATGACTAAGCCGCTTCTGGCGAACCAGAGCAGCGTACGGAAACGCTGTTTACCTTCCCGCCGGAGCGGTACCTATTTATCTACTTGCATTTTGACGTGCATTCAAACTGCTAGGTTGGCAGGAGCAGGGACCGAGCAATGGGAGCTCACCCCGTCACGGGGATTTGAACCGCCGACCTTCTGATCAGCAAGTCTTAGGCTCTGTGGTTTAACCCACAGCGCCACCGGCATCCCTTGTGGGATGGGGAGAGAGCTTTAAAAGGTTGTGTTGTGTTGTAATACCAATACAGTCCAGTTACAGTGCTGGTGGGTGGACTGCCCTTCAAGCAGTTTACAACAATCTGTAACATGGACTAATTGATATTACAGGTATAAGTGGCACAGAAGACATATAGATTCTTACATCAGTGCCCTACAACTTACTATACCCATCACACATGGGCATGACGACAATTATGTTGATGCGTTACAACCCTGCAGTGTAATCCAATATTATCTGGTCATCTACTAAAGGGTATTTTTACGGAAACACTCTTGGGGCAGAAAGGATACATTTTCCTTACGCTGGGAAAATCTACAAGCCTGTTTTGGTTCTAAAGGATTTTCCAGGTGATGCCCCACATTTTCTGAGTGTTGCTGCTAGGAAAGCCTTGGTATCTTGGGTGGTTTTCTTATAATTTGTATATCATTTTTCTGTTTTAAGGAGGGGTGTGTGTGTGCTGTTTTCTCCATTACTTTCAATATGTCCATATTGAACAGCAAGTATTTTTTTATCAGAAACACAGAATTGTAGAGTTGGAAGGTGTTATGTACTGATGTTCTCACCCTGGGCCAGCAGGGGGATACTGTAGATAGTTTTTACTCAGGTCCACATATGCAAATAAGGGATTGAAAGTGACGTTCAGTGATTGGATAGTTACAGAAAGTTGTTACAGTTACGTTGTACTGGAGCTCTATATAAGCAGGCTGACTGAACCCTTCAGTTCAGTTCTGTTCTGGCCTGTAGGGCTCCCAAGGGTCACCTAATCTAACCTCCTGAAATGCTGGAATCTCAACTAAAGCATCCCTAACAGATGGCTATCCAATCTCTGTTTTAAAACCTCCAAGGAAGGAGAGTCCACCTCCTTCTGAGGGAGTCTGTTCCACTGTCAAAGAGGTCTTATCGTCTTATCCTCCTGAAAAGTTCTTCCTGATGTTTAGTCGGAATCTCCTTCCTTGTAACTTGAAGCCATTGGGTTCAGGTTCTACCCTCTGGAGTAGGAGAAAACAAGCTTACTCCACCCTCCATCTCACCCAACTGCATAATTACATTCATAGGTAACATATGCTGAAAATGGGTTCCACTCTTATTGGAACAGAAATGCGAAAGACCTTGAGGAACACAACACACGGACACCTAAATCAGAAAATCAAAGTCTTTTCTGCAGGAGGATCTCTTAGTATTCTGTAGGTACTGCTCTTCCACACAATCATGTGAAGACAGCAACAGAATCAGACCTTTAGCTCTACTATAGACATGATGTCTGCCTGCTCAGTTGAGTCCTGAGGCTAGGCAATCACACTGTTGCAGGCCACCCCAATCTCTGCCGAGCCGTGTGAGATTCCAGGGGTCTTGAAACTTAACCAGGGTTTGTGTTGCCTTTGGAAAAATGAGGCACAGTGGAGACTGTAGTGTCTTTAAGATATATGGTTTTATTTACACATATATACGCCGGAGTCTACAGTGGAGATTGTTCAAAGCAGTGGTTCCCAAATAGCTAATTACAGAGGACCCCTTATTTTTCAAAAGTCAAGTCATGGACCACTGACTTTTGAAAATTTGGTAACTCTGTGACAGAGCAAATTTTTGAACAAAATGTGGGGTAGTCTCTAATAAGCAAAGGATTTTAGGTATACAGTGGTACCTCTGGTTACAAACTTAATTCGTTCCGGAGGTCCGTTCTTAACCTGAAACCGTTCTTAACCTGAGGTACCCCTTTAGCTAATGGGGCCTCCTGCTGCCGCCAACATGTGATTTCTTTTCTCATCCTGAGGTAAAGTTCTTAACCCGAGGTACTACTTCTGGGTTAGTGGAGTTTGTAACCCGAAGTGTTTGTAACCCGATGTGTTTATAACCCGAGGTAAAACTACTAAAAAATAGACTAGGGCTGAGCGATATCTGGTTTTTAACATTGTGATATATCAGCAGCTAAACATCACAATATTCCAATATATCATGATGTCTCAAATTGGAAACTGGGTGTGGGGATGAGGGAAGGAGCAACCTTGGGAGATCGGATGGGTGGGGGGAAGGAGTGCAAGCGGAGTGGTTTTAGTGGGAGGGGATGGAGGGTGCATCAAGGCGCCATCAGTGGGGCAGCCAGCCGTGGCAGCCAGTGAAGATGCACGTCCACTGTGGCTTCTGCTGCTTTCCTGCTGAGAAAAGCTGCTGTGCCCCAATGCCAGGGGAAGGTAGTGCCACGGTGCCTTGAAGTGAGGGCGATCAGTTGCCCTGTTTTCCCTCAGCACGAGGGAAGGCAGCTCAGATCAGCAGCATTATCGGCTGAAATCTTCATGTGATATAAACGGTGCCTTGAAATCGGCTGCCCTGCTCTCCCTTGTACAAGGAGCAATATATTGCTGTGTATTGCTGGCTGAAAATCATCATTGTGGTGTAATTTCAAAGCCAATTTTGGCCAATAAACTGAAAAACTGCACAGCCCTAATACAGACATAAAATTTGAGATATTGCCATGCAAGAATGACAACAATTTAGTTGGGAGGGAAGCAAGAGATAGGTGCATTTCCCGGACCCCTAATTGGGAACCACTGGTCCAGAGCATTCACATCTCAAGAGGGGCTTGCTTCCTGCAGGAGCACAGCCCTGGATTCCAGGGCAGGGGAAATAATTTTCTTGTTCCTTTAACAGCTGCTTGGCAGTCAGAAATCCAAAAGGCTTACCTTTCTTATTATGGAAATACAGTGGTGCCCAGCAAGACGAATGCCTCGCAAGACGAAAAACTCGCTAGACGAAAGAGTTTTCCGTTTTTTGAGTCGTTCCGCAAGACGAATTTCCCTATGGGCTTGCTTCGCAAGATGAAACGTCTTGCGAGTTCTTGCGAGTTTGTTTCCTTTTACTTAAAGCCGCTAAGCCGTTAATAGCCACTAAGCCGTTAATAGCCGCTAAGCCGCTAATAGCCGTGCTTCGCAAGACGAAAAACCGCAAGACGAAGAGACTCGCGGAACGGATTAATTTCGTCTTGCGAGGCACCACTGTACAATTATAGGAAAAGTGTCACCCTGACTACTGTGATTTTGTGTTGTCTCAAGCCCCCTCTTCTGGGTGGCAGTCTTTTGTGTTAGTCACACAATGGCTGCTGTGGAGTTTGTCCTGAGTCTCAGCACTCACTCAAAATCCAAGATTTGCCCACAAGTCCAAAAAGCTTGGCAACCCCTGGTGCAGGAGCTAGGTACCTCGATGACTACTTACTCCAGTATAAACCTGACATACGTTGAGTTAAGCTGGTGCCCCATCTATGGAACACTCCTCCCACCCCCGGCTGGCTCACCCGGTGCCTAAACATTGCAAGCTGCACTAAAGGGCTGAATATAAACAAATATTATGCAAAATAACCACATCACTTAATTTGCTTATTTCATTAAGTTGGCAGTGACATAATCCTTGTGACATAATCTAGAATTTTTTTGGGAACAGGAAACAAACCAAAAATTGGCGAGAAGTATAAAATGATTTCTCACTAGTGGCATCCATATTGAAATTCTGGTCACTGTTCTAATTAGTTTAAGTAATATTTCCTGACAATGACAAACCTAGACAGCATCTTAAAAAGCAGAGACATCACCTTGCCAACAAAGGTCCGTATAGTTAAAGCTATGGTTTTCTCAGTAGTGATGTATGGAAGTGAGAGCTGGACCATAAAGAAGGCTGATTGCCGAAGAATTGATGCTTTTGAATTATGGTGCTGGAGGAGACTCTTGAGAGTCCCATGGATGGCAAGGAGATCAAGCCTATCCATTCTGAAGGAAATCAGCCCTGAGTGCTCTCTGGAAGGACAGATCGTGAAGCTGAGGCTCCAATACTTTGGCCACCTCATGAGAAGAGAAGACTCCCTGGAAAAGACCCTGATGTTGGGAAAGATGGAGGGCACAAGGAGAAGGGGACGACAGAGGATGAGATGGTTGGATAGTGTTCTCGAAGTTACCAGCATGAGCTTGACCAAACTGCGGGAGGCAGTGGAAGACAGGAGTGCCTGGCGTGCTCTGGTCCATGGGGTCACGAAGAGTCGGACATGACTAAACGACTAAACAACAACAATATTTCCAGTTTCCAAACAGAGGCAAACATCTAATCTACAGTGGATCATAATGTGCTATGCATCCCACTACTGTGCAATCTGCAAGGATTTCCATGAAGTTTGTGCAGAACCCCTATGCACTGCTACCTGAAAAAAGATTGTCCAGTAACTGTATGGAGGATTTAATCTGCACTATTAGAATTTATGAATAAAACCAGTGTTTATAAAATGAACTGCAAACACTACCAAAATAAGAGGGCCAAAATCATTTAATATCTGTCTGCCATTTAGATATGAAAAGAACTGCAGACCCACCATGGAATTTAACTACACATATAAAACATTTTCAGATAGCCAGCCACAATTCACTTACAGTAAATTGTATTTATTTCTCCTCTTCCACAATTTTCCAAGGTGAAAATAAGTATCCAAGTGAACTTACCTCGGGAAAACTGTTTTCGCTTTATACATACATACACCATACACACAGTTTAGGGCTAACCAACTCCCTTCACAGTAATTTGTCTTTTGGGAACACCTGCATTATTTGGAATCTGCCTTGCCTTGGTGATACATGTTAAAATTAATCTCCAGTCATCTTTGAAAACAAGGAACCCTGAAGGCCTTGCTGCAACAAACCTCCAGAAACAATTGTCATTTGTCCACTATCTATTTCACCATCACAGCCTGTACACTTAATAGGTGCCTCTTCTCATGAGCCAGAAAGCTTCTTTCTAAATTAACAAAGCACACTGGAATTGGAATGTGACCTATCCTCTGGCGTTTTGATATATGGAGAATATGTAGCACTTTATTCAAGAATTGGTATTCTGTAGTACTGCTTGAAAAAAATTTCCAACTGCGAAATTTATCTATTTTTTACAATCAGAACATTTTGTCTGAAAAGTTTATTTTAAATTTTCTGAACACTTAAAGCAGCACTGCTTTAGGTGTTACACAAGTGTCCAGAGATAACTAAACAAAATTAAACTTATAAATTACAAGTTTTTGCTTCTGAAAGAGCTTCAGTCAACAGAAAACATGACACACGCACACACACACATTGCGAGGAAACCCCCCCAAAATTTCATGCAACAGCAGGCAGGATGTAAAAAGCCACCTAAATTCACACGTTTGTACATTGAATCATCAGAAAAAGTATTCTTTAGTAAATCTGTACATCCAAATACATTTGGGAGCTACATCTAAGTTACATCATTTAATGTTTTATACACTTGTTACCCCTTTTAATCATCAAGTAAACACGCCAAACCGGGGATGGGCGGCTGAGTTAGGAAAAAAGAAAAAAAATCATTGTAGACATTCAATTATTTTTGTTACCTAGACCACCAAGTGTTGAATAAAAACCGATGACATCATCTTTATTTACCGTTTTTTCTTGCTAACTGTACAAAAATTGCAGTGCAGAGAATTCCACCTTTGTACTTAAGATTCTTTGGATGGATCTCAGATATAGCTGGATATTCCTTTAATGACGAACCAATGGAAAGTCGGTCCTATTAGACTGATACTGCATGCAAATATTTGCCTTTTTAAAACAAATGCATGTAAATGTTAGAATAGGTGATACTGCAAATTATCCTGGTAGCATCCAGTGTCCCCTTACCCTGTAAAATAGCACTAACAACTGGATGGAGGAAATCTTTCCAGAATAGTATTTTAAAGTACCAGAAACTAATCAGCAAAGTTTTAGGATCCACAAGTTTCATTTTCCTTTTTTAATTAAATGGAACAAATGTGTAAATACAGTTTTGTCCTCTTCACTGAAGAGAGCTAGTCTATTTCATCTTTGTGAGCTAGTTTTTGGGAAGATTAGCATGTACTGGGGAGTGATGCCTACCGAATACAATCCAAGCTTTTGCTGAGAACAGTTGAAGAAAGTCAGTAAGAACCTAGGATCAATGAAAACAGATGTTGCTTTAAATGATCCACAAAAGAGAGACCCACAGAGTGCCCAGTGTTAAATACACAATTTTCTCCTTGCGCTTTCTGGTGTGCAAGTTTATATACTCTGTCCCCCACCCCACCCCACCCCACGGGTTAACTGTTCCAGAGTTCACTTTCCTTAGTCAATTTTCACATTAGTGTAGATTTTTCGAACAAAGGCACTTGTTCCCATATAGCCAATAGCTCCTGCAAAAACAAGGCAAATATATATAGGTTAGATTCGCTTAAGTTCTACAAGACAATGGCTGCAATCCTCAGCTTATCTGCTACGAATATGTATTATCGAATTCATTAGGACTTCCTCCCAAGTAAAAGCACATCAGATAAGCTTCAATAATTATGTTTATGTCATACAACCATATAGCCTGCAAAAAGCTCCTTCCTTAAAAAGCTTAAGATATGCACCATTGTCATTTTTGGTATATCATTTTTTTAAAATTACATTTTGTTCACCCTGGAGTGCAAGCTTCTTTTCATCTCAAACAACACATGCATTTCGGCTTAGTGTCTGTACATGTGCTGCCAAGAGCCATACATATGACAAAAACCTTAAAGACTAAAAATCTGATAAGCTAGCAAACTCATGTTCCTCAACCAGAATGAATCAGGTCCAGAAAACCAATTTATGGAATGCTTCCCCCCATTTAGGAGTCTTCCTAGCTTGTATTTTCTGTTTTCTCAATAGACTACGAACTCAGAGACAGGAGAGATACATGCTAATTTAAGGCTGAAACCCAATATAACAGAATGGGCCTGGCAGAAAAGAGAGACGACAGCATTTCAGTATGCTGCAGAAAACTTACCGCACATTATTCCCAGCGCTGTGCTAAATACTGCCATATAACCAAAGTAAAATGATGTCTGAAACAAGCCATACATCCTGAGGGGGAAAAAGAAGAAGAGGAATATTTTTTGTATCTCCCATATTACCAATAATTAATCTTTTTTAAAAAATGTGAAGTATTAGCTTTCTTAATTTAAAAGGGAAGGAAAATACAAAATGTCAAAGGCTACGTACTTTGTCTTGAAAAAGTAGTAATAAAAGGAATACATGTAAACATAGATTGCAGTTGAAGCAGCAGACAGAAAACTTGTCCATTGCCTGAAAAACAGACACAAATATTTCAAACAACTGGGAATAAAAGACTGGCAAACAGTACAAGAAAATCTAGACAAGAACTGTAACAGGAAGTAATAAAATTTGTTCAACTAATTTCCACCTTGCATGAAAAAACAAGCTAGCTTTCTTCATACTGTTGCACAAATTGTCCACAATCCTTGTGCACTTTTGTGGAACCACCATTTTCCAGTTCTGTTTCCTCTCCCTCTCTTCAGAGGGAGAGATTTCTTTTTCTTGGCATAACTTTTAAACAATGCATTTAACATTGGAGACTCATCACTTAAATAAAAACATTTACCTAACAGAATATGCATGCCATTTAACTGTAAAAATCTTCCAAGCATTTTACACAAAATACACATTATAATTGTCCATAAAAAGAAGTCAAACATAAGTAGACCTAAACAATTCAAAATATAATTGAATCACCAGTTTTAAGTTTACATTATTTAAAGAGTACACATAAAAATGCATCAAGTTATGTATCTGGTTAGGCTTGCTTAAAACACATACACTTACACCCACACCCACCCACATCCCTGCCTGCCTACCTGCCTCAAAGGCTACATGTTACCCCACTGAAAGACAGATTTCTTGCAAGTGCAGAATAGACTTTCTGTGGCACTAATTTCTAGGTTTTTTGCTGCTTAAGACTGACTTGTAAGTAGGGGAAAAAATACTTACCACCTATAGTCCTCTGCATTCAGTAGAAAGTATGTACACACGATTGTCACACATACGGTCACAATGCAGAGAATAACCAGAACTAACATCATGAAGCCATAGACATAATAGATTTTGTAAGCCCAGAAGGAAGTGAATATAAAATACCTACAGAATAAAGAAGCATTGTTTATTGTACAGACATGAAGGTTTAATTAAACCAGGCTGATAATGCCTAGTAAAGCGCTTGCAAAGTTCTCTAGGCAGAAGACTCACATTTCAATGAAAATGGATCCAAACGGGAGAATCCCACCTAGGCAAACAATAACAGCTGGTTCCATAAACCTGAAAAGAAATTAGAATTAACTTTCTCATTTGACCATAACTAATGGAATAGCTCACTTAAGAGAGGGCTCTTGCAGAATCACTGAAATCAAACGCATAGCTGATTTAAGGATGCACTGGTGGCAAGATCTAAAGGACTGTGATCACTTCAGTAAGGTTCAGACCATGTGAATCCTGATTATCCAGAACTGTTTCTGGCTTAGTTGCATTCTGCATGCAGTTACTGCTCTGGATTAGAGCGCCAGCCCCCTGAATTCCACCTGCGCAAGGAGTTCATCACTGCTAGACCAAAAACACGATAGCAGTTCTAAATCAGGAATAAGGAACGCCTGTTCTTCAGGCCAAATTAGGCACACAAGGTCTTCTCCCCTCAGCCACACCCACCTGTCCCCATATCGACAACATGTGTGGGGCAAGTAAGGCTATGACTGCAAAAGGAACCACTGGAAGCTTTAATGTGCATCCCCAATTGTTCCTTGGCAGGCAGGGGTTGCGTTTGGCACCAAATGCAAGCCCTACTGGGACTGGTTCCCCTTCGGATCTCTGCCAAAAGCGGAGTTTGCAGCAGTGCCAAATCCTTTCAGCTTAAGAGTGAGCTCCCAATTCTTCCTTTGACGTTTGGATCACCTGATTGACAGCTGGTGACTGCTCACCTGTCAAAAGCAGCCCACGGAGGGTAGCCCAGTTCCCTAATCCTGCTCTTCAAATTATCCACAATACTCATCATTGGTGCTGTGGTCTAAACCACTGAGCCTCTTGGGCCTGCCAATTGGAAGGTCCGTGATTTGAATCCGGGTGACGGAGTGAGCTCCTGTTGCTCTGTCCCAGCTTCTGCCAACCTAGCAGTTCAAAAGCATACCAGCACAAGTAGATAGATAGGTACTGCTGCAGTGGGAAGGTAAACAGCGTATCCGTGGGCTCTGGCACTCGTCATGGTGTCCCATTGTGCCAGAAGCGATTTAGTAATGCTGGCCACATGACCCGGAAAGCTGCCTGTGGACAAACACTGGCTCCCTTGGCCTGAAGCTAGATGAGCGCCACCACCCATTGTTCACCTTTGACTGGATTTAATCATCTAGGGGTCCTTTACCCTTACCTTTTATTACAGGCAACAGACCAGAAATAAGACCGTACATTACCTCAACCACTGATAAAAAGATGTGGCAACTACCAATGACACCCATAGGATTTTTATCTCTCAGCAAGTATTTAACCTAAAATTGAACTGACTTTCTTGGTAGCTTGGCTAGTAAAGGGGCAAACCTACTTACAAGGGCAACCACCTACTTCACCAGATGCATGAATGCCAAGAGAAGCCATTTATACTTTACCATTTTTTCTCTGGGATTGGACGAGGAACAGCATTGACTCGGCAAGGAAAGTTGGGCTGACCCGAAAGGTTCCGTCCCAGTATTGTGCCAACAAGGTTCAAAGGGAGGATAACAAAGAAGCAGATGCAGCACACAGCCACCTGTAAACTCATAATCACACAAGAAGAGAGGATATAAAATGCATCAAAGCACGTGCACCCATTATAACAATTTCTGCTTCCTAGCAACATTAATCTTAACATGCCTGTTCAGAATAGCAACACTAAGATTCATTCCATGAAAGGATAAGTATATGAAGGGGTGGTGGTGGACGACAGCACCAGGCATGAATTTGTCTTCTCCTCTCCTGGTGGAGGGAACTTTGGGAGCCCACTGCATCAGCTGTCCTGGAGCTCAGGGTTGGAGAACTCACTCTCTGCTTGGCTTCTCCCCCAATAAAGACAGGTTGTTGTCTGGTGGTCAGGAAGACCCCCAGGGCGTCCATTTCCAAACCTGGTCTGCATTCTCAGGGTCTTCCTAATCCAGCTGCTCTCCTTCCCTCAAGAGAGCAGTGGATGACTTCTTTTTTTAAAAAATGGGGGAAGTAGGGATTTTTTGCTAACATTTTAGCCGCCGAAGTCCCTTTGTTTGTTTGTTTTCAACTGGAGTGAAAACTGAACTTAATATAAATTATGTCAAAGGAATATGCAGGATGATTCCTATCTCTGCTGAGGGACCAGCTGCCTTTAGTTTTCCACAATGGTCATCTAGAAGCAGTCATTATATCAGGCTAGTTTGCATCCTGAACTGCTTCCATGTAGCTGGCTTAAAAATTAAATAAGATTTGTGGTGGAGCTTACCTTCCTTCTCTCACCCCCCGCCACCCAATCCCTGTTTCTTGGCATGTTGTGTATTTTGTTATAAGCTGTGGGGCAGGGGCTGTCTAACTACAGATCTTGCAAGTCACTGACATGCAGACCCTCGAAAGGGCCCCCCATCCTTGCTTTAAATAAACTAATTATCAGGATGCATCAGTAAACCTAAGCTTTTGGCTTTCTTGTTGATGTGATGTAATTCAAAGTTTTGCATGCAAGTTCCTGCCTACTTTAAACTGTTAATTGCCCAAGGCAATGTATAGCAGCCTTCTTGATTTAATAGATCAAACCTACAGCGCTAATGTACTCACCATTGTTCCAAAGGGAATAGCCCGCGATGCATGATAATAGATGGCAATGAAATTAATGAAGAAGGCTGTGCCACACACCATTGCAGGAATAAGGAACGCCCCAATGAACATCTGCTTTATCCACCGCCTTCCTGCAAAGAGAAATATCCCAATGAAATTAAGATTCAGGACTCAAGCGGCATGTGAACATGTTCCTCTCTGTAGCCAAAAACACTGTGTTATGATATAGGAATGGTTAGGTAAAAGGAAAGCATAATGTATATTCAGTATAGCCCTGAAAAACAAATTTTGGTTCAGGGAAAATATTAATATGCTAAGATCAAAGTCTGATAATTTTTAGGCTGGAAATGTCTGGATCCTAGTATTATCTTTCTTGCGTAGATCTAAAACAGACTCACATCTCAAATGATTCTATCACAAACCGTACTTGTACAGTGGTACCTCGGTTTAAGAACAACCCTGTTTACGAACTATTCAGTTTAAGAACTCTGTAAAACCGGAAGTTGTGTCCCAGTTTGCGAACTTTACCTCCGTCTAAGAACGGAAGCTGAACGGTGGAAGGGCACCGGCGGCGGGAGGCCTCATTAGGGAAAGTGTGCCTCAGTTTAAGAACGGTTTCGGTTTAAAAACGGACTTCCAGAACGGATTAAGTTCGTAAACCGAGGTACCACTGTATATGCTATAGTCAAATAAGTATTTTGAAAGGTAAAAAAAATTACAATCATGAGTCATTAATACCAGGAATAGCTTCTGTATCTTTTTAGAAAAGGCTCAAAGTAAATTCCAGGGCAGACAGAGGACATTCACCATCTGGTGGCCAGACATGGTTCTACGCTCTCCTTTGATAGTTACTAGCATGGTGGATCATGGGAATGCCATGGACGCAGTATATCTTGATTTCAGCAAAGCATATGACAGAGACTCCCTACACTAACAAGATGGTAAAATAGGGGCTAGACAATACTATGAGATAGAGCTACAGCTGGTTGAGCAACCGTAGCTAACAAGCGCTCATAAAACATATCTGCATCGACCTGGAAGAGGGCATTGTCCTAAGCACTATACTGTTCAACATCTTGGCACAATTCTGTCTTTCACCGCTGGCATTTTCAAGACAAGAAATAGATACAATTGATATGGTATCTGCAGGAGAATGGCCCTCTTGTTATTTGTGGTGTCTTCTGCCACCTAGGAAACGCCTGCAGCCTCCCATTCCTCTCCAAAGCCTTAGGTTGGGGTGTATATTTCCCCCAAAATGAGAACAGAGTCTGGCCTTCAGTAGATTCCAAAGGGTTTCTTCAGATGGCATCATATGCTCAAAGGGACATGAGAAGATACTGCAGCACCTGTTCAGCTATTCCGATTATCATGCTGCTGAGGTACTGTGAACAAGAACCTTTCTCGACCTCTGCCACAGGACACAAACTTGCTTACCCTTCACTGACTTAACTACCGAGCTCTTCTTGACTCCTTTCTGATCAGGTGGGAGCAATCTATCCCAAAGACAACAGCATACTACGACTGTATTTGCAACATCTAACTGCGGCCACAGTGTTAATTTACTCTGTACACTTACTCAAGGTATTCTCGCCACAGAGAAATCTGCTAGGCAGAAAGCTGTCTGCAGAACCCAGAAAATTCACAACTGTATAATGGTGCAGGTAATCCCAAAAAGTCAAAAGCAACCCAGGATGGTGATAAGATATTAAATTCCTTCCAAAATTATATTTAATACAAAAGTAATTTTTAAAGTCTCACCTCCTTGCCTGGCATAAAGGCTTCCTCCAAAGTAGCCATTCACTGGGGATGTTGCAGCATAAACAAAAATAGCGGTACTTAGCATTGATCCTCTCCTAAAATGAAAGACATGTAGTTTTGGCTACACAAATGACTGCCTGAAGTCTACCAATGTAAAAAGTGACAAGGAGCAAATTGTGGAAGGTAAGCTGAATGTTTAGCTTCAGCTAGTGCAAAACACCAACAATTTTAAAGTGCTGCAAGAACAAAATCCCAAAGTGCTTTGAACATCTGGATTAAGTATTCCATTATAGCCACAGTTACATGTCACCATAAGCTGCCACATGCCAACCTTGGCTTATTGGAAGAACAACCCATGTTCCCAGACCACATGGTGACTCATTTGTGATAAGCTATGGTTTGTAGTTTACCATGACATGCAAACTGTGTCACCTTGCAAAAAAAGTAACAACTAGAACAGTTTAACAGTTTTGGGAATAAGCAACATTAAATTATGTTCAAATATATTTTTAAAAACTTTACCTAAAAATCTTTTGGCCAAATTCTATTACAAGATCTAAATTATTTAACAATTATGCCCTTTTAAACACAATTCCTTGCAGATCAGAAGTGCTGGTATCACTGTTGTAGCCTAGCAGTACAAGAATCAAAACCATAGGAGATACTGCTAATTCCGATGTTGGTCTTTCAATTCACAAGGCAAATTGTCATAGGAGCCCTCTAGTGAAATTTCAGAAATGTCAATGTTTTTCAGATTACAGCAGTCTGGAAACAATACTCATAAGTTTGTATTTCTGCTAGGTTCTACAACAGGGGTAGGCAACCTAAGGCCCAGGGGCCGGATTCGGCCCCATAGCCTTCTCAATCTGGCCCGCAGACAGTCAGCATGTTTTTACATGAGTAAAATGTGTGCTTTTATTTAAAATCCATCTCTCGGTTATTTGTGGGGCATAGGAATTTGTTCAGTTTTTTCTTCCCAAAATACAGTCCGGCCCACCACATGGTCTGAGGGACGGTGGACCAGACCACAGCTAAAAGAGGTTGCTGACCCCTGTTCTACAAGGATCACTTGGAAGCTTCTGGCTTGCACATACAATTCCAGAGGGTTTCCACAAAAACAAAGTGTCTCTCCAGAAGAGAGACTGGGAGAGCTGCAAGAGGCTGTTTTTCACCACTGGCCTGATGCTCTCTCTTGCTATTCTATGCATTTTTTTAAAAAGCAGATACACTTTACACCTTTTGAATGAATGTCAGTCCTGGAAAAATAGTCTTGGAATCTAGCAAGTTTTGGGTTCTTATCTAGTTCATGGCCAAGTCAACTCTTTTGAAGTCTGGGGCATAATTCATCATTTTTCCTCATCTGACAGGATGCGCCTTTCCAGGTTGCCTGAGCCTCTACAATGCTCCCCCAAGTAATCAGTTTGTGTTACTAATTATGCTGTTAATCTGCACATAGGAAGTACAAAATCTGGAGGTTTCTGCCAACTCCTCCCTCTTTCCATTTGCACCACACTATTTCCAAAGGGTTCCCCAGCCCTCAAGGGGCACAGGGAACAGGAAAACCTTGACAGGAACTCTTGTTTTGTTCATAGAAAGAAAGCCAGGATCCAAGATGTTGTTTTAAACTTTTCATTTCTGAAATTACGCTCAAGAGTTCTGCACCATGATGGCCGTTGAGAATGATTTATGCACACAGTGATGGTTCTCATCTCCTGGGCATAGAAAAATTGCCCCAATGTGATCCACTTTGTAAACTGTAAGAAGTTCCTGAATCTCAGCCAAGATCTTTTAAGATATGATGAAGGCACGAAGCAATACTCACTCTGTGTATAAATCCTCCAGCATTGCAACAATGATCACTATGAAAGAAACTGCAAAGATTTGGCAACCGGAACCAATCAAAGATGAAAATATTAAAGGATGACTGGATGGTCTGAAGACATCGCCGTGAACCTGTTTCCAGCCATATTCATCACCTAGATCTCTGTCCTGCACACAAAAAAGTTTGAAAACAATCACCAGGAAGGAAATGGCTAGTAGTCAATCCCATTTAAGCAAAAATACCCATTTAAGGAGGAGAAAAAGCGACAATGGCCAAACTGTTATAGGAAGGAAGCACTTTGTGAGACGCTATGTATCATAAAGGTAAAGGGTAAAGGGACCCCTGACCATTAGGTCCAGTCGCGACCGACTCCGGGGTTGCGGCGCTCATCTCACTTTATTGGCCGAGGGAGCCGGCGTACAGCTTTCGGGTCATGTGGCCAGCATGACTAAGCCGCTTCTGGCGAACCAGAGCAGTGCATGGAAACGCCGTTTACCTTCCCGCCAGAGTGGTACCTATTTATCTACTTGCACTTTGATGTGCTTTCGAACTGCTAGGTGGGCAGGAGCAGGGACCGAACAACGGGCGCTCACCCCGTCGCGGGGTATCGAACCGCCAACCTTCTGATCGGCAAGTCCTAGGCTCTGTGGTTTAACCCACAGCGCCACCCGCGTCCCGAATGTATCATGAGATGTAATAAATATTCCAAAGCACTGTACATGAGGGTACTAAAGCTCACTAAATGGCACGTGCTTGATACAGTGAGGCATTCAGCAGAAGGTTCAGCCAGGCGTCTGGCTACTTGTGGTTAGAGTGAGTTGCCATGGTTGGCTGTGATCCATTCTCTTTGCAACGCTAGGGTGCTACAACAGATTTGTATTTCAGCTGTACCCATTGCCTTAGTAAGAATTCCTGGAAAAACAACAATACCAAATCCTGGGGGGTCTGTCACTCAAATGCTAGATCCCAAAGAGCTGCTCTCTGTAGACAATCAGCTTAGGCAGGGAGGAGGGGCATTCTGTGCACAGAAACCTTGCTAAGGGCTCTCAAGGACTGCCCCAAGGAGAAAAATCTTTTCTTTCAGAGGAGCTCAAGCTTAGAACCGCCGATGTAAGGAGAACATTCGAGTACTGTGGTTCTTGGTCATTCATTTCCAGTGCTCTAAATGTTGGGTGTTTCAGAGGATCTCTCTGCAACCGTTTTAGCATCACCAAGAGTGGATTGCTTGGACATAATTCCTGACTTATGTGTTGATTGGCTCAGGAGTCAAAAAGCTCTTTCGCTAATGAGCTCATGCTTTTGAGTGTCAATACTCTGCTATACTACCAGTGGGGATTAAATGGCTTGGGCCCTTGCCTCAATCTGTATTCAATTGTGCCAGGTCAGCAAGCTTTTGAGAAAGTTCTTTGCCATAATCCACTTGCATTCCTTTCTTTGGAACAAGGGTCGAAAGAGTAAAGGAATGTTGCTCCAAGCAGCTTTTCTTTTATGAGGTCTTGCATATCTGAATGCTCTGAGACTTTCCAACACCACAGTTGCACTTGTTTGAAGTCTACTCCTTGCACTCCTAAATAATTCCCTATACAGTCATATCTCGGGTTGAATATGCTTTGAGTTGAGCGCGTTCGAGTTGCGCTCCTCGGCAACCCGGACGTAATGGAGCGCGTTACTTCCGGGTTTTGCCGCATGCGCAGACGCTCAAAATGACGTCACGCGCATGCGCAGAAGCGGCGAAAAGCGATGTGCGCATGCGCAGATGCGCCATCACTAGTTACGTTTAATTCTAGATGCGAACGGGGCTCCGGAACGGATCCTGTTCATATCTAGAGGTACCACTGTAGTGGTAGGGAGTTCTCTTGACTTTCTGTCCAGGCATGTTGGGGTTGGGGGTTGGAAATGCACTCCAAAGAAGGAAGGAAGGAAGGAAGGAAGGAAGATGCAAGCAATTAAACTGACTATATGGGGGAAACTGACAGAATAGGATAGGCTTCATAGTCACCAAAAGGACTAGCTGCACCTCTGACAGTCGAACATATCAAGGAACTTCAATGTTCCTGCTTTTAAGCCCTCACATAAATTACACAGAAACACCGAGGAACTGAAATCTGACCAAAAACTTGTTCTAGAGATCCTTTCCTTTTACTGAAAAATTACTGTCATTTGGACAAGTTTTCTAGAAATGAAAATGCAATTTTTAAAAAGAAATAGTAGCAGATAAACAAGACTTTTACCATATCATCCATTTCTTCTTCTTTACTGTATCGTGCATAATCTTTTCTCAGTGTCCTCATTAAAATCATAGAAACCAAGCCCACCAGGAAAATAACCATCATGAAGGAATTGAAGATTGAAAACCAGTGAATCTAAAATAAAAAAGTGGAAATGTGTCAGCTTGTTTATTATTTAAGCAAGCTACTCAAAAGACAAAATAAATACTGTAGCCCAGCGATGGGGAACCTCAAGTAGAAGGGCCAAATGCTTCCCAGAAGGCCTTTCAACTTGGCCCTTGGGACTGTTCCCAAGCCACGCCCCTCACTGTCCTGCTCCACACCATCAAATGCTCCCCCCACCTGGTTAAAATGTGACTTTGAAATATAATAATGCTTCTTGTTTGACTGGATGGAGAACGGTGGTGGGTGTTCATTGCATAGCTGAAATGTAGCCTACTGTACTAAGGTTTAAGAGTCACATCTAATAATAATAATAATAATAATAATAATAATAATGTTGGAGGGGCAAGGTGAAATTAAAAGATTGAAGGAACATATCCTAGAAGCAGAGCTCATATGTAAAGCTAATGGAAGTTAGGGACACTAAAAAAGAAGAAACTCTTGTTGCATGCTGCTGTTTAAACACCACAGGTTTTAAGTGACCTCTCCAACCTGAACCCTGGTTAAAGATCTGAAGGAGAGTTCACTGTCCGATCCGGACACTACCCATTCAAGATTTAACCAGGACAGGAGTTTTCTGGGTTACTAATTATTATAATGTGTATATACATAAACAGAATAAAGGAAACATACCCTGTGCTGAAAGAAAGATGGGTCGAGGTACTTGTCAAATCTGTCTTCAAACTTCACGTCTGACCTTTTCCATTTCACCTAGAAAGAAATTAACACTTAGAAAGCTGACAATATTTGGTTATAGGTCTACTGAATTCCAGTTCAGCAAATCACCTATAGTTAGGAAAAAATAAAACAGGTTGTGAACTGGCAATCTGAGTTGCCACCTTTCTTCGTGACCCTACTCCTGTGCCTAACACGCAAGAGAACCTTTTCCTAGTAGGGAGACAGAGATAAAGAATCACTTGGTTTATTTCAGTCATTATTTTCTCCATGTCAACTGCTGCTGAAGGCACAGGGGAAGGGCCATCAAAAAAATAACGGCAAGCTGGCAACCATACAGGAAGAAGGCTGTTGAAGCAGAAGACCATGTGCCAGAGCACCGTTAATATGCAAGAGCCAAACTCAAGAAAAACTCTGCTTCTATACAACCCTTTAAAGCACAGAGGTGCTTTTCATTTTTTTTTAAATGATATTTATTAAAATTTCAAAAGAAAAAGATTACATTAATAAGAAAAATAACAATAAAGAAAGAAAAATACAAAGTACAAGAAAGAAAAAACAGTTAAAAACAATTCCATCTTTTCATCACTTCTCTTACGTTTACTTGTTTCCCGGACCTCCTCATACCTCCCTCTTTTGTATTCCAATTCAATTTGTTAATCCAGCAATTCCTTTCCCTCCTTTTTAATCCTGATCTTTAATCTTGATATATTATAACATTAAATTTTTACGTATTAAAAACCAATTTTTCCATATTCTTTTATACCAGTACAGCTAGAAACCACTTAACTTCAATCCAACATCATTCTAACATTCATTAATTTTGCAATATTTCTGTAAATAGTCTTTAAATTTCTTCCAATCTTCTTCCACCGACTCTTCTCCCTGGTCTCGGACAGAGGTGCTTTTCAGGGTCTGGACTTGGAAATCCTAAGCATGCAGAGAGGCCCAACATACAGCAATCCAGAGCATGAGGTGAGAGAGTAAGTTTTTGAAGATGACCTGCAGTTATATTCAACTGCCAGCTCTATTTTTATATATTGCTGGGAATAGGGTAGAACGTGACGAGCACACCAGTTAGCTCTCAACACAAGGCTAAAACGAAGAGATTAGCTCAGCTCGCTGAATGGCCTAGTCACCACTAATGTAAGAGTATAAATAATGTTACCCATGAATTTGAATTACTTACAGAGTAAGACATTTGGATTTTGGTGTTGGGAACTAGTTTAACTTTTCCTTCACTTGTCAGATTCACATCTACGATTCTATTTCCATTATAGCCTATTTCAAGTTTTTTGTACGTCCAGAGATAGTAATCTTCGCCATTTTCGTCAGCTTCACCAACAATACCTGCAAAGAGAGGGGAACGGATATAAGTAATATTATTAATCCATGCACCAAAGCAGGTTTTGTTTTGCAGCAGGCCTGCCATCTACAAGTGTAGCCCCCTGAGGGGAATAAAGATGGGCTTCAAGAGTTAGATACTTCCCTGCTGTTGCAGAGATAGAGAGAGCTGCAGCCTGCAGGCAAACTCTGCATTCCACACACACAAAACGATCCCATAGGAATCCAAATTCTGGGTAAGAAAGCTAAATTATACAACCTAAAACAAATGTGCGTAGTTTATTTTGCTTCCGCTAGTCATGGACAGGGACAAGGAGCAATATAGGCACTGACTCACTCTTCTGAGCACTGTTGATTCAATTCAGCTACACCTTCTCTGACTTCCCTTCCGAGATTTCACCAAATTTGCTGCCCATTAACTGATCAATTAAAAGTAAATTTGGATATAAACATTAAACCTGGAAGTTTAAAATCAACTTACAATGTAATAAAAAAGAGCTATCACCCACTGGGAAGGGATGGCTTCCATTTTAACAATCTCATTGCAGTACCCCAGTGGCCTTAAACAGATGCCTGCAAGTTTATCATTATAGATTAAAACTAAATTAACTAAATCTGTAGTAGATTAATCTATCAACCAGACAAATTAAAGCTTGCACCCCTACTCAAATCAACGGTCTTAAGAACATTACCATATCCTTGGAAAACTTGCACGGCTTAAAAAAACCCTTAAAAATTCATAGACCGCTGCACAGCACACAGCCATCAAAGTGTTGTACACAGTAAAAACAGAGTAAAACTCAGAAACCCAAACTTGAAGAACAATCGAATCAATTCAGCAAACTCTAAAACAACAAAATCATTTTATCAAATATAAAATTTCACCTCAGCTTTCCTAAAAAAAAATAAAATAAATAAAAAATTCAGTAGGTGCCTAAACACCATCAGCAGGGAACCAATTCCAGAAAGATGGAGCTGCCACACTGAAATCCCAGTTTCCAAGTGCACTTCTGGGGCATATGATAGTCTTAGCATGCAGTGCCCCATTTGAGGAGCACAGTTGCCAAGAGGGGATATTGGGGGTAAGGTGGTTCCTAAGATATCCTGGTCCCAAGTTATTTAGGGCTTCAAATGTTAAAAGCAAGACCCTGAAATGTGCCCAGTAACGTATTGGCTGGCTACCCCAGTCAACAAGCTGTTGCATTCTGCATCCCCTGCAGCTTCCAAGTTAAACCCAAGGGAACCCCATGTAGAGCATGTTGCAGTAATCCGGTCTCAAGGTTACCCATAAAACAGTAAAAAACTGTAATCATGTGTGTCACTCCAGCTGAGTAACACATACCCATTCCTTCCAGCATGACGCAGAGCAACAAACACAGAAGCAAGCCTTGTAACTTGTGCCAATTCCCACTGCCAGTTATTCAAGGTTCATGTGGAAGAGGCAATGCTTGATCAAATAGGGAAGAAAGTAGGATAAAGCAGGGCAGAAAGGCGTCAGATAAGATCAAGGGTATAATACTTATTTAAATGTTTTCTGGTTCTGCAGGCAAACATTTCTTACCCCATATTGGCAAGTCATCTATGTACATCTGATACCAATAATGATTTTTGATAGCATAAACAAATGCATCTCTTGTTTGCTTATCCAAGTCTATTTCGCAGTAAGTTGTCTGCATCACATCATCTGTGGAAATTATTTTAAAAAAATGCATTAGTAGTGCATTAACTGAAAGTTAATTGAGCCTTGGATATTACACTAAACACTATTTTATTAAAAAGATCAGTCACTCAAAGAAGATTTCCCCACTTTCAACCCCGCTGAGCTCCTTTATGCTGCACGTTTGCTAACCCTTACTGCTGAACTACAAATAAAACGAAATCCACCCAAAAGGCCCCAAAAGTCTATTGATGGGCATCAAATGCTCAAGGACTTAAGATCAACCCAAATCCAGCTTTTTGGCTTTGAGTATATACAGTTCTCAGTCCCTCAAAGCACACAGGCTGAATAGACCATCACTCCTGTCATGCTTTTCTCCAAACCAGTAACCAAACCACCAGATCAATCACACACACACACACACACACACACACACACACACACGACCCCCACAAAAAAGAGAATGTGTGTATACTGTACTTAGGAGATAGGATTCTGCCTGTGCAAATTTTCCAGCCATCCTTCATCATGGTTAATGGTAACCAAATTAAAACCCTGGTTTCAAATACAGTGGTACCTCTGGTTACGTACTTAATTCGTTACGGAGGTCCGTTCTTAACCTGAAACTGATCTTAACCTGAAGCACCACTTTAGCTAATGGGGCCTCCCGCTGCTGCTGCGCTGCCACGCAATTTCTGTTCTCATCCTGAAGCAAAGTTCTTAACCCGAGGTACTATTTCTGGGTTAGTGGAGTCTGTAACCTGAAGCGTACGTAACCCAAGGTACCACTGTACTGGTTAATAGCAATTCCCACTAAACCTTTTTTCTAATCTTAAGGTCAACACCAGCATTAACCTTTATGATGATGAAGACAGGTGTGGGAAAGGCCCATGGAAAGGAATAGGAGTGTGGCCTGCTTCTGAACCCTTAACAATAATTGTGAACAAAAGTAGTATCAATGATGGTGTTGGAGGGTTAACGAAGAAGTAACTGAACTGCATTAAACAAATTTCTGAACATAAAACAATATAATTCCAAGTGTGTGTTTAAGACTGGAACAGTCGTGTGCAAATTTAGAAAACATTAACAAAAGCAGTTTACCTTTAAATTTAATGTCCAGACCACTGAACTCCAATTCAACTCCTTGCAATGCTTCTCCGAGAGTTTCATGGTAGTGACCAATGCTTTTTTTGGATCCACCACAGAAAGGGAGAGAAAAGTATTTGTACGTTTCCTGGCGATTGTGGTATGGCCCTACTGTATTCATCCATAAAACAACTTCTTCTTTATCTTGGTACTGAAAAGAAAGCATATTGAAAATTAAAAGGATTATAAATAAATGTGTTATTTAGAACGGAGCAAATATTCACAGGAAAATCTGTGAAGAATGTGCAAAACACAGTGGGGAACATTTTTGCTTTCAAGGGCCACATTCCCGCAGAAGTAAACTGTTGAGGGCCAGCTGAGCTGGAGCTAATTATAGGCTCCCTTCTTGCCACTCACATGAAATTAGGCCAAGCTTATACAGCCTTACTTTAAAATTACCGTATTTTTCGTCCCATAGGATGCTCCATCCCATAGGACGCACCTAGTTTTTTTGGGGGGAAATAAAGGAAAATTTTTCCCCTTTATTTCCCCCCCAAAAACCAGGTCGGGGGACAGCGGGGTGGCAGCGCTGCGCCTCCCCGCTGTCCCCCGAGCTTGTGGGGCTGGCCGATGTCTGCCCGAAGCGCAGGGCGCTCTGCGGGGCGCCGTGCAGCAGGCTGCTATCCGCAGCCTAGGGAGCCCTGCGGGAACTCCCGCAGGGCTCCCCAGGCTGCGGATATCTGCCCGGCGCGAGGGGCGCTCTGCTTCAGGGCGCCCCGCGCGCCGGGCAGCAGGCTGCTATCCGCAGCCTAGGGAGCCCTGCGGGAGCTCCCGCAGGGCTCCCCATGCTGCGGGTGTCTGCCCGGCGCACGGGGCGCTTTGCTTCAGGGCGCTCTGTGCGCCGGGCGGCAGGCTGCTATCCGCAGCCTAGGGAGCCCTGCGGGAACTCCCGCGGGCTCCCCAGGCTTGCTGATAGCTTCCTGAAGCCTGGAGAGCGAGTGGGGTCGGTGCGCACCGACCCCTCTCGCTCTCCAAGCTTCAGCGAAAGCCTGTATTCGCCCCATAGGACGCACACAGATTTCCGCTTCATTTTTGGAGGGGGAAAAGTGCGTCCTATAGGGCGAAAAATACGGTAGGACTGCACTACATATTCAAATCACTTTCTATCTTGCATCCATCTTCTGCAGATAATAATAATAATAATAATAATTTATTATTTATACCCCGTCTATCTGGCTGGGTTTCCCCAGCCACTCTGGGAGGCTCCCAACAGAATTAAAAGCACAATAGAACATCAAACATTAAAAACGTCCCTAAACAGGGCTGCCTTCTAAAAGTCAGATAGTTGTTTATTTCCTTGACATCTGATGGGAGGGTGTTCTACAGGCCAGGCGCCACTACTGAGAAGGCCCTCTGTCTGGTTCCCTGTAACCTCACTTCTCACAGGGAGGGAACCGCCAGAGGGCCCTTGCCCAGGCTGAATGGTGAGGGTGGAGACGCTCCTTCAGGTATACTGAGCCGAGGCCGTTTAGGGCTTTAAAAGTCAGGACCAACGGCACCAGGTAGCAGACTGTTGGCTGAATTGTGTAAGTTTAGCAGGATAATGAAGTGTTTGTCATTTGTAATGTATGGGTGTTAAAATGTCCAAGAATCCCATCTTACTTTTGACGGCTGCTCACATTCAGCAGACAATAGTAAGGTCTGAGTTTTCTCAAAAAAAGGTACATTCTGCTTATCATCTCTTGACTTCCTTTGACAAACAATTATTGGTGGTTTGCCACCAAAACACACAGCTCCCTACTGGTGGCACAGCAGTTGCAGATCACAACACTAATAGAAGCTGGCCTCAGCTTTGCCAAGCACAGTGCCCTGGCAGTTGTCCATGCACCCTCACACAAGGCAAAGAAAATCTTGGAGCATAGGGCTACTGCAGTGTCAAAAAGCTTAGGCAGGGCTGCAGCAAGTGGATAGATAGTTAGGAGAAAAGCAACTGAACAGGGCACAGGGAAGTTTTTGCTACCTACCTCAAAGTGACCAAAGTGCACTAGGTTTCTACCTAATTTGGGCTGCTAAATGTAAAAAAAAAGTGCAGTTAAATATATTTTTTCCTAGTAAGTAGTATCTGTACTCCTTTTTAAATAAGAGTACACGGGTCAAGTAATCGTCAAGGAAGATGTTAAAGAGGCATGGGTTAGAAATCTAGCTGGAATATGGCATCTTAAGATGGGAACAAATGTCAAAGGCTTCAGAGGAGAGAAGCAATTAAAAGAAGCTAACAGGGTAAATAAGAATAAAGAGTCCTGTGGCACTTTTAAAAACGAACAAATTCATTGTGGCATAAGCTTTTGTGGACTACATTTCCCCCCCATCAGATGCATAAAATATTATCCCAAGTTACAGGTACATATACATTGCTTTTGGGGTGTATGTGTTATGAACAGTAAGGTCAGAGAGAAACCTTGTCTCTTAGTTGGTTCGTGCCAGGGTAACAACCAGTGGGCTGAGTTTGTTAATTGGCTTCACTAGAGGATCAAACTGTTTTAACTAGGAGCATTCTAAAATAAGTTGTTTATCATCATCATATTTATACCCTGGGGGACACGGGTGGCGCTGTGGGTTAAACCACAGAGCCTAGGACTTTCTGATCAGAAGGTTGGCGGTTCGAATCCCTGCGACGGGGTGAGCTCCCGTTGCTCGGTCCCTGCTCCTGCCAACCTAGCAGTTCGAAAGCATGTCAAAGTGCAAATAGATTAATAGGGCCTGCTCCAGCGGGAAGGTAAATGGCGTTTCCGTGCGCTGCTCTGGTTCGCCAGAAGCGGCTTAGTCATGCTGGCCACATGACCCAGAAGCTGTACGCTGGCTCCCTCGGCCAATAAAGCGAAATGAGCGCCGCAACCCCAGAGTCAGTCACGACTGGACCTAATGGTCAGGGGTCCCTTTACTTATACCCCACCTTTTTATCCTGACAGGGACTCAGTGTCTGTGTCGTTAATGAAAGCGCTCACATCTGTTTGTGTATTAAATTTCATTTAATAAATATATTAAATATATACATTGTGTATTTAATTATATATTTAATTAAATATATATTAATTGTGTATATTAAAAATATTAACCATATTGCAAAAACTTTAATTTATGATATGGTAATTTAATTCAGTGTATGGCCCATGGGTTCTGTGTCAAAATACTCATGTGGCCCACTTAAACTGAGAGGTTGGACCGCCCTGGTCTAAGACATAAGGAAGGTGGCTTCTAGTGAGGTGGGAGGACAATTCAGTGAAGACAACATCTCTGAGCCACAAAAATGAAAAGGACTTCTGGCATGTAGGTTTGCGAAGTTAATGAAATCTATTCGATACATAACTCAGAAGCTTTCTTTTTACCATGTTATTTCTCTTTCGGCGTATCTTATTTTTTAAACACTTGTTCCATGCCACCTATGCTAACCATGGGGAAAAGAGCTCAAAACATTGCAGATGTTTATATAAGGTATAAAACAGGATACAGTATCATCCACATGGACTCTGTGGCTTATCCTGCTGATACAAGCTACGCCGCGATGACCAGCTAGTCCCCTCTGTCCTGTAGGAAGCCCCCAATATAGTAATTTATATGAAATACAGATTTCATGATGTGTTATTTTTAAATGGGAGAAAAGACCAGTTTGGATTATTTCTGAGGCTTCCAATGGACACTTCTCTTGCCCTTCCCACTGTGCACTGACCGGCACAAAGATCCTGGCTTGTGCCAGTTCCTCATTTTGCCCAGAACAGGCAATTCTGGCTTAATGTCTGTTAACCAACCAAGAAATAAGCCTGATCCTGGCTTCTTTTCCCAATTTAACTATACAGTTGTACCTCTGCTTACGTATCCCTCTGAATACGTTAACTTTGGGTTGCGAACGCGGCAAACCCAGAAGTGTATACTTCCGGGTTTCGCTGTGTGCGTGTGCAGAAGCGCTCAATCACACCGCACACGTACACAGAAGGGCACCTCCAGTTACAAAGTTTTCAGGATGCAGCCAGGCCTCCGGAACGGATCCCATTCGTAACCGGAAGTACCAATGTATTAGGTCTGACAAAACACAGAACTCTTGGTTAATATACAAACCAAGATGTTTGCACTGAAACCAGTGTTTTCTTCTGTGTTTACCCATTCATCACACCCAAGAGGAGTTGTGGCTTGCTTCCAAGAAGCTGCACACTTTTTTATTCTATGGAAGTGAAATCAGCTACACAAAACCAAACTATGCCTTAGCAGAAATAAGCAGGTTCCCGAAAAAGCTTGCAGTCACTTTACTCCTCCACAGGCCCTTTTGTTGCTGCGCTGTGCTGCGGTTTGGCTTAGCGCACCATCCAAACCAGGGCTTCCGGTTCAGCGAGGTGAATCCAAGGTTTGTTCTTGGTTTATAGTTCATGGTTAGTCTGGGAGAGCTAAACAATTAACTCTGATTCAGACAACATGGTAAGGCAAATCTTGGCTTCACTTATTGCAGCACAGCTCCAGAAACAATGGCAGAAAGAAAATCAGCTACCAGCTACTCCATGGGAGCCCACACATTCATGTTACGCTAATGTTTGGCTTAGCATAACGTGCGAACCAGGACAGTCTGTGGTATAATACTGCCTAAAAATCAACACAAGAGCATTAAGAATACCATTGTTCCCCAAACTTTCAGTTATATCACACTGATAAGATAATCTGTTTTTCCAAGCATGGAATAGCTCCCACAAATTATATATCCTCATAGGATACCTAAAATGTTATTGAATATTCATCCCCAGTAGCCAATGTTTAACCAATGTTCATAGAGAAGCTTGATTCACAATTTAAAAAAATCAGCTTTCATCAGTATGACAAACAATTTAGGTTTTCCTATTTGTCTTAGACAACCCCTTGTTTCTATGTACATGTTACAAGCATTCCTGTCATTTATCAAAAACTGTTAACAGCTGCCCTACCTATAAAGTCAAGCATTCAATATTCTGCCAGGGAAAACTTTGTTGGTTTAGTAGCATTGTTATACCAGGGATTAAGGCATATGCTATGTGCCAGAACACACTCATCCCTCCTTGTCTTTAACAGAGAGTAGCCTTTGAACAGCACTACGTAGGCTAAGGCTGCAGTCCTAGCTCCACTGAATTCAATGTGACTTACCTCTGAGTAGGCATAGGACTGCAGCCTTAGTCTAAGATCTGGCCATTTAGAATAATAGAATCATAGAGTTGGAAGAGACCACAAGGGCCATCGAGTCCAACCCCCTGCCAAGCAGGAAACACCATCAGAGCACTCCTGACATATGGTTGTCAAGCCTCTGCGCACCAAGACTGTACAACTCTTTGTTGAAAAAAATCTGCTTGCTGCTATCACTGCTTCTGCTTGCCTTCCAATAAACCAGGATATCCCTGATAAAGGGTCTGGAAACCAATGGTTGTGGGAGTTGGGTATGTTTAGGGGAGACTGAGAGGAGCCATCTTCAAATATCTAAAGGACTGTCACATGAAAGATGGAACAAGCTTGTTTTCTCCCATTCTGAAGGGTAGGGCCTGAACCAATGGATTCAAGCTACTAGAAATGAAATTCTGACTAAACAGCAGGAAAAGCTTTCTGAGAGCAAGAGCAGTTCGACAGTGAAACACACTCCCTCAAAAGGTAGTCCTCTCCTTTATTAGAGGTTTTTAAGCAGAGGTTGGGTGGCCATCCATCATGGATAGGTTTCTTCAGAGTCCTGCATTGCAGATGAATGGACTAGATGACCCTCAGGGTCCTTTCCAATTCTACAATTCCTCTTCCAATAGTTTTCAACAGATATTGCTTTTAAAAAGGAATTCTGGTTGTTGGTCTGAAGACCAATGACCATCACCCACCTCCAGGAAGACTGCTTTGGCCCCATTCGCTATGGATGGAAAGGCTGCAGGATGTTTGCTTCCCCACTTGCTGCCAGAAAGAACCATTCAGCTCCACTTTAATGAAGGATAACAAACTCTGGAACCATCCACCAGTTAGAAAACCAAGGCCTGCCAGGTGATGTGTATGTGAGAGTTGTGCATTACAGTTGGTTGCTTGAAAGGGAGAGCACAAATCTTTAAAATAAATAAATATACTGTTCGTGGGGTTGTTTTTTGTTGTTGTTTTACAAATTTACTTTGTAAATATGTACTGCGGGTTTTTATGTTGCTTTAATTTTCTATTACACTTTGCCACTTTGAATATTCTTTTTATAGAAAGGCATAGAGGGGAAAAGAAAGCACACATGAACAGGAAGTCCCAGAATCAAACAATTCCATGGCTTTGCAGGTTCACCCGTAATGCTAAGCCAGCCTCTGGTTTCCTTCTTCCCCACCACAGCAAAGGGTTAGCAGGGGGAAGAGCGAACTGGAAACTTGAACAGTGTGCACCAGCACACTGCTTGCTTGTATGAGACCATAGATAAAAATAAACAATGGCTTAACTTTACACGCGAACCAGGTCAGTATTTTATGTGCTGCGCATTTCCTATGTGTTGTTATAGGCTACGCGCACCCCACAGCGCTGCAGGTCGGCCACGGCTTATGGCAGCATATCCAAGATTGCACATGCAAGTCCCTTGCTGAACTGCTCTCTAATGGGGCAATAACCTGCCACAGGAACGTAGGTATCCCCCACCACCTTTTGCCATGCTAGAAGCCAAGACACGCAGAGAGGCAAGCTGCTGCCTCTCCCAACCTTCACGTGAAGGGACGACTATCACTAGCGCATCCACGCCGCTGTTCTCAAAACTTGCCAAGCCCGTTATGCGATGTGAGACGAACGGTTTTTGGTTTTTTTTAAGCGGATGTGGCTGGCGTTTCCCCACCATCACCACACACCAAACTCTCGCAGCGCAACGTTCCCTCAAGGAAGCGAAAGGGGTGGCGATATCCAGCGAATCTCTCCTCCTCCAACGTGACACGGGGCTACAAAAGTCTGACTCGCAATCCTATGCTCGGTGAACGGGGCCAGACGGCGCAGGATGGAGCTGCGCGGCATCCTGAGCTCGGTCGGCCGCTTCGCCTCCCCCCTCCACTGCAGAAAAGGCGGCTCCTGACGAGGCCCCCTCACCCCCGCCCTGGGTCTTGAGTCCCAACAGGGCAAGAAGCCTTCCTCGCTCGGAGAGACGCGCGACGGGCCCTCACCGCCGCCAAGCGAAGCCCCACTGGGCCCTCTCCCTTCTCGCGGCCCTCAGGAGAGGCCTGGAGGAGGCAGAGGGGCCGCCCGAACCAGGCCCTCTTAGGCAGGGCGGGCAAGCGAGCGACTGACTGACGGCAGGGCGGAAGGAAGAGGGGAGGCCGCCCGACCCCGCCGCCTCAGGCCCTCCGCGGCGCGCCGCCTCACCGTGTGCTCGTGCTCGTCGGCGCGGCCCCGCAGCACCAGCAAGGCCGCCACGCACCACAGGAGCCCGGCCGGCGCCATCCCCGTCTCCACCAGCCGCCGCCGAAGAAAAGGAGGCGCCGCCGCTTCCGCCGTTCCCGCCACGTCATCCGGGCGCACACCGGAACAGCCGGCGCTTACGGCGGCCGGCGCCGCCCAAAAAGGCTCAGAAGGCGCAGGCAAAGGAGAGTGGGGGGGGGAGGCGTCGGCGGAGGGGCCAAGCACCACTCCGCGCGATCTTGTGACGCGGGGACGAGAGATGGAAGAGAGAATGCGGGAGGCGCCCGACGTGCGCCGGGTTTCCAATGAGTGGGCGGGGCGAGGCGAGCCGTCAATCCCGCATGCGGGGAGGAGCTGCATAGGAACGGCATGTTAAAGCCATGCGGGGGCCGCGGCTGCTGAACTAAGCGAGGACTTCCCTGAGTTTTTTATTCTTTGCGGGGGACCAATGCAGCACACATAGTCTGCGCCTAACGATTATTTATTAATTTTTGCATCCCGATTTATTATTATTATTATTATTACTTTCCTTGAGTCCCTGTCAAATAAAAAAGCGGGGTGTAAATAAGTACAATAATGAATATAAGAATCACAGACAGAAACAGAAACCGCTAAAAACGTAGAAGGGGGGAAAAAAGCAACCGATAAAGATCATAGGTTTGGAACAGGAGCGGGAAACCTGATTTTCAGAAATTGTAGTAAATTAATTTAATGTGGTTCGATTTGTAATACAGTGGTACCTCGGGTTACATACGCTTCAGGTTACAGACGCTTCAGGTTACAGACTCCGCTAACCCAGAAATAGTACCTCGGGTTAAGAACTTTGCTTCAGGATGAGAACAGAAATCGTGCGCCGGTGGCACAGCGGCAGCAGGAGGCCCCATTAGCTAAAGTGGTGCTTCAGGTTAAGAACAGTTTCAGGTTAAGTACGGACCTCGGGAATGAATTAAGTCCTTAACCTGAGGTACCACTGTAATTTGGAAAATTAATTAAAATAATTTGGGAAGAAAATAACAATTAAACACGGATAGAAAGAAAACTCTGTGCATGAGTGTATACATATATAAAAACAAGCCCCGTTGGGTAGAGCATGGTGCTGATAATGCCAAGGCTGCAGGTTCGATCCCCGTATTGGACAGCTGCGTATTCCTGCATTGCAAGGGGTTGGACTAGATGATCCTCAGGGCCCCTTCCAACTCTACAATTCTATGGAGATAGTGTGTGGAATGGCATAATAAGAGTTATGCCCATGGACCTTAATTCCCAATGTCTACACCTTGACCAGATACTCTGCACAGAGGCTGCATGCAAGAGAGAAGTGAGATGTCTACAGTTCCCTTACAGTTCTGCTGTCTGCTCTCCTCCAGACACTGGAGACCTGCTTGCCATAGCAGGTGAGGGAGCAGACCAGACCAGCACACTGCAGACACAGGGTCCAGGGGGAGCTCAGTTGCCCCTGCTCCCACTACAGCATGTCAGGCAGAGTAAAAGGTGCTGGCCCTAGACACCAGATGAAGAAAGCTTAGGAAAAACTTCCACACAGGGGCACCTCCAGGCAATACAGTACAGTATTGTGACCTTTTTCCAGGAGAATGCAAGCTCCCTTTTCCACTATGCACTGGAAGCAGTTACTGCAGTGTAGCTCTTGAAGCTACTAGCTCTGCCTCCTTACTGGAGCTAACATTGTATGGCTCTCCCTCCTGGCTTTACTCTTCACATTCCTGCGCTTCTGGGAAAACCCCAGTCAGCCACAGAACATTTCCTTGTTGACTCAACAGACACCACACTCACACTGCTGATCATTCTCCCTCCTCCCCCTTACATGACTATAGCAAGTCAATTCATCAGTGCCTGGAGCAGTAACATAGACAGTGAACACTGCGGGAAAGGCATGCAGAAGCAGAGAGGACAATCTTTACCCAAGTCATACCCAGGAATGACCACTGGGAGGAGTGCAGAGAGAAGAATTGCCGTGGTATATCTGTATCTGCATCAGCACAACCGGACGCCTCCACCTGCCCCACCTGCAACAAAACATGTCTCTCCTGTTTTGGTCTCTACAGCCACAGCAGGCGCTGTAATTCTCCCACAGTTTGACTTCACCTCCGAAGGCACACTCCTCCGTTGTCTCCTGAGACAGACGGGTGCCAAGAACGTACTCGGGGCAAGCCCGGCGAAATCAATGGACTTAATTGATTTAAATGGTTCTACATTGAGTATGATTGGATCTCACCCATAGACTTACCCTCACATACACCTTACTATAAAATATCCAGGATTTGCAAGATGGGAACTGGTGACGTAACATCCTGCCTGGGCATGTGTCTTTGCATAGTTCAGGCATAGGCAAACTCGTCCCTCCACATGTTTTTTGGGACTACAATTCCCATCATCCCTTACCACTGGTCCTGTTAGCTAGGGATCATGGGAGTTGTAGGCCAAAAACATCTGGAGGGCTGAGTATGCCTATGTCTGGCTTAGTTGCTACCTTTGTGAATGGGGAGTAAAGGTAGGGGAATGACTCACCCTCTTATTTCATAAAATTTATATACTGCTTGATTGTTTAAAAAAAGAAAGCCCTCAAAGTGGTTTTGTCCTCCACCTGGCCAGGGGGAGGGGACAACCTAAGCTTGCAGTTTTGGACTGAAGGTTGAACTACTCTCTGGAAGAATCCTGTGGTACTGGTGGCCCCTAGGAACCAAATGGAAAGTCAGCTGAGTGATTAGGTGAAATTATGGAAGGAAGGTTTAAAATTTACTGCATGCAATGCCCTAAAAGAAAATGTGATGAAAATGATGTATAGATGGTATATTACACCTGTCAAGTTAGCGAAAATGTATAAGGTCAGTAATAAATGTTGGAAATGTAAAGAAAAAGAGGGAACATTTTATCACATGTGGTGGGAATGTAAAAGGATGAAATGCTTCTGGGAGATGATATATAATGAGTTGTAAAAAATGTTGATATATACATTTATAAAGAAACCAGAAGCATTTCTATTGGGCATTATGGGGAGTGACATAAATAGAAAGGAATGTAAGCTCTTTTTATATGCAATAACAGCAGCAAGAATATTATTGGCCCAAAAATGGAAGCAAGAAGAGTTACCGACGATTGAAGAATGGAGGATGAAGTTAATGGACTATGCAGAATTAGATAAACTAACAGGAAGGATTCGAAACCGACGAGACCAGAAATTCACGGAAGACTGGAGTAAATTTACGGACTATTTGAAAAGTAATTGTGAAGAACAGACGACGTTTGTAGGGTTGCAAGAAGTTTTGTGAGGAGTATTATTAGAAGTATTGTAAAAATGGACAAGGGGGAGGATGATTTGTTAAGAGATGTAAAGGCAATATAAAGTTAAGAAATGCAAAAGAAGTGGTTAAAACGGTGGATCATCAGAGGTGCTGACGGAAGTCTAAAAAGATTGTATAAGTGATACGTTTTGTGGTACATTTTATAATTTATATGTTAAAATTAATAAAAAATATTATAAAAAAGGAACCGAATGGAAAGTCATATCTGCTGGACTGTTAATGTTGTGAGCTGTCTCTCTTATGCTCAACTTGTGTATATGTGCAAACAAAACATTATATTACAGAAGAACCATCAGTCTCCAATGACCCGCATTCCAAGGAAATAGAACCCTGGGTGAACACAGCACCCCTGAAACTTCACATTGCTCAGCACATGCCTAACAATACATTTGAAAACATACTGGTTTGTGCAAAAATATCTTAACCTGAAAAGGGCATTGCTTTTGTACCCTGGCTGGATACCAATGTCTCTCTTAGGATTCCAGGCATTGTATCCCCAACCTTAAACAGTAAATCCTCAAACCTTTTCAAGTCAGCTCCCCATCCAAAACTCACTTTCACCAACAACCACAACCACGCTAATGAGCGAACAGAGAGTAGGGAAAGGCAAATCAGTCCGTTTGATTTCTCTCAGTTTCTGATTTTCCCACTCATAAATTCAGTTAATCACATTTTCACATCAGTTTGCACTTTTAGAGCATTTTAGTGCAAATTTGTCCCATGAAACATACCTTTGTAATTTTGCCTTATACACATTTCTGCAAGGCCTTTTTCCTAAATATAATGCATGTTTGTATGCTTCTTTCACAAATATATGCAATTTTGTTTACATGACTTGGCTGGAGAACTGCCTTGCAAAATTCAGAGAATGCAAATTTTGAAGAATGGCTGTGTTTTGGTTTGCATATTGCTTTGTAAAGTAGTGTGAATTAGGTAGGTTTGTCTTTAATGCAAACAGAATCAAATTTCTCCTCCATCTCTAGTGGAGAGTAATGTTCACACACAATCATGTGTGAGATGAACTACTGCATGGGAGGATTTTCACAGGATGGGAGGAACTGGGCCAGTAACACAGAAATAGCAGGGCTGGCCCACCCATGAGGCAAAGTGAGGAGACTGCCTCAGGCAGCAGGATCCACAGGGCAGGAATGCATCGCCCTCTGGTGGTATGGTGGCACTGACAGCTGTGGTGCACTGCTTGATGGCCACATCTTCTGCCTTCTCAGCTTTCCTGCAACATGTCGCCTCTACAACAGCCTTTTGGCGAACAGGAGGCGCTGCTGCCTCCCACTCTTGTTCCCAATGTAGAAACCCACAGCGAAGCCTTCCCAGTGTTCCCTCCCTTGATCCTGATGTAGCTCTTCATTTAACCCTTCTTCCCCGGGGCGCCATTTTGTGGTTTGCCTCGGGTGCCAAAAAGTCTTAGGCTGGCCCTGAGGATGGGAATAGAGATGGAGTAGGCCATCTCTGGCTGTCTCCTAAAATCAAACCTAGAAGTTAAAATCAAACCTAGAAGTTACCAGCATGAGTTTGACTAAACTGCAGGAGGCAGTGGAAGACAGACGTGCCTGGCGTGCTCTGGTCCATGGGGTCACGAAGAGTCGGACACGACTAAACGACTAAACAACAACAACAACAACAGAAGTTAGAAGGAAGGACCTCTTCACAGTGTTCCTTTCTAGGCTCGCCTGGGATGATGGGGGCACACACTTTCTTTACAAAAGCACTGGGGGTCTTTAGCTAAGGCACATTAAGCACACACCACTCTAAGCAGCCATACTTCATTTCTTCTTCCATATGTATTTTCCTCCAGGAAATTTACTATGAGAGATATTCTGCACAGTGGTGTTTTTTGTTTTGTTAAACCTGATCTGAGGAGTTTGCTGCTGGAACAGACCCTGGAAAATAGTACAGTGGTGCCCCGCAAGACGAACGCCTCGCAAAACGAAAAACTCGCAAGACGAAAGGTTTTTTCGTTTTCGAGTTGCTTCGCAAGACGAATGTCCCTATGGGCTTGCTTCGCAAGACGAAAACGTCTTGCAAGTTTGTTTCCTTTTTCGTAAAACCGTTAAAACCCAGGGTGCATTGCTTGAAGAGGTGCAGTTGCGACTTGACCTCGAGGAGCAACACATTGCACGCGGTGTGGTGGCCTTTCTGAGCTTTTTAAAGAGTTTGCTGGATTTTTGAAGCTTTTCCAAAACTTCTTCTACAGCTGTTTGGTAAGTTGAACTTTTAAAACTTTTTTTGGGTTTTTGGGATTTTGGGTTGGGGTGTTTAGAATTCAAGGACTTGGTGTTGGGGAGAGGTTTGCAAGAATCTGGGAGCTTGTGTGGTTTTTTTCTGCATTTTTATGATTTTCTGTGACCATTGGGCCATGTTTATTTTTTTTTTTTTAAAAATCTGGCTTTGAAATTTTGAATTTCTGTGTGCTGGGTGGATGGGGGAACAGCTGGGGAGGTGTTTGCAAGAATCTGGGAGCTTGTGTGCTTTTTTTGAATTTTTATGATTTTTTGTGACCATTGGGCCATGTTGGTTTTTTTTTGAAAAAAGTTTCTGGGTTTTAAATTTCTGTGTGCTGGGTGGCTGGGGGAACAGGTGCGGAGGGGTTTGCTGGAATCTGGGAGCTGGTGTGGTTTTTTGAATTTTTATGATTTTTGTGACCATTGGGCCATGTTGTTTTTTTTGAAAAAGTTTCTGGGTTTTAAATTTCTGTGTGCTGGGTGGATGGGGAACCGCTGGGGAGGTGTTTGCAAGAATCTGGGAGCTTGTGTGCTTTTTTTTGAATTTTTATGATTTTTTGTGACCATTGGGCCATGTTGTTTTTTTTTGAAAAAAGTTTCTGGGTTTTAAATTTCTGTGTGCTGGGTGGCTGGGGGAACAGTTGAGGAGGGGTTTGCAACAGTTGGGGAGGGGTTTGCAACAGTTGGGGAGGGGCTGGGGGAACAGTTGAGGTTTTTGAAGACTTTGGTGATTTTTAAAGCTTTCCCAAAATTTTTTTTGCAGCCATTTGAGGATTTTGAAGACTTTGGTGATTTGCAGCCATTTCGTAAGTTAAACTATTAAAACTTTTTTTGGGGTTTTTGGATTTTGGGTTGGGTGTTTGGAATTCAAGGACTTGGTTGTGGGTTTGAATTGCTGATTTTTATTTTTTTTTTCTGAGTTTTACAAAGGTAACAGCTGTGCTGCCATGGGACCCAAGAAGACTGCTGCTGCTGCGGAGGCCGGCGAGAGGAAGAAGGAGAAGGTGACGCTGGAGATGAAGAAGGAGATCATCCGGAAGCACGACGGTGGAATGCGTGTGACGGACCTCGCCAGGGAGTACGGCAGGAACCCATCGACCATCGGGACCATCCTGAAGATGAGGGAGAAGATCCTTGCGACTGATGCAGCCAAGGGAGTCACCAGGATCGTGAAGAACCGCCCAGCTGTTCTGGAGGAGGTCGAGAAGTTGCTCCTCATCTGGATAGAAGAGAAGCAGCGTGCAGGGGACACAGTGACTGAGGCCGTGATTTGTGAGAAGGCCAAGGCCTTGCACGCAGACCTCATCCGGGAACAGCCAGGAACCTCGGCCGAGCCAGAAGTCTTCAAGGCAAGCAGAGGCTGGTTTGACCGGTTCAAGGCAAGATCCGGAATCCACAGCGTGGTCAGGCATGGAGAGGCTGCCAGTTCTGATGTTCCTGCGGCTGAAGACTTTGCCTTGGAGTTCCTGGAGGTTGTGAAGACGGAGGGCTACGTTCCACAGCAGGTCTTCAACTGCGACGAGACCGGGCTGTTTTGGAAGAGGATGCCCAAAAGGACTTTCATCACTCAGGAGGAGGCCAAGTTGCCTGGCCACAAGCCCATGAAGGACCGTCTGACCCTGCTCTTCTGTGCCAACGCAAGCGGCGACCTGAAGATCAAGCCCCTGCTGGTGTACCACTCGGAGAACCCACGGGCCTTCAAGAAACACAAGGTCGACAAGGAGCGGCTGAGTGTCATGTGGCGATCCAACAGCAAGGCTTGGGTCACACGTGTGCTGTTTGTGGACTGGGTCAATCTTGCCTTTGGCCCTGCTGTCAAACAGTACCTGCTGGACAATGACCTGCCGCTGAAGGCTTTGCTTCTGATGGACAATGCTCCTGCTCATCCTAAAGGCCTTGAGGTGGACTTGTTGGAGGAGTTCAGCTTCATCAACATCATGTTCCTGCCGCCTAACACCACGCCACTGCTCCAGCCGATGGATCAGCAGGTCATCGCCAATTTCAAGAAACTCTACACCAAGGAGCTTTTCAGGCGATGCTTCGAGGTGACTGATTGCACCACCATCACCCTGCGGGAATTCTGGAAGGACCACTTCGACATCGTCACCTGCTTGAAGATGATCACCACGGCCTGGAAGGATCAGCCAGAGGAATTTGAATTGCGCTTGGCGCAGCCTGTGGCCGGACTGTGTGGCACCAAGTGACTCTGATGCACCAGAGTCGACAGTGGTGCAGGACATTGTTGCCTTGGGGAGGACCTTGGGCCTGGAGGTCACAGAGGAGGACGTTTGCGAGCTGGTGGAGGAGCACGACGACGAGCTGACCACCCAGGAGCTGGTTGCACTGCAGTCAGAGGTTGCGCAGGAGCAGGCCTCGCTGGAAGAGGAGGAAGCAACTGAGGAACGGCTGTCCTCCAAAGAACTGAGGGACATTTGCCAGAAGTGGAATGAGGTGCAGGCTTTTGCAGAGCGGCACCACCCTGACAAGCACGTGGCACATGACCAAGCGAACATTTTTGATACGACGGTCATGTCGCCTCTCAGGGAGCTGCTGAAACGGCGGATGAAGCAGCAGACCATGGACAGGTTCCTCAGCAAGAAGCAAAGAGTGGAAGAGGAACCTTCTTCGAGTGGGCCCCCAGAGTCTTAGAAAATGTAATGTACCCTTTTTTGATTTTTAAATGTTTTTCCTGTCATGTTTAGAAACTTAATTTATTGTTCCTTCAGTTTTTGATATGCTCTTTAAAGTATGTGTGACTTTAAAGAGCAGTTAATAAACTCTTGTTGTACCGAATTTGGCTTTGATTGGACTTTTTTTGACCATAGGAACGCATTAATTGATTTTCAATGCATTCCTATGGGAATTCGTGCTTCGCAAGACGAAAAATTCGCTAGACGAAAAAACTCGCGGAACGAATTAATTTCGTCTTGCGAGGCACCACTGTATCAGCTGAGATGGTCAGGTCAAAGGGCTGGGAAAATAAAGATCTGACTGCTGCAAGATCTTAGTCTTCTCTCACTTCTGCAGATGTGTTGTGCCTTCCCAGGGGTTTCTACCCGACCGTTGAGAATGCACACCTTAAACCTTTTAACTCTGATCTGCTGTTTGCCTTTACAGGCTGCCTCTGAAAAAAAGAATTCAGACTCTGTAAAAAGAACTATGTTAAACATCTGTGCATAAACTTTATTGATATTCATAAATTATACAGAACCCAGGTTCCTTAACATCCACAGTTTGCTGGGTGGCTTTTGATAACATCACCACAGAATTAATACACACCAAGGCATGGACGAAGATTCCACAGAGGTCCTGTGTTCTAAGGCACAGGACTTAAAGTGCAAAACAATGCTCAATGTTTCCCTGTAATCTGAAAAAGCTACTTTAGGCACCAATTTATAGTCTGAAATATAAAATCACCATAAAACCGGTAATCTGCTTGGGCAGATTTCGAAGGAGTTACTCCATTGTGTACTGTGGTTGAGCTTCCACTGCACTGTGAGCGTGATTCATCAAAGCTTTACTTGAAGTACACCCATTGAAATTTATGAAAATCGCTGAGTTAGGTCCATTAATTACAGTGGGTCTACTCTAAGTAATACTTAGTTGAATACAGCCCTATGCCATCTCCAGTCTGCCTACCTGAAAGCGTCATTTGTTACCTCATTTGTAGATAAACAGAGAAAAAGGTCCACTTGTAGGTATTCCATTTTCACGTTGAGGGATTGCTACCTTTGATCTGGTGCTATTAAGAAGGATGAATCGCATAATCCTGAAGAAGCTCAGTGTGTACTTTCCTCTGCCGTAACCAGTTTGTTCTGAAAAGCCACGACTGCCAAGAGGACAGTCAAATTCTTGTTCTTTCCCCGACCCCCTCGGTTTGGTTTTTCAAAGAAACCTGTGCCAAAATTATTCATTTGACGGGGCGGAGTGAGGAGAAAACCTTTGCTGGATATTCAATATTATTAAAAGTCAACCTTAAGAATAAACACCATGCATTTTCGTATTCAGCATCCTGAAGATTTAGCGCGGCATTTCACGACCTCTCGGAGGCACAGGGGGAGGAGGACAGAAGTTGTCACTGCTAAAAGGCCTACAGAAAAACATTTGAAAAGCAGAGCATAAGAATAGCTTTGGAATATTACACGTGCTGAACTTCAAAGGCAAGGAAACAACAGAAGGTCTTTGCGGTTTTTATGTGAATCACCAATACAAAATTGAAACAGAAAAGCTATTATTAATATTCTTACTAATGATGTCAGTCTACATTTATTTATAAAAATATTTATATTCTATTAGTCATATAAACTATCAGACCAGCTTACAACTGTTTTACATAAAGCCATGCAATTAAAACCATATAAATGTTTGTTTTTAATTGCCAGAAAAAAGCTTGGCAACAGGGGCTTAAAGGTTAAAACAGAAGGAGGCTGGATCGGTTTCTTGTTGCTGTCAAATGAGTCTTGCCAACTTAGGAGACAACCAATGGCACTCTTGCAGATGATTTCAGTGATTCAGCTGGGATGTAAGGGGTTAGGCAGTCCCCAAGGACCTAAGTTGTTCAGGGCATTCTAAATTAATACAAGGACCTTGAACCTGGGTCCGTGTTATCTGGGTAGCCTGTTCAGATGTTTTAACCATGGTGTCACATGTTCTCAACCACAAGCTCTCATCAGGAGTCAGGCTGCTGCATCTTGTACCAGCTGGAGCTTCCAGCTGGACCTGCCCAAGGCAGGTCCACATATTGCTGTAATGCAGCCTCAAAGATACCAATGCACGGGCCACAGTGGTCAGGCTCTCTCTGTCCAAGAACAGATGAAGCTGGCTCACCAGACAGAGCTGGTAAAAGGCACTCTTACCTTCTGGGCCTCTAATAACAGAGATGAATCCAGGACCAGGAGTAACCCCAAGCTATACACTTTCCCCTTCAGAGGGAATGCGACCCCATTCACAATGGGTAACTTGCCAATCTCCCAGACATGGGAACTACACACCCAAAGAGCCTCTGTCTTCCCAGGATTCAGACAATTTATTGCTCCTCATCCAATCCACCACTACCTTCAGACACTGATCCTGAGCTTTCACCACCTCTCCCATTTCAGATGTTAAAGATAAATAGAGCTGTGTGTCATCAGTATACCGGTAATAATTTTATTATTTATACCCTGCCCATCTGGCTATTTAACATATAAATGTTAAGTAGTGCTAGGGAGAGGATAGTATCCTTTGAAACTACATAGTATATGACACTCTATAGAGTAACACAAGCAAAAGAAACAGGCCCCTGCCCTGAGGTGCTTACAGTGTTGACAGTGGGGGGGGGCAGAGAAAGGGGAAAGAATGAGGGAGGCAAAGCATGGAAATGATATGAACAAATCCACTTATGCATACATGCAACTTCATTTCAAATTCCGATAAAACTAAAGCACTAGGTCAAAAAGAAGTGGTTCAAATATAAAACTGGCTTTTACCTCATTGTGCAATTGGAATAAAAGTGAAAGAAATACTGAAGGAGATCACCTTACAGCAGCTATTTATGACTTCCAACTCTTTTTATATCTGCACGCTATTTATAATCAGCACGCTAAATATTTTTACTGACGATATGGAAATGGCAAAACAACTGGCTTCCACGAGCCTTTTACAAAAGTCGAATGGTTGCTTTATTTCCCCGAAGTTTTGATAGGCTCTAAATTGGCAAAAGAAAAAGCGGGGGGGGGCTGTGTTTTGTGTAAACATCCCTCCAATAGCTTCCTGTCTGCTCCTGGATCCAGCAGGACTTCATTGTCCTCCTTAACATCAAAAACCCCTATGACCTTGCACCACTTACTTCTCCACATGCCTTCCTGTGATCTTTGCTGTGATCTATACCACCTCAGACATCTGGTGGTTTCCTGCTCCTTGAAAGAAACTCTGCCCTTGCTGTCACTTACGCCTAGAACTCCCTCCCATAACACCTTTGTATGATTATCCCTCCTACTTCCTTCAAATCTTTCCTCAAAAACCATCTTTCCCGCAAAGCCTCTGGTAGGACCTCCTAGTTCCTATTCCTTACCATACCTCCGTCTGTATTAAGCCTAAGCAGCTGTAACTGGAACAAGATAATAATTGCATAGTCTCTTGTTTATATCTGCCACCATCGCATTTCATCTCCCCCCCCCCCCCCGTTTCTATTTTAGACTGTAAGCCCTTTGGGGCAGAGACCTGTCAAAACTGTTCTTGAGATAGTTGGCAGTAGAAAGGTAACAATCATGATGATATTAATAACAGCAACAACAACCTGCTAGCAACTCGAGGGGGTATCCTTGGAGGTCTTGCAGACGGTCTGTCTGGCGGCTGGGTCCCGGGGTTGAAATTTCTCTTTACTTCTGGTATTTCATTATCCTACATAAAGACGTGAAAGTAAGCTTTCCCCGCAGCATTTCCTTGGAAAATACACAGCCACATTTGTGTGTTTGTGTGTGTTTTCCCCCAAGCACAATTCAAAGTGTTGGTTCTGACCTAAAAGGCTTTGGCCCTGTATACCTGAAAGAGCGTCTCCACCCTCATCATTCAGCCAGACACTGAGATCCAGCTCCAAGGGCCTTCCAGCAGTTCCCACACTGCAAGAAGTGAGGTTACCAGGAACCAAGCAGAGGGCCTTCTCGGTAGTTGCACCTGCCCTGAGGAATGGCCTCCCATCAGACGCCAAGGAGATAAATAACTATCTGACTTTTAGAAGACATCTGAAGGCAGCCCTGTTTAGGGAAGTTTTAAATGTTTGATGTCTTACTGTGTTTTAATTTGTTGGAAGCAGCTCCAGAGTAGCTGGGGAAACCCAGTCAGATGGGTGGCATAATAATAATAATAATAATAATAATAATAATAATAATAATAATACACATACATGTTTGCATTGCCTAGGACTATGCTAGATCTGCCTTCAGGCCTTCTTCTATGAATGAATCAGTGTGCTACACAACACAGAACGCTGCCTTAAACCAAGTCAGACTACGGCTCTATAATTAAGTACTTTGGAACTACCTCGTCATCTAACTAGTTCATTGATTTTGAAGTTTTATATACTGCCTATGGATATGCAAAGCAATAGCACGGTAATCTAAAACAGAAGAAACGGGGGCAAGGGGAACCCTGTGGCCCTTAGTCCTCCGGTTGATGGCAAAGGCCAGAGTGGGTTTCTCTTCACCTTTGCAGCCCCAGAGCTCCTGGCATTAGGAACAGTGTATTATTTTAGGCAGGGTAGGGAGTATCACGGCCCCACACCCTGGTCCGTCTCATGTGGATCTGCTGGCACCAGATCCCATTTCCCATAATATTGTTCCTGGGAGACAAGAGTGCTATTCTGCCAAAGCGGTCTTTTTCTTTCTCAGTTCCCCTCAGCGAAACCTTCCAGTGTCACCACAGCATCAACAATCCCGGCTTGGTGCCTCAAATTAACTCTTCCCGCTACTCCTTTATCAAATTCTATGCCAGGGTTGGGGGACCTGTGGCCCTGCAGTACGGTTGTTGGGCTCCAACTCCTATCAGCCCCAGCCAGATTGCCCAATGGGCAAGGATGATGGGAGTTGTAGTCCCAACGCCTCATCACTGCTCTATGCGGCCTGTTTGCCATGTATTCTAAGCCCACAGTCAAGAGGCTACTGTTTGTACACTGAAACATGCATTTCTGTAGCTTTAGTGAGGGATCAGGCCAGAGCAGTTGTGCAAGTTTGTTAAGAGAGAAAATTTCCAGTGAGAAGTGTTACCTCGTTGTCTCCATCCATCCCACTGCTGGCGCTCAGTATACTTCGTGTACTGGATCGGTTGCTTGAGCTACCTGGTTAGATGAGGAAACAAGCCCAGCTAGAGGTTTTCAAGCATTTCATAAAGTGTCCACACATTCATGTTTTCTTGTGAGGAACCACCTTCCAATCCTTTCCCCTGGCCCTGAAACCACCATTCCGCTTATTCCTATAATTTCTGAATTAGGGAAGAGCTCTGTATGAAGTTATTTACTCTTACCTCTCGGTTTCTTTTTCATTTTGCGTCATGTGTCTGTTAGATTGTGAACCTTTAGGCAGGGACTGAATTATCTTTCAATATGTGTACAGTGCTTAGAGAATTGCATGTACTGAGAAACAGGCTTTATACATTTTATCTTACAGGTAAATGGATCGAAGAGGGAAGGTTTTTCCCACTCCCCTTGGAACAGAGTCAAGGAGGTGTGGAATTCTGCACCAGTAAATTAAATTATTGCTATTGGATGAAACTGCAGCATGATGAAACTCAAACTTTTGCCAATCAGCAAAAGGAAAACAAGGAAGTAAAACATGTTTTATGTTTGGTTATCTGAATCTGCAGTGTGTATAGCGAGGTTTGGGTACTAATTCCTCATGTTTGGATAAGTGAATTTTTGCACAGGAAACTTTCATAAAGTGTATAAACAGACTGAGCAGTAAGTTCAGTGAGGGTAATACAGAGCATTGGCTGAGAAAGCAACAACTGCTAAGTGCTCCATCCTTAATGACTAGAAATCCAAAGCATCCTCATCTCTCCCTAGATGGCTTCCTGGCTGTTTACTTACTAGTAGTACTTGAGGCGCTTTCTGTTTTCCAGTCCCCTCGCCTGATTTCTTTAATTGGTTGGTAGAGGTTTTTCCGAGGATGAGCTTCATAAATGCTACACTCTGGTTTCTTGGGGATGTTTTGAGAATGGCCAACAGGGACAGTGATTTCCAAATCTAGGAAGAAAAAGTCAGGAGTCAAGGCAAGGCAACTTATTATTACTATTAAGGTAAATGTAAAGGGACCCCTGACCATTAGGACCATTAGGACCGACTCTGGGGTTGCGGCGCTCATCTCGATTTATTGGCCGAGGGAGCCAGCGTACAGCTTCCGGGTCAGGTGGCCAGCGTGACTAAGATGCTTCTGGTGAACCAGAGCAGCGCACAGAAACGCCGTTTACCTTCCCGCCGGAGCAGCACCTATTTATCTACTTGCACTTTGAGGTGCTTTCGAACTGCTAGGTTGGCAGGAGCAGGGACCGAGCAACGGGAGCTCATTATTAAAACACATTTATTCAAAAATTACACTTCAGCTTTGTCCCTTTGGCAGTGGGCAAAACTTTTTCAAACTGGAAGTTATGCCTTGTTGCTCATCTAGTACCTTCCTTGGCATCCGCAGCTAAAATTCTGATTCTGCCCCAAACAAGGTAATTCCTCCTGCACTTTGGAAATCTGTGCATAGGGCTGCTTGGATTTTCCACTGATGTCTCTTCTCCGCCCTCACTGATGCTGTGCAAGTAAAGGATCCCTGGATGGTTAAGTCCAGTCAAAGGCAACTATGGGGTTGCGGCGCTCATCTTGCTTCAGGCCGAAGGAGCCAGCATTTCCAGGTCATGCGGCCAGCATGACTTAAACCGCTTCTGGCACAACAGAACACCGTGACGGAAGCCAGAGTGCACGGAAACGCCGTTTACCTTCCCACTGCAGTGGTACCTATTTATCTACTTGCACTGGAGTGCTTTTGAACTGCTAGGTTGGCAGAAGCTGGGACAAAGCAACGGGAGCTCACCCCGTTGCGAAGATTCAAACTATGGACCTTCTGATCAGCAAGCCCAAGAGGCTCAGTGGTTTAGACCACAGCGCCACCCACGTCCCCTTCAGTAATACAACAGGCAAAATTGGCATCTAGTAGGCACATCCCTGTAGTTACAATAGCCACCGCTGCACCAGTCCAAACCATACATTTTCCACCAGTGTCTTGCTATCATAAATGATGGCATTTGACGAGCTACAACGCCAGTGAAAAGAACATAATGTTAACCAGTTGCTATTTGGGCAGTCTTGGTATGCTTGTGCACATACAGCCTGAGATATTCCTGCCCTCTGTGTGTCAAATGACAGTAACCACAGAAGAAACGTTGTTTTGCCTCGAGTCTTTATCATACTCTTTTTATCCACAATCTTGTTTGCATCCCAGGACTTTCACAAAAATGTATACATCTACTTAGAATTTATGGGAGTTGTTTAGCCTTCTGAAATGTAAAGATTGTACTAAATTAACAAAAAATGAGTTATTGAGAGAACACCCATCTACCAGTGATGGTTTCAAGTTTGCTCCCACATTTGAGGCTCTTCAGATTGCTGGGGCCTGTTTTGTTTTTGCCTCAAAAGCCTCACAGTCAGATCAAAGTCAAAAGAGGTTAGAAAACCAACTGGAAAACCATTACAGCAGAGTGTACCATGGGCTAACTAAATAAATGCACAAGTGGAACTACTTCTGCTTTTGCATTGCGACTTCCCCCTGCCCTTGTGCATGCTCCATAATGTCCCCAAATCTGCTGTGGAGGGTTGGGAAAAACCCCTAAGAGATTTAGGCAGAGCACAGGGGGAGGAGAGGGGGGGAAAATGCCCTGCTGTGCAAGAGGAAGTTGTTCTGCTCATGCAAAGTAGTACTTAGCAAAATGTTGCGTACAACCCTTTAGCTCCACCACACTTGGCTACAGACCAGGAGTGGGAGACGTCCAACTGCTGCAGTTTTCAGCGTGGTCACCAATTAGTCAAGCCCTTTACCTGCATGTTTGCCAGCCTTTTGCTTCTCAATTTGCCGCCGAGTGATGCTGTCGCGTAATCTTTTCAGGTTTTCCTGGAAACGCAAAACGTTATTTTCAAGGATCTGAACAAACATGCACAACTATTCATAATGGTTTGCAAAACTGGAAAGATCTAACTGAATCCGAGGTAGATAATCCCATTTCTTCTACTAATACGTGGGCCTCACCGTGTAAGATTTTAGGAAAGAAATTCTAGTGATCATGAAGCAAGATTTAACTAATTATCAGCAATTCTCCATAGCTTCCAGTCCATGTTGTTCTGATCTTATAAAATGATCCCTGTCCGTGCACTTTTTTGTGAGTCCTCCTAGCTATGACTCCATAGGTGCTGAAGGTATTTCAGAAGGGAACGCAGGAAATACTTGTGTAGCTGATGAAGTTTGACCCGAAATCAATAGCAAAATGAGTTTTGCAGCAATTTGGTGTGGTTAACCAAGATTGTGTTACATACTCCAAACAGTCTCTCTTTCCAACCGTTTCTGATTATTAGCAAAGACTCCAGTATGGGCACAACATCTGGCTTCTCTCTTAGCCTGTAGCTACTTGCATATTTTTTAAAACAAGACCACCCATCAGTGTGGCTTCAAAGACAAGGCTACAGTACAGCTGGGTACTATGGGCTTGTTTGTACAAGGGAGATGTTTGGGATGGTTAGGGATGGTGACATTTTCAAGGGCTTGAAATGCAGGCTCCCTCCTCGCAGATTAGTTAGCTCTAATGCAAGTTGGACAATGTTCTCTTTGAGCTTGCCGTGAGTTTAATTGGGGCTCCTGCCCCAAATACCACATTTGCAAATGGAGCAGCAGAGCAGAAGCCCTCAGCTGTGAAGAGCTGTCATCCATTTGACAGGGGAGAGACAGGGAGGGGAAATCTACTAACTGGACTCTGCCAGGATTCCTTGCAAATCCCCTCAGGTTCTTGTGAGGAAAGCTTGCAAAACTCAAGATCGTTTCTGAGGTAGAGAGGCTCCGTCCATCCCTAGAGATTGTCCTCATTGTCCTTTTTGTTAAAGACACATTTGGGACTACTAGCTTCCAGCTCCTACAATCTGAAACCACAGCCCACTTGGCTCTGCATTCTGAATTCCACTATGCCAACTTATGGAAAGGCACAGAAAACAGCAGCTTTTTACCTTTCCCAGCAATGACAACAGGAAGACAAAGAAAGAATTATGTGTGGTATGTGGTAGGGTAGACTCAGTAATGCTGTTGCTTTTTATATTTCCCAGTGAAAAGCACTTTTTGGCTTACACACCTGCTGAAAGCGAAATGATTCCGACCGCTTTTTCTGATTCAACTGCCACTCCTTGAAACAAAGGACAGCTTCATCTACAGTGAGCATCCCCAGTTTCACTTGCTCCTGTAAAGTGATGAGTTGCCTTTGGCCTGGGGTTTTCATCCCAGCAAACGGGTCATATATACTGGTTTGTGGCTGAGCCTTTGGATCTCTGTCTGCTTGCTCTGGAATGGAAACAAAGGAAACGCTTGGAAAATATCATCAGAACCCCTGTTAGAATAAACAAGTTCCGTTTTAAATACTGAAATACTAAATAAGGTGGGTAACAATGTGTAATAGAAAAAGAAGCATGAAATTAGGTTAAAGGTGTGTGAAAGAAAGTAATAGAAATGGAAAGAAATTGCAACTGAGTAGATTGGAAGTCTAACACAAAGGTGGGGTGAGGAGTGGTGGATGGTGATGGGAAAAGGAATTATCTGTGGGACTGAGTGTAGTTATGTTTGAATATTTTTAAGGATTGTATGAAATGTATGTTTGTATGCTTGTATATTCGCAATATGTGTGTATTAATGCTGAATTATAAAACTTATAAAACAATGAAACTTATAAAACAATAAAAACTTTTCAAAAAAAGGAAAATGTCATTTTTTAAAAAAGCAAAACACTGCTAGATGTGTCATGTGGTTCAGTTCAGGGACGGTGTTTGAAAAGGGCTGAGGGGCTGCTGGCTCTGCAGGCAAGGGGTGACATAACTGGGCCTGTGAGGCTCGGGGTGTGTTCCCCCACAGGGGAGCCGCACAAAGAATGTTGTTGGTCAAGTGAGCCGTGGACTCAAAAAGGTTGAAAACTTCTGCTTCCAAAAGTATATTTTAAGGGAACACCCTAGAGCACATCATTGCTGTAATGAGTATGGGTTGCTCATGCGTAAGTTGCCGCCTCTCCTGGCTATGTTGCCTTGTTAAACCTTTCTGTCCGGACAGCCCTTCACTTCGTGGCTGCCTCAGTCGCTAGCAGAATCCGTCAGTGGGCATTTCTTAAACCTTTTCCAACATAAAAGTTGTTTGACGCCAAGTCTCCTCCTACTCTCCCTGCGCGGAAGTCTTCTACACAGGGAGGGCGTGGGGAGCGGAGGACCCGTGCTCTCCCCGCTGGTCTCCGGTGAAGAGTCCTGGAGCCCTCTCGCCGATTCCCCCATCTGCCCCCCTTTATCCCTGGTGTTGCGCTGATTTGCTTCCCCATCTGCTGAGCTGCCTCTCTCCCTGCTGGGCCCTTCTCCAGCATCATTTGAGAGCCTTCCCTCCGCCTCTAGCTCCGATGTCAGTTCCCTGACAATTGCTTTTCTAATCCAAATGCTTTTGCTACTGCCAGCCCACTCACTTCTCTTACTTATTCCACTACAGCAATTTGCACAGCTCATCTACACTTAATATGGTAAATGATATTAACCATGAATGGAAATCATACCCAAGAATTAGCCTGTCAGGCAATGGGAAGAGTCGCTATAACTCCAACTTACCTTTCCTAATATTGCCTGTAGACACGTAGAGGTTCCCAGGTTTCTCCTGGTGCTTTCCTGCAAAAACTAAACAGTGACAAGCTATTTAAGGCATGAGACAATTCGGCAGATCCAGACCAAACTTCAGTCAATGCAACTATTAGGAGAAATCCCATTCTAAGCAAAAACAACAACGAACAAACCCGAAACTCTTGAGTTAGCTGATCTGTAGATCAGTGTGGGAATCAGCCAGCCAACTTCCATTGGTCTATAGACAACACAGTAAGACAGATGCTATGCTCATCAACGTTGCCATGTGTTGCCAACACTGACTTAATAAAGAATACTATTGCAGTCTATGAAAATCTGAATGACAGAACATACTGAAGACTGCTATGTTTAAAGGAAAAGGAATGGGATGGGATGTTCCAGCATTGTGATTTGCAATTTGAAAATTCTAGAAGCTGATTTAAAAATAATAATCAAAGGTTTCACATGAAATAAGGCCATATTAGAAAGAAACATAATTCCTGCCATTGCTGCTTTATTCCCATTTTAGGGTGGCGTCCAAACGCTGCTATGGTGGCATCTTGCATTTCTATGGGGAGTTCTGATTTCTGCCCAGGGAACATTTCAAAATTTAATTTGTGTTTGATTTTCATTTACTTTTTAGAATTAAAAATAATAATCTGTAAAACAGGATTTACATATTCTGAATAACTGAATGAATGGCTTCTCCAATGAGAACACAGAAATCACCTAGCGAGGCAATGAGAAGATGGTTCTAGAGTAGGGTTGCCATATTTCAAGAGGCGAAAATCCAGACACAAAAAGTTTTTGAGCATTCTTTTTAGGGCAATCGTCCGATAGCCCCTCCTCCACCGCCACCAAGCCTGAACCAGAAACACCTGCACACAATTTGTTTTATATAACCCCCCCCCCAATCCAGGACATTTGCTTTAGATTGCAAAATTCCCTCCGGATGGGCATGTAGGACCCCCAAAAGAGCATGTACGGGAATTGCTGAAATATTCTAGAGGAGAGCCTAGATCAGCACTTCAAATGCTGTTTCTGCTGTTCAAACACTACTTCTACTGGCTCTGGCAAATCTCACAAGACAAGATCTGGAAATCTCAAACAGATAAAAAGGAACTAGGTTCGCACAACCAGGTTCGCCTCATTTTTTTTCAATCCGCAAGAATGGGCATGTTGCAGACTGGGTCACCCTCTCAGGCCCCAGCAAAGTGTCCTCATTCCTCTCACGCTTGGTCCCTGACACAAGGAGGTTCTGGATCATATAAACAGGTTTGTTCTCTCCACGAGTTCCTCCCAGGAATGAACCTAACTGTGGCCTTGAACGTTCCTGGAGGCGGTCGTATGTTGGCTGTTAGTTGCCTGGACAGGCCGAAATAATGGGAGCTCACTTCTGTTTCCCTTTTATTTTCATTCCTTTGGTATTTGGCAAATATGTTGTTGGGACCCGGAAGACTAGACAAAACCTCTTTTAAAAAATGAGAAGCATAATTCTTTGAACTCAACTATAAGCATACAAGCTGTGAGTTTTCCTATCCTAGGCTGTATAAAAGGTAAAGGTAAAGGTACCCCTGACCATTAGGTCCAGTCGCAGACAACTCTGGGGTTGCGGTGCTCATCTCGCTCTATAGGCCGAGGGAGCCGGCGTTTGTCCGCAGACAGCTTCCGGGTCATGTGGCCAGCATGACTAAGCTGCTTCTGGTGAACCAGAGCAGTGCACGGAAACACCGTTTACCTTCCCGCCAGCACTTTGATGTGCTTTCCAACTGCTAGGTGGCAGGAGCTGGGACCGAGCAACGGGAGCTCAGTCCGTCGTGGGGATTCGATCCGCTGGCCTTCTGATCAGCAAGCCCTAGGCTCTGTGGTTTAGACCACAGCGCCACCTCTGTCCCTTCCTAGGCTGTACAGCCTACAGCAAAGATGGAGAATCTGTGGTCCTCTTGACGTTGCTCTGCAACTCCCATCATGGATGACCACTGACTTGGGATGATGGGAGCTGACGTCCAACAACATATGGGGGACCAGAGGTCCCTCATTCCCTCGCTACAGGCTTTTGCAAAACAATGTTGAGATAATTCTGCTTCCTCAGTCACCTTTATAGATGTATGATTCTTTGTCCTGTGGTTTAGTGGAGGGATCAGGTCTCGGAACAGGGACAGGTGGCCTATTGACCAATTCCTGAGGAAAACTGTCCTGTTCCACCGTGTGATAGAGTTCTTCATCTTCACAATCATGGTATATATCCTCTTTCGGTTCTGGTACATCCATGCTCACACCTAGAAAACAAACTCATAATTAGAAAGGGGGAAACTCATGCAGAGTGAAGCAACTGTGTGCATTTAAGTTTTACATAACTTGTAGAGTGTGGGGTGGAGAGAGCTTTTATATATCTTATGTTAGTCTGAATATTCTTGTTTTGTTGGCTATAGAGTCATTGAGGGAATCTCTAATATTGGACCCGCTGTATTTGAACATATTTACCCCTGCACCACTCTGAACAAAAGCCAAGGATTGCCTTAGCGTGTCATTTGAACCCAGGTTCGTGGGTAAGCTGTCTCTACGCGGATGATGAGCTTTGACGAAGAACAAGCCTTGGCTACAGCTTGCAGTTAGCGATAAGATTTGTTGTTGTTAATAAAATTTGTATATCCTCCTTCATCTGAAGATCCCAGGGCGGTTCACAACATAAAAATACAAAATATGAATACAAAATACATAATAAAATGAAAACAAAACAAAACAATAACCCCCTCCCACAAACATATTTAAAAGGCCATAGAATGCTAATCAGCAAAAGGCCTGGTTGAAGAGAATTGTTCTCGCCTGGCACCTAAAGACATGCAGAAGAAGAAGAAGAGTTTGGATTTGATATCCCGCTTTATCACTACCCTAAGGAGTCTCAAAGCGGCTAACATCCTCCTTTCCCCTCCTCCCCCACAACAAACACTCTGTGAGGTGAGTGGGGCTGAGAGACTTCAAAGAAGTGTGACTGGCCCAAGGTCACCCAGCAGCTGCATGTGGAGGAGCGGGGAAACGAACCCGGTTCACCAGATTACGAGACTACCGCTCTTAACCACTACACCAGCCTTCCTGGGGAGAGCCTTCCACAAACTGGGAGCTACTGCAGAAAAGGCTCTCTCTCATATTGCTATCCTCCAGATCTCTTCATATGGGGATCTTAACTTTGAGCCTTCCTCTCTGCATATGCTCACCTTCTAAGAACTTGCGCATCATATAGGCCTTTGTTGTCCGTGCAGAGGAGCTGCTAGTCTCCGACTGAAGCATTTCTACGTCTGAAAACAACAACGGACAAACATAATCCACTGGGTTCTTTGAAAAGCTTCTCTTGTCAGCATCTAAGAACAACTGAGACATGACTTCCATTGACAGTTGCTGAAAGGGGAAAGCTGCTCAAAAGGCTCCACGGCACTGCAATTTAAGGCTGAAATGGGTGAAACTGACTCCACCACCACCCATGTGAACGAACCCACTTGCATGGGGAGTTCCTGTAGTGGCACCGTAGCTCTTGCTTTTGTTTTGGATGGGGTAGTACTTCCATTTGGGGAAAAGCCAGGTTTGCAGTATGAGGGTTTTCCTGCATTCAGTGTTGCATCAGGATGCTGTGATAGTGGCTGTGCACAGCTTAGGCTGCTGAGCTGTGCATATTGCTGAAAAGTCAGGTCTGGCTATGATAGCACATGCCCTAGTGACACCCAGATCCAGATTGGATTATTATTGCAATGTGCTCTGCATGGGGCTACTTGTGAAGAGTCTTTTGACACTCCCATTGGTCCAGGATGTGGTAGCAAGAGTCTTAGTCAGCACTGTCCACTCTCGAGGGATATAAATTTAATTAATATAGGCCTAGGACCCTCGTACCTACGGGACCGCCTCTCCTGGTATGCCCCACGGAGAGCCTCAAGGTCCATAAATAGCAACACCCTAGTGGTCCCGGGCCCTAAGGAAGTTAGATTAGCTTCAACCAGAGCCAGGGCCTTTTCAACACTGGCTCCGGCCTGGTGGAACGCTCTGCCTCATGAGACCAGGGCCCTGCGGGATCTGATTTCTTTCTGCAGGGCCTGTAAGACAGAGTTGTTCTGCCTGGCCTTTGGCTTGGAGCCAATTTGATTCCCTCCCCCTCTTTCTTCTTTCTTTTTCCTTTCTCCTCCTGTGATGAGGCTGCATTTTAATATTTTAATGTTGAATTTTAATTTTGTTTTTAAGTTGTATTCATTCAACTTGTTTTTATTATTGCTTATAGCCGCCCTGAGCCCGGCCTTGGCTGGGGAGGACGGGGTATAAATTATTATTATTATTATTATTATTATTATTATTATTATTATTAAATAGGTAAAAAAATTGCCCATGGGACCACCATATTACACTCATCATTGCAACAGCTGCATTGATTACCAGTCTGTTTCCAAGCACAGTTAAAAGTGTCGGTGATAACCTCTGAAGCCCTAAATGGCCTGGGTCCAGGGTATTTCACCCTGTTTCAGCTTGCCCATTCCCTAAGAGCTGGCAGAAAAAGCCCTTCTCTGTGTCCCACCAAGGATGGAGGTGCAGTTGGCTGGGATGATAGGAAGGACTTCCTTGATGGCTGCACCCAGACTGTAGAAAACCTTGCCCTGCTAGATTTATCTGGCCCACTCCCTTGCCATTTCTGGTGAAAATGTGCTGAGCCTGTCTTGATATTGCTGTTTTATCCTGGAATGTAGTACTTTGACTGCTGCAAGCCACTCTGAGTAATGCAAATAAATAAATAATCCAATGGTAAGGTGAGTCATTTCCTCATACCTACCAAACAAATTCATCCAGAGGCCACGATCTGAAAATTCTTTGTTCTAATTTCCAATGTTGTGTGCATTTGGACTTGAAACAAGGTTAGAACATTCTGTGTTTCAGCTCCTCTGCGTGATACCTGCCATGTTAGGTACAGCCAGACCCAGTTTATTTACTGATCTTTGCAATGCACTTCCTTTCAATCTGAGTAATTTACCAGTCCAAGAGAAGCTGTTAATTGACACTGGCTTTGTTCAGATCTTTTTTGTTTCTTTGCTTTTTTGGATAATGCTTTCAAGGTATTTTTCATGGTACAGAAGATACATTTTGAGAAAACAATTGTTACAACAGTAAACAACTATTAACTTGTTCTGATAAAATGCTTTGTCTAGATCTTGATCAGGCACAGAGCTAGGAGGAAGGAGACGTTTTATTCTACTTACAGCAATACATGGTGGCAGCCATGACAGACTCTTTAGTCTGCCCTTTAATATCTTAATTTAGCTTAATGGATAAGGAGTCCAAGTTCGATTTAAAAGAGGAAGACTATACATACACAAGTCCTCTGTAGTAGCACCAGGAACCAAGCCAGCCATGGATTCGTAGAGCTCCTCATCACAGCCAGGGTTCAGAGAGCATTTCATCAGCAGGTCACTGGAAAGGTGAGCCATGGACTCATAAACAGAATCATCTTCCTCACCCTGCATCAGCTGTTCCTTTATGTGGCTTTTCAGCAAGTCTGCTGTCTCCTAGAAGGTGAAGAAAGAAAATCAACAGACCCACAGAGGCAGTGGTGGTGGTGGTGAATGCCATTGAATCAATCTAAGAGCATGCCCATGTAATCAATCCGAAACATGACCCCTCCTACTACACCTGAGTCTTTATATGCAGTGGAGCGTTCATGGCAGGGCAGAACTTTGGGGTGGAAGCCAGCAGAATGAGCAGAAAGACCACCATACAGGGGAGCAGTCTAATCTTACTGCATTTTGTTCACTAGCTGACGCCAACAACATTTCGCTAACTCTTTTAAACGTTTAAAGGCAGAGCCCCTACACAACCATAAGCTAGCCACTTTTTGAAACACATACAAGCAAATTTACCCCTTTCCTTTGCAGTCACGCACCTCTAAACTTCATGAAACAGCAGGGTGGTGTTAAATCATTATTTTATTGCATTTAGCTTTCTGCACTTTCCACCCTCTAGGGTTGGTGTGCACATTTGCCCCGATTCCATAAAAACTGCAACCCCTCCCCAGAGGATAGCTCTTTTCCCCACATTAGGTTCCTCACTGCCCATTATATGTGGAAAAGGAAAGTGATGTCACAAGTGATGCTAAATCAGGAACTATCATGTCTATGCAGAGAATGACATTCAGAGAAGAGGGTGGATCTCATGCAAAGGCCTAAGCCATACATTAAATCTTTAAAGCATTCCTGTCTCCCAGAAAATTCCAGAAAAGCAGAGCAAAAAGGTGCCGTTACCTTTCACCTCTGCCACTGATCCACAGACACACCAACCTGCCTGTCTCCCAAATCCACACTGCTTCTGCGGTGCTTTTTCTATCTACTTGAAGATCTGTTCAACTTTGTTCACAGGTGTTATTTTTCCTCCTACAAACACTGAAGTATGCCAATATCGCCAGGCCTTAATTTCACAAGTATCACCTACCCTATCAATTACTCTAGATCAGGCATAGGCAAACTCGGCCCTCCAGATGTTTTGGGACTACAACTCCCATCACCCCTAGCTGTAATAATTATAGGGGTTGCTCGTGCGTAAGTTGCTGCCACTCCTGGCTAGGTTGCCTGGTTAAACCTTTTCTGTCTGGACAGCCCTTCACTTCGTGGCTGTTCAGTCGCTAGCAGAATCCGTCAGTGGGCGTTTCTTAAACCTTTCCAGCATAAAAGCTGTTTGACCCCAAGTCTCCTCCTACTCTCCCTGCGCGGAAGTCTTCTGCGCAGGGAGGTGTGGGTAGCGGAGGACCCGTGCTCTCCCGCTGGTCTCCGGCGAGGAGTCCTGGAGCCCTCGCCGATTCCCCCATCTGCCCCCCTTTATCCCTGGTGTTATGCTGATTTCCTTCCCCAGCTGATGAGCTGCCTCTCTCCCTGCTGGGCCCTTCTCCAGCATCGCTTGGGAGCCTTGCCTCCGCCTCTGGCTCCGATGTCAGTTCCCTGACACTAGCTAACAGGACCAGTGATAAGGGATGATGGGAGTTGTAGTCCCAAAACATCTGGAGGGCCGAGTTTGCCTATGCCTGCTCTAGATTCTAGAGCAGTGTTTCCCACACTTGGGTCTCCAGCTGCTTTTGGACTACAATTCCCATCATCCCTGACCACTGGTGTTGCTAGCTAGAGATGATGGGAGTTGTAGCCCAAAAAAACAGCTCAGGACCCAGTTTGGGTAACACTGTTCTAGAGTAATTCGTAGAAGGGGGTGTTGGGAGTTTTCTCATTCAGGTTATTATTTTGCTGTCAGAAAAGAATCATACATGTGAGCTAGAGAACTTTAAGTAAAATGCATCTTCAGCTTCTGGAGAATTGAGGAAGGGGACACACATTCAAATACTAGTATCACTTTCTGAAGGAATAAAACTGCAGCAATTGAATTCTTGCCCCTGCAGTGCAGTTTCTATGTGAGACACCACCCTCAGCAGTGTGAAGATTCAGGAGTCCCCGTACTGATGTACCCCCTTTCCACCATCCTGACAACAGGGAATGGAAGGGCGACAGCCCCTCTTACCACATATTCATCAATGAACTGGCGCAGATCTTTGAAGCCCTCATTCTCTGCAATGTTGTTGGGATAGTGACCATATTTGTTGGCAACACTGTAAGCCTGTAGGGCTCCTGGGCATGAAAGCAAGAGGGCAGTGAGGTTCTTCAGACCGTATTTAGCAGAAAAGTGCAGCAGAGTTGGCAGCTCTTCATCCCTCTGGCCTGAAAAGAAAGAAGAAAACAGGCATGCAAGACGAGTTACTTTTTTTAGTTTTACTCACGGATGATAAATTCAGCAGTTCTCAGTCGTTATGCTGTCTCGGAGCTAGTGTCGTGCCCAAACCTCCGATTTCTCAGAAGTTTCCTTCCCAGGTGAAAGAAGCTTTTATTTTTTCTACCCTAATTGCAAGGTGCATTAGAACCTTGGACCTTTTGGACCAGCAGCCCAGATCATGATATACAGTCACCCCATGGGCCAACTTTCACAGGTGAGTGGGGCACCCACCTGTTCATCATCTAACATCAAGGTGACATCAGGTGATTGACAGGAGGGTGGTCCTGTTCACCTCAGCTGACCTGTAGGAGTGGAGGTGGGGATCTGCCTCCTCACTGGCTGCTCTCAGACTTTGGAACTCCCTCCATAGAGAAATAAGATTGGTTCCCTCCTTGTTGCCCCTCCACCCTAGTGAAAGCTTTCTACAGTGGTACCTCGGGTTACATACGCTTCAGGTTACATACGCTTCAGGTTACACACTCTGCTAACCCAGAAATAGTGCTTCAGGTTAAGAACTTTGCTTCAGGATGAGAAAAGAAATCGTGCTCCGGTAGCGCGGCGGCAGCAGGAGGCCCCATTAGCTAAAGTGGTGCTTCAGGTTAAGAACAGTTTCAGGTTAAGAATGGACCTCCGGAACGAATTAAGTACTTAACCCAAGGTACCACTGTAGTTCCAACAGGCCTTTGGGAACTGACTGTTTTTAAGGAAAGAGTTGGTGCTATGATATTTTTATTGAAATGGAGTGTGGGTGTAAACAGTTGCACCTTGGTTCTCGAACACCTTGTGACTCAAACGTTATGGCTCCTAAATGCCACAAACCCGGAAGTGAGTGTTCCAGTTTGTGGACGTTTTTTGGAAGCTGAACTTCCGACGCGGCTTCTGTGGCTTCCAACGGAGTGCAAGAAGCTCCTGCAGCCAATCAGAAGCCGTGCCTTGGTTTTAGAATGTTTTCAGAAGTTGAACGGGCTTCCGGAATGGATTACGTTCGAGAACCAAGATACGACTCTATACTATTAGTGTTTAATTGTTTTTTCATGATTGCTTTCTTTTCTCTGTTTTTAGCTCTTTTTATTTTAGTTGCAAGCTGATCTAAGTTCACGTCAGGTGTAAAGGCAGGATTTAAATAAATATAATAAAACAACAACAACATCCAGAACATTCCCTGCAGAGAAGGCACTGATGAGCAGGATTTAAAACACACCCAGCAGCTTATGAGCTAGGGGGCTAAATTCTGATGTTTTACTCTTCCGGAGCACACCTGTCTCTAGAAGCAGATGTGTTACTCTCAAATGTTTGTGTTGAGCTGAGAACAAGACAGCTTGACCAAACCCTCTATCCTATACTACCTTGTATTGTGTGGGATGGTCAAACACGTCAAACTGGCATTTATTCCTTCTATTAAAGGGAAGTTCTCTTTCTGCACATAACTGCGGCATTATGGGAAGTCTTGCTATGGGAACTATTGCTTCTTTTCTCTTGCATTCTGGGAAGTCTTGCTTATAATATTTTCTCTGCTTCTGCACACACTGTTCAAACCTGTTCTAAACACCAAGACATTCCCTCATTCCTCAGTTCATTTTAAGTTCATGAACAAACAATATGATCTGTTCTTAATGCACAGCTGACCACATCTACGGAACTCGATTATTATATTCTTTCATGTTATGATCAATCATTAGTAATTGTTTTAGTCATGCTATATCAATCTTTAGTTATAATTTAATTAGGAGGTTTTATGCCTGTCTAGTTCCAGCTCCGTTTCCCAGCCTTTAATCTATCGGTGATAAATGTTCATATGTAATTCCCGCCTTGTACTTATGTTAACCAATCAGCAACAAGTTGCTTTGTGTTTGTATCAACCAATCAGCCACAAGCACACCTGTGGCAATGTTTGTAATATTCAATAAAAGAGAGTTCCCGGGGTTTGCCCCGGCAGACACCTCTCATATGACACCTGCCACTCATCTGTCGTGGATTCATTCCAACATTCTATTGTACTGTGCCTTTTCACAGAACACAATAACTTTCAAACCACCACCACACTTACATGCAACGTCTTCTTCCTCTAGCTGGTTGATCCCTAACAGGTGCAAACCACTTGCAGGAAGGTTCTTTTTCATTGACTCTGTCAGGATTTTGTCTAGTGCTTCTGTGTTGTAAGGGATTATTTTAAATGCCTGAATGAAAGGAAGGAACCCGTTCATATCAGATTATTTTAGCCAGACAGTATGTTTTAATATATCAAGAGTTCATCCATCACCTGTAAATCTCAAGAACAGAAGTCACCCCCTTCTGGGGAACTGTTTACCCACATTCAAAGGCACACCTGATATTTAAGCAAAGGTGCCACAATACTGATTGCACCATTGTCCATCTAGAGCTGCCTTTGCCAAACTGATGCTTTCCAGATGGTTCTTACCACAACTGTGCTGGATGAAGTTGATCAGAATTGTACTCTGATACTTCTGGGAGGCCACTGCACTGGCAAAAGCTGATCTAGAGTCTCCCCATAGGAATCAACCCTGCACTTATCATGTGAGGCCTTTCTCTGTGTCCCCATTCCTTGAGAGGTTTGGAGAGTGACTACACGAGAACAGGCCTTTTCTGTGGTAGTTCCCCATCTGTGGAATGCTCTCCCCAGAGAGGCTCACCTGGCCCCATGTCTTTAGACCCTGGGCAAAAACATTCCTCTTTACCCAGGCAAATGAACAGTGTATGGCCTTTTAAAAGTGGGGGCATGGTTATGACTTTTTCATGTGGTTTTATTGTCTTTTATTATTACACTATGTAAATGTTGTTTCTAATGTTGTTCACTGACCTGGGATCGTCGGATAAAAGGCAATATATAAATTGAATCAATAACAACAACAACAACAACAACAACAATAATAATATGCACACTCTCACACACTTACATTTAATGAGATTATAAAGGTAAAGGGACCCCTGACCGTTAGGTCCAGTCGCGGACGACTCTGGGGTTGCGGCGCTCATCTCGCTTTACTGGCCGAGGGAGCCGGCATACAGCTTCCAGGTCATGTGGCCAGCATGACTAAGCCACTTCTGGAGAACCAGAGCAGCACACGGAAACGCCGTTTACCTTCCTACTGGAGCGGTACCTATTTATCTACTTGCACTGTGTGCTTTCGAACTGCTAGGTTGGCAGGAGCCGGGACCGAGCAACGGAAGCTCATCCCATTGCGGGGATTCGAACCGCTGACCTTCTGAGGTTAATCTTTTTATATCCCAAGGTCTCTTATCCAATTTCACGCTGGAACTGAGAAGTAACAGGGTTTATGGGTGCTCCATTCTTTCTTTGAATTTAGAAACTTAAGCTACTAACTTTGCGTAATATGTAGAATAACATCCATTCAGCAGCAGCTGATGTCAGAATCACTCAGCCGTTTCACAGTGTTCAGGTAACCTCATCACCATTCCCACAGACCAGGGGTCAGCAAAGTTTTTGTGGCCTGCGACGGTTCACAGTCCCGCAGACACCACGGTGGGCCAGAGTGCATGCGCAGGCATGCACAAATGCTATTTCCGGCACTCCTTCCGGTGCGGAGGTGGCGTGCGCAGCTTCCCATTGGCTGCAGGAGCTTCCTGCAGCCAATGGGAAGCTGACCAGCGTCACGGATAGCGGTCCCTGCTCTGCCCCACGCCAGTTTAGCGCCAAGCACGGGAGCCAACCGAGCAGGCAGCAGGGATCATGGGCCAGTTAAACAACCCCCATGGGCCTCTTGGGGCCCATAGGCCTTAAGTTGCCGACCCCTGCCATAGACCCCTGCTGAGGAACTAGACCTCATAATTGATTTTGTTGGTTTCTGGACTCCAACTTTCCCACTATTACAGAGACTATCTAAGCACCTAGCCTCTTTTTTGCTTCACTGCAGCAATGAGCAAGCCCTTCCTTTCATCACTGCTATTGCAAGCACCTTCCTCCACTGTTGTTCCCAAACAGAAAAAGTGAATGCTTAACTAGTGGTGCCATGGAGCAAATTCTTTCTAGCTACTGCTGCATCTAAAATATGTTTCCACATCACACAGTAGTAAACATGCTCCTTGTCCCTTCTTGAAATAGGAAATAAAATAGGAACCTACATTTCCATTTAAATTCATAAATACCTCCATGGCTGAATTTTACATGGAAGGTATATTGCAGTTGTTTGACAGATCTTTTTCAAACTAATCATTTCTGTTGCCACCCTGGATTTTAAAACAAAACAAAGCAGCATGCCCATCAGGCATAGCTTGTGTCTCTCAGGACTATAAGAATTATGCTGATATGCAGTTAGCTATTTTCAAGGTTCCTCGCTGATTCCTCGCTCCTTTGCCCCATTTTTTAACATTTACCTGACACATAAATTCCACTGGATTTGCTGCAGTAGACAGTAAGTTGCTAATTTCTTCCATGTCAGTGTAATAGCAAATGCTTGCTTCAGCTATCATCAGATCCCCAGAAAACAATCGCAGGCATACAGCTCCAGGCGACAGGTCTGTGGGAGAAGGCAAAGATTAATCAGTAACAGACAAGGTACAAAAGAAAACCCACTATGCTAGAAGAATCAATAAAGAACAATGCTCTGCGTGGCCTTCCTATGAACACAGTTGGTACAGTTCAGCTTTCGAGGGATACTACGGAGGCTCACCTGTTGACAGGTAGTGCTTGGTTTCTTGGTGGATCTCTAAAAGCAACATCGGCTACTACCGTATTTTTCGCACTATAGGACGCACTTCGGAGCGCTCCGGAGAGTTCCCGCCAGGTTCCGAAGGCTTGCGGATAGCAGCCTGTTCTCCGCAAGCCTTCTGAGCGTGGTGGGAGTTCCCGCCGGGCTCAGAAGGCTTGCGCAAAGCACCCTCTTGTCCGCAAGCCTTCCGAGCACGGCGGGAGTTCCCGCCACGCTCCGAAGGCTTGCGGATAGCTTGTTCTGGGGGCTGGGGTCGGGGGAAGCCCCCGTCCCCAGCCCCGCAAGCTCCGGGAGCAGCAGCGAGGTTGTGCGCAATCTTGCTGCCTCTCCTGGACCTGTTCGGGGGGTGGGGAAGCTCGGGCTTCCCCCGTCTTCAGCCCCGCAAGCTCTGGGAGCTCTTTGGGGCTGGGGGGGGAATAATTCCCCCCCTTTATTTCCCACCCTAAAAACTAGGTGCGTCCTATAGTCCGGTGCGCCCTATAGAGCAAAAAATACGGTAATTCATTCCCTAACAGCCAATGTTGCTGTTAGGGATGCGCCAAGAAACTAAGTACAACCTGTCAACAGGTGGGCCTCTGTTTTCCTCGAAAGCTGAACTGTACCAACCATGCCACCCAAAACCAGTGGCGGAGCTGCTATTGCTATGCCTCTTTCACATGTATCTGAATGTGTGGAAGAATTTAACATGTCAAGAGAAACCTACAGGCTTCAGCAGTGGAAGCGATGACGTAAACCTAAAGTTATCGAAGAGAACAAAACTGGAAGGTCAAGAATCACCCAGCAGCACAATCAGTGCTTTGAACTTGCTTTAGCCATGATCATGTGATGAAACCAGAGAATGCAGGAAGTATTTACTCAGAACTCCTGGCCTAAACAAAGCCCAAGAAGAAATCCTGAGTCCTTGCTATTTATTTATTTATTGGAGCTGGCCGGAGGGGGAAGCACAAGAAGGATTCAGCACTGCCACAGTCCTCTCTGATGAGCAGTTTCAACAAAACCTGTTGCAGTTTACAGTCACCAACTCCCTTAAAAGATTCACGCATGAAAACTAAACAGGGTCCCTGCCAGAGCCCTAAGCACAATTAACTGCACTACTCAGCCCTTAGGAAAATGAGAAAAAATCCCTACATATAGGAAGAAACTTGTTTTAAGGATTTTCGTACTCTCCAGGCTGTCATTTGAATAAAAATTAACTTAGCTTCCACAACATAACCCTTCCTATTTTGAATGACAAATTTAAGTTCCGTTATGCTTCTAAAATTACCACACAGCAAAAATTAAGCGCAGCTCTGGCCATTTGGCAGAATGTGGGGGAAAGAGGAAGCGCAAGACAGCTTCTGCTTCCTGTGAAGGCAGCCCTCTACACATCTGGAGCTCAGACGTCAACCAACCCATGATGATGAGGCTTGCAAGCCCCCACTTCGGACGCAATGCAGCACGCTAACAGGAAGCATGGTCTAATCAGGCTGTTTTAGCTCTACTACGCTCTAGCAACTATCTATTTGCGGCTTCGTGTATACAGTTTTAGCTTCCAGTGCTCACTTTTTCGGAGCCTTCATAAGAGGACATAGTTTGTTTCACTTTCAGCTTTCTTAGCTGATGCTAAATTTGCCTCTGAGATAAGGTGCAATTCTGTTCAATATTTTCTGCGGCAGAGAAGTGTTTTAGCAAAGCAATGCCAATTTTGGAACCTACCAGGTGCGGAAACCGAAACGGTGTACTCATTCTCTATCCTGGCGAGAACTCGAACTGACTGGCAGCTCTCGGAGGAAAATTCCACTTCCATTTTTACGTGGCTATCTAGCTTACATTTTAGGACGATGTAAACTATTGTCTTCGCCTAGAAGTAGAGAATAACATTTTAGAAACACAGTAATATCTGCAGGCTCTTGAATGCTGTACAGTCATTATTTATTTGTTTAGCAATCCCTTTCTCCACAAAATGTGCCCAAAGTGACTTGCAATACTTTAAAGCGTTAAAATGTAGACATTATATATACATATGCATATATACACACACATATATATTCAACAACTTCTAGTTTTTTGGCTGTAAAATCAATCTTTCTGCAGAGAAAGTAGCACAGGATCTTGAGCAGAATCTTCAGTATTTTCTGTTACTTGCAGCCCAGAGAGAAAGATGGAAGATAATGACAGTTTTCACAGAACTGCAACTGAGAAGGACTGTGTGGAGATTCTTCAATAGGTCTACAAGGTGGGATTGAAAATCTCGGCCCTTCGTCTCCCTTCATTCCCTACCAACAGTGGCTGATGGGAGTTGTGGTCCAAAATACTGTGGGAGGGGAGGCAGTTGATTGGCAAAGGCTGCTTTAAACCAGAGTTAAGCTTAACTGTGTTTTCAGGAAAATGAGGTGTGATGGTGCACAGGGCAAAAAAATCACAACCACCTTGATCCTCTCCTGCTCCTCCCCTGCATGCTGGGAGCTAAGCCATGGTTCGGCTTAATGCTATGTCCAAAGCAGGGTTCATGGTTTGTATCTGAACAAACCACAAGTTGTTGCCAATATCAGTTCTTGGCTTGCCACTTGTGTTTTATTAAGGGGGAAACAAGCCATAAGCTCAGGTCTGGAAGTAAAGCGAAACCAAGTCATGGTTGGCTTAGCTCCCAGCGTTGCAGCAGTAGCACAACTGAGGAAGAAGCAAAGCAGCCACACGCTCACCTTTAAACCATGGTAGGGCTCAGCTATGGTCTAAAATGATGTGTGAACACTTCTGCAGAGGGTCATTCTCTGTGGCTGCCCCACAGTTGTGGAACTCTCTTCCTGTATCCTAAAGGGTCATGAAAATCTAAGGCTAAAAACAAGGCTTGAACCAGAAATCAGCCAGGCTGAGGACTGGCCAAAGACCCATGGAGCTCAAAAGGACCCCTCACTAGCCTGAGGTCTGCCCCCTTACTACCCTCCTTGCAGGGCCCCTGGTTAGCCATTCTAGTGGGCAACAGTGCCACCTGCAGTGCCCGTGTACCATTTTGGATTTCCCAAAATGAAATTCAAGTTGAAAAGCAGCACTGAAAACCACCGACAGTAATCTAGTCTCAAGGTTACCGCTGCACAGACTATAGTGGTCAGGAATGGCTGCAGTTGGCAAACAAGACAAAGGTGGAAAAAGGTATTCCTGGCCACAAAGGACACTTAGGTCTCCAGGGACAGAGATCTATCCAAGAGTACCCCCAAGCTACACATTTGCTCTTTCAGAGAGTGTGCAACCCCATCCAGAACGGGTAGCTTGCCAATTTCCCACACATGGAACCACCCACCCAAGGAACCTCCATCTCCCTTATTTATATATGCCACTACTGCACCCCGTGTCTTGGTAGCCCAAAAATGGAAAATGAGCGAGGTCTCAACCAAAGAAGAGTGGTAACTTAAGTTGACAGAATATGCAGACTTGCAGACTTAACATATAGAATAAGAGAACAAGAAGAACATATGTTTAGAGAAGACTGGAAAACGTTTATTGACTATATGGGAAATAACTGTGTACAGCTGAAAACGCTGGCAGCATTAAGATAAATTCAACCGTGTAAATAAGTTATGATGGATGCAATAATGGAATACTGAATAGTATAGTTTCTGTAAAAAATGCAGGGATTTATGATATGTAAAATGAACCATGGAAAGAGAAGAAGGGAAGTCATTGATATTTTAAGGATGTAAAAATGAGCACTTTAAATTGTAAAAGAGAAAATTTAATAAAAATTATATACCAAAAAAAGAAAAGAAAAAAGAACCTCCATCTCCTCAGGATCCAAATACAATTTATTGGCCCTCATCCTGTCCATCACTGCATCCAGACTCTGATTCAAAGCTTTCACAGCCTTTCCTGATTCGGATGTTATGGAGGAGTAGAGCTGAGTGTCATCAGCATACTGATGGTACAGTGGTGCCTCGCAAGACGAAATTACAGTGGTGCCCCGCAAGACGAATGCCTCGCAAGACGGAAAACCCGCTAGACGAAAGGGTTTTCCGTTTTGGAGGTGCTTCACAAAACGAATTTCCTATGTGCTTGCTTCGCAAGACGAAAATGTCTTGCGAGTTCCTGCGGGGTTTTTTTCCTTCCCCCCCCCCTTTTTCCCAAGCCGCTAAACCGCTTATCAGCTGATCGGCTAAGCCGCTTAACAGCTGATCGCTGCCGCTATCAGCTGATCCTTAGCGCTAACAGCTGATCGTTAAGCCGCTTAACAGCTGATCCGCTAAGCCCGCTATGCCGCTAATACTGTAGCGCTAATCCGCTAAACCGCTAATGGGCTTGCTTCGCAAGACGAAAAAACCCGCAAGACGAAGAGACTCGCGGAACGGATTCTTTTCGTCTTGCGAGGCACCACTGTAATTCGTTCTGCGAGTTTTTTCGTCTTGCGAAGCACGGTTTCCCAAAGTCTTCAAAATCACCAAAGTCTTCAAAAACCTGAAAAAAGGCTACCACACCGCGTGCTAGGAGTTGCTCCTCGAAGTCACCCTGGGTATTAACGGTTTTAAGAAAAAGGAAACAAACTTGCAAGACGTTTTCGTTTTTTGTCTTGTGAAGCAAGCCCATAGGGAAATTCGTCTTGCGAAGCAACTCAAAAAATGAAAAACTCTTTCGTCTTGCGAGTTTTTCGTCTTGCGAGGCATTCGTCTTGCGAGGTACCACTGTACCTTGCTCCAAAACTCCTAATGATCGTTCCCAATGGCTTCATACAGGTATTAAATACCATTAGGGAGAGAATGGTACCCTGTGGGATCCCACACCACAAATGCAGGGGGTGCAAGGAAGACTCACTCACTACTTTCTGGAAATGACCCTGAAGAGCACTGGGAGAGCAAGCAGGATTGCACTCCCTTTGTCCCTCTCATGATAAAGGTCAGCAAGGCTGAGTCAGTTCCAAAACCAGATCTGAACCCAAATTGTAGTGGATCTAGATAATCAGACATACCCAGGAATAACCACAGTTGCTCCGCAACCACCCTCTCCACCACCTTTGCCAAGAAACAGGTGTTGGTGTTTTTAATGTTCTGAGAAGTTTTTAATGTTTGATGTTTTGTCGTGTTTTCAATATCCTGTTGGGAGCCGCCCAGCGTGGCTGGGGAAACCCAGCCAGATGGGTGGGGTATAAATAATAAATTATAACTACAGTGGTGCCCCGCAAGACGAATGCCTCGCAAGACGGAAAACCCGCTAGACGAAAGGGTTTTCCGTTTTGGAGGTGCTTCGCAAAACGAATTTCCTATGTGCTTGCTTCGCAAGACGAAAATGTCTTGCGAGTTCCTGCGGGGTTTTTTCCTTCCCCCCCCCTTTTTCCCAAGCCGCTAAACCGCTTATCAGCTGATGGCTAAGCCGCTTATCAGCTGATCTTTAAGCCGCTTAACAGCTGATGCTAAGTCGCTTAACAGCTGATGGCTAAGCCGCTTATCAGCTGATCTTTAAGCCGCTTAACAGCTGATGCTAAGCCGCTTATCAGCTGGTCTTTAAGCCGCTTAACAGCTGATGCTAAGCCGCGTATCAGCTGATCGTTAAGCCGCTGCTGATCTTTAAGCCGGCTAGCCGCTAAAACTGTAGCGCTAAGCCGCTAAACCTCTAATGGGCTTGCTTCGCAAGACGAAAAAACCCGCAAGACGAAGAGACTCGCGGAACGGATTCTTTTCGTCTTGCGAGGCACCACCGTATTATTATTATGGGGACCGGTTTATATTTGTTACACTTTGCTGGGTCTAGAGTAGGATTTTTAAGAAGTGAATGTACCACTGCCTCTTTAAAGGCAGTGGTTTTATTTAGCTTTCATTGTCATTTTGCTTTGTTTGGTTTTTTAAAACTGTAACAGTAACATACCATGAGATTTTAACTACTGTATAAAGTTTAAAGCAATATACAGTAAAAAAAAAAAATGCTTCACTGCAGGAAGACAAGGAAGCTGCCCCAGAAATCAAGGGTATCAAAGTGTAAATTCAGGTATGCAGCTAAATTCTGCAGCAGTCAAAAGTCCAAAGCTATTCGAGGTTCAGAGCAAAAGCGGCCTGGGTAGCCGTGGCAATACTGAAGATCAAGTCCCGAACATGAGTGCGCTACTTCAGTTGTTCCACAAGCAGGTAAAAGCAGGAACACCTGTGCTCTAGGCTTGCCTCAAAGCCAACAGAACTATTTGCAGGTGTGTTATAGCACAACTGCGACGCCAAACACCCGCCAAACTCCTCATGCCCTCCCCATAACACAGAGAGAAATGCAATGCAATGTCCTCAGGTTGTATTCCAGGCAGGCAAACACATGCAAACAACGCTGCAAATAATAATATTTGGGAAAGGAAAATGCCCGAGAGGACGGTGTTGCTTCACATATTTCTCTAACGACACACTAGGGGAACCCTCATAGGATTGCTTATTTAGCCTAGTTATTTAGCAAGGCTTGGTTCTAGAGAATCATAGCTCAGCCAAGCTGCATTCACAGCACAGCACCACACACACATTTTGCCCTTTCACGGCAACTTTGAAAGAATGGAGACATACCGTACCCCACAGCGAATGCGATCAGGCTGCACTGTAATTAGGCTTCCTAGTCTGGTCACCAAGTTCCCATGCTCTCGGCTCATTGCAATACTGCACGAATGGTGTGTGTCTCTGTCGTCTTCCGCTTCTGCATCAGTCACTGAATCACAGCCAGAATCTAAGTGCAGGACAACGGTTAGTGTTACTTCTCAATGCAGTCCAGCAAGTTTGCGAATTAACTAAGAAAGTCCCTTAAAAGTCAAAAGGTTTAATGAAAGCTAGCGCTAGCAAGGATGCACATTCTGCACACAGATGGTATTATCTTACATTGGCCTCAAGCATAAATTAGTTGGAATTAACTAATTAGTGGGCTCTTTAGCCCACTGGCCTCATTTTAAGCTGCAGGTGCTAAGGCAGAATTAAGTGGGGCCTGGATGAGTTTGTGACCCACTGGCTTCACTCAGATTCAGTTGGAAAAATGACACTTTGGGTTTTCAAAATGCCTGATATGGATGTGACGGAATCAATCTCTGATGCTTCCACTGTGCCTACCATGTCACTCCCTCCACCTCAGGAGTGGTCAAGACACTGTGCCTGAATTTGTCTCTCCAGAGGGTGGTACACCACCCATTCCACCCACCTGTCAAGAGACAGAAACACCTCCCCTGTCATCTAGGTCCTGGAGATGCCAGCAGGGGCATAAAAAAGTGGTTCAGGACTCCAGGCAGAGTTCCTCCCAAGTTCCTTAAGTGTTTGCCCATGTACAGTCCAGGAAGAACAGTTTCCCCAACTTGATTCTGTATTGTTTGCACTAAGGATTAAGCGTTTCACACAAGGGCTGAGCTACACATTCTCCACAGAAGACTTTTGATTTGAGATGTGAATAGTGGGGGTGGAGAACAGCAATCCCTGGCAAATTTTGAGCTGATGGTAAGTGAAACTTTGGGGTGGCTGAAACACTTCCCCGCCACTGCCAGGTCCTCCTGCCTGGCAGCAGCTGCCACCCCCCTCCAAAAAAAGCCCCCTGAAGACACGTTAAATAGCACCACTCTGACAGGGACTTCTGGAGGAAATGGTGGGCGTTAATATTTTTAAAAACATCTTCGTCAAACGATGCAGTAACATCACATAGTATTGCTTCAGGGAGTTTTGGCGGTGGGGGTAACAGCTAATAAAAGCTCTAGTGGCAACAGCGAGTTTCAGCTACTGCATCTACCATTCCACATCCTGAAAAATCACCTCTCCCCACCCCCTCAAATTTTGTAGCCCACGAATGAGACAGTGAAATGGAAGATTGCATTCTGACACTGCATGAACCCTATAGAACAGTGTTTGAGATTTGCTCCTTAAGGCAATAAAATCTGTGAAGTTCATGATCATCAAGTGTCACTGCTTGTGCAGGTATATTTGGACCAAATATGGAGTGTTCCCATACACAGTGTTTTTTCCTTAGTTTCTCCCCCCCCCCCCTTAAAGAAGATGTCTCTTTAAATATCAAGAGTACCAGTTCAAAATAACAACTTTCCATTCATCCCAGGTCTTTGTGAGAGTGAAGTTGTTTGAGATTGTGCTTATCTCATCAAAATCACGAGAGATCTTGCGGAGTGCAAGAGGTCTCATCAGAAATCAGCGCTGATGCTTGCGCCACATGGGCAAAGCAGGTGTCATCGTCAGAGTGAGGCTTTCCATTTCGCCTCAAGCGCTGAAACAGGACGCCCTGCCCCTATCAGGGGTGTCCAAACTTTTTACAAAAAGGGCCAGATTTGATGAAGTGGACATGTTTGAGGGCTGACCAGAGTTGTTGAGGTTTTTTTAGGATTGCTGAGCTTTTTGCTTTTTTTTTTTTAGGATTTTGCCCCAGGACATATATAGTGGTACCTCTGGTTACGTACTTAATTCGTTCTGGAGGTCTGTTCTTAACCTGAAACTGTTCTTAACCTGAAGCACCACTTTAGCTAATGGGGCCTCCTGCTGCCGCCGCACCACCGGAGCACGATTTCTGTTCTCATCCTGAAGCAAAGTTCTTAACTTGAGGTACTATTTCTGGGTTAGTGGAGTCTGTAACCTGAAGCGTCTGTAACCCGAGGCACCACCGTACTGCCACGGCGACCAGATGAAATCAAACGGTGGGCCAAATTAGGCCCCCAAAACGGACTTTGGATATGTCTGCCCTAGGAAGTCCAGATTGGCATTCGCTGTGTCTGTGAAAACAAAGCCCTCAGTGATGGCATCTGTTTAGTTCCTGTATCAAAGGTCCTTCGGAAACATATATTTAGATTCCTCTTTTTTATGTGCCTTCTACCGTGAAGATGTAACTATGAAAATGTGCACATGAACAGCACCAGTGACCTCAGTAGAACTTTACTGCTCCATCTGGGCTGTTTGAAAATGTGCTCTTCTGAGTGCGTTGCAAACTTCCACAGGCATATAACCTCCAACTGCAATAAGCAGGTACTAACAAGCTAGCAAGTTGCGAACCTTTGCGCTAAACTACTGAACAACTGAACCAGACTACTGTGACTTTCAGACATTTTCAAATTCATGCAGTTCTTTTAATGAACCAAGCAATGTGATAAGAATCACCCACATGGTTGAACACTATGTAGTTTTCACCTCTGAAGTATCATTTTGGTTAAGTTTTTGCCTTTTAAAATCTCTGCCACAAAAGCCACAAATTCTTATAACGGGATATTTTTAGCATCGCTCTGCTTGTGGTTAAGATTCATTTTTAACTTCGCTATGATGGTGGTTTGTATGATACCTTTAGCTCTTAGGCTTACAGACGCAGCCTAAACATATTTGCTCGGAAATAGGTACCGCAAATTTCATTTTCTACTCAGGAAGCTTGGGGTTTGTAAACTCTTAAGATGCATGTGCTCAGAAGCAACACAATATGCTGAACTTGCAATTTACTTGTTCTCTAGGCATTCCCACTGACAAGGATCCTATCACTTAAACTTTGGTTTGTAACAAAGCTTTCCCGCTAAATATTTTGGCAAATCGTTTTGATCAAATTTGCAGCCTTAGGAATCAGCAGGAACGAGGCCTCTCTTTGCAGATTTAGTAGCCTGGCTCTCTGGGCACAAGGGGCTGGGATGAATGCTAAGGTCAGTAGAATATAAACAGGAAGTAAGCATGCTTAGGCTTGAAGCCTCTGAAATGCATATGATGAACATTCCTGCAGGCACACCTTAGCAACAATTCCTCAGCGTCTTAACAACTGGAGCACAATGGCGAGTGGTGGAAATCTCACTCTGAATACAACCGAACATGTGTTAGTCATATTTCTTCTTGTTGCTGCTGCTGTTAATTCAATTTACGTATATACAGCCCACAGATCTCAGGGCGGTTCACAAGATAAAATCACAAAATAAAATCTCAAAATAAAAACAAAAGTAACCCAATAACCCCCCCCAACACTTTTTTTAAAGGGTATTGGATGGTTAAAGAAGAACATATTTGCCTGGCACCTTAAGGTGCATAATGAAGGTACCAGGCGAACCTCCCAGGGAATAGCATTCCACAAACGGGGAGCCACTGCAGAAAAGGCCCGTTCTTGTGTTGCCACCCTCCGGACCTCTCAAGGAGGAGGCACAGAAAGAAGGGCCTCAGAAGTTGATCTCAGGGTCCGGGTAGGTTCATATGGAAAGAGGCGGTCCTTGAGGTATACTTCTCTGCTGGTATCCTCAAGAAGTTGCCTGGTCGAGTTGTTCCATGTGGTCCAGACATTAGTTAACCCAGATTTGGGCATGTTGAACTTTGTAGCACATGGTGACTATCTCTGAGCTGCTCTGACAAAGTCTCTTGACTTCGTAACAACTCATCAAATCTGGTTGCAGTGCCCAATGCTACATCTGGCCCAGTTTCAAGGGATCGTTTCCTGTTGGTGTGGCCCAGTGACGTGGACAGGATACTTGCAGCAGTGCATCTGACCACATGCCCTCTGGGGCTCCTGCTCTCCCTGGCTGCTTAAAGCTAGCCAGAGTGGGGTGACCAGGTGGGCCCAGGATGTTGTGATTGATGCATCCTCAGAAAGAGTCCTTAAACAGCCCACACTGGACCCAATGGTGTGTAGTAACTACCAGCCAACACTACTTTTGGGGGAAAGATGGTGAAGAGGGGTGTGGTGGAGCAAATGCAAGTGTTCCTGGATGAAATGTCGTTCTGGGCTCAGGCCTGGAATCAGTTTTGGTCATCCTGTTGGATGGTTTTTTACTGAGAGACAGAGGACCCTGTTACTGTTACACAATCTCTCACTGGCTTTTGATACCATCCAAAATAGAGTACTGCAGGGAACACTGAGTTTGATTTCTGGGAAGGTGGAGGCTCCGTGGGTAGGCAGTTCTCATGTAGAGAAGACATGCCAATTGCCTGTTATGGAAATGCAATGTCCCAGCAGCACTAAAGGGCTCTACTCTCAAGGCATGCAGATGTTTTAGCAGTTTAAGAATACCTAAAGCTTCTGAAACTTCACACTTTGCTATAAGGACATTGTAATGAACGCGTGGCATTTAAGCAGCATAAATGGTATGCAGGATTGTATCACAACTGTAGTGGAAGGTAGGTTGTGCGCAAATTGCTCAATATTTGAAGTTTGGCTTTACCAAGACTTTCACTAGCCCTCGTTTCTATGGTTACCAAATTCTGGTATATAATAAGGTCACACAGTATTTTATTTTCCATCCATGCTCGCTTACTAAGGCTGGCATCACCTGTTTTCTGGCTCTTATTCTCTTGGACTTAGATGGCAGCAATACCATGTCTGAGAGAGTCTTCTCTGCAGTGGCCCCCAGGTTTTGGGTAATGACCTCCCCTTCAAGTTGCATTTCACACCATCGTTGCAACGATTGGTCATGGCACACCTTTGGTCTTCTCTCCTCCTACACAGCTGTTTTGCACAGCTGTTTCGTTAACTTAATTAGTGGTTAGTTTTGTAGTTTTATTTTATGTTATTAACGACGATTTGTACTTGCTTTTCATTGAGATGCTTTTGTAGCCAACCCTAGGACTATTCAGTGAAGGATGAGTTATATGTGCAAATAATAATTAAATAAATTGGAAGAAACACCATCCATATATGAAATGGTAATATAGCTTGCCATAAACATTCTGAATTTATAATATTGGCAGCAATTTTCATAGGGTTTGTAAGGTACTGATGAGGTACCCATGACTGAGACGATGGAACAGGAGGCGGATGAGCGACTTAAAGCCACAGTCAAAATCCAAACATTTCAACAGGTATTACCAGGTTACCTCCTTCTGAAATAGCCTTCATGACAGCTTCGACATAGGCATCTGGGTCATCATCGTAGGTAAGCTGTTTCCACTGGGACCAGTCCTTGAAGAATTCTTGATAATTCCCACATTCTGATATTCCGCAGAACAGCTTCACCACTTTATGGGGGGGCTGGAGAACCTTCTGCAGGCTCTGAAGGACATCAGGGACATAGAAACTCTGCACCAGCTCAGAGGACAGCAGAATAATGATGCACTTGCTGCTCTTGAAGAGGTCCAGCTCCTTGGTGGAAATAGTAGTTCCGCTCTCCACTTGATAGCTCCAGACTTCTTGGCACGAGTGAAAGATGCTCTCAAGGTAGTTGCACCATTCACTGGCGTCGTTCCCATATAGAATCAGCACACTGTGTGCACTGGAGTGTCCTTCTGCGAGGGAATAAATAATGTAAACATATTATACAAACGGAATCTTGTTTATTTGTTACATTGCTCAGTTGATAGAGCATAATCCCAAGGTTGTGAGTTTGAGCCCCATGTCAGATAAGAAGATTCCTGCAAGGCAGGAGGTTGAGTAGGGACTTGAACCCTGGTCTCCCAGGTCCTAGCCTAACACTCGAACCACTACACCTGTGGCTCATCTTAACCTGCCCTAGTTAAATCACCAAGCTTCACAGCAGCGGGCAAGGTAAACAGGATTAGGACAGAAGTGTGTCAATAACGACTACGAACAAACCAGTGTTTGGTAACCATAGAAATGAGGTCTGGTGAAACAAAACTTTTTAGCAATTTGTGCGCAACCTACCTACCAATGCAATTGAGATACAATCCCACAAACCATTTAGGCTGCTTAAATATCCTAAAATTAAAATGACACATCTTCTGTATAATTTAGCATTCATCTCAGAAGAAGTATGTATCTTGATCTAGCAGTAGTTATATCCTCTGTCTTTACATTGTGCTGGAAATCGGTCAGTTACATGTGATAAATATTTGTGAATCATCTGCCTCTAAGTAGTAAATGTAGCAATTCTTTCGGTTCCGTAGACATGCGCAGAACATGCTCATGCATGACACATGAACTGATATTATTCTGCTCAAATCGTTGCTGTGTGTTACATGTAATCTACATTTCTTTAGAGCACAGAAAGCACTCTTCATAGAATTATTACTCCAAGAAGCTTTACACAAAAGCATCCATCAGTTTATGATGCAGAAAAAATATATGAGCCTCTCCTTTTGAACATAATATAGCAGGGATTCTCTTACCAGGCAACTGTTGGTTGAAGGAGCTATTTGATCAACAGTAGTGAGATCAACCACAGGAAGTGGTTTTCATTTCCCCATTTTTTGTTAAACTGAATTGTTCTTTTATACCTTTATGCATAGAATCATGGGATTAACATAGAATGTTGATACATGGCAAGAAAACTCAATGAAGCTCCCAGTGAGTTCTGGAGCTAACAGCTCAAGCTCCTTCCTCCTGATTGCTAGATTTGGCATTAAAGATGTGCCAATTACTCATAAAATTTAACAAAAGCTTAGCCATGTGAACTTTAGCACAGCTGAAGTAAAAGAAAGACTACCATTTGTTCAGCTGGCAATGCATAACAAAACATCTTGTAGTGCTAATAATTCACTGCAATTGTTGACAAAAGCTATCAAAGCTTCACGGCTTCTTCAGGAAACTGCTCCTTGGAAGAGATCTTTGTGCAAACTGGGAGAAAACAACTTACCTAGCTTGGAAATCCTGGAACAAACAGCAAGCTGTATAGGATTATACAACACAACAGTCCAACTATAAAACCTTGTTACCTGGTGGCCCTGGCACCTCTAGACAAGAGGGAATAGAGTTGGGGTGACAGTCCTCACTTGCTAAAATGGTAAATCCTAGCACAAGCCAATTATGCCGGAAGCCTGCTGTGTGAAAAGCATGGCAGCTTAGATCAATATATTGAATTAACCTCCCAAGGCTTACTGTTTGGAGCTCTTTGTACCCCTTACAATTGCCGGGTGCTAACATGGCAGTGACAACATTCCTGACAAAATTCCTCATGCGACCGTCCTCTACACTTCTCAGAGCGTCCAATCCTCCAACCCTTCCTTCTCTGCCAACTTCATTCCTTCCAATAATGGCATCCTGTCTTGAGACCTTGTGGGAGATTTTGCCGAGGTTCGACATGCTCAATGGCTCGTCCTTCCTTCCTTTCATTCCGTTTCTTCAGCAAGCATTGCTCCCTCAAGTCTCTGCTTTGCGGACAAATCCATACTTCGTTCCCCATCTGTTATCAACTCCGAATTGTGGCTCTGGACTTCTCCCCTCAATCTACTCCTATATCCTCCAAGTGTCCCTATTTTCCAGGGACAGTCCCGGAATTACAGAAGCCGTCCTGGTTTCTGATTTGATCTTAGAATGTCCCGGTTTTCCTTTTTCTCCCCTCCACATCCCAGAGAACAATTAAAAGTGGTGTGTGTATGTAGGTGCAAAAATGGAGTCTTGTTTATACTGAAAATAAAAATCCTGCACCAAATAAAGGAAATGGTGAAGCTGGCCGACGAAGCCCTTCCTATCATTTTTAAGGAAAGGGTCACCAATCCACTTTTAATTATTTAATTGCAGGCAACCATTTAAAAGAAAAAGAAAAAAAGAAAATGCATTTAGTGCTTATTCCTTTATTGTTAATGGAACCTTGCACTGTCTACTGAGAAGTTAAGTCCCACTGAATTCAACAGAGCTTACTCACAGGTAACTGGGTAAAGACTGGGCAGCCTTACACTGCAATCCTAAGCATTTTTACTCAGAACTAAGTCCCACTGAGTTCAATAGGATTTACACTCTGGTATGTGCCTGATCATTCTCACAGTTTCGGTTGTTGTTGTTGTTGTCACCTGCCTTTTCACCTGACAGGGACTCATAATCCCTTCCCTCACACATTTCTTTACAACAATCCTGCGAAGTAGGCTAGGCTGAGAGGTTGTCATTGGCTCAAGGCGGCAGATGAATATGTGTATATGATGTATATGTTTGCGGCAAGGTCAAACGCGGGAGAAGCTTCCTGATGCAGAATGTCTCTATTTCTATCAGAGAAATGTTGGAGGGAATGCACTCCCAGCCACGCCATAGCACACACCCTCTCTTGGCCTTATCAGGGGCCCTCTCTCTTCAGCCCGTTTTTACCTCACACCAACTTCCTTTCTCTCCAGCTCTTCCCTCAGCTATGCTGGCCCTGCACTCCTGTGACCTCAGCCTGCTCTATAACCCAACTTCTGTACCTAAGGCCTATGAGAGGTTCATAACCCCACCGAAGGGGGCATTTCCCCATTTTGAAAGATGCCAAACGGAAAGCGATGGGATAAGTTCCCCATGAGCAGAGCAGCCCCCGCAGGGAGCAAAAAGGCTTTCAAAAAGAACTTTCAGGAAGAAAAGTACACGTGGGGAAAGTTTATCTGCTCCCGGGAACCTGGTCCCATGGCGCTTTCAATCGCCCTTCACTCCTTTCTCATTTTGTAGGGGTGTAGCACAGGGCTGGCCCAAAACCTTTTGCTTCCTGAGGTGAAAGACAAGGTGGCGGCTCTCTTTAGTCAACATACAGAAGCTGACTGGACTGGGAAGTGATTCTTAGTTCACTGCTGGCAGTGGGGTAGTGTCCTTCACAACGAATGCAGTAGGTTAGCTTGCAGGGGCCAGAATATGTCACATAGGGTACATAGCTCTCTTCCCAGATGGGAAATAAGAGAAACAGCAAGGCAGCTGCCACCACTGGCGCCCAGCATCTGCTGCCTGAGGTGGTTGGTTCACTTTGCCTAATGGTAAGGGCTAGCCCCAATGAAGCATGACTTGAGCTGGGCTATGTGTTCAGCCTTCAAAGAGGCTGTCCTGCAATGTGTGACACCTTTATTTCCCAAGCCTAATGGGTGGACCGGGCACTTCTGCAAGGTATTACAAGACTCTTAGCTGTCTATATTTTGCCATGGTTGCCTGTGTCCAGCTAATACTTCATATTGTCTTGGAAGTATAGGGTGAATAAGAACCTGACTGCATTTGATGTTGAAGATTTGTAATCAGATCTCCCAATATTTTTTATTGGCTTCAAAGCAGCAACAAGGGTCTCCTAAGTCAGCATTTCCCAACCTTGGGCCTCCAGCTGTTTTTTGGACTACAACTCCCATAATCCTCAGCTAGCAAGGCCAGTGGTCAGGGATGATGGGAATTGTAGTTCGAAAACAGCTGGAGGCCCAAGGTTGGGAAACACTCTCCTAAGTTGATCTGAGAAGTGAGTGCTGACATAGGCTTGACACTGCACTAAGTTAGCAGCCTTCTCCCTGCTGTTTTGATACAGCATCAGTCATTCCAGCCATGACTCTTCCCATAGTATAGTAGTTTGGTCCTATGTTGCTAGAACACAGCCATGATAGCTTGGGAAAGCAGGCAAGGTCTTTTCGTTGCATTAAATTATTTGAAATGTGAGCCGCCTTGAGGAATTTGATGCACTGAATGCCAAGATATGCATGCAATAAACAGGAATTAAAATAGCTATAATTTCACATACAGTTGCATTGTACTTCCTTTGTATGCGCTTCTGGGTAATGTGGGTGTGATCCTCATGTGAGAATAGCTCATGCAGCTCGCCATAAGGGACATGCATGAGTTCCCCCTTTGTAAATTACTCTCACGGAAGCACACAGACAAAAAAGGAAGAGAAACTCACTTGTGCTTTCTGCCTCAGACTGCAGTCTTTAGTAGACTTGGGGATGCAGAGAAGACAATTGATTTAAATAAACCTAGTTGTGGCTGGCTTTGCACAGGGCACACATCCTATCCTGCTAATATGTGAAGCCACCCTTGGAATGATGCTCAGTCCAATGCAAACTACCATTCTGCTGCTTACATCGGGCTACAACAACAAGCTCAGCAAGCCTGTCTAATGCCTTTTTTAAATTGGCAGTGCTCAGTCCCCAATTCAGCAGTGGAACCCGAGTGAACACAAGTGAAGCAAGCTGAGAAGTGCTGCCAAGATCTTATCACTTCCAAAAACAATCCCTAACCATTAGTGTTACCCAATCTGCATATCCAAACAAGAAAGGACCTTGAACTGCTGATTCATAACTGTCAAGATTATTCTGAGTGAGAGTTTTAGAGGCCAGCATGGGAGGGAGGGGGGTAACTTCAACAGCCCAAACTTTTAACACCCTGACTACATATGACAGTCCAGGTAAAATTATACGAGAAATCTAACAATAAGAGATTAAGGCTGCAGTCCTCTAAACCCTACTGGAGTCAGTGGGATTTGCTTCTGAACAGACATGTATAGAGCAGATTGCGTTGTAAGACTGCAGTTCTTATTTGGCAGCAAGCTTAATTTAGATGAGCAAAATTTATGAGCTAATTCCCTGAATAAATATGCACAGGATCAGGATGCTAAGTACAGTGGTACCTCGGGTTAAGTACTTAATTCGTTCCGGAGGTCCGTTCTTAACCTGAAACTGTTCTTAACCTGAAGCACCACTTTAGCTAATGGGGCCTCCTGCTGCCGCCGCGCCGCCAGAGCATGATTTCTGTTCTCATCCTGAAGCAAAATTCTTAACCTGAAGCACTATTTCTGGGTTAGTGCTTTCTGGGTTAGTGCGGAGTCTGTAACCTGAAGCGTATGTAACCTGAAGCGTATGTAACCTGAAGCGTATGTAACCGGAGGTACCACTGTAGCAATCTTATGCAGAGACAGTCATTCTTAACGTCACTGAGCACAGGTGCGCCTAACTATGCATAGAACACAACTGTGTGTGGCACAGTTAGCTGGGAGGAAGCCCCACTGGATATACAGGGCTTGCTCTTGAGTAAACATGCATAGGATTGGGATGCAATACAGTACTACAATCCTAAGCATCTGGTAGGACCTGAAGTCTTTGGGGCATTTCCTTCCGACTAAACATACTGCAACACTGGATCAGCAGGATGTATGAACCAACACACACATCTATATACTAGTTGGGATCAAGTAGGATCACCTTTTCCACCCGTGAAACAGACGGGGGTCTAATTGTCCCACCTGATCTGCATCGATTTGGTGAGATTGGGCAAAGCGCACTTTTAGGGCTTCTATTGCCGAGGTCAAACTGACCAAGCAGCCGGGTCTGGGCTGGAGAAAGGAAACATGGGGCCCGTCCAAGCCACCAAGGGCTTCCGAGGTCCTCGGGGTGGCCACCAGTTTTTTCGGTTAAGGAAGGCGCCTCAAACTTTAACATCGCAGAACCCAACTCGTGCCCCCCCCCCAAACCTCTACAAGGCGGTCTGTAGGGCGGCGAAGGGAGCTTATGAACCCCCAGGCGGCTCTGCGTAAGCCCCCTTCGCAGGGGTAGGGAGGCGTCCGGAGAGGCGCCTCCGGCTCCGGCTTTGCGCGCCACGGAAAGCGCTCCTCAGAAAGCGCACTTACCTGGAGCTGCCGCCGCCGCCGCCATGCCGGACTTCTTGGCCTCGGGGAAGCCGAGCTCCGGCCGGCAGCCAGAGGAGGAAAACCGACGGGGCGCTCCCGCTAATCGCGCGGGGCGCCTGGCCCCGTCGGCGCTGCGGGACAGAGAGAGAGAGAGAGAAGCGGAAGGGCTGGCTCCCTGCGCGCCTCTGCAAGAGCTTGGCTGAGGGCGGAGACCACTTCCTCCCTTTCCACTCTCTCCTGCACGAAAGTAAATGGGGGGTGGGAGCCAACCGCTTCTTGGCTGCTGGGGGGGGGGGAGATACCCCGGTGTGGTATATCACCCTGACGTCCTTTGAGAAGGATGGGTTTTTAATTTAATTTAATTTTTAAAACATAGCCCGGGGAAATAGACCCCTGCCTTGCGTTACCAGACAGTATTAATATGCAAAACAAAACTAGTACATCCTTCCCCTCCCCCCCCCGGTGTGGAAAAGTCTGGGCTATGCTATTTTTGATGCGTGGGGGTTTCATACCTGCCTCCATGAAGGAGGTGTTACAACACCCCTAATAAGAGGGACAGGTTATCCTATCAGACCGAACACACACTTTTACCTGTGGTTGATTTTGGTCTTGGAAAGGCAGTGCCCATCGTTGGCCATCTCTGAGCAATGCACTCAAAAGGGTGTTTATTTATTTGATTTATAGACCACCTTTTATCCAAAGATGCCAGGGCAGTGTACGACATTATTATAATTTATGGAGCATAATAATAATAAAATAATAATGCAGAGCATGAGAATAACAGGCCATAGATTATTTAATGGCCAAATGCCTGGGTAAAGAGGAGCGTTTTCACTTGGCACCTAAAGATGTGTAGCGAAGGTGCCAGGAGAGCCTCCCTGGGGGGAGCATTCCACAATCAGGGAGCCACCACTAACAAGGCCATTCTTGTGTTGCCGGCCCCCCCCCCCGAACCTCTCAGGGAGGAAGGACATAGAGAAAGGCCTTGGATGACAAACACAGGGTCTGGGTTGATTTGTGTGGGGAAAGGAGGTCCTTAATGTATTGATGTCCTGAGCCATGTAAGGCTTTATAGGTTGGAACCAGCAGTTTTAATTGGGCCCGTTAAATAACTGGCAGGCAGTGCTGATTTTTGTTACAATTATATTCACTAAGCATTTAGAGGCAAACTGCTTTGATATTTTTTCTACAAACAAGAGATATATAAATTTTATGCAACAAATAAATTATTGAATTTGAAATTTCTGAAACAATATGACAAATAAGCCATCCTTTGAAATTTACACTTATCCATATTTTGCATTGCGTTTCTCCAACCAACCAAAGTTTAAAAAATGGGATATAAAGTGAAAATAACAGACAAAAATGCAATATATAGGGGGGAATTGCTTGTAAAAATGTGAACCTTAATCAAAACTTATGAATATTTAATCACAAATTGCAACAGAAATGTGAAGAACTGAATTTTAGATCAGAAAAATGAGAACCCAAGATTGAAAAATCCTTCAATCCCCAGATCATTTGTGCTATGCTCCAGATCTCATGCCCCCTTGACATGATTTTTTTTCCTGTTCTTATTACACTTTTGGGCACAGTGCCAGGGAGACAGACCGCCTTCAACCTACCACCTTAATTTGCTCAGATACCTAGATTTGCATATATAGTGTATATACAAATTTGTTTCATGAGGCTGTGCTCCCAAGTCTTAAGTATCTAGCAATGTCCTTGATGTGAAACAGCCCGTTGCATTGTGAACACATTCCTGCTTTAAAATGCTCTTATTTTCACAGTCCTTGAAGTTGATCAGTGAGGAATACCGTACCTGTTTCTTCTGTAAATCCTTCTGTCTGATACTACTTTTCTTCCTTCCTTCCATGCTGGTCTGGTGCCCTATACTAACCCATAAGATAATTATAAGAGCTTGTGTTAGTGGTTACCAGTATAACCTGACAATTGGGCCAGTCTGTTACAATGCAATACACGCTTACTTAGGAGTAAGTTCCCTATGATCCACCTACTTCTGTAAACATGCACACAGGGTTATGCTATGAGTCTTTTGCAGCCCAAGCATTACACAAATGAATTTCACTGAGTCCAGCAGGACTTACTATTATTATGTATTGTTAGATACAAAAAAATTGTTAGTTGCTTTATCTTGCCCAGGGCAACCCAAAGCAACTTACAATAAACAGACAGACAATATACCCCATATTGTTATGTTGAAAACAAGAGGAAAGAGAAATACAATAAAAACATCCCATCCGTTTTCTCTCATATAAGCCTCAGTTGTTATGAACAAAATTTCTAAGTCATATTAAGTGAAGAATTGTCAGACTAGAACCTGGGAGCTCTGGATTCAAATTCCAACTCAGTAACAAAGCCCACTGGGTAGCCTTGGGCCAGTCACTGTCTCTCAGCCTAACCTACTTCACGGGGTTATTGTGAGACTAGTATGGAGACAGGGAGACATTACCCTAGGTTCCTTGGTGGATTATAAATACAGTGGTACCTCAGGTTACATACGCTTCAGGTTACAGACTCCGCTAACCCAGAAATAGTACCTCGGGTTAAGAACTTTGCTTCAGGATGAGAACAGAAATCGTGTGGCGGCAGTGCAGCGGCAGCGGGAGGCCCCAATAGCTAAAGTGGTGCTTCAGGTTAAGAACAGTTTCAGGTTAAGAACAGACCTCCAGAACGAATTAAGTTCTTAACCCGAGGTACCTTTTTTCAGTCAGAACTCAGCAGAACTCAGTTCTGGCATCTCTCAGGTGGGCACCATTGTCATTACTGTATAAGAGAACAAGGAAGGCATTCATAGTGAGTTCCGGCACCTATTTTTCTAGAAAAATAGTGCTGAATACAATATAAATAAGTAAATAATCTGGCATATGCACTTCTCAACATGGGCGTATCCAGGGGGGTGCAGTGAGGGGCAGCTGCCCCCCCAAATCAAGTAAATAAATAGAAATACTTAACAAACTGACCAATTGTATCACAGATAACTCTGTTCTGCCCCCCTAACATAATGCCTACCCCCTGTAAAATAAATCCTGGCTACACCCATGCTTCTCAACCCATATAAGTGTTTAGTTCTGCCGTCTCCCAACCTAATTTTGAGAATGATAAAGGCGCTTAGCATTATCTGCAGCCAATATTCCTTGGAATGTCTGTCGCTTTAAACCAGTTTAACTCTGGTTTTTGCTCTGGTTCGTGCATCAGTGTAAGAAAGAGCATTGCTAGCCACATCAGAAGTCCTTCGATTTAAGGACTCCCGCGGCACAGATTTTCCCTTTGGGCTACCATTGAAACCCTAACGGGAGCTCGCCACCTACCGCCTTTTCCAAGGTAAAGAAAGAAGTAGTTAACGTGTCGGCCGTCAGGTGTTCCTGGACTACATTTCCCATCATCCCAGGCGATATGAACCATGCTTGCTGAACATGCTATATCCATCTATCCACAAACAGTTCAATGGTCGTCTTATATTCTCGCGTAGCAAACAAATAACTAAATAAGTACCGTGGGCTCGACAACCGAAACATTCACTTCTGAAATCAAGACGCTTTGAACTTCCCAATCGTTTACGCGCTGCGTAAAATCCCACCGCGTCGGCGCAAAACCCCCAAAGGTTGCGCCAAGCCGCTGGCGGAGCTGCTTTTTTATAAATAATAATAATAAAAATAATCAGCTAGTGCCTCATTAAAACCCCAAGATGCTAGACATCTCTCTTTTTAAAACAATCCCAAAATAAGGGGACGCTAGCTCTCCCTTTGGTTGGAGTAGCGGGGAGGGAGAGAGCGAGAGCGAAAAGTCGATTGAATTTTGCGCGGTGTCCCTTGATACTTTTTCCTATCTGTATGTTTTGGGGTGGTGGGTTTTGTTGTTGTTGTTGACGGGAGCCACTGCTTGTCAAATAAATAAAAACTAGAATGTGTGCTCTTGTGCACGCGCACGCTCGCGTGTCCGCGCGCGGCGTTTTCTGTTAAATATCCGGTGCCGGGCTCCAGCTTCCTTTTCCGGCGGCGACATGGCGAAGGCGCGCGTGGTGCCGAGCGACTTGTTCCCGCTGGTCTTCGCCTTCCTGCAAGAAAACCATTTCGAGGGGGCGGCGCGGGCTTTCGGGAAAGCTGCCGGCGTGGTGAGTGAGGGGGCAACGCGGGGGGGGGCTGTTGCTTTTCTTTGGGGGGGCGGCGCGTGCGCGTGTCTGTGCGCAAGTGGAGGCGACAGGGATGCATGAAATCCCTGGAGAAGGGAGAGGGGTCTCGGGGGTCAGGCCTCTTTCCCCGCCAGCAGTGTGCCATAACCTCCAACATTTATCGGAAGAAAATATGGACGTCCCAAGGGGAGGTCTCCCCAGGTGAGGTGGGGGGACGACGACTCCATATTTGGAGGTCAGGGTTCAGATCCTGAACTGAAGGGGCTGGTTGGGGGCGTGATGGCAGTTGCAAAGGGGAAAACAGTTGGAGGGGAGCCTCCTCCCGTGGAGAGGCGACGTGCTGCGCTTGTCTCAAGGCAGCAGACGTTTCTCCTCTCTGCGCACGTGGGGGCTAGGGGACGTTTGAGTTTTTGCAACTTCCGCCTTTCCAAAATGAGGGGCGCGAAACATTGTCACGTGGCTGGGGAAGCCAAAGGTGTGTTGGGGTTAAATTAATAGAATTTAGTTGGCTTGGTAAGTAGAACGTGTGCAAAATGGCGTAGAGTCGTTTAAAAAACCTGTTGCCAAGTACTTGCGGTTCTATTCCATATTCATATTACTGTTATCATTCACCTGACATTTTCAGAAGGTGAAATTAAAATTGTTTCTCCGAAAACAGTTATGTGCTTGGTAGACTTCCGAAGCTAGATGTTGTCCAGTCACAAAAGCAATAGCAGATTTGAATTCCTCACAACCAGAAACATACTTTTAAGGCCCCTCATTGAATAAATTCACAGAAATTAAGTTTCACCCCCTAAAATGACATGCCCTAATGTGGGATGGAGGTGATCTGTGGCCTTCTGTGGAAGTTAGATAATCTTTGTTATTTATACATTAAATTTCTATGCCACCCTTCATCCGAGTACCACAAAGTTTTACAAAGCAATCTTTAAGGCAACATGTATATGAGCGAGTGGTAAGTAATTGATAAAGGAGGAAGGAAATGTGCTGATGGACTGAGGCAAAGAGCATTTACTTTGAGGGGCTGTTGGGTTTGTGGGTGGGGGTGGGGAGAGTGGATTATTAAGGATGGGCGAAAGCACCTGAAGAGCCCAGGGCAGGGGTCAGCAACCCGCGGCTCCGGAGCCGCATGTGGCTCTTTTAAACCTTTGCCGCGGCTCCCGGGCGGATACTAGCGAGGGGAGGAGGCGCATTGTGCGCCCCGACACTCCCCACTGTGGCGGGCGCTGTACTGGCTGTGACGTCGCATGGGGGCAGTGCGAGCGTTAGTCACGCACCGTCCCGACGTCACTTTCCCGCCTGCCCGCCCGCTACATTGTAAGGGGCATGTACGCTGGTCACTGCATTGAAAGGGGGCATGTACACTGGTCACTGTTTTGACGGGGAGTGAAGAACACACACACAAAAAAAGGTAACTTGTTAATTTAACGTTTATTTCTATGAGGAGGAGTAATTCTGAGGGGTCAAACAAAGAAATAATAAAAAAGTGACAAAAAAGTTATTTTTATAATGACGAGTTTTGCGGCTCCCAATTTTTTTTTCTTTGGAAACGGGTCCAAGTGGCTCTTTTTCTCTTAAAGGTTGCAGACCCCTGGCCCAGGGTGTTGGCAGCAGGAGGCTCCAGAATTCGCAGCACATGGTACTTGCTTGCAAGCATCATAACTTACTATCAAAAAGGTGTTTTTTCCCATATTTTATCATTTTTGTGTTGTGTTTGCATTTTAGACAAAACAAGACCCCAATGCCGCTTCTCTCCTTGATGTCTTCAACTACTGGCTGAAGTAAGTAGTGTAGTTTTTCAGAGAGAATTACTGCCTGTTGGTTCCAAACAATTTTTCATTGGTTACCTGTTGGTTTGTTTTAGTAAAGCTGTTCATTGTCAGTCTCTCTCTCTCTCTCCCCCCCCCCCCCATGCCAAACTAGGAATATGAGTGTGCGTAGTTCTGGTGAATCAGACTCAGGACTTGCCTATAAAAGATGCTTCACAAATTGGTATAACACCAAGTAAATGGGATGGTAATGGAGTATGAATTCTTTGACATCATCAGTGCCTCAAAGGAAGTCCTAACATAGGTCTAGCCTACGTTTGATTGGTTTCATCATGTGTTTTTTTAAAGCTGTTCTAACTTGTCTCTGTTGCTCCTAATGCATTGCTAAGCTTAAGCAGCCACACAGGCCCTACTATAAAGCAGGAATTCAGGGTATGGGGCGGAATGGCATATTTGTAGCAATGCCAGTATGCAGATGGAAATTTGCAGACCGGCTGTGGGTGATCCACAAAGCACACATGGTGAGGTAATACATATTAAAAGTCAATGGGACTACCTACGAATAAATGTGCACCGCTGGATGTTTATGGTAAAATATCATACGTGAAATGTTTATCAAACGTATTATTTCCCCCCAAAATGCTTGCTACACCAGTTGATTCACTGGTGACATTAATCTCATAGGTGCTGTGAGGACATGCTTTTCAAAGGCACACATTATTCTTTGCCGTCTTTATCCGCATGAATACATATTTATTTATTGCATTTGTATGCCTCTATCATGGATCATCAGGTCTCCTATTCAGACACTGACCAGATCCAGCTGCTTCTCATGTCTTCAGATCCTGCCCTGGGATCAGAGGAGAACCACATGTTCTTTTAAACTGGTTCTGTTGACCTTGACAAATCTAAATCCAACTGCGGAGGGATGAGAACCACCAAAGAAAATCTAGCGTGTACATCATCTCTCAATATTGGTACAAATATATATGCCCATGCATTCTCTTTATTTGTCCTGGGTTGCTTTGTGAGTAAACTTAGTTGTAAAAGTAAGCCACGTGTACCAATTCACAAGCATTGGGGTGGGGTGGGGTTTTCACATTGCGCTTGTGCAAATGGATGTAGTTCTGCGCATCCTGTTATTTGTGGGTGCCCTATGCACGTGTTTTTATCACGCAGCAGTGTAGCAGGGAGTGTTCAATTTTAATCATCGTTAGCATGAGGACCAGTTTAAAATACAGTTCCCCCTCCCCCCAGAAAACCCCAAAACGTGCAGTTCCTGTTTGTGCATACTTGAGAAATCAGGAGTAACACCCACCCACCCACCCACCCATGTGGATATGGAGTTACCACTACAGTGGTGCCTTGGGTTACATACTGTTCAGGTTACATACGCTTCAGGTTACAGACTCCGCTAACCCATAAATATTACCTCGGGTTAAGAACTTTGCTTCAGGATGAGAACAGAAATCGTGCGACGGCGCAGCAGCAGCAGCAGGAGGCCCCATTAGCTAAAGTGGTGCTTCAGATTAAGAACAGTTTCAGGTTAAGAACAGACCTCTGGAACGAATTAAGTTCTTAACCTGAGGTACCACTGTATTTGCGAGGGGAGGGAAGTCTGTTCAGCACTGATGCGGAGACACCCCACCCCGAAATCCAGGGAGTTCTGTGGTGCTCAGAAGGAGGTAACAGGACCTTCCTGGTTATTCTAGATGTGGAACCAAAGCCAAGAATGAAAGGATTCCGCTCTCTCAAAGTAGGTGCCCTGTGGTAGCCAACAATGCAGTCCTACCCATGTCTACAAGGAAGTAAACCAAGTTCAGTTTAATAGATCTTGCTGGATCCTAGAACGACAATAGTTATACCCCTGTTTCCCATCTTCCTTCAGTCAGTCCTGCATTCTTTTTTGGCTGCTGTTTCTTCTTGCCTATCTTTCCCCCCACAAGATGGAGCTTTTGATTCATTAGTGAAGGAGCTAGGAGAGAGGATTTAAACCTGAATATTGGTTGTGAGAAACCACAGGAGGGGGCAGTGCTCTTGTTGCTTGAATCCTGCTTGCAGGTTTTCCCACAGACACTTGGTTGGCCATTGTCAGAAGGGAGTGCTGAACTAGACGGGCCATTGACCTAAGTAATCCAGCAGCCTCTTCTTGTGTTCTTAGGAACAGAAAACTTAATACTGTCGCCTTTCCACCAGCACCTGGGGTCACAGATGAACCTCACACGCAGCTCAGTTACACAGTAGTGACTGTGATGTTTTCCTTTAGGTCGCCTGAAGCCAAAAAAAGACAAGCTGTTCCCAATGGCCCACCAGCGAAGAAGGCAAAGAAAGAATCTTCATCCAGTTCTGACAGCTCCAGTGAAGATGAGAAGCCCCCAGCTAAAAAACAAGGTAAATTATGCTAGTTTGCTCCAGTATGCAGATAAGTTGGTTCATACTTAGGTGTTGATTTTGCTTCCGTAAGGAGTAGCCCAGTTGCATCACTTGTGTGTGGAAACGTCTTTCTCCTCCCGTTGTTTCTGTCCACATTTGGATACGGATCACGTGCTCCTTGAACAATCCAGAGCAAATAAGTTATTCAGTGCCCTTGAGTAAAGGCTCCGTCAGCCACTATACCGTAATGTTTATCATAAACATAACTCAATGCAGTTGGAAGTCCATGGCCAAATAATATTAGGTAAGGGGGGCTGTAGATTCTTTAAGGAGTCCTACTCAGCAAGTGGGGGGAAATATGGAAATCATGTAAATCCACTTGAAGATTTTTTGGGGGAAGAAAACAAAATCCAACCCAAACTGAGGGGTATGTTTTACACGACTGATAGTAAAACCAACACATGCAGATGTTTTGCAAATGTAGCTTTATTTTAGGGTTAAAATAATCTGCTCAAAGGGTGGGAAGAAGTGGTTTTTTTGTTTTTGGAGGGGGTGCTCTTTGCAATAGCAACTTTTGCTGACTGCTGTCTGCCATTAAGATAAAAAAGATGGGGCTAGGTTCATTTCTAAATAACTCAGTATTTTCTTTTTCTCCCCACGCCAAATCTAGCAGCCAAGCCTGCTGCGGTAACCAAAGTGCCATCAAAGCCAGCTCCTGAGAGCAGCAGTGATGATTCCAGCGACTCTTCCGATTCAGAGCAAGAGAAGAAGTCGTCAGCAAAGGTGAGATTCTTGCCCTTGCTCCTCCTCTGAGTCTTGAAAAGTCCTAAAGATGCCCTGAAAGCTACAAAACATGGAAACTCATATGGCTCTGTGAGCTGGCCAGCCCTGTTTTTTTATTATTAGTGTTCTTAATAACAATGACATTCTTGTTTAGGAAAGAAAATAATGCGAAGGCGAAAAATGGTTACCATGCCCCTAAGATTTATGCTTGGTTGCTTACAAAGAACTCTCAACCTTTATCCAAAACTTTTAAAACATGGTGGCAGATAATTTTGGATATTGGGTGGAGGTAAAGGCCAGGACACGACGTCAGTGGAAATGAGGGTCGTTCTGGAAAGGGTTTGCTAAAAATAAATAAAAAATAAATTGGGCAGTAAGGGATGGGTTTTAAAGGAAGCAAGGGGAACCAGCTGAAGTTGTGATGCCCTGTTCTCCTCCAGGGAAGCTTTACTGTACAGACTATTTCCAAAGGTATTCAAGGGAACCCTGTGATTCCTCCGTAAAATCGGTAATGGTGGCAATCTTCTCTGAAAGGCAGTGAGGCCACCATTGTTCATCTTAACCTGCAATGCATAGGGGCAGAAATACGTGCTGTATATTCTAAACTGCCCTCTTGGTTCATATGGAACAGTGGTGGGGTCCAATAGTGGCCAGCGCCCTACGTAAAATAAGCATGCACACTAGAACATTTCCTGGAATCCTCTGCTATGGGTCTCCTGGTTGTTCCAAGTGTCTAGGAGACCCTTGGTGGGTATGGATTTATTGAAGCTATAATTCTGAAAGTGCTGGTTCTGGCAGAAAAGCAGGACAGGGTACAGGGAGGAACTGGCTACCAACAATGTTGCTCCCGCAACTTGGGACTGGGGCTGGCTAGCTTTTATCTGCCCCGAGGCATAGGGCGGTCCCGGTCCACAGGTGACTCGCCTCTCCTGGCCTGGAGGTGAGCACTCCTCCTGCAGGAACTTAGTTCCCTCCTCCTCTCTGCCCTGAGCCTCTGCAGCTCAGGAGAGGCTGGAGGGTTACTGGACCCAGAGGCAACCTCCGTTTCCTTTGACGGAGCTGAGAGTGGAGCACCTGCAGGCAATGGGTCCTCCATCACCTCAGGAGCCAGAGCAGACTCAGCTGGTGCCTGCACCTGAAGATCCAGCCCTGGCTCAACTGGTTCTGGAGGCGGGGAATCCTGTGCAGGCTGGGATTCCTCAGGTTCAGCATCCGAGTCCGAATCCCAGGCCATCACACCAACTTTTGCTGAAGACAGGCTTATAGTCAACTAAATATTATGTAAAATATTACTAAAGTAATGTGGCTTGTGGTGTTTACTGACTTCTCTCGTTAGAAGGGAACAGCTCTCCCGGTTAAGAAAGCTATCGTGAAAACAAAACCGCAGAAGAAACCCAGCAGTTCTAGTTCAGATTCAAGTAGCTCGGAAGATGAAGCTCCAAAGAAGCAGCAGCCAAAGCCAGAGGGAGTCAAAAAGGGAGCAAAGCCAGCTTCTAAGCCAGGTAACTCGCCTGCATTAGTGCAGAAAACCAAAATGCAGTTAACAAGTTCTCACAGGAGAGCTCTGAAAGGATTTTGTGGCTATTGAGTTCATTGAATACGTGTATAACCAGAGTTTTGTTCTGTAGACGCAGCTGACTTTTTTCTGTTACTTCTAAGTTTGGATCATTTCACAGACGATAGATACATAGGGCTGCCTTTGAAATGGTTTAGAAGTTCCACCTGGTCCAAGGGAGAGCTGCAAGATTAACTGGGAGGGTGAATCAATCACGTTATGCCAGGATCATACCAATTCAGCTGCCCCAGCTCCCATTGCGTTTCTGGGCCCAATCCAGAGCGCTAGTTTTAACCTTTAGAGCCCTTAATGGCTTGGAATCGGGATACCTGAAATACCACATTCTATGTCACACATACTTGCCGAAACAGTGAGATCTTCACAGGCCGTACCACAGGTGCCTCAGCCAGGTGACGGGCGAATATTGGGAACAGTGCCTGCTAAGTGGTGGCACCGTAGTTGTGGAATACCTTGCCCACAGAGGCTTGTCTGGCGCCGACTTTATGGTAATTTTTGCACCAGGCGAAGACTTAACTCTTCTTTGTTTTCCCGGGCTTTTTAAAAAGAGCTTGTGTTCTGAACCATGGTTTATGTGCTGTGTGTTTTTGAGACTGGCTTTTATTTTCTCTGCTGGAAATGTTTCTGCTACACCTGTTCTAGGTTACTGGGTTGTCGTAGAAAAGTAAAAGTTACAAAAGAAAAAAAAAAAAGGTCATTCATATCCAAATCACTGAAAACGGGGATAAAACCTGGACAATATGAATTTCCTTTTCTAGACCTCAGGCCTGTTGCAATGCTGAAGACCCTCCTTTATGATAGCTCAGTTGGTAGAGAATGAGACTTTTAATCTCAGGGTCGCGGGTTTCAGCAAAAGATTTCTGCATTGCAGGGGGTTGGACTAGAGGATTCCTGTGGGCCTTCTAAGTCTCTGATTCTATTAATATATGATTCTTAATGTGCTCAGAACAACAGTGGGTTTTTTTGACTGCATGATACCAACTCGTTAAGCCAAGTACAAAGAAATATGAATCCTGTTTAAAGTAAACTAAACTAATCTTGCTGAAAACAATAGAAAATGATGTTCACTGTTTTGAACTTTGGAAAGGGGCGGTAAAAATTATTGTAGCGCTATGCATATGCAATAGCTGGATTCGAGCTTTCTAATTTCCTCTGTGCATCAAATATTATTTGCTTTCCCAATCAGCAACAAAAGTCACCAAGGTGACGTCCAAAATTAAAATTACCAATGGCAAAGCGGAAAGTAGCAGTGACAGCAGCAGCAGCAGCAGTGAGGATTCTGATGCAGAAAAGCGTCCACCTGCGAAGGTAAGCAGTAGATCTTTGTATGGTGGCTAGAATTGCTAAGACTTGTCTTTCCTGTATTTATTTCTTGTTTGAAGGGAACTCAGTTACACAAAAGCATGGGAACTAGGCAAGCATACTTGGGGTGGAGGCTTTGTATGAGTTCTGTGGCCTATTTACACTTGGAGCATTCAAGACTTTATATGCTGTTTTCACAATCCTCTACTCAAGTCTGTCTTAGACTTGTGGCACACATGTCCGCTCCTAAATTCAACTTAGGAACTCCTCTGAGTTCATACAGGCTTACTCCCAGATTAAGCGTGCAAAGGATTGCAGACGTAATCTTCTAGCTGTTCCCTGTGAACATGGAGAAAGTCAAAAATTTCTCTTGACTTTTAGATTTTCTCCTTGTGAGATTATGCACCCCAGAATTTCTCAGCTGATACTGTGCCTCTACTATATTTGTATTGTGACTCCCCCCAAAATATTTTTTTTGAATAGATTTTATTAGGATTAATAAAAAGAAATACAAAGCTTAACATCAAATGTCTCTTTTTAATCCAAAACTAAGACATTGCTTTAAATGCAATAAAAACATAGGGGGGGAAGAGAGAAGAAGGAAAACAGGAAAAGTAGAAAGAGAAAGAAAGAAAGAAGAAGAAAATAGTTCAGATGTGGCTGCCCTTATTTTTATACATTCCTCAAAGCTTGCTATGTTCTACATCATAATTCCCGTAGATAGGAGTGTTGCAGTAGACCATAGCTTTGACTTTCAAAAATGGGGTTTTGATGAAGCTCTCACAGAAGGCTTTTAAGAGAACCTAGTTGTTATGTGGCAAAAAGATAGATCCTTTTTATAGGTAACTGTTTAAAAATAGGAAACAAGAAGTAGGAATGATTGATTGGCCATTCTAGGGAAGTGATTGAAAGAGCCCTCTGCCCTGCCCCGGTTTTCTATATTTAAATTGGTGCTATTTAGCAAACCATGCAAACAACAAGGTAGCAGTGTTTTCAGATTACACCAAATTATTACGTTTTTGTATACACTGGAAGCTGCCCAGAGTGGCTGGGGCAACCCAGTCAGATGGGCAGGGTAGAAATAATAAAATAATTGTTGCTGGTGCTGTTGTTATTGCTGAAGGCGTCTCAAGCAGAGTTTGATGAGCTCCAAAAGCATCAAAAGTGAAAACAGGATGACAGTTGAGAGAGTGCAAAGTAAAGTACTCTGGGACAAAAATAACTAACTTCTGATACTGATTGATTAGCTGCGTCTATCCAGGGAAGTTCTTGTGCTCTATTGGCAAGTTAGATAAAGAGTAATGAGTAAGTTCATTGGTAGAGGAGAGATATTCAGTATTCCATTCGCAGCAGAAAGGGCAAGTTCCATGTTGGGAAATGGATTAGAAATAATAGGGCAAGCTTCCTAAATCAGTATAGAAATCAGATGCAGTCAGATTTAGATTACTATGTCAAGACCATTTTTTTAAAAAAAATATGGATATAAAGGGCAGCCAGTGGTCCAGTTCTATGTGTTTTCACGAGGAATGACCTGCTGAGGTCAGTGAGGCTTCCTTCCAAGTAACTGGAGGACAGTAACCTCAAACTTGGCATTTGTAGCAATTATTCCTTTTTGCATGAGAACTAAGGCTGCAGCTCTTAAGCACAGTCCTCGCTATAATCAAAATGATTTCTCCGCATGGTGGGAAAGGAACCGTTTCACAGGGTTGTCTCCTCATCTGCAACATGGAAAATGGTCTATAACACACATTTATGCGTTAATATAGTTCAGGAAGTATTTCTGGTGTGATTCAGTAATGCTAGCCTGGTGTAAACAGTAAGCAGATGATGCTGTTAAGGAGAACATACATGTAGAAGCAGAAGTATTAGCAGTAAGATAATGCCACATTATTCTGCTTCTTGCATTGCTGCGTCATTTTACATTGCTTACGAAGAAAGAGAGAAAAGGAATGAGCTGGTTTTCATTTTTCATCCTCTTTCGACTCCTGGTATGTAGTTCGGTCCTCCTAGACAGCTACTTTATTCATCTGACAAACTAGACTCTAGCCCCACAAAACTTATGAAACAATACGTTTGTTGGTCTTTAAAGAATCCGTATGACTTCTTCCTGCAAGACTCTTTAACTATCCCTCTGGAATGAATTCTCTTTTAATAGCCTTTCATGTCTCCGGCTTGTAATTGAGTTGTGTGCCTGGTAGGGTAGCAAATGATTAGCTTTGGATGGCAATTGCTCTTCAAACTTCACCCTTAATGAATGGGCAACGGTGGGTCATCTTCTCCCCTGTAATAAGAGCGAGCCAAAGAAAACTCCGCAGTCCAAACCTGAAGGTTCTCGTCTACCCACAAAGAAGGAGAGCAGCAGCAGCAGTAGTGATGATTCTTCTGACAGTTCAGCAAGTGGGAAGCCAGTGTCAAAGCCCAAGGCAGGTGAGTTGCTGGCGGATGCTTAAAATCCATCCTGAAGCTCCAGTTGATTCCAGAGCAGTGCCACAAGATTATCAAATGGGACAGGGAAAATTGACCAGGTTATTATTCCAATGCTGAATAACGTACCCATCAGGGGGAGAGGACCCTGGTTACAGAATAGCATTTCCAGGGACGTTTACCCTCCTTGTGTTCTTTTGAAGACCTTTCTCAGTAGTTTTTGTAATTTTAAATCATGTGTTTTAACCCAGGGAGTGCAGCACGTTTTGTGAGTGCCGTGTCGCTGTTGGTGTTTTGACTTAATGGCTTTATATCTCATTTCGTATTTTAATTCTTTTGGGGGGGGGAATAAATTTTATTAGGATTTCTAAAGAGAAATATAAAGCTTAATATCAAATATCCCCTTTTTAGCAGCCAACGCTAAAACATTGATCTAAATACAATAAGAACATAGAAAAAAAGTGAAAAAGAAAAGCAGGAAAAATTATTATTGTCCATGCCAGGTCAGTCAACCTTTGCTACTGTGTCCTTTCTTTTAGCAGATCAAGATGATCAGGTGACAGCAAAAACTGTGAGGTTTTTAGCGGGGGGCAATTAGAATATGATCTATTGTTTGATTATTGATGTAAACCCCCAAAATGTATTTTCTATGGTTAAGTTTTTACCTCTATCTTCAGTATATTTTATTTTATTGCTATGGCTTGTGGCTAATGCAAATAAAGATTATTCTTCTCTAGAAAGAGAAATAAAGAAGTAATAGACAAGAGACTTAAAAAGAGAGAGAAAGAATAAAGTTCCGAAATTAATTATTTTTCGTGCTTGTTTATTGTAAGGTGCCCAATCTGTGCCTTCCTGGAATCTGCGTTAGATGTAACATGTAACATACGGGGTTTACTAGTCTGGAGATGGGGTGAATTATAGCCCCAGCCCTCTTTCCTTCCCCAGAGTTGGCCCTGCTGTACACAAACCACAACTGTCCCCTGCCTGCTGTCTCTTAAAGCTTGAGTAGAACATAGGCTTGCTTTCCCACCTGACAGAGCCAGAGGAAACACATGTCCTTCAAGCGCAGAGCTAGAGGGACGATGAGGAGACATGCGGCTTTCGCTGTAGCGGCTGGTGGAAGGTCCAGGACTTCCATAGGCTGTGTGTCGAAGCAGAGCAGTTACAAATCTTTGTAAAAGAGGGAAAGGAGAGGCATGTGGGCCTAGTCTGTGCCTAATAGGCACTGAGGCAGACCAAATGCCTGTCCCCTCTCCAGCTCTGAGCTGTTGGCAGACAAGGGTTTGTTTTCCGGCCCAACTCCAAGCTTAGAGCTGGAGAGCGGAGCAGGATATTCCCCCCCCCCCAAAAAAAACCCCCACAACTTTATGTTGTATTTCAGAGACATAGCTCAAGGTTAGAGACAAGACCCTGCCACTTGGGTCTGAGAGAACTACCAGCAAGATTGGCCATAAATGGTTGACTTCTTGCGGTATCACTTTGAGAAGCATATGCTCCACAGATCCTCTTGGCTAGATGATTTAAAACACACACACACAGTGTAATGTGACTAGCTTCATATTTGTCTCTCATGTTTTGGTTGTTGGCAGATCTCATTCCACCAGATTCTCTTTTGTCCCTTCGCAGGCCAGTACAGCGCTGTGCCACCTCCTTCGTCCATAGAGTCAAGGAAGGGCAAAGCACAATCTCTGCCTGTAAAGACTTCTAAGAAAAAGGTGGAAAACCATGATGAAAAGGAGCAGGTGCCCAAGAAGAAAACAGCAAGTATGTATTTGTGGAGAGGAATTAAACATTAAGGTGACGGCATCCATATTTGATGGAGGGGACTCAAAAGACAGTCCTTGTTTCGTTGCATTTTGGGCAGGGAGTTTATGCACATGTATAAAATAGGCTCTCTGTTGGATACTGCCTAATGACGTGTTAAAACTTCTAGAAAACTAAGGAAGCTTCCAAGGTTGGCCTTGGTTCTGTATATTCCAGAATTCCTGGCTTCTCTGGCTTGCAAAAGGCTTTGTACCAACAAAGAGATACGCCTGTACCAGTTGAACAAAGCCTTTCTCTGTCATGAAACATGTAAGCTTACAAGTCCCCGCAATCACTGGCTGAACGCACGTTAACACACACCTTTTATGCATCAGTTTAAAGTGCTTGCATGTCAGACTTTGATTGCAAAAGGCTAGGTGCCTTTTTTGGTAGCCTGAGATCAGGATGCTAGTAATTTCCCCAACTCCAGAAACCTTCGTAGTTAAAGGGAGTATGTCAGGACTGTTCTGATTTGTGCTGGGCTGGCTGCTTTTAAAAAGTCTTCTTGTACGTACATCTGGGTATGAGCGTTTGTTAGACTGGAATTGTTTGGGTCCCCTTGAAGATAAAGTTCAGTGAAAGCAGCCTGTTTTTCTTTGTAGCTAAAGGACCTGCGGCTAAGCCATCGCCTGCCCCCAAATCTGCTGCTGTTTCCAAGCAAAAAGAAGAGACTAGTTCAGACAGTGACTCAGGTGAGTACCACAAACAAGCACGTTCTCTGGATTCTTTATCACTGTGTCTTTTACTGAGGAAATGTTTGGATTTGCATACCATGGAGGCAATGAGTGAGACAGAAGTACCCTCTGTTTCAGGCTACCTGTCAGTTGCTTTTGATGTATACAACTGGTGCAGAATTACTTTGCACAGGGGATATCTCACACATATCCCATCTCACGCTTGATGAAGAATCGTGCTTAGGAGTGGATTGGGGGATTCTCTTGGACGTTTTATGTCCAGAGGCTTCAGGCAGAATAGCAGAATGAACGGGCCTTCTCTGTAGTAACTCCCCATTTGTGGAATGCCGTCCCCAGGGAGGTTCGCTTGACGTCTTCATTATATATATTTTAGGTGCCAGGCAAATGCGTTCCTCTTCAACCATGCCTTTAGTTGATTAATATTCTACAGCCTTTGAAATGTAACAGGGGTTGCTGTTTTGCTGTTTGGTTTTACCTATTTACTTGTTTTTATCCTGTATTTTATTCTGTGAACCACCCTGAGATCATACGATGAAGGGTGGTATAGAAATCTTAATACATAAATACATTTGTACCTTGGATCTCAAATGCCTTGGCTCCCGAACAAATCGGCTCCCAAACGAACAAAACCCGGAAGTGAGTGTTCTGGTTTTTGAACTATTTTCAGAAGCCAAACATCCGGGGGGGCTTCCGATTGACTGCAGGACGCTCCTGCAGCCAATTGGAAGCTGCGCCTTGGTTTTCAAGAAGAACCAAGGTACAAATGTAAATAAATACCTGACAATAATGATGCTGATTTATTACTTATACCCCGTCCATCTGACTGGGTCACCCCAGCTACTTGGGGCAGCTTCCAACAGAATATTTAAAAATCCCATAATGAAACATCAGACATTAAAAACAATCATGCCCCATAAGTCTTACAAGCTGCTCTTGTATATTCCTGAGGCTGGACTGTTGTTGGAAAGTTACAGTTCCATCACCAAAGTTCACCTTTGTATACTCTTGCGCATGTCATGGGGCAACAGAGAGCGATATCGTATGCCTCCCTGTTAGAGGCTTCATATACTGCTGGTAGGATGCGGGTGGCGCTGTGGTCTAAACCACTGAGCCTCTTGGGCTTGTCGATCAGGAGGTCGGCGGTTCGAATCCATGCAACGGGGTGAGCTGCTGTTGTTCTGTCCCAGCTCCTGCCAGCCTAGCAGTTCATAAGCACGCCAGTGCAAGTAGATAAATAGGTCCCGCTGCAGCTGGAAGGCAAAGGGCGTTTCCATGTGCTCTGGTTTCCGTTACGGTGTTCCCTTGCACCAGAAGCGGTTTAGTCATGCTGGCCACATGACCCAGAAAGCTGTCTGTGGACAAACGCCGCCTCCCTTGGCCTGAAAGTGAGCTGAGCGCCGCAACCCCATAGTCAACCTTTGACTGGACTTAATTGTCCAGGGGTCCTGGTGGAGTGGGATAGGTTGCTTGTTTAGCCTCCATTGATTCAGTGGGTGTTTTTTTGACCTGTACCACTCTTGAGGTCAGCGTAATAATTTATCAACGTTCGGCTGTAAGGTAGCATAGGGTTTGGTGTATGTCCACTCCTTGCCTATCATACTCTAGCCTCTACCCAGTGTTAGACTTCCTGCTGGTCATTGTTACATCAGCATATCTGTGATGTTGCACCACCTGATCTCCACTGGCAGAGGCCTATCTCGAGAGATGCTGGCACAACAGGGCTTTTGCAACGCTTTGAAAACCCCACCTGGCATATCTTGAGCACAGGACTGTAAAGCTATCATTAGCACTTCTGTTTGCTTTCGTTTAAAGCACACACCTCGCTTGGAATCTCTGCGGCGAGAGGTTAAAATGTGCTGGGACTTAAAACCACTGTCTTGTTTGGATTTTGTGCATAGATAGTAGCTCTGAAGAAGACAAGAAGCTTCCTGCCAAATCGTCTGCAACAAAGGTTGCTGCTAAACCCGCTCCGTCAAAGGCAGCGACCAGCTCTTCTGATAGCTCAGGTACCTGGGGTTACAAGCAGACAAGCTCCATGTTGATCATTACTGTTCCCATATTACGAAAAGATCTGGCCAGTTACACAGATCCCTGGACGTGTTCCTTGCCATATCTAAAACAAGTAAAAGCCACAATGCTGCAAGTACTTTGCTTGATTTTCTTCTACCACTCCTTGTGCCCTTTAGGCTTTAAGTGTGGCCCTGCCGATGAGCTTTAGGATATAAATCAGGGTTGGGTCCACGGCAGTGTCCAAGGGATGCATGTGACCCTTGAGGCCTTTTTGGGCGGCGCTGTGGGTTAAACCACAGAGCCTAGGACTTGCCGATCAGAAGGTTGGCGGTTCGAATCCCTGCGACGGGGTGAGCTCCCGTTGTTCGGTCCCAGCACATCAAAGTGAAAGTAGATAAATAGGTACCGCTCCGGCGGGAAGGTAAACGGCGTTTCTCTGTGCTGCTCTAGTTCGCCAGAAGCGGCTTAGTCATGCTGGCCCCATGACCCGGAAGCTGTACGCCGGCTCCCTCAGCCAGTAAAGCGAGATGAGCGCCGCAACCCCAGAGTCGGTCACGACTGGACCTAATGGTCAGAGGTCCCTTTACCTTTACAGCAACATTTTACGTCCCCACTTCCCCAGCCCTCACACTGCCTTCCCAAATCCCAAATTTTGGGCTTGTCCCCACCCCATGCAGCAAGCCAGTGTGTGACCTGCGGGTTCTCTTGCAGCCCACAAGAGACTGCCCTGATGTAGATGTTCCATAGAAAAGATAACCTTCCACTGTTTAAGTAGCCATTGTTTTTTATAAGGACTTACAATCACTTAACCGAGCCTATTCCCTATGTTTATTTATGCTCCAGTTAGCCACAGAAGAGGTGCCTGTCTGTTTAAAAACCGGCAAGTATCCTTGCTTCGTTTAAATTGTCTCAGTTGATCAATGAGTAAATATTCCAATCACTGCACAGGAAATGTGTACACATATATATCTCGTGTGCCAATTTGTCTGATAATTAGTATGGGCAGGGACCCTATAATTACCATATTTTTTGCTCTATAAGACTCACTTTTTCCTTCCTAAAAAGTAAGGGGAAATGTGTGTGCGTCTTATGGAGCGAATGCAGGCTGCTCATCTATCCCAGAAGCCAGAACAGCAAGAGGGACCGCTGCTTTCACTGCACAGCGATCCCTCTTGTTCTGGCTTCTGACATTCAGAATATTTTTTTCCCCTTGTTTTCCTCCTCCAAAAACTAGGTGTGTCTTATGGTGTGGTGCGTCTTATAGAGCGAAAAATACGGTAATCTCACACCCTCCTAAGTCAGCTTTCCTAACAAAATCCTTTCCCCTCCTACTTTTCCTTGAATAGTGAAAACACTGGTATTTGGATTCGTCCTGTGGGTGTACAACTTGCCCCATCTGAAACTGAACTGTGAAAATAGTGCCGAACCCGCACTGCTTTTGTCGTTGAAATTTCTCCTTTAAAATTTGCTTACCTAGATTCTGACAGCTCTGAGGATGAAACTCCTGCAAATGCTGCAGTTAAACCAGCTGCAAAGGCGGCAAAGAAGATTCCTGTGATGGTTGGAAAGAAGGCGGATGCTGGCTCTGGGGATAAGAGAGTTGCTCCCCCCAAAACTGGTGCAAAGAATCCCAAGTCAGGATCCAAACCTAGCCTCTCTGCCTCCCAAGCAAGCAGTTCTTCAGACTCCAGCAGCAGCTCAAGTAGTGAAGAGGAGCAGAGCAAGCCTGCCCAGAAGTCGGCTAAGAAGTCGCAGGCCAAGCCCGTTCAGAAGCCGGCTAGCAAATTGGCCAGCGGCAAGAGCACAGTGGCTTCGAAGCAAGCGGAGTCCGAAAGCAGCAGCTCTTCCGACAGCTCCAGCGACGACGAGCCCAAAGCGGCAGGGGAGGGGCTAAAGAATAAAGCCAAGAAAAACAGCAAGCCGTCGAAGAAAAAGGCATCGAAAGCTTCATCCGCGCCTGCAGGCAAAACACCGTCTTCCAAGACTCTTACATCTGAAGCAGCTAGCGATGGGGAGAGCAGCAGTTCTGATGATGAAGATGACGACGATGGGGCTGTCAATGGAGGTACGTCACTGCCAGCCAAGAAGGAAGTAGGGAATGCTGAATATGAAAGAAAGTTAATACTGTATGCAGGGTAGATTTGACTTAAATCACGATTTAAATCACTAGTCAGTAAGGCTTGATTTAAATCGTGTGTTTTTTGCAGAAAGACTCATTCTTGCTGTGCTGGCATAATCCTAATATTTACAACGAAAGGAAGGTTTCATTTTTGGAATAATAAATTTTCAGAGTGGTTTTTACAGTTATATCAAAAATTGCTGATTTGGTTATACTATTCGAAATACATAGATAATTATGAAATTATTGTGAGGTTTAATAAGTTAACTTTATGTTTGGACAACTTTTCTGCTGTACTTTATTGGAAGGGGAAAAACCCAATAATTTCCTTAATAACAATTTATTAACTAAAACAATAACATTATAGCATATGTATCCATGTTTGTTAACCGATGTGGTTAAACAATAAAAAACCCCTTAGACTATGTTTTAGCACACATGAAAAACTTAAATCCTTATTTCTTGATGAATAGCCTTTGGACTATAGTGTAAATTAAACAGGAAACTATCTTTAGAAATTTTTTTCCTCCAAAAGCATTTTATTTCAAAAATCCAATTTAAAATTTAAAAAAATCCAAATTTAAATTTTAAAAAAATTGTTTTTATTTTTAAAAATAAAAAACATCGTTTTTTATCCACCCTGACCGCATACATGAATGCCGCATGTGCAATCTTTCCCCAGTAACTGCAGTGCATCTTATGTTCAGTGGGCAGTCAAAAAGAATATGGGTCATTAAAGTAGCACTGGATATGGGTCACAACAAAACATTTCTTACTTTTACTCCCACCCCACCCCACCTGACTGCTTATTCTATGCGCTGTTCTCTTACATTCAGTAAGATATGATTGTGTTAGGGATGCGGGTGGCGCTGTGGGTTAAACCACTGAGCCTAGGGCTTGGCGATCGGAAGGTCGCGGTTCGAATCCCCGTGACGGGGTGAGCTCCCGTTGCTCGGTCCCTGCTCCTGGCCACCTAGCAGTTTGAAAGCACATCAAAGTGCAAGTAGATAAATAGGTACCACTCCGGAGGGAAGGTAAACGGCGTTTCCGTGCGCTGCTCTGGTTTGCCAGAAGCGGCTTAGTCATGCTGGCCACATGACCCGGAAAAACTGTCTGCGGACAAACGCCGGCTCCCTCGGCCTATAGAGCGAGATGAGCGTGCAACCCCAGAGTCGTCCGCAACATTTACCTTTTACCTTTATGATTGTGTTGAAACACGGCAGGCCAATCCAAGAAGAAACGAAAAAGGGAGGACAGCCAGGGGCAGGAGACACCAAATGCGGGGAAGAACAAGAAACCCAAAACACCACATACGTTCCCCAAGATGAAGCGGGTAAGAATCATGGTGTTGTAGAGTCGGGAGGGACCCGGGGGTCATCTAGTCCAACCCCCTGCAATGCAGGAATCTCAGCTAAAGCATTCCAGCAGATGGCCACCCAACCTCTGCTTAAAAACCTCCAAGGAAGGAGAGGCCTACAGCCTCCTGATGGAGACCATTCCACCACCGAACAGCTCTTACTTTCAGAAAGTTCTTCCTGGTGTTTAGTCGGAATCTCCTTTCTTGTAACTCGAAGCCATTGGTTCGAGTCCTACCCTCCAGAGCGGGAGAAAACAAGCTTGTTCCCTCCTCCATGTGGCAGTCCTTGAGATATTTGAAGATGGCCACCATATCTCTTCTCAGTCTCCTGGGGAAGACTGAGAGGATCTCGGGAGAAAGGGTGGAATTGCCTTCTTGACAAGAGCTGCGAAAAGCTTTCATCTCTGTTGGTTGTCTCCTTTTACCCTGAGAAACCTTGTTGAGGTGCTATAAATTTGCCAGGAGCAGCCTGGCATCTGTGGTTCTAGTCCAGGGGTTGGCAAAGTTTTTGTGGCTTGGGCCGGTTCAAGGTCCAGCAGACGCCACGGTGGGCCAGGCCAGAGTGCGCACGCATGCGCAAACACTCTTTCCGGCGCGGAGGAGGTGTGCGCAGCTTCCCATTGGTTGCAGGAGCTTCCTGCAGCCAATGGGAAGCTGGCCAGCGTCGCAGAAGGTGGTCCCTGCTCTGCTCCGCGCTGGTTTAGCACGGCGCATGGAAACCGAGCGGGCAGTGGGGGTCCATGGGCCGGTTAAACGACTCGCATGGACCGCTTGTGGCCCATGGGCCTTAGTATGCCGGCCCCTGTTCTAGTCACTGGGGCATCATGAAGCATTTCTGTCCCAGGAAGATGCTTAACTTTACAGTTTTGGTGCATACGGCCATAAATCCAATGTAGTTTGGGGCTCATTGCTTTAAATTAGCACGACGGCTACTGCAGGAAAATACCAAAATACCAATTTTCTTTCGACAGCAGTCCAGTCCTTTCCGCAGAGTAAAAGCAGAAGAGATTGAGGTGGATGCACGAGTAGCAAACAATTCATTTGATGCCAAGGTAAGAGGAAGATAAGAGTTGCATTCCTCCAGACTGTAGTTTGTACAAAACTGTGGAATTTTTGCGCAGTCTAGGACCTGTTTGCTTTAGGGAGCATTGCCTCTTCAGTAACTACTCGGTGTTCTTTTGCTGACTGGTGGTCACTGACTCGCTATATCTCTTCCAGAGAGGAGCTGCGGGTGACTGGGGTGAAAAGGCCAACGAAGTCCTGAAATTTACAAAAGGGAAATCCTTCCGACACGAGAAGACAAAGAAGAAAAGGGGAAGTTACTGCGGCGGCGCGATCTCCACGCAGATAAACTCCATCAAATTTGAAAGCGACTAAACTTCAGTTGCCTCCTCAGAATCCAAGGCCTGAGCATGTGAAAAGATGCGAAGTGTAGTGGGATCTCTCTTCCACAAAGCATCAACTCTTGTATTGGTAACATGGGAAGATGGTTGCTCTTTTGCGTAATGACAAAACTTAGCCGTGTCTGTGACTGTCTCTTGAGGACTTCTCAGACTTTCCTAATTAAGTACAAACTTACTTTTAGATGACACAAGTTCAGTTCTAGCAGACCTCATGAAGCAATATGTATGTTGTTCTTGTTTTGCTAAACACCCCTTTTTAATCTTCCAACAAATCTAACATTAAGGATGCACCGAAAGTGACATTCATCTCTATTGCTCGGCTCCTTGGTAAGGAATCTGGTCTTGCCTGCTGTCAAAAGGGTGATCCCACCTTCGCAATCTCGCCTATCATTTCCCCCCCTCTTCATTTGGGGCATTCATAAAACATTTCTATAATCTCTAAGAGCTGGGCAATTTGGTTAAATCCAGGCAAATCTCCCTTTTCCTATAAATGGATTGGCTATAACTACTTGAAAATCCCTGAGTTAATTTTTTGGGCCATCGTTTTTGTAGATGAGGCAACAAAAATGTCTGCCTGTTTCCTTTCGGTTTCTCCAAAAGCCAGGAAAATACCCAAGGGTTGAAATAGCTCCAGAGTGCAGGGCCACTGATTGTTATCTACGTTTTGGCAAGCATGTAATACCTTCGAGGGGAAGTAAGAGTTCTTGCATGGTGGCTCTGCCAACTAATATGTCGCTCGCAATGGCCGTTCTTATTTGGATAGTGTGCAGTTGGGCCCGTTGAAGCCTTCGTCCATCTGCTTTGTTTTGTTTTTGGGGAATGTGATGACTTTTTATTTCCCAGAGATGGCCAGGTCCAGTTAAGGCTCTTACGTGAGAAGCTTGCAACCTCAGGCATGTTAATTCTTGCTGATGTGCTTCAATGTGGCCAGAGAAGCCACAATGCTTCTTTAGGGTGGAGCCTGGACGCCTGACCTAGAATCCAGCTGCTAAAAGAAACCGGACCTGTTCAAGAAGTACCATCTGATGATGGAAAGATGGGAGAAGTGGTTGTTGGGAGCTCTCACCCCACCCCACCCCCAAAGAGAAAACCTTCAACCATGTGTTTCCTCCATTTGGAGCATAAAAGTAATAAGACCCAGCAGATTAACTGCGTGGGAAGCTGGCTGTCAAGAGAGAGCATTTTAGATGTTTCCCTGTTGTGGATATCGCTGTACTTCGGAATCCGTCCACAGTAAATGCTATGCCAGCAATGTCTGCGGGTTAAAGACAAAACAGCCAAGGTTATAATGTGTCTTAATGCCCCAAAGGGCTATTCTTTTCACAGCCTTGGCCCCTTGCCCTTTGATGTCTTCAGATTCCATTGGCATGGTACAAGAAAACTGGCAAGACTCAACTCCTTAATGGTGTTGGGACGGTTGGATATTTTATTTGAATAGACAAACATTTAGTATAATAAAAATGTTTTTAAAATGTCGATAAGGGTGGTTGTTGTTTTTTAATCCAGACCTAAGGGTGTTTGAATTGAGGTGGACAGAAATTGCTTTATTAAGTCCCTAATGCACTGGCATTTAACAGGGCATCTTTTCAGCCCCAGTTGGGAATGGTAGAGCTGTGCTCATTCCATATATACAAAGAGTTGTTTGATGGGGGGTGGGCAAGGTAGGGGGAGGGGACCTGATTTGTCAAGAGGCAGTTCTGGGTGACTAAATGCTTCTGCCTAACATGGGTGGCACTGTGGGTTAAACCACAGAGCCTAGCACTTGCAGATCAGAAGGTTGGCGGTTCAAATCCCCGCGACAGCGTGCGCTCCCGTTGCTCAGTCCCTGCTCCTGCCAACCTAGCAGTTGGAAAGCACGTCAAATTGCAAGTAGATAAATAGGTACCACTCCGGTGGGAAGGTAAATGACATTTCTGTGCGCTGCTCTGGTTCACCAGAAGCGGCTTAGTCATGCTGGCCACATGACCTGGAAGCTGTACGCTGGCTCCCTCGGCCAATAAAGCGAGATGAGTGCCACAACCCCAGAGTCGGCCACGACTGGACCTAATGGTCAGGGGTCCGTTTACCTTTACTAAGGTCTAGGAGTTCTCCTGGATCTGTCAAGGTGGCAGCTAGCACACAGCCTTATATCCGGCTCTGACTGATTTGGGAACTTCACGCTGTGCTGGGCAAGGAAGTATCTTTCACCACTCTCAGACGCACCATTGTTCTGTCCAGATTTCATGAAAAGGGGTGTTTGTCTGGCAGCGGTAAGAGCTCTTTCCTGCCCAGGAGAGCACGCAGCTTCTGCGTTTTGTGCCAGCTCCCACCTAGGCAGCCAGGAGCAGGGCAATATCTGGAACAATCCTCAGATAGCCTTAAAAGCCACCCTGATCTTTAAGGCAGAGGGTGAGGCACAGGGGACCAGAAGATCTTCTCCATCTACCCTACAGTGCCTTCTCCCACCACCCTGCTGCAGTTAGGTTTTTAAAACCTCCTGGAGCCAGTAAGTGTTCTTCTCCAACCAGAAATCTAGCATAGGCACAAGCTTGTTTTGTTGTTGGGGTTCCCTGCCACTCGCCCTTCTCCTGCATCTTGAAAATGCCAGCAACTGGTTTCCAAACCAAGCATTTTCCAAAGTATAATTGCCCTGTGTCTGTAATTAATTGCAGGAGTATCTTGACTCTTCCCACTGTCTGGCTCACACCCCACTCACTTTTGGAATGTGGCTTGCAACAAGAGGTGAGAGTGACTCTCGACCCAAATAAAATGTCCAGGCCCCACTTTTAAAGAACAACCTACCTCGCGGTTAATTGGGTCTCTTCCCTCCGCCCCAATACAAATCTTATCTGGAGTGCTAACTAGTTTTATTAGCTCTCATCTACTCAAATTAAGGACACCTGCTGCTCTAGCTGACACAGATGAAAGGGGAAAGTAGAACATTAAAAAATAGAACATTGAACACTTTCTTCATATGGCTGGTTTCCAGTGCAACAGCACCCAGCCTACGAAATGGAAAGTTGTGGGAACTTCACGCCAAAGGAACTGCAGTCGTCTTATCGCTAGTTGAAGCCTGCTGAGGTCTGCATTGGATCCGCTATAAAGCCATCCGTCTATTTCCTACCCAACACATGTGATCCAGGATCAGGCCTGTGTAGCGTGTCAATTACATAGGTGCAAAAGGAGCAACTTGAAGGGTGCTAGTTAAATGTTATGCTATCTACTATCATCCAGCAACTGTTTAGTTGTGGACAGCTCCTTGAGCAAGAAGGCTCACTTTATTTTCTGATATCCTTCATTATTTTTTATAATTTATAATTATATTATTATCCTTCATTATCCTTTATTTATTTATTTATTTTAAAAGTCATCTCTGTTAATGGCCAGTACCATAACTAGAGGCGGGCACATTTCCTGCCCAGATACAGATGGGCTTATAGGTGCAGTTGAGACTGGGGGGGGGGGGGGAGTGTGCATAGTATCAGTTTAAAGTTGCAGGTTCTCTGAGCACTGGAAAGACTGCCTTTATTACTGGACGCAGCGTTTCCCAAATCTCCAATGTCCTGGAGCAATGTGGCAAACTCAAAAGTCAGCCGGTCTTAGGCAACATCTGACAGGCAACTGCACATGTTCACTTAGGAGCAAGTTGGATTGGATTCAGAGGGATTTGGTTCTCTGGAAATGTGAACAGCCTCATTCTGCAGCCCTAAGTATTTCCTGTTCTGCTACTATCCAAAAAAGTCACGGGCATCAGAGCATCTGAATTGTGTTTGCTGCTCGCCTTCAGTTTATTCCTATTCATTTTCTCCTTCTGTGCTATTATGATGTTTGTTTGGGATCTGCATTACAGTGGTACCTCGGGTTAAGTACTCAATTCGTTCTGGAGGTCCGTTCTTAACCTGAAACTGTTCTTAACCTGAAGCACCACTGTAGCTAATGGGGCCTCCTGCTGCCGCTGCTTTTCTTAAGCTCAGATAGGGCTCTCTCTCTCAGCCCTACCTGGAAATGGCAGGACTTGAACCTGGGACTTGCTGCGTGCAAAACATGACCTGCCACTGAGCCCTTTCTCTATTTTACGCTAACCACTCATAAGAAAAATGACAACCCACGCTTGGTTCCAAGAGGGACTTAGAGCGGATCAGTCTGCTAGGGTTAGGAACCTAGGATTCTGGAATAAAAGAAGCACCTTGCTATGTAAGAGTAGGAAAACAAAAATTCTGGCTGGTAAATACACCATTACTCTCCTTAATTTTTTTTTTTAAAAAAATCATTGTGTTGTCATGACGGCAGCCAAATGTTGAGCTGCATCTTTGTGTGGGGCGTCCCCAAGGGCTAAGTGTGCTCTGTCCCCAGTATCAAATCTGGTTCTCTTTCTCTTGCCTCGGTTAGGCAACAGGGTGAGCACACAAATTAAAGGGGAACGAACCTGTTCCTAGCGTGCAGCTTTAGTTACAGGCATACAATGCAGTTTTAATAGGGTGGGACACTGGCGGAGAAGAATGGAATCATTGTTGACAAGAGAGCATCACACACATGCGTCAGGGTGGAGTGTGCACCTGTTTGCTCTTCCACTCAGCCATGGCTTTCCATTCAGGTCAGTCTCCCATCTGGCTTTCCATTTCTCTCTAACAGCATTTCACAGCCATTGCGCCCGACAGTCCCCCATTGGCCTGGTTTGGTGGGCTTCTCCTTCAGAATTGTTTTTCTTCTTCGGCAAGCTTTGGGGTTGCTCCAGATCTACTGCTACCTCTTGCAGGGGTGGGGCCATTTGAACACCAGAAACCATTAATGAAGATTGTTTATTTTGCTGCTTGAAGTTGCCCCAATATTGTGCCTCATTCAGCCTACTATTAATAAGACTGCCTCAAGGGAAATCTTTAAAAATGTAGTATAAACACCGACAAATGGGAAACACTTGCCTGTGAGTGTTCCAATTGGAGAACAGCCTTTTCTAAAGCTGTCATGGGCTTTGAAGACACTCAGACTCAGGACGCAAGGGAGAAACATGCCAAGAGGAAGGCACACTTGGCAAACCCTCACCGTGATCAACTCCTGCCCAGAAACCAATGTCCCCACTGGAAGGATGTGTGAATCCAGAACTGGCCTCCACAGTCACTTACGGACTCATTGTTAAAGCCGTGTTTATGGAAGACAATCTTACTCTGCTACGAGTGATCGTTAAAGAAAAAGAAGATGATTAATAATAAAAATAAATAAATAATGAATACTAATGTTCAATGGCAGCTTAGCCTCACAGAGTGGTTGCAATCCATAGCTTGTTTTTAGAGTCTGCTAGCCTGGTTTCAGTAACTCGTAATATGTTTTTAATAATAAATAATAAATTACAGTTAATAAGTTACGGATTGCAACAGCCCCGTGAGAGGCTATGCCACTGAGCAGCAGTAGGTGTGGGATTGTTAATAATAATAATTTATTTCTATGCTGCCCACCTGACTAGGTTGCCCCAGCCATTCTGGGCAGCCTCTAACAATCAAAACATTAAGCACAGTAAAACATCGAACATTAAAAACGTCCCTGTGGGCTGTTCCTTCCAACCCTATAATTCTATGCTTCTATGAATAAGGGAGGCAGGGAGAGAAGGGATTCAGTCCTTTGCCCAGTGCCACTCTGCAAGCAGCAGAGAAGGCGCCAGGTTTTTTCCCCCAACCTGCAGGAGGACATCCACTTTGATGCTGATCCCAAATGTGAAACTTACTGGAGCAGCAGACGCAGTGGCGTAGCGTGGGGGGTGCAGGGGGGGCCGGCCGCACCGGGCGCAACATCTGGGGGCGCGCGCTCGCACCCTAATCTAGTGGAAGAGACTCGAGTGCTAAAATCCACGGGTTAGGGGGCGCAAATTACTTGCCTTGCCCCGGGTGCTGACAACCCACGCTACGCCACTGAGCAGACGTCACCCTGCCCGCCCTCCTTGTAAAATTGAAACTGGGTGTTGTGGCAAATTGGTACCTTGGTTGCCACAGTTGATGAGAGGGAAACAAAGGCCGCCCCCTTCTCCCTTTGGCGAAGCTTTTCCTTCTGTGAATTTGGCAACAGGCAGCGAAAGATCCGGCTGAGCTTTGATGGCGTGGGTTTCAAAGAAGGTGCTCCAGCTTCTTCCTCGCAATGAGAAACAGGTGCCTGCCCATCTTGTGTAGGCTGAATGGCAGCTTGCTGGCATGTCTGTTCCTGTCTAGTTGCACCTGCTGAGCAGCTGCCTCTCCTTAAAAAAGAGAGAGAGAATAGGGTTGGTGGTGAAAGGAGACAGGCACACACCAGACGGGTTGCTTGCTTGCTTGAAGCATCCCCATGTTGCCTTTTGGGTCAGATTGCGCGGGGGGTGCCTTTTCAAACCGCTCTTCCTTCGCGTGCACGCGGGCGCGCGGCGGAGGTGCGGGGTCTCTGCGTTGTAACATTTACCTCCCAGCTCTCCTGCAAGGAGCTACAGGTGGTTCTTCTATCCCTTCCCCCATTTTATCCTCGCAGCAGCTCTGCCGGTTGGTTAGCGGGCAAGCACCCAGCGAGATGCGCGGGGATGCTAGCCTTGCTCTCCCCCAGGCCCGACAGTCCAACACCTTCAGCCGCTGTTACGCCACCCTGGGCCACCGGGGCCTTAGCTTCCATCTCCTTCTCCTAGAAATTGAACCAACCAGCCGAGCCCAGGACTTACTGGCTTAAAAAAATGTGGGGGCGGGGGGGCGGGAGAAATCCCACCACGTTCTTCTGTTAGACGGCGAGGGTCCAACCACGCGCGGAGCTGTGCGTCTTGCGCACCCCTTGGAGACTGGAGAGGTACCCAAAGCGGTGCAATTTTACGCGCTTACCCGGAAGCAAGCCCCACGGGACCCTGTCCCGTCAATTCCCTCAGAGGGCCGCAGAGGGGCCAACTCTTAGGGGCCCAAGGTCCAAGCCCCTCAATAAAATATTCGAGGGGGCTGGGCCTCCCCGAAATTGATGGGTATTGCCATTCAAAAATAATGTGTGTGTCCGGGTCTTGCGATCCATTATGTAGGGCAGGGCTTACCTGGACACACCCCCCCATATGTTATTCAATTGGCACTCCTGGAGAGGGCCCACTCCCCCCTGCTGGGCCAGAGGGACCCCATCTTGGCTTCTGGGCTTAGGCGGAGAGCAGGCAGGGCCGCCTCTGAAAGGCGGCGAGGCCTTGCCTCCCGCTGCCGGTAGGAGTGCCTCCCGTGGGCCGAGCCCCGCCCCGCCCCGCCTGTTCTCCCCGCCGCCCGGGGCGGGAAGCGCAAGGCAAGAGATGGGACAGGACCAGAGCCAGCCCAGCCACCAGACGAGGCACCGGGGAGCACCAGACGGACGCCAGGGACCCCGCTTCCGCGGGCGGGCAAGGTGGGCAAAGAGAGTCCCGGGAGGATGGGGGTGGGTTGTGGGCTTTTCTCCTTGGGGTTTTCCCTGCTGCGTTGTCCTCACCCCACCCCACCCCGCCACCTCCATCCCACGACTCTAAGGGACGCGTTTACGCATTAGCACCCTCTTCCCCCTTCGCTTCAATGTTAACTCATCTCCCAGGGGCGCTTCCAGGCCGGGAAGATGGGGGGGGGGGCTGGGCTCAATGTTTGTTGTTGTTTAGTCGTGTCCGACTCTTCGTGACCCCATGGACCAGAGCATGCCAGGCACTCCTGTCTTCCACTGCCTCCCGCAGTTTCTTCATAGCTTCGAGAACACTGTCCAACCATCTCGTCCTCTGCCGTCCCCTTCTCCTTGTGCCTTCCATCTTTCCCAACATCAGGATCTTTTCCAGGGAGTCTTCTCTTCTCATGAGGTGGCCAAAGTATTGGAGCCTCAGCTTCAGGATCTGTCCTTCCAGTGAGCACTCAGGGCTGATTTCCTTCAGAATGGATAGGTTTGATCTTCTTGCAGTCCATGGGACTCTCAAGAGTCTGCTCCAGCACCATAATTCAAAAGCGTGCTTTGCAATATTTCAGCGATCGCAAACAGGACCTTGGTGGCAGGTTTGGCTTTTTCTAGTTCGCGTGACAGGTGTGCGCAGAGGTTGTACGATGACGCCGTCGAGTGATGGTCCTTTCTGGCTTGCTTGCGGGCCGGAAGGCTCTGTGACCTCGCCTCCAGCAGTTGACACCCCATCTTTCCCTTTCCCCTCGCTTCCCACCAAGGACGCTTCCTGGGTAGGATCTAATCACTGCCTGGCAAATGTAGCTACGAGTCTTTTAATCGTTTGTCGTGGGTTCGAGCCCTGCGTTGGGTGAAAGGTCCCTGCGTTGCGGGGGGTTGGACTAGATGACTCTTGGGGTCTCTGGAGACTCTACAGTGCTGTGATTCTAAATTCTGGTTGTGCAACTGCCCTTGATGCGGAGGCCTTGTGCAATAAATAAACCAGTTGCCCTGAAAGATTTGGTGATTACAACAGGGATGTGGAAATGCGCTTGGTAATGCAATGGAGGTGACTGTTGCTTGGCTCAGCTTCTTTATCTAATCCCCTGGCAAACAAAGCAAGTATGGATGCTCTACCATCTTTGGGTAGCTGAAAAATTGTGCAACCCTGCTCTTGTGCTACCCAGGAGAAGGAGATGAATATGGAGGCAGCAGACACTGCTCCTGCAGCAGCCACCTCTGCTCCTTGCTTGCCTGCGCAGCACAGGCAGGGCTACAGAGGCAGTGTGGTGCAGTGGTTAAAATGTTGGACCCAGGACCTGGGAGGCAAAGGTCCAAATTCCTACTCAGCCGTGAAATCCACCAGGTGACCTTGGGCTGTCTCTCGGTCCAAACTACCTTACAGGGTTGTTTTGAGGATAAAACTGGGGAGGGGAAGAACTGTGTACGGCGCCCTCAGCTCCTTGGAGGAAAGGCAGGATGAAAATGTGAGGATAATTATAAGAAAGGCCAGCTGGGAGTTGGAACAGCAGCAGCAGCAGCAGCAGCTGTTCTCACCTGTCAGCTCCCTCTGGCCAAGAACACTGGGTCCATCTCATTCTGAGAGTCTGTGGCGGAGTGAATGGAGGCAGCTGCTTCTTTGAACAGCCACTTACCTGCTTAGGGTAGGAGATGGTGCTGCTGGTTTGCTGGGAGGAAGGGCGCAGTGACCCAGTGGCAACTAGGCAAGATTTGGTGCCAGCAGTTGCCAGTCTGACAGGGACAACCGCTAATCCTGTCCCTGCCCCATAGGGCAACCTCAAGTAAAGGAGGTTACCTGAGCCTGTAATGACTGTGCGGAAGAAGGAACATCGTTCAAGGCAGGGGTGGGCAGCCTGTAGCTTTCAGCCTGAGTTTGGGGGTCTTCAGCCTGGCTTTGGCCATTCAGTCCTCTGGCAGGAGAAACCTGCCTTTCCTCCTGTGGCCTGCTAGACAGGAAGGTGACGGGTAATGAGACAGAGGAGGTGGCAGATTGATGGGTGTTTCCCCCCCGCCCCCACAACAGATGGTCCCTGAGGAAACGTGGTCCCTAACAGATGGAGATTGCCCACCCCTGGCCTAACAGTGGTTGGACCAATTTAAAAATCACAAGGAAGCAAATTTGATCAGTTGGTTAGAGCACAGTGCTGATAATGCGAAGGTTGCAGGTTTGATCCCTGCATGGGACAGCTGAATATTCCCGTATTGCAGGGGGTTAGACTAGATGATCCTCAGGGTCCCTCCCAACTCTACAAACCTATGATTCTAAATTTAATATAGGAGCGACTGCCCTTTGCTTTTGTTTTAAAAGGCATTGTAGGAAAATGTGCCGCTGGTACAGGACAGGGTAGGAGACCCGTCTTCAATACAGCTGCAGCCTTAAGATGGGGCCAGCCAATCCAGGGCCGGCCCTGTCATGAGGCAGAGGGAGGGAGCTGCCTCAGGAGGCAAATGCTGACAGGTGAGGAGAAGGCAGAGCTCTGTGTGTGTGACCTGGTCTGCCTTGCACCCCCTGAGATAGCCTGCTGCCTTCAGAGGCAGTGGTGGATGCTGTTGTGCTGCCAGCAAAGTAAGATTCAGCAGCTAGTCTGCTTGGCTCTTGTCCACAGAATGGGAGGGACTGCCATCTTGTCCTTTGCCTCAGGCGGCGAAAGTTCTTGGATTAGGGCCGCGGCAGCCCTGCATATACTTACCAGGCAGTCGGCCCTTTTGAACACAATGGGACTGTTATAGAAACCCACAGTTACTTGTTGTGAGGGGAATATTGTGAGTGGATGCAAGGTCTTTTCACAATGGTACCACTTTATGAAATCCTTTCCCCAAGTTTTTCTGACACTTTCTTCTTCTTACTTTCAGTGCCAGGTGAAAACCATTTAATTTGCCAAAGGTGTTTTTTAAAAAAATCTGTCTAAGAGCAGTGGACTCGTAATCTGGTGAACCGGGTTTGATTCCCCGCTCCTCTACATGCAGCTGCTGGGTGACCTTGGGCCAGTCACACTTCTCTGAAGTCTCTCAGCCCCACTCACCTCACAGAGTGTTTGTTGTGGGGGAGGAAGGGAAAGGAGAATGTTAGCCGCTTTGAGACTCCTTCGGGTAGTGATAAAGCGGGATAGCAAATCCAAACTCCTCTTCTTCTTCTTCAGCTTTAAAAAAAATTCTGTGCTGCGCTCCTCCCCACCATGTTCCACTGTTTTCATTATTGTAAACCTCCCTAAAATCCCTAGAGCTGTAGAGTTGGAAGGGACCCTGAGAGTCATCAATCCAACCCTCCGGCAAGGCGTAGCTCCCTGAGGGCTTTGGGGAGAAGAGCAGCCGGTACTCTTTTTAAGCTAACCTTAAAAAAGAAGACGAAAGAAATAGATAAAAACACGCAATAACATTGGGGACGTATAAACTGTTGAGTGAGGTTGCATGTGCTTCCCATGTGCGCCACATCCCATTCAGCCTGAAGTTTGAGTGTGTCTAGTAGAAAAGACTGGAAGTTGCCCAAAACCTTGTTGGAACAAAGCCTCAGCAGCCCCTTCTGGCTCCAGCACCAACTCAGGGATAGGGAAATTCATGCCATTCCATACCCTCCAACATTTCTCCAAGGAAAATAGGGGCATCCTAAGGAAAAGCAGGACATTACTGGATGAAATCAGAAACCGGGACGGTTTCTCTAAATCAGGGATGTCCCTGGAAAACAGGGACACTTGGAGGGTCTTCTATCCCAGTGTTGTTGGACTCCAGTTCCCATCAGGTTCAGCTAGCAAGGCCAATCGATGGTAAGGGAAGATGGTGAGCAACACCTGCGGAAGGGACACAGGCTCCCTATCCGTGCACTAATTGGACAGACGAATCTTTGGGTGCCCCTAGACTGCTATTCTGGGGTGGGATTCAGTCACATAGCCATAAGTGCAGGTTGTTCATTTACAGTTCATTGGGATCAAAAGACCAGACTCATGGGCATTGCCAGGATTTACCTTGTGGAACACCCTTCCATCAAATGTCAAACAGATAAAACAACTATTTGACTTTGAGAAGACATCTGAAGGCAGGCCTCTTACAGGAAGTTGTTAATAGTTGATGTTTTATTGTGTTTTTAATGTTTTGTTGGGAGCTGCCAAGAGTGGCGGGGGCAACCCAGTCAGATGGGTGGCTAATATTGTTATGATTATGATTATTTTATTTAGAGGGTGTCCCGCGCCCACGACTGGGAAAGCAAGGCAATGCAGTACAGTACCTGACTTCTGTTAGCTTGGCTGTCAAAACCTGTGGCTGCCAGTATTAATCAAGATAGTAGAAAACACTGGAGGAATATTGCTTCATCAGCGTATGTGGTCATATTCCACTATCTCTTGGGAGCGGGATTATTATATTCTCAGGAGTATTCTGAAAAAGTGACGCCTTTCTTGCTCTGACTAAATAATCTTGGTGTGGAAGTCTGTCAAAAGCCTGTTTAAACGATGAAATGTCTTAATCAGCTTTCTCACTGCTGGCTATAATTACCTAAGTAGGTGTCACAACTCTGCATTGGATTGGGTGTGCCTAATGGACCTTTCGTCTGCTTGGCTCAAAACGTGCCAAAATCTGAGCTGGCATTGTCTCTGCTCATTGCATAACAGGCCGGAGAGAAAGTAATTCAAAAGAAAGTGAGGTGAAACCTTGTGTTTGCTGCTCTTCGCCTGGAGTCTGCTAGCCTGCACCTTCCGAATTTTTGAACTGGGCAAAACCCTATTCTTACTCTGGAACCTCAGGCTGGTGAGGCAAATGTGCCACTCTGTACCTCTCTCAGCTTGGCCCTCACAACACTACACAACTCACAATTCCTTCACCAGCTGCTCCCACTCTCCCCAGGACACATTCCTTGCCAGCCCTGCTTTGCACCCTCCTGGCTGAAATGTGCCTTTGAACTCTGATAATGCCTGCCTGCAAGTTTCTGTAGAAACTAGCCTGCCATACAAAATTAACATTGATGTTTGCTGTTCCACCCACTTTTGCCTGTGGCCCCCGGAAAGTTGCCCAGAAGCAAAGGTGGCCCTTGAGATTCCAAAGGGTTCCTCACACAACCTCTGGAGAGATATCCAGATGCTTTTCCTTAGCACTTTTCTCATGTCAAACTCTGCCCACTGTGGCTTTTGTCGTCAGTTAAAAACTGCCATCTTGATCAGGAGCAGTTGGAAAGCAATCAATGCTCCCCTTTTGGTTTCAGATAGTACAGGGTTTCCCAAACTTGGGTCTCCAGCTGTTTTTGGACTACAGTTCCCTCATCCCTGACCACTTGTCTTGATAGCTAGGGATGATGGGAGTTGTAGTCCATTGACAGTTGGAGACCCAAGTTTGGGAAATTCTGACATAGTACATGGGTAGATAAGTCTGAAAAAAGCCCCAGACACAAATTTTCACAGCCCTCTAGCAGGTATGGTGACTTTCATTTGCCAGAAGTAATGTATTTAGCATTAACTCTGGAAATGTATACTCAATTCTGACCAAACTAAGCCTCCTGAAGTATATTTTGCTCTCAGCTGTTTAGTTTGGTCTTGGCCACTTTAGATCTGGACTGTTTTAACACACTAGCAACACATCCTGTGGAATTCTATCTGTGATACTTTATCTGCACAATCAGAATGGATTTCAGGAACCAAAAATGGACACTAGGCGTTCTGTTTTGGCAACTGTAACCCTGGTTTAAGGAGCCATTTGGCCCCTAGCTTATATATCTGAGTTTCTAACACTACTAGAGGGCATTACTGCTTAAAAATCTCTACCTACCATCTAGGCAGCACAGTATTGTTCATTCTAAGAAAAGACAGGTGGAATTCCTATATAGCAAGGATGGAGAATCTGTGCCTCTCCCAGTGTTGGCGGACTACAACTCCCATCATCCCTGACCACTAGCTGTGCTGACTGGGACTGATGGGAGTTGGTGTCCCACAACACTGGGAGGATCGCAGATTCTGTTATATGGCATATTAAGGAAGCGTTGCATCAACAGAGCAATTCAACTACCAGGTTACCCGACTTCCAACTACAGGTTTAAACTCGGAGATGATTCTTCTCCACTGTTTTCTTCTTTTAGACAAGGGTTCTTTTTTTAAGTCCCTCTGACCCAGGGAAACTTTTCTGGCCAGATTTGTTCCAGGGCCTTCCTGGGGAGATCTCAGAAGCTCACCCACAACCCAAGGCAATGTGGCAGAGGCAGTTTATGGGCACCATGCTGCAGGGGCCTCCACAACAGTGCTTTGAAAGGGAGCGCAAGAGGCAGCTGGCGCTGAATTTTAGCAGCACACAGGGTGTCACTGAAATGTGAGAGCCCAAAGTCCACCACTGAATATTACACCTTCTTTTCTCTTCCAGGGGAGCCTCTGTATCTGTTGAGCATCTTTATGTTATTATTTAGACAATTTCTATACCAGTTGCTGTAGAACTTTGCTCCAAAGTGGTGTAAAGCAAACCTGAAAAAACTGCCACAAAAAAATACATAATCATCATCTTCTCCTCTTCTTTGGCGATCACTCGTAGCCGAGTAAGATTGTCTTCCATAAACACGGTTTTAACAATGAGTCTGTAAGTGACTGTGGAGTCCAATTCTGGATCCAAACATCCTTCCACATTGGTTTCTGGGCAGGAGTTGATCACGGTGAGGGTTTGCCAAGTGTGCCTTCCTCTTGGCATGTTTCTCCCTTGCGTCCTGAGTCTGAGTGTCTTCAAAGCCCATGACACCTTTAGTAAAGGCTGTTCTCCAACTGGAGCGCTCACAGGCCAGTGTTTCCCAGTTGTCAGTGTTTATACTACTTTTTTTTAGATTTTCCTTGAGACAGTCTTTAAACCTCTTTTGTTGACCACCAGCATTATGCTTTCCATTTTTAAGTTTGGAGTAGAGTAGTTGTTTTGGAAGACGATCATCAGGCATCCGCACAACATGACCAGTCCAACGAAGTTGATGTTGAAGTTGAAGAATCATTGCTTCAACACTGGTGATCTTTGCTTCTGCCAGTACTCTGATATTAGTTCGCCTGTCTTCCCAAGTGATGTGTAAAATTTTTTCGGAGACACCATTGATGGAATCTTTCGAGGAGTTGGAGATGGCATTTATAAGTGGTCCATGTTTCACTAGCATACAGTAAGGTTGGTAGTACAATAGCTTTGTAAACAAGCATTTTGATTTCCCTGCGAATGTCCCGGTCCTCAAACTGTACTTCAATCAGAAGAAAGCCGCACTCACAGAGCTCAGGCGATGCTGGATTTTGGCATCAATGTTGGCCCTTGTGGAAAGATAGCTGCCTAGGTAGGAGAAGTGATCGACATTTTCCAACGTTACACCATTGAGTTGGATTTGTGGCACTGCAGAGGGGTTATTTTGTACTTGTTGGTGCAGCACTTTGGTTTTTTGGATGTTGAGTGATAGGCCAAGCTTTTCATAAGTTTCTGCAAAGATATTAGGATGGTTTGGAGGTCATCCTCTGAGCGTGCGCACACTACGTTGTCATCAGCATACTGAAGCTCTATGAGGGAAGTTATGGTAACCTTACTCTTCTCTTTCAGCCTCCTCAGATTGAAGAGCTTTCCATCTTTTCGATATATGATTTCTACTCCAGTGGGGAGTTTCCCTTCGACAAAGTGTAGGATCATGGCAGTGAAAATAATGAATAGAGTTGGGGCAATAACACAACCCTGTTTAACACCTGATTCCACTGTGAATGGTTCACTTTGAGAGCCATGGTTATCTGCAATTGTTGCTGTCATATTATCATGGAGGAGTCGAATGATGTTTACAAATTTATCTGGGCAGCCAATTTTCAGAAGGACAGTCCACAGGGCATTACGATTTACAGTGTCAAAAGCCTTAGTCAGGTGAATAAATGCCATATGCAGGGGTTGGTTTTGCTCTCTGCATTTTTCTTGAAGCTGTCAAGCGGTGAAAATCATGTCCACTGTCCCCCTAGAAGGCCGAAAACCATTTTGGGATTCAGGAAGGGTCACCTCGGATATTGTTAAGAGATGGTTTGCTAAGATCCTTGCAAGAATTTTGCTGGCTGCAGCTAACAGAGAGATGCCTCGATAGTTTCCACAAACAGTTCTGTCACTTTTTAAAAAGAGATTGATAATTTTGGCATCCCTAAAGTCTGCTGGGATCTCTTCTCTTTCCCAGATTTTTTGGATGAGCTTGTGAAGTTGTTGTGTAAGTTCAATTCCGCCCACTTTGAAGATTTCGGCAGGTATCCCATCAGGTCCACTGGCTTTGTTGTTTTTCATTTGGTTAATAGCTGTACACAACTCTCCCAGATCTGGAGATACTGCAAGCTCATCTCTAACTTGTTTTTGCGGAATCTGAGAGAGGATCTCAGCCACTACGGGGGAGTTGTGGTTAAGGAGATGTTGGTAATGTTCTTTCCAGCGCAGTGCAATAGCTTCTTTATCTTTTAGAAGTGTGATACCGTCTGCTGAGCATAGGGGGCATATGCCATGATTTATTGGCCCATAGATGGTCTTTGTGGCTTTAAAGAAACTCTGTGCATCATGAGTGTCGGCTAAGTGCTGGATCTCTTGAGCTTTTTTTATCCACCAGGCATTTTTTAGTTCTCTGGTTCTTCTTTGAACCTCAGCCTTAGCGTTGGCATAGGTTTTTTTCTTAGTGGCACAGTTTCTATCTCTTTGCCAAATCTGAATGGCCTTCCTTTTCTTGTCAATCATGTGTTCAATCTCACTGTCATTCTCATCAAACCAGCCCTGGTGTTTTTTGGTTTGGTATCCAATAGTTTGTTCACAGGCTGCAATAATGGATGTTTTTAGCCTGGTCCAATGTTCCTCGATGTTATCAGGGAATTCTGAAAGCAGATGGTCCTTAAGAGTCGTTTGGAAGCAATCCCACTTAAGGGGATCTTGAAGGGCTTGAGTGTTCATTTTGTGCCTTGGTTCACTAAGTATTGATAAGCATATAGTAATATCAGTTATGTCACCTTCTGATGTGCACATGCACTCAATAACCCCTTGCTTCCTAGCTCTCGCCCAGGATCCCACCCAAGCACCCTAGAGGAGGAGGAGGAGGAGTCTGGATTTGATATCCCACTTTATCACTACTCTAAGGAGTCTCAAAGCGGCTAACATTCTCCTTTCCCTTCCTCCCCCACAACAAACACTCTGTGAGGTGAGTGGGGCTGAGAGACTTCAGAGAAGTGTGACTAGCTCAAAGTCACCCAGCAGCTGCATGTGTAGGAGCGGGGAAGCGAACCCGGTTCACCAGATTACGAGTCCACCGCTCTTAACCACTACACCACACTGGCTCTCCCCTACAGCCTCAACGAACTCACTGATCATCCCGCTGCCCCCCCAAAAATCACACTGAAGAAGGTGCACTCTAGGCTTCCCTTTACAACAGGCACCGAGGTTCATGGAGTTTCTGCAAACTGCCCATTCAGCACTGAACCAGCTGCACAGCCAGTTGTTCCAGGCTGCAGCAGGCTGGGTTGGGTGACTTTCCCAGGGAGTCCAGAAGATGGCAAATAGGACACCCCTCCACTCACAGCTCTTTCTCTGCACACAGCTCCTCTTCCAGCCCCCTTCCTCTGTTTCTCTTATCGCTCTCTTATCGCTCTTCTCTTCTGCAACAACTAAATGATTGCCTGTAGCTGCTCCAGAGACCGCAGCAGAGAAGGACTCCTTATTCAGGCTAATGATGCACAAATGCCTGTGTTTTGTCATCTTCTCTGGAGTCATGTTTCTCATCTACCTTTCCAGGTAGATGCTGCTGGAACGAACACCAGAACGGCAAGTGGGTGGGAGCAAAAAGAGGCAGGTATAATTCAGTGGCTTGGCTTGAAATCTGGAGAACTCAGGGTGGAAACGCCTCATATTGAGAGCAAGCTTGGTGATTTCAAGCCTGATGTCTGTTGACTTTAATGGCATCTCTTGTTCGGTCTGGGACTTGCAGTGTTTGAATTAATGATAAGATATTGGAAATGTGGGATTGGAGGAAGAGGAGAGGACCTCTGCAAGTGTATGTTTACATGTTTAGTAGAGTTGGCACCGATTGCACTAAAAGCAGTTGCATAGCTTCCTTAAATATGTAGATTACCTAGTCCTGAATGCATTCCTAACAGGTTCCTGTTTTAAAATAACTGCTTACTATGGAATCAGGTTAGACTTGGTTAGACCTTATTTTGCATGTTAACAAAATGCAGAATGATGTTCCACCACCATTGCAATATGCTGATCTTTGGAACTGATAACAGTGCCTCTGAACTGTTGCAGTAGCTTTGTATATTTAATATATGTGCTGTTATACGAAACAAATAATTGAAAAAGAAAAGAGTGAATGAAGGTGACACAAAGTGGGCATAAACATGGGGGCATCTCCACCAAACCCTGGGGAGGACCAACTGCCATAATTTCCCAAGTCCTTTATAAAAGGCTGTTGAAATATACTCGGAGTCGAATGTGAATTTCATGCTCTTTATTCAGCTCATAGTGGTGAGGAGGAATGAAAGTTTCCCCAAAATATCCGCTTTATATACATTATTTACACAATGGGTCGCACGTGATTGGCTAATTCTGGGATTCTCCTGTAGGCCAATCCAGTTGCGGATTCACTTCCACCTGGAGCTGGATTGGGTGGCTCCTGCGGACCAATCATACTGCTGCATTGTTCTTGGACCAATCAGACTGCTGCATTCTGATTCCTATTGTTCTAGGACCAATCAGACTGCTGCTTTTTGGATCCTATTCAATTCAGTACATAATACCCGTATAACTTTACTATGGGAAAATGTATTTCTGATCCCCCCAAAGTTAGGAACATTTAGTTTTCTTTAGTTGATATATCTTTCCTGGTCAAACAGGAAGGCTTCTTCAGGCTTTACTGTGGAGGCATCGCCTCAGAGCTACTCTGCGAAAGGGCACAAGCAAATGCTCCAGTACTTGTAGTTTGCGTCGAACCGTCTCAGACCTGAAATTATGCCTGCAACCAAGCCTAAGCCTGTGGAACTGGGATAATTGCATATCCTATCCATGTCTACCATAACTTTGGTAACTCCCATCACTCCAGGGCTGGGATCCAGGCTGGCTGGGGGTTGATGGGAGATGCAGTTGACAACCTGAGGGAGGGCGCCATGTTGGCTGTCCCCGCCTCCTCTTCATTCTTGTCCCCCTTTTTTCCTTGTCTCAACTTTTACATGGAAAGCCCATCAGGGTTTGAAATTCACCAGGCGCATTTTGCGCCTGGCTATCGTTGGATCTGGACTGTTTTCACGCACTAATACCCCATCCTGTAGAATTAATAATAATACAGTGGTACCTCAGGTTAAGTACTTTATTCGTTCCGGAGGTCCGTACTTAACCTGAAACTGTTCTTAACCTGAAGCACCACTTTAGCTAACGGTGCCTCCTGCTGCTGCGCCGCCACCGCTGCACGATTTCTGTTCTCATCCTGAAGCAAAGTTCTTAACCTGAAGCACCATTTCTGGGTTAGCTGAGTCTGTAACCTGAAGCGTATGTAACCTGAAGCGTATGTAACCCGAGGTACCACTGTAATAATAAATTTTATTTATATCCCGCCCTCCCCAGCCAAGACCGGGCTCAGGGCGGCTAACACCAGATATAAAACAATTGATTAAAATACAACTTAAAAACAAGATTAAAATACAACATTAAAATGCAGCCTCATTTCAGTAGAAACTCAAATCAAAAACTTTTGGGGGATAAAAACATCAAATCTTCACCAAGGCCAACTATCCAGACTGGTCCCATGTGCGCCAGAAAAAAAAGCCAGGGAAGTCCCCACAGAAGGAGAAAGGAAAGAGGGGGAGGGGATCAAGTTGATTCCAAGCCAAAGGCCAGGCGGAACAACTCTGTCTTACAGGCCCTGTGGAAAGAAATCAGATCCTGCAGGGCCCTGGTCTCATGAGACAGAGCATTCCACCAGGCTGGGGCCAGTGTTGAAAATTCAGTCAGTTATATTTTACCTGCACAATCAGAAGCAATTTCAGGAACTAAAATGCTTTTTCTGTGCAGCCTGAGCAGGAGCAGTGAACGACGTTACAGTGCATTGTTGTCGCTTGTCTTTCTTTACCCTGCCCTAGTGCCCTGCTCAAAGTTGTGGAGAATATTCTTACGTTATGAATGGTCCATGTCGTCATTAGGAAAAAGAGGTTGGAATAGGCTCCTATGACCCTGGTCCTCTAAACTAGCCAGGTGTTTAACTGAGAATCAATCACAGTCAGTCCATCCTTTGAAAAATAAGGCATTGGGGCCATCTTGCCCCAAAATGGCAACTAGACTTTCTGTTTTGGCAGCTGAAACTCTGGTTTCAGGAGCCCTTTGGTGCCTAGCCTGTGTATCTGAATTTCTAACAGATTGTTGTACAGATCTGTCGTCATGTGCACCCTGTAAAATGCCAGGCACACTGTTGGTGCTTCACATCTGTATGTATATATAAAAAAATTGCACAGAACTGCAGTTTCTGCGATCAAACACTTTGATTTGCATTACACTAAGTAAGGTAAAGGTAAAGGGACCCCTGACCATTAGGTCCAGTCATGACCGACTCTGGGTTTGCGGCGCTCATCTCGCTTTATTGGCCAAGGGAGCCGGTGTACAGCTTCCAGGTCATGTGGCCAGCATGACTAAGCCGCTTCTGGCGAACCAGAGCCGCGCACGGAAATGCTGTTTACCTTCCCACCAGAGCGGTACCTATTTATCTACTTGCACTTTGATGTGCTTTCGAACTGCTAGGTTGTCAGGAGCAGGGACTGAGCAATGGGAGCTCACTCCGTCGCGGGGATTCGAACCGCCGACCTTCTGATCGGCAAGTCCTAGGCTCTGTGGTTTAACCCACAGCACCACCCACATCCCAAGTAAGGTAGAAATGCATTTAATTTGCTCTGCTTCCTCCACACCTGGCCCGCACTGTGAACCGTTCCCTACTTGCACTGCTAAAGGATGAGGACTGACTCTTATTCTTTCTCTGCAGCAATTGACATGAAGCATTGCCTACACCTTGTGGCTGCCCTCTTTGCTGCAGTAGCCATTTGCGTACTTCCTTGCCACAGTGCCAAAGTCCTGCTGGTGCCCACCATCGTCTTCGACAGCCACCTGCATAACTTTGTACGGGTAGCGGAAGCGTTAAGCAGCCGGGGTCACGATGCCGTCCTCCTCCTCCACGAAGGTCGAGTCGTGGAGCCTTTTCCCCGGGGCTACAGAGTGCAAGATTACCAAGGGGTCTTCAGCACGGAAAGCGCCGACGACTGGCTGCAGGAGTTGCTGAAGCGAGTGTTTGAGGGGAAGATGACCTCCATGCAGCTCTTTTCCATCCTGGAGAAATACCTGGAGAACTGTGACTTGATACTGGGAAACAAAATCCTCATGCAGCAACTTCAGAGTGAGGTCTTCGACTTGGTCTTGGTCGATCCCAACGAAATGTGTGGCTTCATTGTCGCCCACGTCCTAGGTGTAAAATATGTGGCGCTCTCCACTGGCTTTTGGTTTCCTGCTGAGATTGGAGCCACTTCACCTGTGGCCTACGTCCCCGAATTTAACTCCCTGATGACTGATCAGATGGGCTTTTTCGGCCGGACTTGGAACATCGTGGTTTTCATCATCTCCCGTGTAGCCACCAGGCTGTTCATCATGCCCAAATTTGACCACCTAATGGCGAAACACGGGGTGGAGCCGCAGAAATCCATGCTGGAGCTTATCCAGGGCTCGAGCCTCTTTTTCCTGTGCAACGAAGTGGTGCTTGACTTCCCGCGACCTTTGCTTCCCCATGTGGTTTTCACCGGGGGGATTCTCACAGAGCCTGCCAAGCCTCTCCCAGAGGTAAGTAAATGGAACGCGATACACCCAGTGGCAGATCTATGGTATGTGGGTGGGTGGATGTGGGGCATTTGTCCACCTAAATAAATATGAATTCCTGCAAGAAGAGGGGTGTATGCGGAGAGGGTGATAAAATTTCCTCCTTTGTGCTGCCCACTCCCCAAAATGGCTTGGAACAGTCCTTGTGGTGGGTCATACAGAGGGAAAAGGTGATGGTGATAATCATGCCCTGCAATGGGTGTCCCCCCCCCCAAAAGTGATAATAATTATGATGGTGATAAGGACTCTCCACTCTGCAAACAATTGGGGAGCAATCTGGGAAAAGCTGATAATATCGACAACGCCTTTGCACTGGCCTCTTCCCCCACCCCCCAAAAAGAACCCAACAACTTGAGAACAATCAGGAATTAAATGATGGTGCGACCTCAGCACTGAGCTCCCCCTGCCCCCCCCCCCGCCTCCCAAAAAACAAAACCTGGGAACAATCAGAGGAAATGTGATGCTGATAATTATGCCATTGCCCTGGGCTGCATGCACACATACAGATATGCGCCGACAACTTAGGAATAACTGCTGCTGTGCGGCAGGCATCCGAAACAAGAAGAGGATGCTACATCCTCCCATCACCCTCATATTCAACTGTGTGTCTTGAGATGTGGAGGGAATTGCGGGAATCGCCCATCACTCATTTTGCTCCCTGCCACACGGCCGGCAGGCAGCAAAATGAGTGATGGGTGATTCCCACAATTCCCTCCACATCCCAACATACACATTTTTTTTTTTAAAAAAGTAGCTGCCTGCCGACAGCTTCCTGTGGATGGATGGTAGCAAAACAAAACAAGTGGAGCAGATCCTGAGCATCTTCCTCCACTGCTCCACATACACATTCCCCCAAAACACTTCCATGACCAGAGCAGCTGCTCCCTGTTTGCTCCACAAAGCCACTGAGCAACAAAGCAAAGAGAAGGCAAGCAGGCCCCAGCAGTCCACCTCCGGTATAGATAGCTCCCTGCACATTAAACTTTGAAATTCTCTTTCTAGAAGGGCTAAAGACTTCCTTTTTTTTTTTAAAAAGGCTCAGAGTCTGAAGCCCCTGTTGGCATGTGTCATAGTGCAAGGTGCTCTACATGGGGCTACCTTTGAAGGTGACTCGGAAACTACAACTAATCCAGAATGCGGCAGCTAGACTGGTGACTGGGAGTGACCGCTGAGACCACATAACACATAACCTGGGCTGCATGCACACATGCACACTAAAGGATCTTCACTGGCTCCCAGTATGTTTCCAGGCACAATTCAAAGTGTTGGTGCTGACCTTAAAAACCCTAAACGACCTCAGTCCAGTATTCCTGAAGGAGCATCTCCACCCCCATCATTCAGCCCAGACACTGAGGTCCTCCTAAGGGTCTTCTGCTGGTTCCCTGACTGTGAGAAGCGAAGTTACAGGGAACCAGGCAGAGGACCTTCTCGATAGTGGCGCCCTCCCTGTGGATCACCCTCCCTTCAGATATCAAGGAGATAAAGAACTACACAACTTTTAGAAGGCACCTGAAGGCAGCCCTGTATTGGGAAGTTTTTAATGTTTGATGTCTTATTATGTTTTCATATATGCTGTAAGCTGCCCAGAGTGGCTGAGGAAACCCAGGCAGTTGGGTATAAATAATAACATTAGTAGTAGTAGTAGTAGCAGCAGCAGCAGCAGCAGCAGTAGTAGTAGTAGTAGTAGTTTGTGGCCTAAGCTCACACATTGCAGGTCTGTCCCAGAGCCTACCCAGACAGGTCGGGGTATAATTAATAAAATTATTATTATTACTCCAATTGCACCATTACAAATATAGACCTGTTAGGGTTAGGGTTACTTATCCCTCACAGCTCTGACTTCATTCATTGCTTAAATCACTGGCAGGTGACTCATTTAACAAAGAATTGCTTAGACATTGCACATTATAGAACCATAGAACTGTAGAGTTGGAAGGGACCTCGAGGGTCCAACCCACTGCAATGCAGGAATCCATGATGTGCAGTGAAATTTTTCTTAGAGGAACAGTTAGGGCCAGAGGTGCCAGCTTGCGAGAGCGATTGGGGAGGAGGAATGTCCCAATGTTGCACAGGTGAGCATCGCACCTCCCTAAGCTTGGGAGAAGCTTCCCGGGCTTTGGGAAGGAGGCACCAGGCTTTAATTGAAACGTAAAGCAGTGCACAGGGATGAGTAATAAAACCATAGAATTGTAGAGATGGAAAGGAACCCAACCCCCTGCAGGAATATGCAGCTGTCCCGTTTGGGGATTGAACCTGCAACCTTGGCATTATCAACACCATGCTCTAACCAATGAGTGCAGTAGTTGAATTTTCTGTCACCATTCAGGTTTATGGAAGGTGACTTTCTGCAGCAAGGGAACCTCCTGTCCCCTGCAAGTGCCTCTGAGCCTTTGAGGAACCTGATTTTCCAGAGTTACGTAATGTGTCGGAGCATCAGACTCCCAACTTCAGGCCTTCCTAGAGTTGCGACGTGACCTGAATTGCAGCAGGAATGGAGCTAGCACATTCATCCCCACAACCCTCCCCCCCACACCATCAAATATTAAGTAAACATTCTTTTGCCACGACATGGATGCTTTGTGTGAGCAAGGGAGACCCGGGTAACAAGTGGTTTTAAATAAGAATTGTCCCGCGATTCCTTTCCTCTGATATTCTTTCAGTGCAGAGAGATTTCTGAGTTTGGTGCTTTTCAGAGCCCTGACAAAGAGGAAACTAGTTTTGCGGCGTCTGCTGTCTTCAAGGATGGGGATCCCACAGGAGAAGGGCAGAGAAGTCCAACTGCTTTGCCAGAACTCCTGGCAGGCCACCATGTATGGTCTTACCTGGGCTTCTATTCTCAGCTGAATGGTTTGAAGTCTCCCATCCAAATGCTAACCAGGCCTGACCCTGCTTAGCTTCCGAGATCAGGCACGTTCAGGGTAGTACAGCCATAGACCTGAAGGGCTTGAAGCTAGAAAGCTTGATATTGCCCTGATGTGCAAATCTGGGGGTGCTTTTATACGTGCAGGGCCTGCGTCTCTGGATGGAAGCCGCAGATGCTGGTGTCGTCGTGGTCTCCTTTGGAATCGGTATACGAGTCCTGCCAAAAGACCTGGTGGAAAAGATGGCCGGGGCGTTTGCTCGCCTTCCCCAGAAGGTTGTGTGGAGGTAACACCGGTTATTTCGTGATCTGTAACTGCATTGTGCTTGCGGAGAGCCACAAAGCAGAGGAGGGATGCCTCCGCACTGCCGTGGATTCGTGGAATCTGCCCCAGATCCCAAACAAATGGGGGCCATGTTCTAGAGGGGCAGAACCGATCTGGACACCCCATCAGGCTGCCTTTCCCCCTTTTTCTCTGCCTTTGGCATTTTGCTGCCTCGGGGAAAGGCCAAGATGGTGCTGAGCATACAGAAGCCAATTGGACCGTCAGTTGGACCTTAACACCAAAGCTATTAATGGGAAGCCAATTGCACCTGAATAGGGTGGCAGAATAGTTATGGGGGTACGGGGTGGGCTCACACAGCTCCATCTGCCACCAGCAGGGGCCTCAGGAGGAACAGCTGTGGGGGGCTGTCACAACCTGCTTCCTAGCATCTGCCCCCACCTTGAGGAGGTCATCTCACTCTGCCAAAGGTCCAGCCCTTCAGATGAGAGTCGTCCTAGACATCAAGGACCAGGCTGTTTGAGAATGCACCCAGACACAGTAACTGCCCCTTCCAGTTGCCAAAGAGCACCCTGACGTGATTCTGTGCACGTTTACTCAGAAACAAGTCCCTCTGGGTTCAGGCAGATTTGTTCTAAAGGAAGTGTTTATCTTCCTTCTTATACAGTGGTACCTCGGAAGTCGAACGGAACCCGTTCCGGAAGTCCGTTCGACTTCCAGAACATTCAGAAACCAAGACGCAGCTTCTGATTGGCTGCAGGAAGCTCCTGCAGCCAATCAGAAGCTGTGCCGGACGTTCGGGCTCCAAAGAACGTTCGCAAACCGGAACACTCACTTTGCGGTGTTCGGGAACCGAAACGTTCGACTCGCAAGGCGTTTGTCAACCAAAGTACGACTGTACCTGTTTGGCACACTCCTGCCACCACCGGTGTTCCCAGGAAAGCTGCTCCTAGTGGGATTCTCCTCCCAACATTTAACACAGCTGGGTTGCTTTCTCAAGCAGCTGGAGGGATGGTGTTCTTTGCCGTTGGAGTGGAGCAAACAAGAGAAATTGTTTGTGTGTGCACTCTGGCCAGAGAGACCAAGAGGTAGCATATAAAGGTAAAGGTAAAGGGAACCCTGACCATTAGGTCCAGTCGTGGCCGACTCTGGGGTTGCGGTGCTCATCTCACTTTATTGGCTGAGGGAGCCAGCGTACAGCTTCCGGGTCATATGGCCAGCATGACTAAGCCGCTTCTGGCAAACCAGAGCAGCACACGGAAACGCCGTTTACCTTCCCGCCAGAGCGGTACCTACTTATCTACTTGCACTTTGACGTGCTTACGAACTGCTAGGTTGGCAGGAGCAGGGACCGAGCAATGGGAGCTCACCCCGTCGTGGGGATTTCAACCGCAAATTGAGACCAAGAGGTAGCATACAGCTGGTTGCAATTTACCCCTAAATCTTTAGTTGCAGTCAACTGGTATTTACTTATCTTGTCGGTACCCACGTTTGAGATATTTTCTTCCTGCCAACCGTAAAAGCGGCTAGGGTAAGGTCTTGGTACGGGACATGGGAGAAGGGTTAAGTGGTTATTATATTTTAGACAGCATTTTTTTTTAATACAGAACCTGCACGTAATTGGCACTTTCACCCTATGTATTATTACATCACACACTATGTATTGTTAAGCGTTTATCGTTTCCTCTCATTCTCCCCTGAGTTCAGGTGGGAAGGAACTTATTTTAAGTGACGGATCTTTTGCTCTCCCCCTCCCACTGTCCTTTGGCAGATACTCTGGTCAGAAGCCATATAACTTGGGTGAAAACACACTGATGATGGATTGGCTGCCTCAAAACGATCTGCTGGGTAAGTGAAAAGGGATCAGCCAAACGAGGGGGTTGGACTAGATGGCCCTTGGGAGTCCCTTTCAACTCTACCATTCTATGATTCTATGAGAGCAAGTTACTTTTCCTTGCCCGGAAGGAGAAAGCAAACCGTGCCCTTCTCCCTCCATACCCTATGTGAATAAATGAACTGCTTCAATGTCTTTTCCAGTCTTGGATAACTGGCAAAGCTAATGGGTTTTTGTTTTTGTTTTCTCCCATAACATTGCTGGTCCAGGATACCTGAATTGATTTAAGACCATAGTTGAGCATAAATCTCCCCTCCTTTCAGCCAAATGCCAGTGATTTGTGCTTTAAAAAAAGTTATGTGCTTAAGGGGGCAGATAGCAGAGCAGCTGATGTTTATTTAGTTTGGCCTTTGGGTGTTACAGTGCCCTCTTCAGATTTTGGAAACCTTCTTCTTCTCCTTCTCCTTCTCCTTCTCCTTCTCCTTCTCCTTCTCCTTCTCCTTCTCCTCCTTCTGTTTGGCCCTGTATAGTGGGTTTTCTTTGTAACCCAAATAGATCTATTTATTTTTTCATAAAAGTATTTTTATACTTCCTTTTTGACCCTAACAAGAATTACATGAAAGCTCGCCAGTTTACTGCTCAAACATTCAGGTATTGCCATACAGTGGTACCTCGGGTTAAGTACTTAATTCATTCTGGAGGTCCGTTCTTAACCTGAAACTGTTCTTAACCTGAAGCACCACTTTAGCTAATGGGGCCTCCTGCTGTTGCTGCGCCGCCGGAGCACGATTTCTGTTCTCATCCTGAAGCAAAGTTCTTAACCTGAAGCACTATTTCTGGGTTAGCAGAGTGTGTAACTTGAAGCGTATGTAACCTGAAACGTATGTAACCTGAAGCGTATGTAACCCGAGGTACCACTGTATGGCTATAGCAGTCACCAGCCTGTATCATCAGATATTACGAGAGCTTACATAAATAATAATCTGATTAAAGAGCCTTTTAATAAGGATGTGCCAGCGATTTTAGGACCTCCCTATGATGGGATGGATGCATGGTTTGAGTTACTGTCTTCAGAGCTTCTGCAGCCTTATTCAGCTTCCAGTCAGCCATGCATAGATATCAATACCATTTTTAAAAGTATCTAGTTAGACAGTGTAAATCAGATGTGTCCACACCATCATTTGCCAACTCTGGGTCTCTAGATAGTTTGGACTACAACTTCCATCAGCCCCAGCCAACATGGTTAATGGCCAGGGATGATGGGAATTGTAGTATAGCAACATCCAGCAGGCGCCAGTTCCAAAGATTGTTCTACACTTACAGCAGTGGAATGGCTTGATTGGGGCGGGAATTCAAGGCATCTGCTAGTAAGGTAAAATAAGGACACAAAACCGGCCGTGCAAACTTTTGTTAATCTTTACAGGGAGCACAATACCTTAATCGGGACTGAAAAGCACTGGTCGTGGTTGACTTTAAGCGCTGGAATTAACAAGAGAACTTTGTGGTGACTGCATTGTGGCCAATGCTTTTTGGGGAAAGAGGGAGAGCTGTGGCGGGAGGGTGTCAACCCTTGTGTGGAAAAACTTCAACTTGCGTAACTTGGGATGCAACGAAATGTTGCCTGTAAACATATTGATAGGATAAGTTCAACTGTCAGTAACGCAAGTGGTTCAGATTTAAGCGTTATATTTCCAGTCAGTACAAAGGGCAATAGCAATCTTCCTTCAAATTACAAATTAGTCTGTGGGCTGTTGTAACGTAGCCATACGACAGAGAACCATAGAATATGATGTCAGTCCTTTGTAAAATTGAGGCCCGTGCATCAATAGCTTAGATTTTTCAGAGGAATGTCCTAGTTTTGGAATTGACTGATCTAACTTAGACAAATGTTTGGCTCCCTTTCATCTAAGTACCGGTAATTATAAAACTAGACTGCATCTGTCTATCCAATTTCAGCACAATTTGCAGAAAACATTTAACGGCAAATTTCTACAGTCCTAATCTCAGTGGACCTAATGGTCAGGGGTCCCTTTACCTTTTTTTAATCTCAGTGGATGGTTGTCAGCTAAGCTTTCCTCAGAGAAAACCATTGAAATTAATAGTATTAAGTTAGTTGTGCCTCTTAATTTCAACGGGTCTACTACTCTGAATAGCTTGCGTGCCTCATACCGAGTCAGAAAACTGCATAATAGACGGTGTTTAGCAGATTTGGTAATTCAAGTAGATATTATGGATGTGAGCTTTTAACATTGCTCGATTTCTGCTGCAGGCCACCCCAGTGTGAAAGTCCTTGTGAGTCACTGTGGCATGAACAGTATATTTGAAGCCATTTACCACGGGATTCCAGTTGTGGGCTTCCCTTTCTACGGCGACCAGTTTGATATTATGACGCGAATTCAGGCGAAAGGGATGGGTATCCTCGTGGACTGGGGCCGGGTGACAGAAGACAGCCTCTACGAAACTCTGTCCACAGTAACGACTAACCCAAGGTAAGTCAGCCTAATAGCAGCCTTATTCAAAGAAGAGCAAAGGAGTGAATCGTTGGTTACTGCATTAAAGAACTGCAAGAGTGGCCCCTTAGATAAGTTACGGTACTTTCTGTTTTAGCCCCGCCCCCTTTACCTTCTCTCAAAGAACCCTGGGAAGTGTGGTCCGTTACGGGTGCAGAGACCCCTATTCCCTTCACAGAACTACAGTTCCCAGAGTGCTTTAACAGTCAATCCCTCCCCAAAGGGTACTCTGGAAATTATAGCTGTGAGGTGACTTGGGGCCTCCTAACAACTCTGACTTTTAGGAGACTACATTTCCCATGGTTGTTGGTTTTTTGCGGGGTTGGGGGGGGTAGCCATGGCTGTTCAAAATGGTATGATATTGTTTTTACATACCAGTAGTGGTGATGAGGCCTATGGTTCTGTGACAGTGAATGAACCATGCACTTTATTTCTCCAGTTATATGGAGCACTACTCAGATACACCCCAACTCAATTAACTGTTTTTGAGAGAGGCATTCATTTTGCATGTTTGCTTCTCCGTCTCATGGATTCAGCTGATATAGACAGATTATTCTGTGGGTGGGTGGGTGCAGGCACCAGGAGAGCCTGTAGCGCTGTGGTGAATTGGCCAGGTACCAGTAGATGCCTCTGCTGAAGAGATACAAGTTTGTCATGGAGGAATCTGGGAAATATGCAGATGAATTCTATGGTGTCCTGTGCCGGTCCTCAGGAGGAGCCCATGGGATGCAGCAAACCAGGCCACTTGCTGCAGCCACAGCACTATGGAGAGCTCCGAGTGAGCCTCGTGCTCCAAGGAGGGCCTGAGGTGAGCTGAGGCCATTTGAGCCTCTGCTTCCAGTCCACCTCTCCTGAGCTTTGACTCCTTTGTTGGACAACATTGCTAATACTCTGGCTTGAAGATGGACACTTGACCTTCGCCCTCGGGCCTCCTGCCTGGTGTGCTTCTTGCACCACTGGACTGCAAAGCTCTTCACACCCAGGGGAAGGTCTCTGTGAAAGTCCAGGCCACAGTTCTATGGGTGCCGGGGCTGTGGAACCAAATTCCTGCCTCGGTTTCAGTGGGCTCCTAAACAGCATCAGCTGGTGGTCCTGTAGCTTCTGATTCAGTGTCCTGGTCCTTGTTGGACTCCAGGATAATGACTGATGGATCCTTTGTGCCGTTGAGTCCTGGCAAGATTTGGTAACGTAGCAATCAGTGGGGGACACATCATTCTCCTAGCATTATTGTTGACGTTCCTCTTTTGCAGTTTCTCCAAGGTTGCCAAGAAGATCTCAGAAATCCACCTGGACAAGCCCATTCCTCCCCTCAACCGGACAGTCTACTGGCTGGAGTACGTCCTTCGCCATGATGGAGCGCCATTCCTCCGCCCGGCCCTCTACAAACTTTCCTTTTACGAGTATTACTGCTTGGATATTTTGGCGGTGCTGCTGCTGTTTGTGGGAGCCATCATCTATGTTGTCTTCAGGCTGAGCTTGCGGTACAGAAGGTCCGACGTCAACCCAGCACACCTGAATGGCCACGTTTTGAATGGGCACGTCTTGGAAGGGAAGAAAGTGCAGTAGGACTTGGCCCTGATCTGAGTAGACTGTGCCTCTCTGAATAGAATAGATAAGGGCGGTGATAAGGCCAAAAATGGATAGGGCTGGACTTTGTGGGAGCTTTGAGATGGGATCTAAGTCTGTGAAATGCTGGAGAGGACAACATCCTCTTTGCCATTCTCCCATGCTATGTAAGACGGTGAGGAGAGAGCAGAGATTATGCTTTTTAGAGTGAGTGAGTAGCTGTGGAATGCCACTGCCCCATATTGTGTAAGGATAAAGGGAAATCCTTTATTATTATTGCAAGGAACCTGAAAAGTGGTGCTTTAAAAGTTTGTTTCAAACGGCTGCTACTCCTCAGCTTTCCTTGGCGCACCACACTCTTGCCTTTGTGTGATACTGCATCATTTTTTTAAAAAAATAAACCGCAAATTGCTTCCCTCCAACCAGCGTGTGAATGTGAATTTGAAGGCAGAAGCAGATATTTCAGGTTTGCGGTTCTTGTTGGGATCGAGGTGCAACCGATGGCAATCTGCCCCATGCTTCGCTTCAAGGGAGGATCCTTCCTTCCTCAACGAGAATGATCTAAATGATTGGGAGAAGTTGAGCAAGCGAGGTTCTGCGCCACTAGAGCCTTTCAAATACCTGAGGGAACACTGCCCTTTCCTCCTACATATTGTACCTGCCTCTGATTTCACCACTGAAACCAGCTCTTTTGTTGTTGCTTCCCCAAGAACTGCTTTCCTAGGTCTTTCCTGTCCCCACTTGGAATGCCCCCGCGTTGCAAACTTGAAGGGGGAAGGACGAAAACAGGGAATGGTCAAGGAAGGAGAGAGAGGGACAGGATGGGTGCTTCTGACCACGTGGGCTCCTTTCTCCCTCCCTAGTCCTCCTCTTTCTCCCTGCAGGGAGTTGCAAGAATAGCGAAGAGTCTCGCAGTAACTCGCAAGACTTGAAGGTGCCACAAGTCTGCTTGTTGGTTTTGCACAGCATGCTAATGCAGCAGTTGTGGTTGTGTTTTGAGACATCCTCCTGGTTCCTTCTCAAGTTTTAGAAGCCTCCCATCTGCAGGGTTATGGTTGCATAACCTACGACGTCAAAAAGATAGCAATCTCTGTGTTTTTCCTGCCTCCATCTCCATTGCAAACCCACACACTGTTTTGTGCTCTGCTCTCCAAGGCTGTCTTTTGAAGATTCCCCCCAAAAATCTCCTACAGATGCTTACTAGGATACAAAAGGAGAAAATACACATTAATATTGCCATCTCTGTTGGAAGGGATCCCAAGGGTTATCTAGTCCAACCCCCGGCAATGCAGGAATCTCAGCTAAAGCATCCATGACAGATGACCATCTAACCTCTGCTTAAAAACCTCCAAGGAAGGAGAGTCCACAACCTCCCTAGGGAGACCGTTCCACTGTTGAAGGTCTCTTACTGTCAGAAAGTTCTTCCTGATGTTTAGTCAGAATCTCCTTTCTTGTAACTTGAAACCATTGGTTTGAGTTCTGCCCTCCAGAGCAGGAGAAAACAAACTTGCTCCCTTTTCCATGGGACAGCCCTTGAGATATATGAAGATGGCGGTCGTATCTCATTCTCCTCTTTTCCAGGCTAAAGATACCCATTTCCTTCAACCGCTCCTCATAAGGCTTGGTTTCCAGACTCGTGATCTTCTTGGTCACCCTCCTCTGCACACGTTCTAGCTTGTCAACACCCTTCCTAAATTGTGGCGCCCGGAATTGAACACAGTATTCCAGGTGTCGTCTGACCAGGCAGAACAGAGTGTGACTATTATTTCCCTTGATCTGGACGCTATACTTCTGTTGATGCAGCCTAGAATAACATTAGCTTTTTTTGCTGCTGCATCACACTGTTGACTCATGTTAAGTTTGTGGTCCACTAAGACGCCTAGATCCTTTTCACATGTACTACTAGTAAGCCAGGTGTCCCCAATCATCTTATATTTGTGCATCTGGTTCTTCCCGCGTAAGTGCAGAACCTGACATTTGTCCCTGTTGAAATCAATTTTGTTAGCTTGGGCCCAGTTCTCCAATCTGTTCAGGTCATTTTGAATTACGATTCTGTCTTCTGCGGCATTCGTTACCCCTCCCAATTTGGTGTCATCTACACATTCGATGGGACACGGGTGGCGCTGTGGGTTAAACCACAGAGCTGAGAACTTGCTGATCAGAAGGTCGGCGGTTCGAATCCCCGCAACGGGGTGAGCTCCCGTTGCTCGGGAGTGCAAGTAGATAAATAAGTGCAAGTAGATAAATAAGTACCGCTCCAGTGGGAAGGTAAACGGCGTTTCCGTGCGCTGATATATCTGAATCAATACAACCCTCTGCATTTGGGGCTTCCCTCGAGGGTGTGTCTATGGGTGCTATCACAAAAGTGTGAAAGTTTGAAAGAGATGGTAACATGACCGCTCTCTTGAGCTTTCTGAAATGAAATTTCAGAAATCTGCCTGATAAAAAGGTAAAGGGTCCCCAGACCATTAGGTCCAATCGTGACCGACTCTGGGGTTGCGGTGCTCATCTTGCTTTACTGGCTGAGGGAGCCGGCGTACAGCTTTCGGGTCATGTGGCCAGCATGACTAAGCCGCTTCTGGCAAACCAGAGCAGTGCACAGAAACGCCGTTTACCTTCCTGCCGGAGTGGTACCTATGTATCTACTTGCACTTTGACGTGCTTTCGAACTGCTAGGTGGGCAGGAGCAGGGACCGAGCAACGGGAGCTCACCCCGTTGCCGGGATTCGAACCGCCGACCTTTTGATTGGCAAGCCCTAGGCTCTGTGGTTTAACCCACAGCGCCACCCGTGTCTGAAATGAAATTTCAGAAATCTGCCTAATAGCTAGTGTTAAATTCGAACTTCAGCTTAGTCCCTGTGCCTCTGGTGGGGTGGGAGGACAAAAATGCAAAAAACCAAAAACCTCCAGTGCCTTTTTTTTTTTAAGCGTTTTGCCTTACTAATGAAATGTATGTTGAAGCTGCTCCCAGTTTGACCCTTTTGTTTTTACTGTTTTCGTAGAATAATAGAATTGTAGAGTTGGAAGGGACTGTGAGGGTCATCTAGCCCAACGCCTTGCAATGCAGGAATCTTCTTTGCCCAGCGTGGGACTCGAACCCACAACCTTGACTTTAAGAGTCGTATGCTGTACGGACTGAGCTATCCACTATCTGCTATTGTCCTGTGAGTTTTCCCTTCCTAGGCATTGGGTGGGGTGGGGGGAGGAAGAAATAAACTTGCATGTCTGAAAAGTTTGTCCCATTTAACCTCTTTTTCTTTTCCTTTATTTCTTTCTTTATACCGCCCCCCCTTTCTCTTCATGCTTATATTGTATTTAGGACAAAGTTTTAGTTTGTACAAAAAAAAGAGGAAAATATATTTAATATTAACTTTTGTAATTCTCTCTATAAACCCTAATAAAATGTATTCAATTTTTGTGTGTGTGTGTGAAAAGTTTGCCACAGGGCCCACAGCACTGAGACTAACCCCATTGGTTTGTAAATATTTATTTACAGTGGTACCTCGGGTTAAGTACTTAATTCGTTCCAGAGGTCTGTTCTTAATCTGAAACTGTTCTTAACCTGAAGCACCACTTTAGCTCATGGGGCCTCCTGCTGCCACTGCGCCGCCGGAGCACGATTTCTGTTCTCATCCTGAAACAAAGTTTTTAACCTGAAGCACTATTTCTGGGTTAGCGGAGTCTGAAGCGTATGTAACCTGAAGCGTATGTAACCCGAAGCGTATGTAACCCGAGGTACCACTGTACTTGCCTTTAGTGCCCAAGATGAAGGGCAAGTTGTACGGAAGCCAAGCAGACCAGCAGTTGACAGAATAGAATCCTCAATCGTGCCTGAAAGCAAGGAAAGTCATAAGGCACACACTATTCTGTCTCCTGACATTTCCCACTGCTGCCTACTTTGCAGTATCCGCTGCCTGAGGCGTCTGGCTCCCTCCAAGCGGAGGCAGCTGGGGGCCAGTCTTGTTCACAGCCCTCCTTCCTTTCACCAGGGCACCCAACCGGCGCTCGCGCTCGCACACCGTCACCACCACCGCCAGCAGCTCCTTCACGGCCAACTGGTCGTCCGCTTCCAGCACGCTCGCCTACGACCGAGAGTTCCTCCGGACGCTGCCCGGGATCCTCATGGTGGCCGAGATTGGCTGCCTTCAGATGTCTTCTGAAAGTCAGATAGTTGGACTCCCGGGCTCCCAGGACTGCTGCCGCCAGCACTGCCAGCGGAGAGGAATCGGGGGTGCCCGGGGCCTCTATCAAAGGAGCCAAAACACCCCCCCACGACCTTGATTGAGCCGGAAAGGCACCCGACCACCCCCAACAGCCGAGAGGAGCTCCAAAACCAGGAGGACAGTGGAGCTAACGCAAAGAGGGAGAAAGAAAGGGGAGAGAGGAAGAAAAAGAAGAAAAAGCAAAGGAGCCCCAACTTTACCGCTGCTGCCCCCCATCTCTGCCGACGGGAAAGAAGAGGAGAGGTAGGGAAGGCAAAGAGGCTCCGAAACAACACGTGGCTGATCCGACCGGAGCTCCAGCGGCACGGAACACAGGACAGCCGCACAACCAAGGCCAGCGCAGACCGGCAGAAACGACCCCCTTCATTTTTCCTTCTTTTTTTTTTGTTTGTTTGTTTGTTTGTTTGTTTTGTTAATCCTTTTCTTTTTAACCCCTTCCCCCCCTTTTTGCTCTCCTCTCTCTCCACCCTTCCTTATTTTTTTCCTATTATCCCACCCTTCCATCCCCAACATTGTTTTCTATCCCCTTTATTTTTTAAAATCAACCCCCCCCCGTTTAGCCTGTTTGTCAGTTTGTTTCTGAGGGGGGAGCCCTTTCTCCCCACCCACTCTTGTAAAATAAGACTTTTTCCCCATACCATTGCCACAGCTCACCCTCCCTCCCTCACCCCTCTTTTCTTCTCCTTCCTTTCCCCACCCTTCCCCCTCCTCCTCTCCTTTTCTCTCCCTCCTCCCTCTCTCCATCCCCCCTTCCCCTAAAGGAAACACACACACACATCCATATCACCATATCATACTTTGACCCCCACATACTATAGCTAAAACTACTGCTGCAATCTAATACAGCTGATATTACTGTACTATCTCTCCTCTCTCTGTCAACTCTATTTGTGTCTCTCTCTCTCTCTCTTCTCTTTTACTCCAATCTCCCCTCTCCCCCCACCTCCCCCTTCTTCTTTCTTTCTTCTTCTTCCCTTTTTCTCCCTCCACCCTTTACATAGAGCCTATTTGTCTGTCTCTGTTTCTGAGCGCACTCCCAACCCCAACTCCCACCTTAGCTGGACCCCAGTACCCCTTTTGGGTATATACAACCCCCTCCTAAACACATATTTCCCCTGGCCCCACCCCTCTAATCTTTTGCATCTCTACCTGCTAACCACCCCCTTTATATGAACTGTCTGCCCGTTAGTCTACCCATCTCTGCTTACCTGCGCCCCGCTTTGGCGGCACCGCTGAGGCAACTACAGAAACCCTAGAGAAGTTCTCAAAACACAGGCTAGAAGTGACACAAATGACCACCTAATTCAAACGCTCTGTTTAAGCCACCAAGAAAGAACGCCTGATCAGCTCAGCAACCCAACAATACCCAGGAATCACCACTGCCACAACTCCTAACCACCACACGCCCTACTCCAAGAGGACGCCAAGCCAACCTCAAACCAAAACCATCAGGGAGACTGAGATGACACCAACCAGGGAGATGACAAACAATGCTAAGACGGTAACTCCCCTTCAAGATGATGACCACCCAATAACGAAACGAGATTTGAGGGAAATGGAAGCAAGATTAGAAGCACGATTAGAAGAAACACTGAAGGCCACAATGGCTCCCATGCAGGTACTAATCAACAACCTAACCTCCAAAGTGGAAGCTCTAGAGAACAAGAACCAAATGCAAGAAAGAATAATAGAGCAATACCGGGAGGAGAACGCACGTGTGAACAAGAAACTGGACGAACTGGTAAACCAAATTGAAGCAGAACACAGAGAGATGAAAATTAAGCAAGCCGACCTTGAAGACCGCAATAGACGTTGTAACATCCGCTTCCGCAACTTTCCTGAAAAAACAGAGGAGAAAAGCCCAGCAGACCTAATTATACGCTGGCTGAAAAACACAATCCCAAGCCTGAAACTTGAGGCAGATGACTTGGAGAGGGCTCACAGAGCCCTAAAACCTATGCCAAAACCCAGCGCCCCCCCAAGAGACATCATTGTATGCTTCACACGCTACAAAAAGAAGGAAGAGGTATGGTACCACCTCAGAAACTCAACCAACCTTCGATATGGAGAAATCCCCATACTGGCCTTACAGGACTTATCTCAGGATACCCTAAACCGAAGGAAAAGCTTGCGCCCATGCACCCAGCGTCTCCAACAAGCAGGGATCAAATACCGATGGGGCTTCCCCTTCCGCCTCATTGTAACAACCAATACAACACAACACATGGCTACCAACATACCTGAGGCCCTGCAACTACTAAAGAACCTTGAACTCGACCTCCCACCGGAATGGCAACCGACAAACCCACCAAGTGACAGCCCCAACCATGAGGAAACAACAGCAAACAACTGGACGACGGTACAGAAGAAAAAGAAACAGAAGCGGCACAACAGTGCAAACCAATACAGAGAAGCATCACGCTCAGAATCGTCCCGCCGGCCATATGACACAAGAAACCAGACCAAGATTAACCAAACCAACTCATCGCAGATGGACAACCCTACAACAACAACAACCCCAGCTGAATGAAGCAACCAGGAAAAAACCACAAACTGAAGGACTGGTGATTCCCCCCTGTCCCCCTCCCTCCCCCAAAACCCATCGATGCCGTGAACACCATCAACATCCTCCCCCACCCCCGCACCCCCCCAGAAATCCCCGCCCCAACACCAGTCCAGACGACCTCAACCACATTCCACATCACCCACACCTTCAACATCCCCATACCCCATACTAAGAAAAAACAACTCCAACCTTAATAACACAACCCACAGTCAGGCTAAAATCTGATACCCAACCAGCACTATGGTGGCACCAGAGCGTACCAGCACCCACATCCCCACCCCAACACACCAACAATGTTGCTCATAACATTGGCAACATTGCTTACGAACCTTATACCTGACAGCGACGTTACAAAGTCACTTCACACTGTCTCACTGATACCCCCATCGCAAACAACAGGGGGGATGGCCTGTCCTTGAACACGGCCTTCCACACCAGCTGAGACCTAGGACCAACCGGCTAAATGCCAGATGGCCTAAAATACCCCAAACAAACACCTATATGACTACATATAGGAAACTCTCTACAACTTACCCCCTACTCTTTAACCCAAATCTTACTCTAATCCCATTAGCCCCCCACCCCCCACACCCAAGGTCAGCGCAACCCCACAGGTACATTAAACAACACGAAGAGAGAGATACAAGACAACCCAAACGGGTTGGCAGGGAAAAGCCCCACAAAATAGATAAGCAAGATGGCTAACCTAAAAGCAATTACATTAAACGTGAGGGGGCTGGGAAACCCCATCAAAAGAAAACGCATCACCTCATACATAAACACCATGAAACCACACATCACCTTCCTACAAGAAATACACAACCCACCCAAAGGCAGCAAACTCCTGAGCGACCCCCGCTTCAGTCAACAGTGGGTCGCACGAGGCTCAGGGAAAGCTCGTGGTGTAGCCATAATACTCAGTAGAGACCTGAACTTCACTGCCACAACAGTCCTCAAGGACAAAAAGGCAGATTCATTTTCGCTAAAGGGACACTAGATGGCAAAATCAAACTGACAATTGGCTCCATATATGCCCCAAACACGAAACAATTAGAATTCTTCCAGAAGACACTAAACAAATTCCTCTCCTTCTCTGATGGGAAGCAATCCTAGGAGGGGACCTCAATCTAAATATGAAAGGCATAGCCCTGAAAGATATCCACCCTACAACCCCATGGGCAACCTTCCTCCGAAGGAAACCCCCAACAACTAGGAACCCTTACAAGTTACTAAAAATGCTAAAAAGCAGGGGTCTCTACGACATTTGGGGTGAGCAAAACCCGGGAGACATCAGCCATACATTCCAATCGGGACGCCATGATACAGTATCCAGACTGGACAGCATTCTACTCACACAGGGTCTGATCCCTCAGTGGAATCAACAAACATAGGTAACATTAAAATCACAGATCACGCCCCAGTAGAAGTCATCGTTAAAATAGGAGAAGGAACACAAACCACCCCATCATGGTCCTTCAGTCCCATCCTAACTACAAACAAACAAATTAGAGAGAGTCTCACAAAAACCCTCCAAAACTACTTCAAGGAAAACGATGTAAACAATATAACAACCCCCCTCCTATGGGACGCAATGAAAGCGGTCACCAGAGGAGCTTGCATAAAAGAGAAAACATTCCTTAAAAACCAGGGCACCCAACCAGACCCAGTCCTGCTTAGCTAACACTGCAAGGGACTGGACGCAGATAGCTTTATGAATTGCGGCTTCTACGAGGTGTGAATGAACTTGCTGTTCCTGTTTGCCTTCCCCTCCCAATCAGGTTATTAAGAACCTCACCTAGTCATGAGGAAAAACTGCTTGCGGTGGCAGATGGCACCCGAGATAATTGTGGTTACAGGAATGAAGAAACAAATGTGTGTGCATTTGGGTGGATAGTGGAACCTAAATATTAGTAGAATTGTGTGCCAGTTCTGGAAGTGTGTGTACCTTATTAAGAGGAGTCTCTGTTGTATTGTGGCCAGAATGTGATTTATGGGCTTCCTCCTTTCTGCTTTCCATTAGATGCTTTTGAAAATAAACACCTGAGGTTTCTCCATGGAAATAAGTTGGGCTTTTTTGGGGTTGTTGTTTTTTTAATTTAGATTTTCAGATTTACAAACAATCATCAAGCAAACAAATAAAACCATTTCCACAAGTTCCCTTGGACTTCCCTCCTCCCTGTCTGTGGGTAATTTTGTTAACTTTTTCTCCCGCATCTTCTCTGTCAATCCAATTCTATTAAATCTCCAATAAAACCACAGTCCAACTTTTAACTACAAGCGTCATTCCAATCCTACTAATAACCTTAATTGTTTATATATATATTTCTTTCCCATTCCTTATTAAAATTTTGGTCTTCCTGATTCCTAATCCCTCCGATCAGTTTTGCCATTTCCACATAGTCCATCAGTTTAATCTGCCATTCTTCTCTGGTAGGTGTGGTGGCTTACAACATAGTGAATGTGCTATAGTTGTGGCTTTGGAAAGAAAGGCAAGGTGTAACTATTTTAAAGAAATGAGGTTCATGGGAAATTTGGGATGAAGCGGGCAAGGCTTAGAAATTTGCATAATTTACCATCTTGCTGAAACTATTACTTGTCGATGTCTGATAGCAGAATTCTGGGAATATTTTCAAGGAAGCACTTTACAGCGTTGATGAAAGCATTTTTAATGTTTCAACTGGGAAGCACTAAATGCATGTTCAGAGGCTATTCTGAAATAAGCAAAAGTGAGACTTGCATAGATTTCAAACTGTATGTAAATGTAATATAGCACCTTACCAAATTGCACCTTGTCAGACTTCTCAGATTTATACTTGCAAGCCATCCTGCATTGGTTCATCAGGACTACTTTTGCTGGTGCAGCAGATAATATTCTGTAACGTCTCTGATGCATTTGCAACTTTCCAGTCTCTCTTTCTCATTCCTGCTGGAAGATCAGGAACTTTGCCATTAGTCTTCCTCCATGTAAGGCACTCCCAACTGTACATGAAGCAGGTTGCTGCATCCAGGGTTTTTTTCTGATACATGCAGTAAATTCATTGCAGTGATAATTTTTGTTCGTGTAGAAATCAAATTGCAATGTATTCAAGTTCTGTACCTTCAGATTTCCCTCATATAGGCATATCGGTGTTTTCAGGGCCAGATTTAGGTTTGATAAGGCCCTAAGCTACTGAAGGTAATGGGGCCCTTTATATGTCCAGCTGTCATTTGTCAACAACACTGTCGCTGTTTTTTGTGTTGAATATAAGCTATATGGTAATTTTGAGGGGTGCAGGTGGCGCTGTGGGTTAAACCACAGAGCCTAGGGCTTGCTGATCAGAGGCTCGGCGGTTCGAATCCCTACAACGGGGTGAGCTCCCGTTGCACGGTCCCTGCTCCTGCCAACCTAGCAGTTCGAAAGCACATCAAAGTGCAAGTAGATAAATAGGTACCGCTCCAGCGGGAAGGTAAACGGCGTTTCCGTGCGCTGCTCTGGTTCGCCAGAAGCGGCTTAGTCATGCTGGCCACATGACCCGGAAGCTGTACACCGGCTCCCTCGGCCAATAAAGCGAGATGAGCGCCGCAACCCCAGAGTCGGTGACGACTGGACCTAATGGTCAGGGGTCCCTTTACCTTTACTTATGTGGTAACTTATGGACCTAATAGGTATCTAAAGCCATTTGCACATAACAAAAATGTATTTTATCAAAGTAATTGTTGAACTGAAATACAATTAAGAAAAAGTATATTACTAGTGAAATACAATTAAGAAGAAGTATATCAACAGTGAAATAATTATTAAGTTCTAACTTAAAATGGTTGGGGGCCCATTACTTACATCATAGGAGCCTACACAGCACAAAACACTGTTGCTGTATGTAGGTTTTATTTTATTTGTTTTTTATCTTATATTTTAGAAATGTACATTCAGTTTGTTTTTTTCCTTTAATTTTTTTGGAATGGGTGGGTCCCTAAGCTATAGCTTGTTTAGTTTATACGTAAATCCGGCACTGGTTGTTTTGCATTCCAAGACTATCATTCTTTTAGGACTCACATTTTCTTGTGATTCAAGCTGAGATGCCCAAATTAGTAATATTTCAGTTTCCAGAAGTGTCAAGATGCTGTCAATTGTCGTTGCCAAACAAAACATTACTGGTGCAATACCCAGTAACTGTGCGTGCAAAGATTGTAATCTTGTACCTTTCTTTTCCTATTGATTCTTGCCAGGAATCATAGTCAGGAAGACTGCTGTCACCCAGGCATATAGTCCCAGCCTACAAAAGGAGCGTCTTTAACACCCCCAGGGGCTAAGCTTATCAGGACAGGAGCTGGGAATGTCCTGGATTTCACTAGGGCATGGAATCTCCTGCCAAAATTCCAGGAATAAATTTTCAGGCCCATAGACCTCTCAGTCTATGAGAAAGTACAGATCGTCACGGATCTTTCTAGAATCTTAGAAGTGCTGTACATTATATTCTTAATGGCCTGGAACTTGTACTATCTGTCTGTGGTAGAAAGGTCTTTCGAAGATCACCCTAGGAAGTGTGATATGAGCTGCTTAGAGCATTGCTCAGTGCAGTAATAATTTTTGTGCTATGTGATTCTTTGTGAGCCTTGCTGGAATATATGTGTTGCAATTGTAATCATATTTTGTCTAGTCTGTTGTAATAATACTTTGTCTATTGCCTTGTAACTTCTTATCGGATGAGGTTGTTACGGTTGTGACCTTCAGCATTTTTGGGGGTTGTTATATAGAGACATCACCTTGCCAACAAAAGTAGAGACATCACCTTGCCAACAAAGGTCCGTATAGTAAAAGCTATGGTTTTCCCAGTAGTGATGTATGGAAGTGAGAGCTGGACCATAAAGAAGGCTGATTGCCGAAGAATTGATTCTTTTGAATTATGGTGCTGGAGGAGACTCTTGAGAGTCCCATGGACTGCAAGAAGATCAAACCACTCCATTCTTAAGGAAATCAGCCCTGAGTGCTCACTGGAGGAACAGATCCTGAAGCTGAGGCTCCAATACTTTGGCCACCTCATGAGAAGAGAAGACTCCCTGGAAAAGACCCTGATGTTGGGAAAGATGGAGGGCACAAGGAGAAGGGGACGACAGAGGATGAGATGGTTGGATAGTGTTCTCGAAGCTACCAGCATGAGTTTGACCAAACTGCGGGAGGCAGTGGAAGACAGGAGTGCCTGGCGTGCTCTGGTCCATGGGGTCACGAAGAGTCGGACACGACTAAACGACTAAACAACAACAGCCAAGACCAAGATAACACCGCCCGCCCCCGCCCCCCGCATTGGATGGAACTTAAGAGCAAACATAGACTTGAACCCGCCACAGTTAAAAGGGGGAGGGTGGACCACATTGTTTTATTAATCTGTTCCAATATTTCTTGGTCGGTGGCTTTTGAGATGCAATTCACGCCATTCGTGTGAATTCAGCGGCCACTTGTAATGCTCTGCTGCCACCTTCTGGCCAAATATATATTGCATGGCCACCCTCTGAGCAGATGCACCCCTCACTGGGTTGTTGTTCATGGGTGTAGCCTGGATTTTTTGTTGGGAGGGGCAGGCTTTTGTTAGGGAGCAGCAGAACCTCGGATTTGCATTGAGCTGTATTGATTTGTATTGACTGGAAGGACAGCTGCCCCCCTTTCCCCCTTGGCTATGTCCATGTTGTTGTTGGCATCCGTCTGCCTCAAGAGACAATGGAGTGCGCCTCCAGGGGTGAAGTAAAACTGTTGTGTTGCCAGCACTGAAGCAATCTCCCCAAGGCACAGGCCTGGGCAGTGTGTCTGGAGGTTCTGGGCTGCCTAGATAACAAGACCCCACCGCCTTGGCCTCACTGATGTGGTCCAAAGGAAAGCAGAGCAATATGTTTGGCTAGCTCTGCCTTCGAGGAGCTAGGAGCCTTGGAGCGGGGGGAGATCCCCACTGATGTCCATAGGGACTACCCCGCCTGCACAAAGTCTCCTAGCTGTGGGGAATAGTAGTGGGAGGGTCTCCCTTGCCAACATGGCCTTCTCAGTAAGAGAGATGTGGGTGGCGCTGTGGTCTAAACAACTGAGCCTCTTGGGCTTGCCGATCGGAAGGTCAGCGGTTCGAATCCCCGTGATGGGGCGAGCTCCCGTTGCTCTGTCCCAGCTTCTGCCAACCTAGCAGTTCGAAAACGCACCAGTGCAAGTAGATAAATAGGTACCACTGTGGCGGGAAGGTAAACGGCACTTCCGTGTGCTCTGGCACTTGTCACAGTCATCTGTGCACCAGTAGCAATTTAGTCATGCTGGTCACATGACCCGGAAAACTGTCTTTTTTACCTCCTCAGTAAGAACTGGGTTTGTGCCTTGTGCACACATCAAGTTCCTTGTTCCAGAGCCACACTGCTCTGCCACACACCGATATGAACCTGGAGGTACACCCCCCCCTCCCCGGAACAAAAATGGAAAAGAGGAAAGTTTCGGGATTCAGGCCCAAGGACAGGAAAATAGGTTAGGGAAGACAGCCAAGTGGCAGGCAGACGTCCATCAGGCAGGAGGCGGGTAATTCGAGTAACCGAAGGGGAAATGCGGCAATATCCCCTAAAATGCCAAGTTTGCCCAGAATGAGGGGGTACAGCAGACTGAAAACTTTATGGCAGGCAGTGACTTTCTGATATGTCTGCTGACTCTAACCCAAGAACATTTTGGAGCCGTGTTGAGAATATCCTGATTTGACACACGTCACTGTTCACTTCCCCAGTTGGAGCTGGATATGCTGGACTCCCGATTTGAATTCATAGTGGCAGGTGGGGAGCCTTAGCGAAGGGACACTTGCACAAAAGTGAGCACTTTGCACAGGTAATAAAAACAGACAACGGGATCCTCTAGAGAAGAATGGAAGGCAGTTCCCTAAGCACTTAGACGGCAACCGGGAACCTCAGATCTGCGCCTGCGGCAGGAGTGAAGGGTACAAGAACAAAACAACCCATACAGGTGAGCAAAGGAGAAGGGATACCCGGCGCCTGATGCCTCTAATCTTCCTTCCTCCATCCATGACACATTCCCAAAGCAGGAACGCTGAAACACCAATGGCCGCAAACCATTGAATAAACACATTGGGTCAACTTCTCTCCCTCCCTCTCTCTCTCTCTCTCTCTCTCTCTCTCTCTCTTTCTCTCTCATATGGGTTTATTCATCCAATACTGGTGAGATGCTCAGCTCTGTCCTGTCCTCCTTTGCAGGAGGACAAGCAGAGGGCAGAAAAGAGATCCATTAGCTTTCCATGCAATGCACTCTATTGTAAAGCTGCAGCAGGGCTCCATCAGCAAACAAAAATTCAGCCCACGCTCACAACCTCTAAATCCAGATCCTGAGGTAAGGAGCGTTGAATTCCACCTACATTATGTAAGGGGGATGCAGGGAGGAAATAGCCTAATTTCCCTTGTTCTACATTTTGCTAGTTATGGGACACAGGGCTCGTCCTTCAACCACTTACAAGATTGATTCTGTTCATTCTCTGGGTTGAGCAAAACCCATCTGTGGTCTATAGCAGCTTTTGCCACACACAAAAAAGGTGTGCTCTGTGCTGGTGCTGATGTAGCCCCAGAGAGCATCAGATTGGAGAAGGCTGGTGAGAATTCACTTAATGTTCTTGTCCTGGGTGACATCGCTGACCTTTTCAGTCTATTGTCAGGCCACAAAGGGACCGAACCCTTTGCAAAAGTTGTGCTCTGTTGCTGGAATTTGCTGCCATCTGTATGCTGTGAAATCCCTGAACAGCTGTCTGAAGTAAACAGTAATGGGCTGGATGAGGGCCAATAAGCTGGTCAGAGAGATCCTGTTACAAAGGTCCTCAGGCAACCACATTGCTTACCAGTTAGTTTCAAGGCCTGATTCAAAATGCTAGTATTGTATGGGAAGCCTCAAATAACGAGGCTATTCCCATCTGCTGGGATTCTTAAAGGAGACACTGCTGAGAGTGTGAGAGATACAGGTGGCCCCACACCTCTGCCCAGCCATCTCTTGTACAGTAAAGTGGTAAAAAGGCAAGATTTGGAGATTAGGATGATTAGGATGTTAAAGAAATTAAAATTTTATGTGCATAAAATGTTGTGTTTGCATGCATCGTGTTTGAAAAGTTATGAGGTTTTCATTTGGTGTCTGCTAATCGATGACTCATCCCAGGGAACCGGAAGCCAGCTATCTCTCTCAGCAGGAGCAAGTTGCTTAGATGGAGCTCTCTCTGGGACCAGAGAGAATAGTTCTTGGACAATATTAAATAGTAAGATCTTAAAAAGAAGACTGGCCTGTATTGCTAGTTGTTTAAGAGCAATGTGTTCATTTGTTTTTGCAATGTTTATTTTGTAACTAGTTTAAGACAGTTTGCAGTAGAACTTTAGGAAGTCTTTATTGTGGTGAGAGCTTATTGATTTATACTCTGCACAAGGTCCACATCAGGGAACTCCACTCACAGCAACTAACACTTCACCCCTGGATGAGGGAGTATTTATCGTGTTTCTCTGCTTCTGCATTGTCTTGTTTTGTTGTGTCGATTTAACGATGCATTGTTTTAATGTGCAAAATATTTTACATGCTGTTTTGGGTTGGTTAGCAGGGTGCATATAAAGAATGGAGCGATTAGCTAGCTTGCTTTTCCTATAGGGCAAAGGGGCTGCGTCTGTAAAGGAATAGCTATGGGGAAAGGTTTTGCCAGCTTGAAGGTCCGAAATATTATTTCAGAATTGGCTGCTACACCCAGGGAACCTACAAACTACCAGCATAACCGGGAAGTTTGGGTTTGTGCAATTAAAGTGGATTAAGACACTCGTGTCACGCCAGCACAATAAATAAACTTTTAGAAAGAAATTGATTTTTTGTGTGTGGTTTGGAAAAGTGCCTGGGAAATGCATTTAAAAGTGTGGGGTGAATGGAAGATTTAATGGGAAGACATGTAAACAGCCCAAAAACAAATCTCGATAAACCCAGGAGGAATGCTCACTGTTATATAACATCCCTGTAAGCAAACCTGAACAAATGCTCAATAAAAACCAGATACAATGTAGCCTCTGTGAAAGCTTTGTGGAAAGCAAATCACGCTCAATAAATAGGTTGTCTGGAGCAGTGATTGGGTTCATGCTACACGTTTGAAGACAGTTTTTTTAAAAAAAGGTTCCCCACGTCAAGGCTGCAGTGAGAACATAATGGATAGACAAAATATACCAGATAAAAATAGGCATACTTGTGTCAGTTTACATTTTAAACTTTAGCAGGACCAAGAATAGCCTGGGAATGAGACAAATTTCTGGTTTTGAAGTGTTCTCAGTCCACGTCGCCTTGGAACAGTGTTCCACATTAATTCAAGCTTCTAAACTTTTGGAGGCTGAAATACGACTCTCCAAAAACATTATAACTAAAAGCTTATGTAAACAAAGACGAGTAAAACGCCCAGAGTACCAATATCTTGGCCTTTCAGTAGAAAACGTGCAATCTACCCAAATATGAAAATGTAAGACCTGGCGATCGGCTGCATGGTGCTATTTTTGACAAACTTGAGGGTAACACCTAATTTTTAGACACTGAGTTCTAGGATTAAAAAAAGGTCTGCTTTAACTGCAGAGCCCAGTTTCTTCACCTTCAGGGGGGGGAAAGCAACGGAACGCTTTCATCCTAGGTGTTGGCTCCACGTTGCTCTTGCAATAAACAGACACCCATAAAGATTGCGAGGATTTCTTCCGATTTATTTTGTAATGGAATTTATTGTTGGGAGCATGAAAGAGCCATTGACTGTAAAAGGAAAGCAATGGGGTTCCGTATGTGGATATACTGATATTTAACTCCCGCCTGGTCGAAAATGAAATCCAACAGGGAATGTTTTATTTGCTCATATTTCTCTGTATCTTTTCACTCTTCCCTTCCCCGACTTCCACAGGTAGACATGGAAAGGACTATGCAGCTCTCGGTTGTCGCTGTTGTTTTTTTGCTAAAGTCAAAGTTCTGTATCCCTTTTGGCGACCTGCTAGCAGCTTCTGCTGTAGTCTTAGAAACCAGTGTAAATCAGGGGGGGCAGGATCTTAGCATCGTGCCCGAGTGGATCTCTCCATTCAGCTGGGTCCCAGACCCTCCCCATGGCTCATAATCCCTCTCTCGCCCCTGCCTTTCACGAACTCTGAACCTTTCCATGAGACCACATCTTCCTTTGCCGACTCTCAACTACAAAAGGCCAAAATCTGCAAAGGAAAAGAAGAAGAAGCGACAGGACATTGTGCAAACATTCGTGAAAGAAGTCTAATCCTCAGTGCACCAATCTGTGGTCTTTCCAGCACAGCGTTTAGACCTCGGAGGGTTTCGTGTCGGCAGGCATGCAAATCGCCGCGGCGCACAGACATACGTTGGTGAGTGGAATCGGCAGCTGCACCGTTGTCCCCCGCCCCCCTTTCCTGGGTCTCCCTCTCTCCGTATTGTTGCACGAACGGGTTGCCTGTTCTCGGACGGGAGCAGGAGCAAGCCGAGAGCTATCGCATTACAGCGCCGGATTGACAATGACCTCAGAGCCTGGCAGAAAAGTCCTCTTTCCCAAATGGGCTTTCGATGAGCGGTTGTGTTTACTTTCGCCAAAAACAAAAGAGAAGAGTCGGAAAGTTTATAACAGCATGGTCGTCACAAAGCACATCTTCCTGGAATTTGGTCGGTCTGGGTGTGGCTGTCGGGCTAATGGCCAAGTTCCTGATTATCGGGGTTGGGTGGGTGGTTTAAGGGTCCTAGGCCTTCATACTGGCCTGTCCACAGCGTACTGGCAAGGGCTGAGGCTGGAGGCTGCTGTCTGCACTGCCGGATAGGTGAAGTTGGCGTGCTGTTTGGCCTTCAACCTCAGGCTAGCCAGGCTGGAGTTGCACGTGTCCCGGTACGTGTATGGGCTGGCTGGGGAAGCGTATGGGCAGGTACTGGATGAAACGGCCGAGTTAAGGCCGGGGCTGTTGAGGTTGTTGAGGCTGGGGCCTGGCACGCCAGTCACTGTGGAGGGAGCTACCATGGATGAAGGCATGGGCATGGAGCCGATGGAGCTGGGCGTGGAGAACATGGGCTGCGACGAGAGGGGGCTGACGTTCATCGAGTTGAAGAAGGGGAAGCTCTTTGCCGACAGGGTGCTGGTGGCGAGGCCTTTGGTGGCCCAGCTGTTGTACGAGTAGCCGCTGTACATGTCATCGTAAGGCTGCATCAGTCCATTGAACTGGGCTCCAAAGCTGTTCTTGCAGAGTTCGGCCTGCTGGTTCCTTTCTCGCTTCCTCCACTTGGCCCTGCGGTTCTTAAACCACACCTGTGAGAGAAAGGGAGCATTTTTCTTAAGTCAGCATTCTGCGTGTGTTAGCTTGGTGAGAATAATAATAAGAAGAAGAAGTTACCCCGCCCATCTGGTTGGGCTTCCCCAGCCACTCTGGGCGGCTTCCCAAAAAATATTCAAATACTGTAATACATCAAACATTGAAAGCTTCCCTAAACAGGGCTGCCTTCAGATGTCTTCTAAAAGTCTGGTAGTTGTTTATCTCTTTGACATCTGGTGGGAGGGCGTTCCACAGGGTGGGCACCACCACCGAGAAGGCCCTCTGCCTGGTTCCCTGTAACTTGGCTTCTCGCAGTGAGGGACCCGCCAGAAGACCCCTCGGTGCTGGACCTTAGTGTCCGGGTAGACACCAGGCGGGGCTGAACTACAACTCCCATCGGCCTCAGTGAACATCGCAAAGGATAATGGGAGCTGCAGTTACAACGGGTCCTCAGCAATAGAAGAGGTGGAACTTGCGACAAAATGTGGCAGGCATCCTCACTTCTAAAATGAGTACAGGATCCCAGCCAACCATCATCTCCCACCACCCAGTGTTCCAACTTTCTTTCCCCTTCTGTTACTCCTCATTCCACGTCTACTGAGCGTGCTTAGTCCACAATGGGCTTTTGTTGGTGTTCCTCCTCCCTGTGTGTCCCCCGCCCCGTCCTTTCAACTTGTTCATGTTTGAGTGGGAAAATGTACTTCTGCAAACCTCAGGCTTTCCTCAAGCATGCGAGTATCTCCCCCTTGTTTCTTAGTGGTCCTACTTTGGTGGCACTCGCCGCTTGAGTTCACTATTAGGAGTGATTGTGAGAGGAGTGCCTCGCTTTTTAAAATGCAAGATTTTGAGAGCAATCTGTTCCTCAGAAAATACTTGCACTGTAATAATAGCTCACACAAAAAGATAAAAGCCACACGCAGAGGCCTCTTCCATTCTGCTTGGTCTGCTATGTGGTTCGCTATCGAATCCTCAAATTCTGACCACATTAAGAGAAAGCAGAGTGGGTGTGAATGAGGCCTACCCGGACTCTGGCTTCAGTCAAGTTGGTCCAGACAGCAATTTCCTCCCTGGTGCTCATGTCCGGATAGCGGTTCCTCTGGAAAGTGGCTTCCAGCTCCTGGAGTTGTTGGCTGGTGAAGTGAGTTCTCTGCCTGCGCTGCTTCTTTTTCAAGGAGCCATCCTCAGGATTGGAGTCATCGGTCTGGTTCTGCTGTGACTTTTCTGTGTCTGTGAAAGCAAAAGCAAGAGCACCGATTTGTTGTAATATATTACTGACTCACAATTGCCTGCAAGAAAGGGTTAACCTGAGCTCAGGTTGCCAGTGGGGGCGGAGCTTAGCAGGCTCTGAGTCTTTTCTCTTCCTGCTTCCTGGAACAAGCAAGAAGTCATGCGGTCATGGCTCCCTGCGAGTGAACCGAATCTCTCAAAAAATGAAATTCCGAAGCCTAACCCAAAGATTGCGTGATCCTTTTTGTAAAGAAGCAAAATACTTTTCTTTTTAAGTCATTTGGAACCTTTTTCATCTCTGTTTTACTGCCAGTGGTTGGAGACTTATTTGCTGTAACTTCTGGAAACTTTGCGAGTAAAATATTCACTTATCTTCAAAGTCAAGTGTCTGTGATTTATTCTAGCCTAGGGGGTGGATTGGGCACGGCCTGGGAAATCCCTGAGGGCCAGCTAGAGGCCTGGATTTTGGCCTTCAGGCATGAGGTTCTGCAGCTCTGCTCTACCAGTTATGATAAGCTCATGTCTAAGAAACAAACAGAGCACCTCCCTTTCTAATCAGGCCAGAGCTGGAGGCTATGCAATGAGAAGCACTGTTTGCTGTTCAGAGCAAAGCCAATTTCGTACTTACCGCTGTGCTCTTGCCCCTTGCAGCTGTGCTCATGTTGTGGTGTCCCCGACTCTGAGAGGGAGAGATTGGGACTGTGGGCCTCTGAGTCAGTGAGCAAGTTGAACTCCATCGGCCTGGAATAGGAACCGGAGAAGAGCTGAAAAAGAGGCCCAAGTGATGTCTGAGTGGCATATACGATTAGGAGGTCAGTTTACTTGGTGGGAAGAAGTTCGGTTAAGTGGGGTTAACTTCCAATAAGTGTGCTTGTTGCAGCCACAGGCTAACACTGTGAAGAATTAGTGTCTTTACTCCAAAACAGGTCCCATTGTGCACAGTGGTATTTAATTCTGGGAGTGCAGCTACCTTTCAAAGCTAACAAATAAGCCTTCATGTTTGTGGACTGGTAGGTTCATGCCAAATGTTTGTGATCTGGTTACTTTCAAAAGCTAAAGACAAGCTGACCTTTGGCCTCTGCTGCAAAATTTATACCTATTTCCTCAACGCAGGCGGTGTCAAAGCTGGGAAGCAATGCCTGCTTGTGAATTGGTGGGCATCTTCTTCCTTCCTTACCTCACATTTCCCTCCAATTTCAGCCTGCACTTTTATTACAGGGAACAATATATACGCAGTAAGAAATATTTATGTCCCGTCCCCCCCATCCCCTGCCGACTCCTAAGATAAAAAAAGGCAGCGTTTTTAAGAGAAAAAACCTCTGGAGGGTTTTCCCCCTCTGCAGTAGACGTGAAGGCAAGCACAGTGGTTTGGCACATGTGCGCACGCATGCATAGACAAGCGCATGTGCGCGCGCCACGCACATGAAAGCGCACGAGTCGCCCTGGCACTTTGAGATGGTGCACCTGTACGTGAAACGCTGTGAAGGCGGGAGCCACGTTTGCCTCAATATACCTTTTTCATGCAGCGTTTTGTGCAAGGAGGCGAGTCCATCTGCGGCTCTGGCTATTGTCATAGCTTTTGCGTGATTCCTGGAATTATGCAGAAACGCACAGCACATTAATTCCTCGGATTAAGACTTGATTAAGATGTGTGTAACTTTGCAGTCTCAGAATTTATTAAGGCCCCCTTCTCAAGGAAGCAGCAGATGGAATTTCTTCCCAGTGTTTGTAGATGATAATTCCACCCCCCCAGCTATTTGCATACGACTGCATCTGCCATCACAATTTCCTTTCTTCCAGGGACTGATGCTGCAAGGACCGGATTCAAATTTCTCCTTTTCACCTGCTAAAGACCCGAAGCGAGACAGTCGCCCCCTCCAGCAAGAGGTGACAAGTTTAGCCAACTTGCAGAAAGGTAAGCGGCATAAAAAAAAGAGATCTGTAGGCACCCCAGAAACAGGTTTTATTCTGTCTGAAGCAAAAGGTATTTTCTGAACAATTTTGCTTCTGTACAAGAAGCTACACATCACATCTATTTTTGCAGCCCTGGCCCTATGTGTTTCCATTGACTGAACTGGGACACAAACTCAAAAGGGTATGTTTCAGATCACAGCCTCAAATATTTGTTGCTGCGTGAGCAGTAACAGGCAGGGAATTTCTCGTTGTTCTATGCCCTGGCCCCAAATCAATTTGTCTGCTTGTCATTGTTTCGAAAATAATATTTTTTGGGTGCTGTTTGCTGGTATGAACTAAGTAGGAATTCATCTCTGGCTATTTCCAAGCACAAGAACTACATTTCACTCTTCTCCCTCAACACTGAATAGAAGTAGATGTTCTGAAGGAAGCCATCTTCCCCTTGAGGATGTGAATCGACACGCAAACGTATCAGCCGAAGGACCAGAACTACCCAAAGCACAAGACTTGACACAGGACATTTTTAGCTCAACAACAGAGATAGGCCAAACCACAACAGAAAAAAACCAACTAGAGCTAATTTGAATTAAAACTAGTGTTGTTGTTTTTTTCCCTGGTGGTACGTGCCGGTACACAGGACTGGCATCCCCCCCAATCAAAGTCTCCTTCCGAAAGCCCAGGAAGCTTGTGCCTGGCTTACGGAGGGAGGTAAAAAAACAACAACCGGTCATAACATCTCCAACATTCCCCTTCTTCTTTTTCCCATGGTTCCTCATGCTGTCTGAGTCGCCTTTTGCCAATGACAGTTCAGCCCCATTCCCCAATTCTCAGTTCCCGGGGAAAGCATTGACCCTAGGTATGTGTGAAAGGAGGTGGGTCAATTTGGGGCCTGAGTCATTTGGGGCTCCAAACCCCAACACAGACAGCTTGAACTGGGCCTGGAAAGGAACCAGCAACCAAGGCAGCTCTTTTAAAACAGAAGGGTGTATGAGATCGAAACAGAACTAGAATCTGGATGCTGCATTTTGGGCCCATTGATGTTTCTGAGTTGTCTTCAAGGGCAACCCCACCCAGAGAGCATTGCAGTCATCCAATCTGGAAGTTGCCAGAGCACAGGGAACAGTGGCCAAGTCATCTATGTCTAAAAGAGGTTGTAGTTGGCAGCGGCAGAGGAAGCCACTCGGGCGCCTGGGGTGGCACACCCAGGGGCAGGGCGAGCCGCCCACAGAGGCAGGGTGAGCCCACCCATAGGGGCAGGGCACACCATGGGGCCTCTGGGGTCTGCCTGCCTCCTCCCGCTCAAGACGTAACCAGCTGTACTTTTGAATAAATAAGGTACTGCAACCACTACCATGCTATAAGATCCACTATCCTGTAATATTACATATGGTATGTACAATTGTTTATGTTTTTTTATATTAATTTTGATGTAAAAATGTGTGAGACTACGATATTGTATTTATTTGCGTTACCTAGAGCCTAGAATCATAGAATCATAGAGTTGGAAGAGACCACAAGGGACATCGAGTCCAACCCCCTGCCAAGCAGGAAACACCATCAGAGCACTCCTGACATATGGTTGTCAAGCCTCTGCTTAAAGACCTCCAAAGAAGGAGACTCCACCACACTCCTTGGCAGCAAATTCCACTGTCGAACAGCTCTTAGTGTCAGGAAGTTCTTCCTAATGTTTAGGTGGAATCTTCTTTCTTTCTTCTTGTTCTACTGATGAAGCCTAGGATGGCGAAACAAGGCTAATATTCCGGAAATCCTTGTCTTAGACTCTGTGAAAGGATTCTGTGGAACTGTAACAACCCTTAATGTGGATTATTGGACTCTATGAACAGACAGGTGGAATAGATACTTATACATGTATGGACCTTATGCATGAACTGACTAGAGAATGAACTGATCCACTGGGTCTTCTGCTTTTTTCGTTGAACTTTATGAGACTTCCGTTGAAATCTACAATTTGATACAATGAATATTATACCTTATTTATTCGAAAGTACAGCTGGTTAAGTCTTGTGTGTTTATTGAGTATGTTTCCCATAACCATAGATTTGTTGTTTTGCCTCCTCCCACTCAGCTGCCCTACAGCTGGGTGGGAGGCAGCGGGCAGACCATTTGGGCAGCGCAAAGCCTGCGCGTGCCCAAGCCGCTGCGTCTCTCCCAGAAGAGACGCGTGGCTCGGGTGTGCTGCAAGCCCCACGGTGAGTGCCACCCAGCATTTTGTCACCCCCTCAGTGGTGACACCTGGGGCGGATCGCACCCACCGCACCCCCTTCCTCCGCCTCTAGTAGCTGGCGAACCACCAAGAGCTGAACAAAGCCACTGCTAGCATTTAAGGGTAGCTATTCAGAGGGACGCGGGTGGCGCTGTGGGTTAAACCACAGAGCCTAGGACTTGCCGATCAGAAGGTCGGCGGTTCGAATCCCCACGACGGGGTGAGCTCCCGTTGCTCGGTCCCTGCTCCTGCCAACCTAGCAGTTCAAAAGCACATCAAAGTGCAAGTAGATAAATAGGTACCACTCTGGTGGGAAGGTAAATGGCATTTCCGTGCACTGCTCTGGTCCGCCAGAAGCGGCTTAGCCATGCTGACCACATGACCCGGAAGCTGTACGCCGGCTTCCTTCGGCCAATAAAGCGAGATGAGCGCCGCAACCCCAGAGTCGGCCATGACTGGACTGAATGGTCAGGGGTCCCTTTACCTTTTATTCAGGGTACTGTGCAGACTTCCACTCTGTCGCTCTGAAGCTGTCCGTTCTGAGGCACCACGAATGGGTCTATCTAATCCTCATTACTGCTTTAAATACACACACTGAGCCACCAGGGGAGATGGTTTGTCATTTGGGCCATGTGTGGTGTCATCAGCATAAATATGCACTTCTCTGTCCAACCATGTTCCGGGGACCAGGGCAGCAAATTGAGATGATTTCTGATTTCGAACGTACAGCCCAGAAACGCACAAAGGGGGGAAAGCAATCTAAGTTCAAGGAAAGGTCATGAATTTCTTGTATATAAGAATTTGGGGGTGGGGGGAGAATATAAAGCATCAGGGCAATTTTCCTACACTTGTGATCTTAATGGAATTGAAACGGGAACCATGGGAAACCATTAATCACTGGAAGATAAACAGCCACGATTAGCCTGCTACTCAGAAGTAGCCGAGCGCCTGTCAGTAAGGCAAGGCAAGCTGTAAGGTTTTTGCATTATCCAGTCCTCTGTTTCCATCACGTTTATTTGAACCAGCTACCAGTTCAAGGTACAGTGGTACCTCAGGTTACATACGCTTCAGGTTACAGAATCCGCTAACTCAGAAATAGTGCTTCAGATTAAGAACTTTGCTTCAGGATGAGAACAGAAATCGGGCTCCGGCAGTGCGGCGGCAGCAGGAGGCCCCATTAACTAAAGTGGTGCTTCAGGTTAAGAACAGTTTCAGGTTAAGAACGGACCTCCGGAACAAATTAAGTTCTTAACCCGAGGTACCACTGCACCAGTTTTTTAAAGCCCAGTCCCAGTGTAGCCTTAGATAGCACTCTCTCCTGTTTCTTGCCTCCATCTTTTGTGATCAGTAAGTAAGACCAGCAACTAAGGCCAAAGGACCTTTCGTTGTAAGAAAGGGATCATTCACACAACTTATTCACAGTCAGCTTTCTAACAACTATATGTGTTTTAAATTTTCTGTTGTACACCTCTGAGCACCTTTTAGATGGAAAGTAGCTATGCATTTACAATTCGATATAAAAGAAATACACTATGGCTTACTTTTAAAAGTTGTGTAAGTAAAGGGGTAAATGGCCTGTGAAAGACTTGCAGTTCCTTCCTTCCTTTTATAGACCATGAAAACTACAGAGAGTAGAAAGTTAGAGAGAACCATCTCATTGTCTACATATGCTGTTTCATGCTGAATGTTTAAATGGTTTTCCCTGCCTGTGGAAATCAAATGAGAAACCCAAGGTTTTAATTTACCTGAGGCAGGGCGACAGAATGTCCACTCTCAGACAAATTTTCTTTCTGACATATTTCTCTTATGTAAAACGTTAGTTTAAGGTTTGCCAACACTTTAAAATAATCCTCCCAATGCAAATGAAGTCCGTGGACCCGAAATTTGAGGGTCAGTGCAGCTGGGGCTGAGAGAGAGTGGCTTGTGAGAGTAAACTTCACTCTGAAAACTTCAGAGGGTTAGGCTGAGGCCAAGGGAGTTGCTCGCAGCATCACTGCAATGTGATCTACTGCTGTTGTACTCTTTTTGAAGAATGAGGAACTCTGCTCAAAAGAGCAGCTTACGATAGTCTTGCAATGTAAAGGTAAAGGGACCCCTGACCATTAGGTCCAGTCGCAGACGACTCTGGGGTTGCGGCACTCATCTCGCTTTACTGGCCGAGGGAGCTGGTGTACAGCTTCTGGGTCATGTGGCCAGCATGACTAAACTGCTTCTGGCACAACAGAACACCGTGACAGAAGCCAGAGTGCATGGAAGCACATTTACCTTCCCGCCACAGCGGTACCTATTTATCTACTTGCACTGGTGCGCTTTCGAACTGCTAGTTTGGCAGAAGCTGGGACAGAGCAATGGGAGCTCACCCCGTCGTGCGGAATCGAACCTCTGACCTTCTGATCGGCAAGCCCAAGAGGCTCAGTGGGTAAATATTTGTTGTTGTTGTTATGCACACACCCCTTGGCTCAGCGTCCTGTGCAGGGGGAACTGCCGGCACCGCCTTAAATCCAGCACTGCTGCTGGATCCCAAGGAGATGGTAGCTGCTTTATTCCTCCCTGGCCAAAGTTTGGCTCAACATGTCATCCAAAGCCAGGTCTGTGACTAAGGTCTCCCCTCTAGCCTTTTATTCAAACCTGGAATCATGGTTAATGCAAGCCTTGGCTTAGCTGCTGCCCTGCGCTAATCTGGGGTGAGACTATGCTCTGAGAAGCTGCAGCCACCAGGGTAAAATGTGTCCCCACATATCACATGTTGCTGTTTTCGTTCTTAACCAGCTCTGCGTTGCTTTCAGGTTGCTGTTTCCTGCACAACTGTGTCACACATACAACCTAGAATGATCTAACTATGGCAGGGAGTGACAAAGGACTAAAACAAACTTCCACGTTAAGTTAAGAGATGCTGTCTGGAAGCTTTCTAGACAATCATTTTCTCTGGTGTTTTGATGCCACTGCAAAGCCAAAGAGATCCATGAGCAGTAATGGGGAAACCTTTGATACCACATCCTAAGGTTCATGGGCAAATTAAACAGCAAAATAATGTACTGTATTATAAAAGTAATTTATGGATTTACAGTGCCTTATTGAAAGACCGATCCATGTAGCAAGCTTGGAACGTTTGTCAAAGAGCACAAGCTTCCCTACTAGCTTATCAAGTGGAAAACGCTTATCAAATATCACACACTTTATAGTCTAAAGATTGGGGGTGATGTATAGGTTGGCAAAAAAGAAGATGATTTTGCATACCCTTCAACATTTCACTCTTGTAAATGAGTGTGTAGTCCTAGGGGCAGAGTCCAAGGCTCGGATTCGCCACAACTAGAAAACAAGAGGTAAAAGTGTGCGCATGCACTCATTCCAACTAGGCGATAAAAGCTGTGAGGCAAGCCACATACTCCACAGCAGTCCAAATACACATGAAACACATGTCTATGCACATAGCTTCCTTTATGCAATTTACAACAGGAATTGGGGATCTGTGGCTCTTCAGCACTTAGCTTCCCAACTCCCATCAACCCTAGCCAGCATAGATAATGGTTAGGGATTATGGGAGTTGTAGTCCAACAACATGTGGAAAGTAACCTAGATTTAAGGTGCCATTTGCACCTAGCTCATATATCTGAGTTTCTAATGCTGGGTAACTGACTATGAGTTTAATTCAGTGGCTAAGGCACAGAATTCTGAAGTAGATATAAAGAGAGCACTTCTGAACATATGCAGACTGTTTTCCCCTCGCCACTGAGCAACTGCAGGTTTCCCCCTTCCCACACACTTAAAAGTAAGAAGTGGTGCTTACAGAAGGATGGCATATCACTCACACTTCTCATTTTAGAAATTAAGTACTGATCTAACATCAGTTACAAGCAAATGATGACCAGAGCACATATACATGTTCTCCTTTCCGCAAAACAATCCTGTTATTGTTTTCCTTTCCCCAGTTAAAGGTAAAGGGACCCCTGACCATTAGGTCCAGTCATGACCGACTCTGGGATTGCGGCGCTCATCTCGCTTTATTGGCCGAGGGAGCCGGTGTACAGCTTCCGGGTCATGCGGCCAGTATGACTAAGCCGCTTCTGGCGAACCAGAGCAGCACACAGAAACACTGTTTACCTTCCCACCAGAGTGGTACCTATTTATCTACTTGCACTTTTATGTGCTTTCGAACTGCTAGGTTGGCAGGAGCAGGGACCGAGCAACGGGAGCTCACCCCGTCGCGGGGATTCGAACTGCTGACCTTCTGATCGGCAAGTCCTAGGCTCTGTGGTTTAACCCACAGTGCCACCTGCGTCCCCAGTTACTCTTTCACAAATAGGGGTTTTCGTTAGCGGTGAATTTATTCTGCTTTAGTTCTGAAATGCTTCCCTGCGATATCCCTGTGTGGAGAGGCTATAGTGCAACAGAAGCGGAACAAGGATTTGCAGCATAAAAAGTTATGGCATTTCAGCAGGAAGTTATGGGATATGCACAGGTTGGAAATGAAGCTCCTGCTTTAAATCTTCTACATGCTGAAACAGGATTGGAAGCAGAACCAAGTATGACCGCTCCGAGATCATCATCAGCACAAATCATCCTATGTGTACAATAAAAAGCCCCTCCGGAGAGGCCCTTTGTTGTTCTGATACACAAGTTCACCAGAACTCAGCCTAGGGGATCTGATATGATACAAGATCTGAGTCCTAGAAGGTAGCTCCACAAATGCTGAACGCATTTTTTCTCAACAGTTAACAGGGGCTGCCTCCCGCCTCCCCTCCCATTCAGAATTTGGGAGCTGGCTGTCCCTGAATACATGTTGTCATTATTAGAGCTGCCTCCACAATCCGTCCCACACAAAAAACCCACTGCTCACCCTACTTTGCCTTCATTTCAGCAGCCCCAAAGGGTGTGTTTCTTACATCTCAGGAGAGTGGCACTTTTTATCTGTATTGATGTTTCCTGTCCGCACTAGTAGGTGGAGTTTGATGTGCTTGCTCACTATTTTTGTCCCCTCCCTGCAATTTATTGTGTCATTGACATGCTGCAAAATTCACCTGCAACCCCCCCCCGACCTGTCTGGGTGGGCTCTGGGACAGACCTGCAATGCGTGTGCTTAGGCCAAAAACTAATAATGATAATAATAATAATAATAATAATAATTTATTTATACCCCGCCTATCTGGCTGGTGTTTCCCCAGCCACTCTGGGCGGCTTCCAACAAAAGATTAAAAATACATTAAAACATCAGTCGTTAAAAACTTCGCTAAGCAGGGCTGCCTTCAGATGTCTTCTAAACATCAGATAGTTGTTTATTTCCTTGACATCTGATGTGAGGGAGTTCCACAAGGCGGGTGCCACTACCGAGAAGGCCCTCTGCCTGGTTCCCTGTAACTTCGCTTCTCGCAGTAAGGGAACCACCAGAAGGCCCTCGGCGCTGGACCTCTGTGTCCGGGTTGAACAATGGCGGTGGAGACGCTCCTTCAGGTATACATTAGTGGCTTAAAAAACAGAGAGGTCACACACACACACACACACACACACACACACACACACACCCGGTTGCATTTCAAGTCACATTTTCACTCTGCTGTGCACATCGGAGAGGGGCGGGGATGCCTTCACCTGATGCGCATTGCCTGATTTCCTGCAATGTCCCCCCCAACGCCTTTTCATGAAACCATCATTTGTGCAGACGCTGTCATCCATGCAAGCAGAACAGCTATCTCAAAGGTACATCTGAAGGCAGCCCTGTTTAGGGAAGCTTTTAATGTTTGATGCATTACTGTATTTTAATATTTTGTTGGAAGCTGCCCAGAGTGGCTGGGGAGCCCAGCCAGATGGGCGGGCTATAAATAATATATTATTATTATTATTATTATTATTATCATTATTACACACCTTAACTGCAGAGGAAATGTGGCTTCAGTTTTCCTTTCAGATTGGAGCTGGTTTGAGGGAAAACATACCAAACAACAGTATTTCTCAAGACACTATGAGGTAACGTTGCGTGTAAAGGTAAAGGGGCCCCTGACCATTAGGTCCAGTTGTGACCGACTCTGGGGTTGCGGCGCTCATCTCGCTTTATTGGCCGAGGGAGCCGGCATACAGCTTCCAGGTCATGTGGCCAGCATGATGAAGCCACTTCTGGCGAACCAGAGCAGCGCTCAGAAATGCTGTTTACCTTCCCGCCGGAGTGGTACCTATTTATCTACTTGCACTTTGATGTGCTTTCAAACTGCTAGGTGGGCAGGAGCTGGGACCGAGCAATGGGAGCTCACCGCGCCGCAGGGATTCGAACCGCTGACCTTCTGATTGGCAAGTCTTAGGCTCTGTGATTCAACCCACAGCACCACCCGCGTCCCTAACGTTGCGTGTACTTGGATTCAAAACCAGAGGCAGGGGCACAACAGATTAAGGTATACACAGCCTTAGAATGGCAACAACCAAATAAAGAAAGTGTCCCATTAGGATTACATTAACACTTCCCCCTAGGGGGGTCATCCTGCAAATGTTATAGCACAGGGCTGTCCAACTTTCAGGAGGCTATGATCTACTCCCACTATAAAGAAATCAGGCAGTGATCTACTCATTGGATTGACCAGAGTTGTTGAGCTTTTTGGGGGAAAGGGGGGGGCGTCAGGGGCCCGTGATCGACCAACATCGACCAGGGACATCCCGTGATCGACCGGTAGATCTCAAGATCGACCTGTTGGACAGGCCTGTTATATCAGAACCAATCCTTTGAAACAAACTCCGAGAAGGTATTTTGTTCGGATGCTACACCCATAACAAATTATACCCCTGGACCTGGAAAGACGCATGAAAATTTGGGTCACTGATTCTCATTCTGCTCCTACTTTCTCTCAAGTGTGAGAAGGAACCACATTTTCGAAGGACTAAAGAGAGTGCTTGCTTGCAGATACAGGTAATTATTAAAGTAACGACGACGACAACAACCGAAATCCTGTTTGCTTTATGTGGGCCGCAACATTCCCATGCATATTAATGGACGATGAGTTGGTTTCCCTGGTGCAATATTCAGAGATGAAAGAAGAGAAGCCGGGAAAGTTGTTTTTAAAAATTATTTAAAGTCAGAAAGATTCCGATTCACTTCATTTCCTATGCAAGGTACCGTTAAGGCAGATTTCTTAGCAGCAGAGCAAAGAAACAACATTTGGGATAATGACAAGCTGGAGAGGCCTTGCCTTTTAGGTAAAGGGTTACCTGCTGCAGACAGCGAGCTGAACTTTGCGTCTATGAAACAGGGATGACAAAAGAAAAACGAAACACTCTGTGCTGTTGTTGTGATAGTTCATCTGTTCTGTAGGCTAGGGGGAATTTGCTGACGCATCCTTCAGGAACCTCTCCGATGGGCTGCTGCAAGAGCTACTAACACCATGTTAGGTGAGGAGAAAAAGGGACCCAACCACAATTGCCCCGATGGTGAGGTATGGAGTTTCTCTGGTCTTACAGCTTTTGAGATCACGTTCTTCTCCAGAGATGGGGGCTGTGACCCTGTGTTGCTGCTGCTGCTGATTTCATTGCATTTATTATGATTGTTTAAATTTGTCCTGGTGCTACCTGTGTTGTATTACCTTGGAAGCTTTGGAAACGTGAATTTATAATTTTTTTAAGCAATGGCAAGACTTCACAAAACTGCCGATTTTCATTCTTGCCCACCATTCAAGGAGCTAAGGGTGCTAAGGGTGCTAAGGAGCTAAGGGTGGCTGATTTATCATTGCTGTTAAACATCCTTTACTCTAAAAGGTCTAAGAGATTACCGTATTTTTCGCTCCATAGGACGCACTTTTTTCCCTTCAAAAATGAAGGGAAAATGTGTGTGCGTCCTATGGAGCGAAGACGCCATAGCCCCGCGACCCTCTCCCGGCTGGAGAGGTGACGGGCGTCTATGGCAGGAGCCTCTATAGCCGCGTGTCACCTCGCCTGCCTGGAGAGCGCGCGCGCGGGGCTAACGCAGCCCCCCGCGACCCTCTCCCCGCTGGAGAGGTGACGCACGGCTATGGCAGGAGCCTCTCTGCTGCTCCCTGAACTGCTCTTTGGGGCTGGTGGTGGGCTTCCCCGCCAGCCCCAAAGAGCAGGTCAGAGAACCTGAAGCCTGGAGAGCGAGAGGGTCAGTGCACACAGACCCCTCTCGCTCTCCAGGCTTCCAAGTTAGCCGCCTGAACGCACCTTAAACGGCACCTTGTTTTAGAGCGGGAAAACAAGAGGGGGAAAGTTCTCCCCCTCTCTGCACAGCGCCTCCTGCCACTTCGCTGAACAGGCGCTGGGCAGAGAGGGGGAGAATTTTTTTTTCTTGTTCTCCCCCCTCTAAAACAAAGTGCGTCCTATTGTCCGGTGCGTCCTATGGTGCGAAAAATACGGTAAATACTGAACATTCAGAGGAGAGATTGCTAATGTCACTTGTGCTATGGAACAATTCAGTGAATATTATTTATCATATTTACACCCCACCTGTCCCTGTTCAGGAAGATGTACTGTGGTACCTCTGGTTAAGTACTTAATTCATTCCGGAGGTCCGTTCTTAACCTGAAACTGTTCTTAACCTGAAGCACCACTTTAACTAATGGGGCCTCCTGCTGCTGCTGTGCCCCCGCCACGCAATTTCTGTTCTCATCCTGAGGTAAAGTTCTTAACCAGAGGTATTATTTCTGGGTTAGTGGAGTCTGTAACCTGAAGCGTATGTAACCTGAGGTACCACTGTACACTACTTTATTTTATCTCCTTAGGAATAGTTTGGAAGAGACATCAGGGCTGTTCATCTGTTACATTCAGTGCACATACAGTTTTTGTACAGTGTACACAAGATTGCTAATTTTTACACATATGAATTTATGGACATTCTATACATATTTGGTGGCATATGATGCCGTGCAGCACTTTTTGATAAAAGCTTTTTCAAATTCTTGCAGAGCCTATTCCAAAGACACAACTATAATATATATTTTGAAATTAGATTTTTTTTTTAATTGGTTGGGGCTAGAATGCTGCTTCTTAAATATTGTGGGGTGGTATCAAACATTCTGTCAGCTTGAATGGCTACAGTGGGATTTATTGAAGCAATTTTTAAGAATTGCTTAGAAATAGTCATTATGGCTGCAATCTTACACACATTATAAAATTTTTAACATCTTTAGGGTTATTGGCATCTTTGGTCTTAATTTTTTAAAAAATGTTACATTTTTCTATTACGCTCGCTCTTTTTATAGCTTTGTATGGTTCTTTTTGTTTCAGATTCTTGTCTAATGTACAAAGATTTGGACATTACTTTCTCCCATTTTTTCCTCTGCTTTCCCTCATTTTCAGTTTTCTAATAAATGGATTTTTTAAAAGGAAGTGGGTGATAAGAGTTTTCAGCCCGTTTATTTCAGTGGGTCTAGTGAGTCAAACTGGACGCGGGTGGCGCTGTGGTCAAAACCAGAGACCCTAGGGCTTGCCGATCAGAAGGTCGGCGGTTCGAATCCCCGCGACGGGGTGAGCTCCCGTTGCTCGGTCCCTGCTCCTGCCAACCTAGCAGTTCGAAAGCACGTCAAAGTGCAAGTAGATAAATAGGTACCACTCCGGTGGGAAGGTAAACGGCGTTTCTGTGCGCTGCTCTGGTTCGCCAGAAGCGCCACATGACCCAGAAGCGAGATGAGCGCCACAACCCCAGAGTTGTCCGCGACTGGACCTAATGGTCAGGGGTCCCTTTACCTTTAGTGAGTCTAACGTTGGACTCCACCCAGTTAACATTTTCCCACTTACAAACACTGATTTAACAAGAAGGGAAGAAGCAAAATGAACGGTTCAGAAACACATATTCAAATTAAGGTGGGTCTCTAAATAACTACAGCAACAAAAACAGGAGAGGATAGAGTTCAAAGAATCAGCTATGTACCACTGAGTAATTAGGGTCTCTTAGAGCAGTCTCTGTTCCCGCTGCTACAGTCCTGGACTGGGAAGCACCTGTGGAATTCATCCTGCCACTCCCTGGGTGCAGAATGATGTTTTAGGGCAGGAGGCAGCAGTTCTCTGCTCCACTGTCTTATCTGCATGTTGCTTTTTGCTCTCTGTCTCTCTCTCTGTCTGTCTCTGTGGTTTCACATGATCTTCCCTCTCCCAAATCTCCCACTCTCCCGGCAAAACAACAACAACAACATGTCCTCTTAATCTCCTGCCAGCAGGCTCCTTAGTGCCAAAACACTTGTGTTCCAGGTATCCCACAGGAAGCCACACTTTACACAGGGTCATGTAAGGTTATAATGTGTGTCCCCATCGGTTCACACGAGGCAGAAGCATTTCAGGAGAGTGGAGAGGAGGGATGTGCCTTGTGGAGAGGGTCTTTGACCCAAGGAGGGGCACAGCCTGGGGAGAGTCCCAAGGCCTGGACAGAGAGGTTTTGGGCGCTGCAGTCCCCGACCCAAACCAAGTAAACAAATAAAAATACTTAACTAAAAGTAGAAACAATCAGAATCATCTTTGAAACTGAAATACTTGCTGAGGTCACTTGGATTTTCAGCAAGAAAACTTGTTTTAGTTTAGATTTTTTTAAAAACAAGACCCCCAAAAATTGTTCTTTGTAATTTTGCAATATATACTCATTGACCACATGAAAGGTACTCCCTGATGTCAATCTTTTATTTAGCTTCCTAGTTTTCAAACGACTGACGATTTTGACAGGTCCGTCTGAGCACTTGGGGTCAAGAGAAAGTAATTTGAAACAACTGTTGTTGAGACACTTAATTCTGAATCTGCTAGCCCGAGGATGGTGACAGGTGGGTGTCCTGCTCCACCCCCAACATCATCATCATCATCATCATCATCATAATTTATTATTTATACCCCGCCCATCTGGCTGGGCTTCCCCAGCCACTCTGGGCGGCTTCCAAAAGAATATTAAAATACTGTGATACATCAAACATTAAAAGCTTCCCTAAACAGGGCTGCCTTCAGATGTCTTCTAAAAGTCTGGTAGTTGTTGTTCTCTTTGACATCTGGTGGGAGGGCGTTCCACAGGAAGGGCGCCACTACCGAGAAGGCCCTCTGCCTGGGTCCCTGTAACTTGGCTTCTCGCAGTGAGGGAACCGCCAGAAGGCCCTCGGTGCTGGACCTCAGTGTAGAACAATGGGGGTGGAGACGCTCCTTCAGGTATACTGGACCGAGGCCGTAAATCCTGGCTACGCCCATGATCCCCACATCACCTGTATTTATACATATGCACAGGTGTGGATGTATACAATAGATTCCACAATACATTGAGATGGGCTAGGGAGACCGGGCTTACATTCCTGACCAGCCATGTAAAAAGGTAAAGGTAAAGGGACCCCTGGCCGTTAGGTCCAGTTGCGGACGACTCTGGGGTTGCGGCACTCATCTCGCTTTATTGGCTGAGGGAGCTGGCGTACAGCTTCCGGGTCATATGGCCAGCATGACTAAGCCGCTTCTGGCAAACCAGAGCAGCGCACGGAAACGCCGTTTACCTTCCTGCCGGAGTGGTACCTATTTATCTACTTGCACTTTGACGTGCTTTCGAACTGCTAGGTTTGCAGGAGCTGGGACCGAGCAACGGGAGCTGACCCCGTCGCGGGGATTCAAACTGCCGACCTTCTGATCGGCAAGTCGTAGGCTCTTTGGTTTAACCCACAGCGCCACCGGCGTCACGTAGCATGGCTGAAAACCTATGCAAGTTGCCTGGCTGGTCAGTAAGCTGCGTCAAACTCCCTGGTCCTGTCTTCTGACTGGTTTTGCAAAACAAAAAGAGCTTGAGTCAGCAGAAATACATTCTTTGTTTAGAATCAGCAATGCAAGCAAAAAAGTGTTACCATTGAGACTGCTAGCATGAGATGGGAACCCGGACAAAGGAAAAGAAAGAAGTATCTAGTCTGATTATTTCCCCACATCTTCTGACATCCTCTACGCTGGTTTGTCTCAAACAACAGCAAAACTTGAATGCCTCGTTGTCACCTTGTTTACTTGTTGGAGAAAGGAGAATCACACCCCTGCCCCACTAGGCCTGAAAATACCAAGGATGGCCTCAAGTTTTCATACCAGAGAGAATTCAAGGCAACCCTGGTATTTTAGCAGACACAGCAATCCAGGAACATCTCAGGGCTGCCAGCTCACAGCCCTGTCTGTGGCAGGAATCCCATCTTCCCGTCATGGATGCAGAAAGGGAAGAATAGAGATTTGGTTCCCATTTCCCGTAAAGTCCTAGTGAAATGACCTCCCATCATTCCCCACCCCCAAAACAAGCCCACTGAACTTTACACCACCTTCCCACTTAGCAAAGCTGCCTGCACGTTAGTCAAAATCTACACACAAAATATGGGATGGGTCGCGATTTGCTGTTTAAGCCAGGGGCTCTCAAAGAATGTGGCAGAAAAAGATAGAAAGTGTGGCAGGAAGATTCAAGGGCAATCAAAGAAACACTTAAACATTTCAGTGTAGTATAACAATTACCGTATTTTTCGCTCTATAAGGCGCACCAGACCACAAGACGCATCTAGTTTTTGGAGGAGGAAAACAAAAAAACAAAAAAAATTCTGAATCTCGGAAGCCAGAACAGCAAGAGGGATTGCTGCGCAGTGAAAGCAGCAATCCCTCTTGCTGTTCTGGCTTCTGGGATAGCTGCACAGCCTGTATTCGCTCCATAAGACGCACACACATTTCCCCTTACTTTTTAGGAGGGAAAAAGTGAGATAGAGCAAAAAATACAGTATTTTACGTGCAGAATATGCACAGATGTCTTTTTAAAATGAGAGCAATCCTACTTGTGATTTTATTTCCCAATACATTTCTTCTCATAGAATCATAGAATGGTTGAGTTGGAAGGGACCAAGAGGGTCATATTGTCCAAACAACCTGCAATGCAAGAATATTTTGTCTCCAAAGTGGGGCTCAAACCCTGAGATTAAGAGCCTCATACTCTACCAACTGAGCTATTTCACCTGTCAATTAAAAAAAACAAAATCTTACAGCAATTTTTTATTATGAAAAAAGTTGCCAGAGGGGGAAAAATTTGAGAACCACTGTCCAAACCCATCGGGGCCATCTCCTGCGCCTTTGAAAGCCAAACCCGGGGAGCAAGGGACCAGCCTGCCGTCGAGGCTCGAGGGGGCGCCCCACCACCGCTCCGAGAGGGGGCTGGGAAGGGGCGTCTCTTGCTCCGCCCGCCCTGAGCAAAGGGATCAGGCTGCCAGGATACGTAGGGGCCGCCTCGCCAATCGCCCACGAGGCGGGCTCTCGCCTGCCAAGCCGAAAGTGGCCACGTCGGGGCGGTCGGCAGCTGCAAGCCAGCTGCGCCTTTTCTCGGCCGCGCTGTCCCCGCAAAACCAGGGGGAGCTGGTGGGGAGGTGCCACCACCCAACTGTGGGTCGGGACCACGAAGTGCTCCTCCAGCTCCCTCCGCCGGCGAAAAAGTGTTGCAAAGCGTTAGCCGCGAATCGCGCCAGATCAACCCGGTAGCGCGCGCGCGCGAGGAATCATGAAATTGGAGAGTTTACAAGGGATCCGGAGGTGGGGGGGGGTGTCATCCAATCTAACCCGCTGCAACGAATGAGAGCGGGGGTGGGTCGGTGGGTGGGGGCCGGGGTGGTATGTCAAAGGGGCTGCCTCTTTTTCCTGCCACCATTCCGCCGCTCTCGCTGAACTTGCGCGGAGTGCAAAGTGCGCAACTGACTCCTTTCTCTCTTTATGCAGATCCACGCTTGGGAGAAGCGATTGCGGCCCAAACGGCTCCCCGCACCCCCACCCCCTGATCCGAAGCGAGGCAGCAGGGCTGCTCACTGGTTTGTCCTGAGCTGGGCGGCCAGAAGGCGTCCAAGCACCGCCGCCACTGCGCACACGCGCTTCTGTGGTTGCGCCCCGATGGCAACTACTTAAGACAGAGAGCAGGCGACGACTTTCCGCCTTCTAAATGCTACGGTGCCTTCTTACGGCGTCTTGTCTGCACAACAGAAGCGAGCAAGGAATTGCGGAAAAACGAATAGGCAGCAGGGGCCGGCCTCCCCTTGCCCCCCCGCCCCCTTTCCCAACGCACAGCGTGGGGAGTTGGGTGGCGACGTGGGGGGGAGTCCATCTTGTGCGCGAAAAGTCCGTCGAGTATTTGGCGTTTTCAGCCCAGATTAGATGCTGAGCTTTTCTTACCCGAGCCACAGTTTGCTTGTGGCACCGACTTAGCAATGCCTGCTGGTTTCTGATCATATGGGATGGGGGGAGTCGTTTGTAAAGAGCACAGTGTCCCCGCACTGGTGATCAAATGCCAATTAAGCCCTGATAAACTAAAACCGCACAGTAACATGCACAATATTCGTGGGGTGGGGGGGAAACGGTTATTATGGATATATTTTTAATTATGGTTTTATTATGGACATACAGTTTTGCATACCGTTGCATTCCGAGTACGAAAACACGCAAAAACTGAAAAGGTACTTTAGTGTCACGAATGTGCAAATTACTGCATTCTATCTTGTTGAATTATAATTGCGATTATTTTAAATTAACGGACAAACGTATTGATATTGTGGTTTATTTAGATGCATTTACATCTTCCTAGTCGCCGTGGTTTTCATTCCGAAGAAAGTCAGGATGCAATATGTTTTTGAACAATTTTACTGTTAAATTATTTTTGATTTGGTCTTTGAAAAATATTGTCTTCTGTAAGTAATGTTAAATTATAAATAGAAACTTGAGTAGAGAAAATAGTCTCAAAACTATTAATCAATAACTATTAATAAAGTAACTGAATTAATAAGGTGACATGAACATGCATTTGGGTTTTGTTTTGTTTTTCGTTTGAGGCTTTGTTTTTTGCAGCGGTTTGTCGATGTAATCATCATTCTTCTCTGAAGGGTCTCCTTCCTAGGCAAAATCCAATTTTTATTTTCGTTCACTGAGGGCAGATTTTAACCAAAATTAAAAGTCCTGCTGATAAGGAGCCGTATTTGCCAGCAAAAAGCGGAGAAAAATTAAACAAGGGTTCCCAAGGGGGAGACTGAATATCTCCTCTTCTGGGAACCTGCAAGATCCCTCCGGTTGTAAACAGCAGCCCGGTCCTTACATAAATATCATTTGTCTATCTGTCCAAAAGCCGACGGACTTTCCCCGCGCCATTTCGCTTCCTCTCTCTTCCCCCTCTCTTTCTCGCACACCCGCAAGCTTGTTTTTAGCAAACCGTTACCTTACAAAAGAAACCCCGGCTCATAATTTCGCGCGTCTACAAGCACCGCTTTTTCGACTCTGCGCGGAAACTAAACCGGCGTCTGCGTTGCAGTTCAGAAAGCAGAGTTTATGTGAGTCGGAGGAATCGCCTCGGCTCTCCTGCCCAGGCGCCACGGCTGTGCCCTAGCCACCGGATCAACTCACCCTCGGGTTCCCGAGCCCCGCGCCCCGTCCGTCTCACTGCCGAGGAGCACTTGGCGAAGCCTCGACGGCGACGAGAGCCAGTGCGCTGCCGGGGAACCGTGGAGTGGGGGACTTTCCACGACTGCAGAAAACCACGCCCGGCCCACCGGCTGCGGCAGGGGGAGGCTGAGCAGAAGAAAGACCGGCCGACCTCCGCCACAGGCTCGACGGGAAGGCCGGGACCAAACAAAGGACAAGATGCGCCCTCACCTTTCCAAGAGCAGCTGGCAGAATAGGCATCACCACACGCGGCGGCAGCAAGGCAAGGGGCGCGCAATGCAAGCCGTCGGGCACACCCAGCCTTGTCCCGGCACCCCGCCCCGTCCCGCCCCGCTCTCGGCTGTCTCCGTTGCCTCGCGCCGCGGGGAGAAGCCGGCGCAGCGACCACTTACAGCGCGCGGCGTCCGTGCGCCCGGAAAGAGCCGTCGGCTGTCCTCGCCTCGCCTCCGCGCCAGCCTTCGGGGCTGCCCAGCTCCGGCTCCGCTCGTCGTAAGTCCCTGCGGAGTAGCGCTGCCGAGCTGCGTGCGCTTGGCCGCAGCCTGCTGGAGGAGGGTCCCGCCGTCGAGTGCGTCCCCTTCGCGGGGGCCATCGGCTTTAAGAATGAGGCCATCGGCGCCCCCAGGCAGCTGCCATCGGGCAGCGCGCGCCTAGCCCGCCCCATTCGCAGCCGCGCGGCTGGCCAAGCGCCCCCCTCCCGCCCCCTTCCCGCAGCGAGGCGAGGCGTCGTCGGGCCCCGCCCTTGCCAGACTCTGGCGCTTACCCGGCCCGCCCCCTCGGAGGCCCGCTAGTGGGCAGGGGCTGGCCAGCTCCCTCGGGCGAGGAAGGAGGGGTCGTGGTGGCAGCGGCTTGCCAAAGCCTCCAGGTGACAAGGAAGGTCCCGGCAGGAAGGTTGTCCGTCCCTTCGGGGCTTCTCTGGAGCACCCAAAGACCAGAGAGTTAGGGAACTGGAGGTAAATGCAGGCATGACTGGCAACCTTTTAAACGGTGAACATCATGATCAGTGCCGGATTTATGTACTGTATATGCTAAGTAGGCTGAAACCTAGGGCCTCTAAGTCTAGGGGGCCTTGCCAGCCCTCCCACTCCCCAGCGGGCAGTCTCCCCTCTCCCAAAATTGTAAACCCAAGACTTCATGCAAGCGCAGGGCAACTCAGGCGCCCAGCAACTATTAGACTCAGGGCTAGACAGTGGGTCCAATTTGAAACAGGGGGGTGTAACTTTATTATTATTATTTTTTTGGTAGGGCCCCAGTTCACAGCCAAAGTCTGCAAAACTTTATATCTTATAGCTACAAATAAAATCCATCTAGATTGCCCTGGTGCGGGGGCCCCCTTAGGAGCGGCCCACGGGGCCCAATTTGGCCCTATTGCTCTAATTGCCTTAAGGTCAGCCCTGATGAGACTGTGCAGGGGTTGGACTGACAAGCCCTGCACCTTCTAAGTCCCTGGTGTCACCATTCAGAGTACAAGACTCAAGGACTCATTATGGAAATAAGGGGGGGGGCACTTACTGGAAATCAGTTTTGTCACCTCCCCCCCCCCAAACCCCAAGATAATGAGCCCAGCCACCTTTTATTCACAGTTGCATAAGCAATACACTACAGCATGGCCATAAACTTGTACATTCAGCTGCTGAAATATATACCCAATATGTAGCAATGGAGATTTATGTTACTGCTTTATGAATTAACACTGTGTGTTATGAATGGACTCTGTATTTTGTGAATTACCTAAGAGCCACCAATAGAGAGCTCTAGAATCTGACAGCTAACCAATTAGGTACTACCAAATAGCAACCCCTATTGCTGAAAGCAGGTAACCAGCAGGGAATGCTTCAGCTCAGCCTTTGCATTGTTGACTAAACATCCCCTGCAGTGCAGATAATGGAGAAAACTCGTAAACTGTTTCCCTTCTGGCATCCTGGCCAACTCTATTACGCTGGTGTAAACCCTGGTGCACCAGAAGCCCAGAACAGCAGCAAATAAAATCCACTCATACGTCAGCAACTGATAAGACTTGTCAACTAGTTCTTCCAAAGTCTTCCTAAATCATAAAGCTCCAAAATACAGGCCAAAAGAGAGCAGGTCTGGGAAGAGCGAGGCATACAATGGGCACCACCAGTGAAAAGGCCCTGCTCCGTGTAGCTCCTGCCCTGTCATTTGATAGGGTGCCCACTGACATGGAATGCTCTCTATTGGAGTCTCCAGGTCCAATACAAAGACCATAAGAAGTGAGCAGGGACCTTGAAGTTCCCAACAGCTGTTAAGCAAGCAAGCACACAGGTCACCTTTGTCACAGTCAGGATGCCTATGTCCTGGCAGGCCTGCACCCAATCTTGTTTTTGTACAATCTTGTCTGTTCTCAGTAACCAAAATTATATTATCAACGTATACAATCAGAAAGTTGTTTTCCTTCATTTGCAAGGAATTGTACAAAACAAAGTGGCACTAATAAAGAAAAGTTCCAGGGTGGCAACAGAAAGCAAACTACAAATGCTTTTGCAGTTCATCAAAACTATCCAGCAATATCAGGTTATAGGAAAATTGGTGCTATTAACAGTAATCCTTCTAGTTGGTTAATTGGTTCGGCAACTTCTATGCACATGACGTGTGATGCTAATTATTTCCCCCAATAGTTAAATGATAACTAATCAGAGGCAGCTACAGGAGAGCTATGAGATTCAGGTGAGGTTCAGATGCCTTGGCAATCCCAGCAGGTATATAACAGGACGACCCAGCCTGCGGCCTGCCCAGGCCGGGTTGTCCTCTTATATACCTGCTGGGATTGCCAAGGCATCTGACTGACCCTCAGCCTGCCCAGGCTGGAGCCCAATCAAAAATGCTTCATCTAAAGATTTTAGCCTAGAATGCAGAATAAGAAATTCCATCAGATATGTAGATCCCAACATATCTAGGTGGTTAAAGTCTTGCTTTTGTGTGTGATCTGCTTCCATTTTGTCCTCTGCACATATGCACTGTCGTGATACTCCCCCTGCAGTTCATAGTTTTATTGTTCTATCCAAAGGTCATGACAAGGTTGTAGCAATAGCATTACTATTACTAATACAGAACACATTTCCATAATAAGTCAACATGACACCAACCATCTTATATGTAGCTTGATTTCAGATTAAAAACCTCCGACTCACCACAAGTATTTTAAAAGGTTTCTGTTGCACCATTGCCTCCCTAGAAGGCTTCAGTGCAGGTAGGAGCAATTCTTTATTCCACTAATGTTCATCTGTTTTATCATTTTAACTTTTTCATGTTTTTGAGTAAGGTTGTACATATTTCTGTGTTGCAGGGGGTTGGACTAGATGACCCTTGGATATCTTCCAAGTCTACAATTCTATGATTTATCTTGATTTTATTGTTTTAGGTTTTTATTAATCCGCTTTTAGTTTGTATTTTTTCACAAATCAAGCGGCGCATAAATTTTATGTAATAAAGAATAAAATTCAGTGCAACTAACACGTGACAAGGTAAAAATGTAGTAGTCAGCGATGCATTTTGTTTTTTGGGTGGTAATTTTTGGGAGAGATCAAAACACACACACACAAAAACACCACACCAATGAGTTGCGCGTTTGACCATTCACACGCTCCCGCAGCCCAGAAATGACAAGCTGCACCCCACAATGCACAGCAAATCTTCGCTCTGCAGTGCAATCACACTTGATTCTCTCTCTCCCGGGAGGCTGCTCACCTATCCGGAGGGTTGGCTTTTCTTTTCCTTTCTCTTTCCCACACAGCTATTGGCAACTAGCGATGCCAATATCGCCAAGCCTTTCTCCTGATTGGCTTCCTCGCTAGGGGGCGGCGGCGGAAGGGTTTCTCCTCCCCGCCCCCCCCGCCAACCTCCCTCGGAACGAGCCGATCCCATTGGCCGGTGGGTGTCCTGTCACCTCAGATGCTGGTTTCGATTGGCCGAGGTCCCTCCCCGTCCCCGGCAGTAAACCGCGCAGCAAGCTAGGCTGCGCCCTTGTTTCCACGTCAGTGAGAGAGAAGCGAAGAGGGGAGAGGAGCCGGTTCCAGCCGTTCCTCAGGGCGGCTGCCTTTCTCGGAACTAGCGGGCTTTCCGGAGCGGGCCGCCGCCGGTCCGGCTCCCCGGCAATGCCGAGAGGCCCTCCGACGCCTCAGCAACTGCCCTCAGGCGCCGCCATTTTGGATGCCGGTTGGATGGAGGGGTGAGTGAGTGAGCCAGCCAGACATTCCCAGCTGCCCGGCCCGCAGTCGGGCTTTGCCTGCTGAGGGAGCCGAGGGAGTTTGGGCCGCGGGGCCTGTCCTGCGTGTGTGGGGGCCGGCAAGGGCCCGAAGGTGGTGTCCGGCCCAGGCGGGTCGCGAAGGCCGCGGTTTCCCTGTCTCGGCAGGCAGGGCCGAGGCAAAGTGCAGCAAGGGACCGCTTGACCTTCCGGCCGAGATTATCACTGTGGTTGTTATGGTTCTGTATTTACTTATACCCCGCCTGACGGGACTCGAGGCGGCTTGCAGATAAAAACAAGAACCGCTATAAAAGAAGAAAAAAAATAAGCAGCGTCCAATCGAAAGTGGGCCCTGAGCTCCTGTTGGACTGCAACTCCCATCACCCCCTGACCTGCTAGCTAGGGACTTTGGGAGTTGTAGTCCAACAGCTGCTGGAGACAGGGGTGCCAACTTGAATAAAATATTAGGGGGGTAGGGGGTAAGTCCCGCCCCACATAATAGATCACATGGCACGGTGCACACACGTTATTTGAATGGCAATGCACATCAACTTTGTGGGGACCCGGCCCCCTCAAATATTTTATTTTTTTAGGGCGGCGGGTGGGGAGTTGGTTCCTATGGCTGGAGACCCAATGGAATTGAAAACTGCATGCCTATCTAAGATCTGTTTTGAAACATAACCAATAATCTCCATAAGAACAGCACGGCACCAGTCATTACAATAAGGGCAGCACCGACACCTTTAATTAAAAGCAGGCGTTCCCAAAGGCCTGTTGGAGTAAGAAAGGTCTTCTTCACCTGCTGGTTGGGAGGACAGCAAGGCAGAAGATGGTCCAGAGGAAGGGAGTTCTGAAGTTTCCTGGGAGCCGCCACCGCCGATAAGGCCCTCTCTCGTGAACCCACCAAGTGTTACTGTTGAGGGTGGCGGGACTGAGAGAAAGGCCTTCCCCCAAAGATCTCAGAGTCCTGTGCAGGTTCCCGTGAGGGAATAAGATCCTCCTGCACTCTTGGGGCAGCTGAGCTGATGTGATTGGTGACTCTTTTGTGAGTCGGCCCAGTTTTGGCAGTCCAGCTGCTGCTTCCAGAGTGCCCTAAAAAGCATCAGTGAAGGCCTTTGCTGGGGAAGGCAGTGTGCATTTTGCAAAGCAGAATGCCTGAGACTGTGCCCTCAGCTTCTCTGGTTAAAAGATCTGTGACAGCAGGGCTATAAAAACATTGCTTGCCTAAGGATCTGGCCATTGGCTTGATTTTGGGACAAGCTTCAGGGTTGGGGAGGGATAGGCAAAACCCTGCCTGCTAGGGTCTGGGCACACACTACATTTCATTGGGTGCTGTGAATA